TTCTTTATAATTAAATATTTTAAATAAATTACTTAAGATATTAATTATATTATTATATTAAAGCTTTAAAGAAAAATTATAATTCTTAACTTCTTGCTAAGTAAAATATATTTCTTTTAACTTATTTTTTAATTCCTTAAGTTATTTATATTATTAAAGTTATAATGGTTTTAATATTATTAAGATTAAATTTAATTTAAATTAAATAGGCTTATTAAGAACATTATTAAAATTAAAAATTAATTAAATATTATTTTTATTATTCTTATTTTAATAATATAGCTAAATTAATATTAATTAAAAGATTATTAAGTTATTTAAAAGGTTTAATATAAGATTATAATTATTAATATTAAATAATTTATATAATCCTTATTAATTATTTTTTTCTTATTATATTTATATATTATTTTATAATAAAAGATTTAATATTTTTATAATATTTAAATTATTATAAGTATTTAAAGTTATATTAACTTATTATTTAATATAAATTTTATATAAATTCTTTATAGCTTTTTAAATAGCCATTACGTTTTTAAGAATTAAAAAAGTTAATATAAAGTTTTTTATAAGTCTTAAATATATATTAAAAATAAAAAGTATTAAAATAATGCCGTTAAAATTAATTATATTATTTATTGCTTTAATAGCTATTTATAAAATAGTTTTTTTAATATAAGGTTTTAAAATTTTAGCATAAAGAATGTTAAAAGCTTATTAAAGTAAAGCATAATACTTCTTAACTTTATTAATAAATTAATATACCTTTATTAGCATTTATTTATAAATAATGCTTATAATTTATATAATGCTTTAAAATTTTGCTAAAGCAAAGTTAATTTTAATATTATAAATAATATAATTAAAAAGTCTTAAATAAGTATTTATTTAATATTATTAAATAGCCTTTTATATATCCTTTATAAAAAGAAAGGTAAGAAAATGCTTAGCTTAAAAAAAAGTTGCTAAATTAATAATTTATAAAATAAGTAAATTAAGTAAATATATAATATTTATAATAATCTTATAATTAAAGTTAATATTATTTTAAAAGTTAAACTTAAAATATTATAATGCTATAAAATAAATTTAATAATAATAATAAAATTTAAAAATTGCTTTTAAAATAAAAGAATTAATATTATTATAATTAATACCTTTAAAAAATATAAAAATTAATTAATAAAAAGGTATTTAAACCTATAATAAAGTTATTAAAGCTTTATTTTAATAAGGAATATTATTATTATATTGCTATTTTTTATATTAAGAAAGATTTATAAGTATTTCTATTTTTAAATAATAAGAAATGTTTTTTTTTTTAAATATTTATTCTTTTATTAAACTACCTTATTAATAATGTTTTAAAGAAAAAGAAAATTTTTATTTATATTTTAAATATATAAAAGAAAAAGGGTATATTTATTTATAATATAAAATGTTAATAATTTTATTAAAGTATTAACTTATATTACTTTAAGTAATTTAATAAATAAGCTTAAGCTAAATTATACTTATACTTTACCAGCTTATATAATATTTAAGTATATAAAAAATACTTAATATTGCAAGGCTTAAAATTGCTTATATTTAATTATTAAGAATATTGCTATACTTATATTTAACATAATATTTTAATATTATTAATAAAAGTATTAATCTTAAATAATATATATCTTTATTATTAAATAATCTTTAAAATTAGCATAAATATTAAAGCCGCTTATATTATTAAAAAAGTTATAAAGAAAGACTTAATTTATTAAAAAGATATAATAAATACACCCTTTCTTATTATTATTAATAGCTAAAGTTATTATAATATTAATAGCTTTAAAGTTAAAACCTTTAAAGCTAATAAAGAAAGAGTTAAATTCATTATTATTAACTTATTATTTTATATTCTTATATATATAAATATATATAGCTTTAATATATTATTAATCTTTAAATAAGTAATTTATTAATTAATATTCCTTTTTATAATATATAAAGCACTTTTTTTTTAACATTATATATTATTATTATTACTTTTATTAAGCTAATATTCATTATTATAACTATTTTTATAACAGTTTTTATTATAATTGCTATTTTTAAATTAATAAAATTAGCTTAGGCAGAAATTTAATTAAAAACCATTACCCTTAAAAGGAAATTAAAGGTACCTTAAGCATTAATTATTATTATTATATTACTTATTAAAATAATATTACTTTTTAATATTTATAATAATTAAATTATTATTATTTTAATTATTATAATTATTAATATAACTTTATTTATAAGTTTATTAATTATTTTTTATATTTATATATTATAATATAAAGTTTTAAGCCTTTAATACCTTAATATATTATTATAAGATAAAGTAAAGCTACTTAATATTTATTAATATTATTAAGATAATATAATAGAATTTAAAAATACCTTATACTACTTATAAAATTATATTTTATAAAAAGCTATCTTTATAAATAATATACTTAAGTATTTTATAATAAAACTATATTTTATTAATAAGCATTTAAAGAATATTTATATAGCTTTTATTTAATTTTGTTTATTAAAAAATAAAAAACGTTAAAGTATTTTAATTTATAAAATAATTATAATAATTATTACTTATATTAAAGCAATTTTTAAGCTTTTTATATACTTAAGTAAAGAAATCTTTTTAATTAATAACTTAAATATAATATATCTTTGCTAATTCTTTAAATATATATAAAAAAGCTACTTAAAACTATTAAAATTAAATTTATAAATTATTATATGCTTTATAAAAAAAAGGATTTTATTCTTAAGTATATTATATAGCTCTTTAATAAATATTATATTCTTATAATAATATTTACTTAAATTAATTATTATATTTAAGTTAAATAAGAAGTTTTTTATTTTTATAAAGAGCAATTTAGCATAATAATTATATATAAAGTATATATTATTACTTAAGAAAGTATTATCTTCACTTTTTAATAAGTTAAGAAGACTTAAAAGGCTGCCGCTATTATTATTATTATTATTATTATTATTATTATTATTATTATTATTATTATTATTATTATTATTATTATTATTATTATTATTATTATTATTATTATTATTATTATTATTATTATTATTATTATTATTATTATTATTATTATTATTATTATTATTATTATTATTATTATTATTATTATTATTATTATTATTATTATTATTATTATTATTATTAAATAGGTTATTATTAAGTAGTTTAATAGTTTAAACGGGCTATTATTAAAAGAACTATTATAATTAAATTATTCTTCTTCCTTTATTAAAGTATAATTAAAGTTAAAGGTAATATAAATTTCTTAATTATAATTTTAAACTTAATTATTCTTAGCTATAATATAATATTCTCTTACTTAATTTATTAGCCATTTAAGGTAATTTAATACTTAAAGGATATATATTAATTCTTTTAAAGTATTTATACTTTAAATATAAATACTTTTTATTTAAAAAATCTTTTTAATAATATATAATAAGTCTTTATTAATTTATATAAATATTACCTTAATTTAATTATAAAAATCTTTAATAAATATCTTATATACTTTATTATAAAGTTAATATATTAAAGATTAAATTTAGCTTTAAATAAAGATATTTAAGTATTATTTATTATTAAGTAAGCTTAATAGATTTATTTATAGCAAGGGATTAAATATTTTAATAATACTTTTAAGTATAAGAATGCAATTTATTATAAATAATATAAATATTTTATTTTAATTAATAATATTACTTATTATATTTATTATATTATTATTTCTTATTATTTTAATAAAGTAATAATAAAAATATATTTTAAAAAATAAAATATTAAAAATAAAGATATATATAGTATTAAAGGAAAATAAAAAAGTTAAGAATTACTTTTATAACTTAATAAATAAGAAGTAAATTAATTCCTTTCTTTAAGTTTATTTATATAATAAATATAAATAAATATATTATTAATAAAAATAAATATTAATTTAATTCTTTTAATTATAATTATTAAATTTAAAAGTTATTATTAATATTATTTAAAATATAATAAATATATATATATATTAAGAATAAGGGAGTTTATTATAATTTTTTATTATAATAATTACCTTTTTATATATTAAATATTATTATTATTATAAATTATATTATATAAATTTACAATATTAATAATATTAATTAATATAATTAAAAAGTTATTTCTTTAAGCCTTGTTAATTTATAATTACCCTTATAATTATTAATTAATATTAGCTAAGTTATATATTATAATATAATATTTAATTAATATAATAATTACTTATTATTAATTATAAAAAGAAAAAATGTAAAAGGCTTAGTTGCATTAATTAATTTATATATAGCAATAAAGCTGCTACCTACCAGGCATCCTACCAAGCTAAGGCTGCCCAAGGTTAAATAACCTTTTAAATAAACAACACCCATTATTCCCATAAATATATTATTTATTATATTATTAAAAAAGGGAGTTTTTATATAATAATTAAATAACGCTAGCATATAAAGATAAATAAAATAATTAATTTTATTTTAATATAATAATTATATATAATTTAATTAAGTATTATATTTATATTTATATAATATAATAATAATTTATTAATTTTAATAATAATATTAATTTTATATAATTATGCTTAATTAAAAAGGCAATAATAATTTAATAATAATAACTCTTTAATAAAAAACTTTTTGTTAAGTGCATAAGGCGGCTTAGCATGAAAGTTACTTTACAAGGGGGCATCACAACACTAGCTTAGAACCATGATCTGGGCCTTAAGATGTCGGATGCGCACATCACACCGGGCGCGGGGTCGTGCCGAGGACCGTCAGGGTGACATCGTTTAATGACAGCACCATCAACTCCTCTCCTCACCTGTGATATATTTCCCCAGAATTCGACTTGGCCTACATGCTCAATCTCTTGTCCAACCAATTACGGGCATCGAATGTCATCCCAAGGCCCTTTGACCTCAAAGCATCGAATTGTTCGTCATCCTGTTTTCTCTTTCCCGGGGTCTGCCCGTCGTCGGTATATTAGGAGATTCAGCAGTTTTACATGCCATGGATGTCATTCACATCCTAGCGAGGGGCACGAGCACCTCGGGACTAGTTCTGCGGTGCGCAGCAGCTCTAGCTGGCATTGCGATCATCTACTCCTTGATCCGAGCAGCAGCCTCCCCACTGAGATCAGTTCCAGGACCATTTGCAGCGCGTCTCAATCGGCTATGGTACCTGCAGAGAGTCTGGACTGGGGAGCTCCCACGGCTCAACATCGAGCTGCACCGCAAATATGGCCCAGTGGTCCGCCTAGCACCAAATGAGTACTCGCTCGACGATCCTGCGGCTGTCAAGGTTATTTATGGTCTAGGGACCACCTTTACCAAAGGACCATGGTACACAGCCAGCGGGCTACCTTTTAAGAAAGAATACAACATGTTCCAGATGCCCGAGAACGACAAGCATATCCAGGTCAGGAAGAAGTTGGCGGGATTATAGTATGTTTAATTCAATCTCTATACCGCACCCTCTTCTGTAACGAAGCACGGTCACGGAGTAAGCAGAATGGAAGTTCGTTGACAGGATGGTGAACAGCACGATGTCCTCTCTGATAAAAATGGAGTCACAGGTTGATGAATGTATAACCTTAGTCGAGACTAGGTTCCGCGAGCTTGCTCGGTGAGTTCGGATGAGGAAAAACACTACCGTCACTCGGTGATATACACGGCTGGTTGTTGACATATCGATGCAGGGCCGGAACTGCTCTGGATCTGCAACAATGGATGCAATGCTATGCCTTCGACGTCATTGGAAATATAACGGTGAGCCCAGGGCTATCTCAAATTGCATATCACAGGAACTTCTGTGTAGTCATACTGTAAATGTCCACAAGCAGCTAATTTGAATGATGAGTCTAGGTAGCAAAACGCTTCGGCTTTCTCGATGCCGGACGGGATGACATGAACCTCATTCAGTCTCTCGACTTCTTCCTTCTCTATGCGGCCCGCGTCGGTATTTACCCAGAGCTGCACAAGTTCCTCTTCCTATATGGGGCCACAGGGATTCAAGGAATGGTCAAGATTATCAAATTCGTCAGGGAAGAAATGAAGAAATATACGACCGACAAACCCGTTGGTGACAACTTCTTCTTGGCACGCGCCTTGAGACTACACAAGGAGAAGCCCGATTACTTCACAGCCACAGAAGTCTATAACACCGCCGCAGCAAATATCAACGCCGGCAGTGACACAACGAGTATCAGTCTCACAGCTGTGATGTGGAATCTATTGAAGCACCCCGAGTCCTTTGCCAAGGTACGGAACATCGCACTTGCTGTCACCGCCGTTTATTCTGGAGTTCCTCCGAAGCTGAAGCTTACAGAGGACTGGTAGTTACGTGCGGAAATCGACAACATGATTGCTAGTGGAGAGATCAGCGAGAGTATCACTTTCAGCGACACTCAGAAGATGCCTTACCTTCAAGCAGTCATCAAAGAAGGGATACGGCTGCATCCTGCGGCGGGTCTACCGTTGCAGAGAGTAGTTCCTACGGGAGGAGCTAAGCTCGCGGGTCAATTCTTCCCAGAAGGAGTAAGTTTCTCGTTCGATAACATTCCTGGACCGCTCCTCTTCTCCCCTCCCCTGCTCTGTGAATTACCCGACCAGGCCCCTTCCTCTACTGACCAGACATGTGAACGCTTAGACATACGTGGGTATCAATTCCTGGGTTGCACATCGCAATCCAGAAGTATTTGGCGATCGTGTTGACGACTTCAGGCCGGAAAGGTGGCTCACTGGCGACGAGGAGACCGATCGCAAGATGGACCGATATTTCCTGACTGTACGTCTACCCGGTCACATTTTTGCTTCCCTATTACGGCCAATAAGTTCAGAGGGTCATTTCTAACAACACTTCTCTTCTAGTTCGGCCACGGTGCGAGAACCTGTCTGGGCAAAAACATCTCGATAATGGAGATGTGCAAGCTGATCCCAAAATTGGTTCATAAGTTTAACTTCAGGCTTGTGGACCCGAACGCGGATCTCAAAACGTACAACGCGTGGTTTGTGAAGCAGGAAGACTTGAAAGTTACGGTGAGCGAAAGGAAGATCTGAACGATGCTCTTTACTATCAGGCAACAAGCAATCCACCACCTGTCCTTCCATAGTAGCTCTCAGCTTTTACTGCATATATGGTTCCAAGAACGAATGAGCGAAATGTGCAGTAAACGTTGACATGGAGGTGTAAGCTAAGACAAACAAGATCTCGGCCTAAAATGTGCGTTGTTGATAGGACTGTCGTACCTAGGCAATGTCACTAAACACAATAGCACACCGCCCGCTTGCAATACAATACTCGGGCGACCTTAATAATACGACCAAACGAATTCTGGTCAGACTGTTTCACTATAAATGTCGTGATTCAGCCGCTTCTGCAGTGATTAAGCCTGGCTAGAGAAGATATAGCTAGCATGCAGAGATTTGCGAAGTGCGCAAGATGTTTCCAGAGTGAATTTGAGTGACGAGTTTTGGAAAGCGCCGCAAGGGAGGAGCAAAGCGCGGCTATTGTCTAATGCTCGCTCTAGTAGTATCATAGCTGAGATCGAGGCCCTCGGCAGCTAACAAAGAATTCCAAGCCAAGTCTAGGTCTCGGCCCATGAAGCGCGGGTAGCAAGCTTCTGAGGCTGAATCGGCCTTTCCTCTTCTGGACCAAGCACTAAACCCTAGAATCTAGTTTACAATTCGACAGAACGTTCTGACTGTTGGAGAAGCGGTCTCGGAGCTGACTCTAACGTACGTGAGTTTAGCTTTGGCTGATAATGCCATTCGACCCCGGCAAATGCGACATCAAATATCAACGCTGTGTTGAGAGATAAGGCAAAATGTCTCGGACGAGCTCACAATAGATGGGAGCAGACTTTGAATCATATAAATAGAGACGTCGTATTCGCCTCCACGAAAAGCAACCGCCAAGTTCTTGGCCAAACCACTTATCCCCTCTAAATCTGGTCGATTCCAAGATCCACCCGTTTGCTCAGAGATTCATCATGTCTCCGCCGACTACATACAAGGACGAGGAAGCGAAAGCAGACATTTCCGGTCACGTGAATGTCCTTGATACCTCCAGTGACGACGTTAGCTTCACAGCTCTAGTTGCCGAAGGTGAGTCTGGTTATTGTTCTCCTCCTCGATGAATCTGTGTCATTTCATCCACTGACAGCGATCAGATCACCAACATGAGATTCAACTCAGAACGATGTCATGGCAGAAAGCCGCGTGGCTTCTTGCCGGAGACCAGTTATGCCTGGCTATCATGGCTCAGTCGTGGTCACTCAGTGTATTGGGATGGGTTCCAGGGCTCATCACCATGGTTCTTGCTGGCCTGTTCTTCTGGATTACAAGCACAACGATGCATGAATATATCATGAAAAATCCTTCAATTAAGGATATCTGTGATTTCGGATACCACATCTTTGGGAAAAGCCGAATTGCATACGAGTTCAGCGGCTGCATGCTGCTCGCAAACAACATTCTTCTCATTGGCTTCCACATCCTCACCGGCGCAAAGGTCATCAATACTCTCTCCGACCATTCACTCTGCACCGTCGACTTTTCCGTCATCGTCACAATCATGGGGATTGTCATGTCTGTCCCACGGACACTCAAGCATGTATCTTTCATGTCCATGTTCTCGGCAGCTTGCATGGGGATTGCGATCCTCCTCTTTCTTGTCTTCGCTGGCATCGAACCGGCTCCTCTCTACGGCTATAACGGAGACTATCCTACCGCTGGACTGGTCAAGACTTGTACGTATAAGCTCAAGCCTGATTCTGCTCGCCATTTACTCCTTCGCGAGAAGTTTCACAAAGCCCCCCGCGGATTCTATTGCCGATTACTAACCGGTCATTTGCAGACGCGTTTCCCCCTGCTGGCACGACCTGGGTCGCATGCATGAATGCAGTTCTGAACATCACTTTCCTCTGGGTCCCTCAAATCCTTTTCCCAACCTTCATAGCTGAAATGGAGCACCCAGAAGATTTTCCCAAGTCTCTTGCCGTTCTGACGGGCATCTCGGCCATTCTTTTCATCGTCCCCCCAGCCATTGGTTTCAGATACCTCGGGCAGTACGCCACTGCGCCGGCGTTTGGTTCTCTCGGAGTCGTTGCATACAAGAAAGCCTCGTTCGCGTTCGTGATCGTCCCGACGCTCGTAATCGGCGTCATCTGTGAGTACCATTCTTCTCTTGCTACACATCCCCGATCTTTGTGCTTTAGAATGTTCCAGAATGTATCACTTTGGGACCTGTAGCAGGTGACTAAAAAGTACTAAATGCCAACGTCACCGCCAAATTCATCTACTTCCGAATTACAGGCAAATCCCGACACGCACACAGCAACACCCTTCTCGGCTGGGGCTCTTGGATCGCAGTGATGGCCGGTATTTAGTGGATTGGATTTGCTTTTGCGGAAATAATTCCCAGTATGGGAGACTTCCTATCACTGCTTGGAGCTGCTTTCGACTCCTTCTTTGGGTTCATCTATTTCGCCGTCGCTTACTGGCACCTGTACAGGGGTAATCCTTTTTCTGTGGCGGGAATATCGTTGCTGACTCTCATCCATGTTCTTGTTTTACTCGTTGGTTTGCTTTCACTTGGTCCGGGTCTCTATGCTGCAGTGGAGGCAATTATTGCGGATTACTCTGGGGAGACTAAACCTGCCTTCAATTGTGCCAACTTGGCCATCTGATGGCAAACTTCAGAATAACATGCTACTAACGAAAATGTTGGGCCGGCTTCTTAATCCATTGACTCAAAGGTAGCATCAAGTCCTCTAGCTATTTAAATCAATTAGTTAAAAAGCAAATTTGCGCCCTCATCGACAAGAGATTAAATGAAATCATTTGATATGGAAAATGTTTCCCTTGCAACGGGCTCTGGGCTACTGTGGAAGATCATTACTGGCAGAAAGGCTCGGTTAAGCAGCGCATCGATAACAGAAGTTGTAAGGAATTTCTAAATGTGTTCGATTCGGAGTAACTGTTTCGCCGTACATTCTATCCTGCCCAGCCATGTCACACGAGTGGAACAAGCTCCTTAAGGATATTTCTAAATCCAGACTCTCATCTCAATTTCATTCTACTCAAACCCAAGAGAATAAAGACTACACAGCGTATTTATTGTTCAAGTATTCCATGTCCTCTAAAAGCCTATACATCTTCATATTAGTCTCGCGTTCATGAATCTCAAGTGCTGCAGAGGATTTACGATGGATTGTGTTGTGGGCAGAGGCACGTACCTTGCCATAGCTTCTTCTGATGCCCCAGGCCAGTGTGCCGAGAGCGATGTGTGATAGAAAAGACTATTTAGTCTGTTTCTATCATCACACTCCTCGGCGGGTTGACTGGGAGGGATGCGGAGGAAGTATTGCTTCCGATATAGCTCGGCAAAAAGTACCGTTATGGTTCGCCACATGCCAATCTCGAATTCATTATGCCCATAGAATAGACTGGGATCGTAGAGCATGGGCTCGCCAGACTCTTCGTCTATTCCAAGATTTTCCTGCCAAAAGTCCCCGTGGACCAGACAAGGAGTAAGGACATGCCCTGCCGCCTGAAGCGCCCCTAACAGACGGGGAATCGTGCGTTCAAGGAGGATATTGTGTGCTCGTTCATATTCGGCGAATGGTCCATTGCTTTTCATGTCTTCTTTATAGAACACGTCCAGCAGATTGGCATAGAAGCGGGCTCAATTATCGTCCCATTCATTCGGCTGAGCTATTTTGCCGTGATAAGTCGGAAGATAAAAGCCAAATTTCTTGCCCTCTACAGACGTTCCCGCTGTGGTCTGGTGGATCTTCGAGATGAGATGGGAGATCTTCGATTCCTCCGGGAGCTCGGGGATGAGATAGAGGAAGTCCATAATGATGAAGTACGACCCGTGATTGGTTTCGTATTCACCCATCCATAGGGCTTAGGACAGGAGCTAGGCACGAGACTGTGTAGTCTACCAAGTGAGGCAAACTCGCCTGCGAACATGGTTTTTGCGATGGTGTCCGAGTTTGATTTGATGAAGTATTCTTTAATATTGCCGTCTGGCAGTTTTGTGCTCAGTCGCCTGGTTTCGGTCCATCCAGACGCTGCCCAGGGAATTACATCCGTGACTACAGTCCCGTGCGGTAGACCTACAAAGCCTCGTATCAGTATATGCACCTGGTAAAAGTACCATCGTTGCTTTCATTACGTGCATTTCAGTATCGAAGGGTCAACTGAGACCTTTCCCGTTGGACTGATAGTTGCTGTGGTGTCCATGGTTGTTGATATAGTGCTCTAAGTTGAGATCGATATCCGCTTCTCACATGTACAGGAGATATAAGCTTGACAGAAACAGACAACTGGCCTTCTTGTAACTGAGGGGCTGCGGCACAGGAATTGAAGCGTTCTAAATCGAGTTACAATGTCGCATGTCTCCGCCCAATCATTGCTCCTCCACGCGAACCAACAGTGCCAATGTGCAGCCCGCCGAGAGGCGCACTTTCAAGTATTCGAAGGCCTAGGCATATGACACTCTGCAAGATGACGGTCCGATGAACAGATGGGACCTTAATTTGAGGCCTTTTTTCTCGTTGCAGTAGTGCATAACGGTTTCGCTGCCGAGTGGATAGCTTATTGGAATCGTCTTCGGCCGCAGCGCGATCTCCAGTAGAAGATTTGACAACTTCGATCTCAAATTGAAGCCTCTCCCGAGACTCCTTCACGATGTTGCCAATGGTCCCCAAGACGCCTTTCCAAGTTTCGAGCGCAGTCCCCACGGGAGGTGAGTTCTCCAGCAACTGCCCTCTCTTAAAGGGAACGATATGAATCATGAGGGTGAGCACGACATCACCTTTAACTTGCTCATTGAATCGCTTGGAAAGAAACTGCGCAGTTGAGGAAATAAAGGTTGGCCTGCAGAATGTTCGACGAACTCGCCACATGGAGTGAGGGCTGACTAGCTCGATGGAAGTGTTTGCTGGCGTTCAGAGGCTCCTTGGAATGGTTTCGGTCCACCTGGATGCCAATCAAGGGAGCACATCTTTAACTACAGTCCCAGCCAGTATACCTGAAAAGCACTATATTAGTATACACATAAAACCGCTACTGTAGCCATTCCTATACATAGTTGGACTGACGGTTGCTGTGGCGTCCATAGCCGCTGAAGGTGGCTCGGCTTAATATGGAGATCCGTTGTTCTGTTCATGATTTAATATGAAAAGGAATTTGCAGTCCTTATAAAGCGACAACCCATCTATTTATACCCGGGAGCCTACTTGTCGCGGATTGATTAGGGTGACTTAGTGTATCTTTCTAAGTTGAGAAGCAAAGTACCAGCCCTTGATGCCGTCCGCTGGGCGGCGCAACAGTAGCAGTGGGTGCTGAAAGCCCATAGATAATGATGTTAAATTCAACCACGAGACGAAAGACGCAACTCGTTCATGAAAAATGAGACTTGCTTCCGGCCCAATCTGACGAGGATTGACGATCTGCCCACGAACCGTACACCACGCGTCGGCATGTAGGGCACATGCTGCCATCCTTCTCCTCATCTTATTATGGTCTTGCGTGCTTCTCGTCTGCGAGTCATCAATACATCCTTTACTCGGGAACAGAGATTAAATACCTTCCTTGTTAGGAAGCCATCCGTTAAACTCATGATCTCAGCAGTCCTGCTGCTGAGCTGCAAAAGCAGTAGCCGGCTAGCTGCTAACCAATTGCCGCTTAGGCGGACTCATTGCCGCTCAACCCAGCCCGATACTACCCAACTTAACTGCTAACTAGGGCTTACCACGTAAGCATTGGGGACGCCGTTTGTTCTGTTGCCCCCTTTTTCTTCTTCCAAGTGGTCTCACGAACTGCAGTAGCGGCGGCGTTTTGCCGAAACCCCCCTGTCGTCCCGACTGATAAGCACCAACGGGCATCCAAATAAGGCAGGTAACTATCACTTGAGCGCCCACCAGGTAGTATTTCTGCACGCAGTCAAAGGCTTGGAAAGCTTGAACCAAAAGCTTGTTTTCGTTCTACACGGGTGCTCCACTGTTCAAGTTAGCCTCAGTGGAACGACACCCAAATTTGCATCACATGGCCCGTTCCCACACCACCTTCAAAGACGCATGGGCGCCATCGGGCGGAAAGCTTTACGAGAGATTTATGTGCGCGCTTAGGTGACCCGAGACTCGACCTGCCCTGCTAACTTCTACAATTGAGGGGTCTGTTCTTGTCAGAATATAAGGATCTCCCTTCGATACCGACACAGAAAACGCGTAGGAGGTTTCATCTATCAAACTATACATGAGCATAAACTTGAAGAGGGCCCGTGAGTCGCTGAATACCGCAGAGAAGGATATATAGTCGAATAAATACTCCATTCCTCTAACGAGCGAGCGTTCCCGGTCTGTTGATGGCTCCAATGTCAGTTACGCATTGACTTGATAAATCATGATCATAGATTCCGAGACGAGTTATTCAATAGGCCTGGGGCTCTACTTGCGAGGGGAAATTTGGAAAAAGAAGGTGACATAGACTACTTTTAGCAGCAGACCCAGGAACACTGCCGGGCACTAGTGCTCCCCACTGCAACTGCATCCTAGTAAAACCCCGTGTTCAAGATAAGCAGAGTCCACCATACAACCATGAAGAAAAGCACGAAGCTGACGACGTTCACCTTCCTTTTCCGAGAAGCGCGACCATGGACCATCGATATCATGGCCAGACCGGTGACTAGAGTATTTCTTGGGCACGGCGTATAAATACCTGCCTCGCCTGTCGCTCGAAGAATGTTTTCGAATCCCTAGGTGATATCACTACTTCGCTTCACGCATCGTCTCCTCTGGTTTTGTCTCATACTGCACCATGTTGTTTGTCGCCATCCTCTCCGTTGCCGCCGTGGCGGTGTCCGCGGCGCCGCTTGAGGGCCGGGCCGAGACGGTCGTCCTGCCGTTGAAGAAGCACGCCAACGTCACATCGATCAACAACATTGTCCAGAAGGGTCGGGCCCGCATCAGCGCGATCAACAGCGACCAGTCCGCCCCTGCTGCCCGCGCCGTCGCCGTCAGCTCTGGCACCGTCACTAACGAGGACGTGAGCTACGTCGCCCCGGTTTCGATTGGTGGCAAGACCTATGATCTGATCGTCGACACTGGATGTGAGTTGTTTACAAAGAACCGCTAATATGTGCTCCACTGACGCGGAATATTGTCCAGCTTCAAACACCTGGTGCGGTGCTCAAAGCGCCTGTGAGAAGAGTTCGACTGGCAAGTCTACTGGAGGCTCAGTCTCGGTCAGCTACGGCAGCGGCTCGTTCTCTGGTACCGAGTACACGGACACGGTCAGCTTTGGTGGTCTCACTGTCTCGTCCCAGTCGATCGGCGCCGCTTCCACCTCCACGGGCTTTTCTGGCGTAGACGGCATCATCGGTTTCGGCCCTGTTGGTCTTACTCAGGGCACTGTCTCCAATGCCAACACAGTCCCAACATTCCTGGACAACCTCAAGAGCCAGGGCTCAATCTCGACAGAAGTCCTCGGTGTCTCCTTCAGGCCGGAGTCCGGAAGCGATACCGACGATGCGAACGGAGAGCTGACCCTCGGTGGCGTCGATTCGTCCAAGTACTCCGGCACGCTCACCTACTTCCCCAAGCTTACGAGCGGCACTGCCTCGGCGTACTGGGGTATCTCAATCGCCAGCTTCACGTACGGCTCGACGACACTCGGGTCCAGTGCCTCTGGCATCGTCGACACAGGAACCACGCTGATCTACGTCCCGAGCTCGGCCTACTCGGCGTTCCTCTCCGCCACCGGCGGCTCGACCGACAGCTCATCTGGACTGGCTGTCTTCAGCAAAAAGCCGACTGCGAACTTCGCCATCAAGTTTGGGTCGACGACTTACACCCTTACGCCGGCGCAGTACCTGGTCCCAACCGCCCAGTACAGTGTCTTCGGCCTCAGCTCCAGCAAGTACTATGCCTGGATCAACGACGGTGGCAGCTCGGTCAGTATATCTCCTTTCCTGCTGCAGCTGCCCGATCTTTGTGTTTTGGAACGTTCCAGAATGTACCACTTTAGGACCCGTATCAGGTGACTAACAAGCAGCAGGGTGTAAACACTATCATCGGCCAGAAGTTCTTGGAGAATTACTATTCCGTCTACGATACTACTAACTCGCGTATCGGCTTCGCCACTGCTGTCTAAGAGACTAGCAATCGTTGGGGTTGATGCATGTGTAGTTTCACGCAATGGATATCACGCTTCGTGCTATATTGGACCCGCAATGGGCCATTCTGGCTGACCATGGGGGAGGGGCTTCTCGTAAACTGGCCCTGGTATTTACTTTTCATGTAGCATAATCCATGTGCGCCGGCCTATAATCGTGCCGATAAACAGCCCCGTCTCTTTACTATATCTTATAGTGCAAGAAAAGTGCAACCGAGCCCCCCTGCGTGATACAATCGTGGCCCTGACTCCGATTTGGTCAATGTCAATATTTGCTTGTGCTGGTATTAAAGCTCATAGGTAATGATCTATCTCATGACATATGTACAGATCCCGAGACATAAACGCGCACTCAATGAAGGCAGCTCTGACAACATTTGAATATTCCACTCGTATATCATTACAGCTTAGCGTACTCGTCGCATGTCTGTATGAGTCTCTGCTTTATTCCGGGTTCCTAAATCGAATGAGTGGCTCGAACTTGGTCAAGAGATGGGCACACGACTGACCAGTACACTATGACCAGCATCATCAATCCAATGAAGCTTGGATTCAGGGAAGGCCTTGTGTAATTCCCAAGCCGTTATAGGTGGACAAACCTAGTGATCTCAAGTCAGTTATTCAAGCTCTTTAACTCGTAAAGACGAGAGAGAGGGCGCTTTGTCATGAACCAGCGGTCACAGTTCATGATACCGGATGGAACCGTCTCGTTTGAGTCCATGTTGTTTTGCCACGTGATCCGAGGAGGTTGTCTCGAGTCATTACTTACCACGTCGTAGCGGCCTTGTACCAATGTAGCTTTTACCAGCTGATCAGCATCTCGCGTTGAGAATGGCTTTAATGGAGCCGGAACTTACTAGGGATATGGCGGATCTTGTCAACGTTCTCCTTCTTTAACAGCTGACCCTCCTCCAACCACGCGCCGTTCGTGAAGTAATGGACCTCTGTCCTGGCATGAGCAAGCAGGTAAGACTCATCGTCGAGCTGCTCGAGTGCTTCAGCGCTTGGATAGAGGGTGCCGATAGAAAGCTCCCACTTGTTCCAAGCCCTCGCCGCCGGAAGGCTGATCTCTGGGTCGTCTGACAGCAGCCGTTTCAGGTAGGACTGGACATGATCCTTTCTCTCATCTTCTGGAAGGAAGTTTATGAATTCCTCAAATGCGTCGGGCCACAATATGTTGGCGCCCTGGACAAGGGTCCATTTGAGCTCGAGCTGGCGGACAGCAAAGATGCCTCTGAGGACGAGTGAGCCGACAGACCCAGGGTGAGTCTGGGCATATGCAAGGGCCAGGGTTGAGCCCCATGAACCCCCAAACACCACGTGCCACTTCTCGATTTTGAGGTGACGCCTTAGCTTCTCGATATCTTCCACCAGGTGCCACGTGGTGTTCTCGCGGGTCTCGGCGTTGGGCCGTGACTTTCCACATCCTCGCTGGTCCAGCAACACGACGCGGTATCGGTCCGGGTCGAAGAAGGCTGTATTGCTCTTTGATATGTGGCCTCCTGGTCCACCGTGAAGATATATCGCTGACACGCAACGAAAGAGCAGCCACTCTCAGCTATTCTGGTCTGGAGAGACAACGGGGAGGTGCATCATATATACCTGGCTTGCCGTCTTTCTTGCCATATTGCTCATAGTACAATTCATGAATCGAGTCAACCCGGAGCCAGTCGACATCCCACGCGTCTTCATGAGCGTGTCCGCTCGGCTGTGTCTGTTGCGCCATGCTTCTTGGATGCCCTGGCAGGGAGATTGTATCAGTTGACGTCGAAGAAAGTCAGCATCTTGCGATGACCCGCGCTGACCCGACCTCAGAAGGCCCCTCTTTGATGGCCGCTACTTGATTGCTTACCTAAGTACACATTCCATAGACTACGCGACTCATGTCCTCTGAACCTGCGCGCAGCGCAGTATCATTGAACATATTTCAAGTACGCCTTATCTACAGCAAAACTCTCGCATGGTCCTGCTCAGTATCGCCGAAAATTTTCAGCATCCAATAGGGTCCAGCTTCAATTCCACTTAACACCAACTTCAGATAGGGCGACCTCGACAGACGGGCAGCAAAGGGGCGTAAAATGCTTGAGCGCCGGCTTATCACGTGACAAATCCGCTGCACATTTTGGTCTCGCTCTTGAAGGGCGGTGCTGGGGTCCTTCCGTTTCGTGAGCGGCGTTGCTTGGGTGAAGTGGAAATAAGGCGTTCAGGTGAGCCTCATGGGCCGTATCGGTCGCCGAGACTACGGAGAAAAGAAGGCAGCCGACTAGGGGTGAGTCGTTGCGTGCTAACAAGTCAGCTTGTTTTCCCGATCGGGTTTTGTTCCGAAACACAGCTTTTCATAAAACGCGGCTCTGCTCGAAAGCCTAGCAAGTCGCCCCGCCGTTCTGCCGTATACCTTGACCCCCAAGATAGACCCCACTTTGGCGCATGTCTCAGCCGGATTGGCTGGGGCCTGTGGTTGCACAACATGTCAGTGAAAGGGGGGTCACGTGAATAGGTACATCTTTAAGAAGGGTGCCCTCTGCCCTTCCTGCACTTAGAACCTAGCAATATGCCTACTTTAAATATAAACAATCGTATATTTGCCAGACCCAATCTTTCCTGCCACACACAAATATCGCTGCCTTTGGGTCGGTCAGACTGTTGACCACACGGCAGCAAAATCTGAGCGTGGTGCGACAGCCTGACCAAGGGTCGTGTTGCTTTTTTCCACAGTGACATCTGGCTGGCAATCAGCAACGAGTGAGGTCAACAGGATTCCGCTTTCGTCTTATTCTTGGACTGGTAGGCCCTGCTCACTGCTCACACCCACGCCTACCCACGCCTCTGCTGCCCTTCTGCTGACCCACGTGATAATCTTGCCCACTCTGACGGCACCATTTGGCAGGGGGGCCCGGCTGTCATCGGGCGTCCTCAGCGATACTGTGCTCATGCTATTGCTTTGTCTGCCTTGTGTACTCCGTTTGCTCCGTCTGGTACAGGCTATACGGGCAGCACGATTAAACAAGCTGTTTAAAGGGCTGTAAGTCATATCTGGATGTGATGTAACTAGAAAAGAGAGGATTGCTCCGTGATTATATTCGACTGAGAAAACCTGCAAACTGAAGAATGTATATATATTCAGATGGCTATCATTTATAAGGTGGGCAGGTCTGGGTTGTGGACGTAAGATGAGTGCTGCAGAAACAAAACGCTGTCCCTCACATGGTCGTTGCCTGTGCTACCCGATGTTGTCAGGGCACCCTCAGAGTCAGCTCTCGAGCTGCTTCCCTGTGCTTCTTGTCGCTCTTCCATGAGCGCAGGCCGCTGACACTGCATTCCTGTCTTGCTTTTGAAATGGTCGGCCAACTTGTCTTGCCGGGCAAATGTCAGTTTGCAGCCCCATGTTTCCCCAGACTTCAAGGTCCCAAAGCAGACGAATTTCTTCTCTCCGACGTGTATTGCTTCATGCCTTGTTCTGTCATACTGTCGTGCGAAAGACGCGCCGCAGGTTGTGCAAGAGAACGGTTTCTCGTTGGCGTGGCTGCGCAGGTGTGCTTTCAGGTTGTGACTCCGCGTAAATGTCTTGGAGCACACATCGCACTGGTGTTGGCTGGAACCAGCTTTGATCTTTTGCATCTTCCGTGGTGGCTCTGGGAACTCGACGTCTCCGTCCGCGTCGAATCCATGAACTTCCAACATGTGAGTGTTCCTCGCGTCTTTGCTAGAAAATCCCAGTGACGAGAAATCGCAATCGGTAATGTCGCAAAAGAACGGTTTCTCGTGGCGGTTGATGTGTTGTTGTCTTTGGGCCTCATTCCGAAAGCCGTGGTGATAATAGAAGCAATTTACTCGAGAGCACTTGTACCAATTCGTTCCATAAAGGGCCCTTAAAGAAGACCTTTGCTCGCCAGTGAGCTGGGACTTTCCTGTATTCTCGAGCACGGCTCTCACCCTCTGGACCAACGTCAAAAGATCCAGTGCGTGCTCAGCCTCTGGTGGTTTGCCATGGGCCCCGAGTTGTTTGCGTGCCCAAGTCACAGCTTGGGAAAGCTCGCTGTGGAAACCAAAACGATCGAAAATCGAGAGCTCTTCCTTGATTGAATTAGGCACAGCCAAGTCCGGCACCTGTTGTTGGTAGTGTATTTCAAGAAAGACCTCCAGCTCTTCACTAAGGTCCTCTAAATTCTTGTCCTCTGGCTGGGACAGTGAGTACTCCTGCAGGTGAAGCGACCAGCAAGCCATTGCGTATTCTAAATAGGCAAAGAACCCAGTCATGAGGGCCTGGCGTGTCATTTCTGCATCAGCATTGAGGTCGGCGGGAGGCAGATTAAGGTATCCCAGTGTAAGGCGGGTGATCTGAAAATGAGATTCGCTGGGTATGACCTCTTTCGTTCTGATGAGATAACTTCGCGGATCGTTAGCCAGTTCTCAACACTGCCTTCCCAGCTCATGTCTTACTCTCTGGCAGTTGGGTGCACAAAATCCACCGTTCCGTCTCTGTGATGTTCAATCAAGGAACCACAGAGGTCCTTGGGATCCTCGCGCCACATCCTCTGTGAGAAGACTTTTGGATCATAATATTCTCCATTTAAATCTACGCAGGTTGTCGCCTGGAATTCGTACCACTTCAAGGGTCGTTTTGTGCAGACCAACCATTGAAGCAGGCGCTGAGTATCACGTTTTCTAGTTGACGTTTTCTGGTTGAGGACACGCTCTACAATGCGAGTGTATCTGTATTCAGACATTAGCATAGCAACTTTCAGCCTGATGAGGAAGGTCAGAAGTAGACATACGCTTGATCGAGTCCGGTCGGAAAGTTTGCCAACTCTGAAATGACATTTGCCACTGAAGTTTGCTCATACAAATTCTCCATCACGAGTTTGGCAAATAGGAACATGCCTAGCAGATGGTCAGTGATGACGGTATGGGTAGGGCAAGTGCAGGATTTTGGAATTACCTTGGGCTTTGGCCGTGACAATCTTTGCAATATCGTATTTAACCCCTTGCAGGTCTCCAAACTTCCTCTCGACCTTGTCTTTCCAGCTCATGACAAAAGAGTGGATGTCATGTTTGGTATCTGAAGGACAGATGTTTATTGACGGGATATTGGATAGGTCCTTCCTGGCCTCTCTATCATCTTGGCTGACAAAGAGGCAACGGATTGAGTCCATATCCGCGATAGGAAGTGCCTCAACAGTATTCCTAAAGAACTCGACAATATATCTGCTTTCTTTTGTATCGCACTCATCAAGGCCATCGAGGGCAATATACGTTCTTTTAGAACAGCTCAGGGCAACGTGCAATAACTCTCCGGCGAGCACCCTAGTGTGTAACGAGGTTTCACCACAGTTTGAGGACTTTTCGTAGAAGTATTGGATCAGGTGCTTGTTTTGATCAAGCAATTGAGTTAGAAGTCCTTTTGCGACGGCGAGAAAGCTGTTTCGACTGGTGTCTTTGTGTTTGCAGTAGAAGAAGGCGATCGACGTGTCTCGTTTTGAGGAGCTCTGGGATGGTGTTTGCGACATTCGAACCTCGTCCACGATACGAGAGGTAAGTACTGATTTGCCTAGGGAAGCTTAGAATCAATACGCCTGATCCATTCGTAGCACCGCTTACCTGCACCAGGTTTCCCCGTTATCCATAATAGCGGATTGTTACAGAAATCAGGATCCGCCCAATTCGTGAATCTATGATCCTTCATGAGCCATGAACCTGCGTCAGGACAAATTCTGGCTTCTGCGATCTCTTCCTGGAATCCTTGTGTGTTAGGGGCACAGAGCCACTGTGTCACGTAATTTCGTCGTCTGTCAAGCTCTGCCTGCCGTTGATTATTGAACTCATCCACGGCGATGCGGTGAATCCGTCTGACTTCCTCCAGCTGAGCCAGAGTCGCCTCGGTCTTAAGCAAATTATAGTTCCTTTGCATTTTGGTTTTCACCAAGTCTATCTTTGGTGTAAAACCTCTCCATGCTGCGTGGAACACCTGTTGCCAGACTGTGAACGGTTAAATATGGTGGCAACAAGCCCACTACGACTTGTCGGTGTGTGTGAGAGAATCTTACCTTTTCCCCGGAAATATTTCATGGCCTCCCGGTGGAAGTCTAGAATATCATGATAAATCCAGCTAAGGATCGTCTTTGTGTAGGGCCGATCGGAAGTCAGATCTTGGAAAGAGCTGAGGAGGGGTAGTTCTCCCCAGATGGTCTGGTATGCCTCAAGAAGACGGTCTAGAGCATCACCATAATTTGAGGCCACCTGCGCATTCATCTTAGCACTTACATTTGCTCACTTTCCCCATTTGCGCATTGACTTACACGCAAAAGGAATTTCATAGGTCCCTGCATGCATCTTAGCACTAGTCAATCCGCAGGTCCTTTCCAGTCCAGCGAACGCTTACCCAGACGAATGCTAGTACTTCAGATGTATTCACGAAGACGTCAACGGTGTGACCATATTGCTCCATTGTTTGAAGAAAAGGCTCCAGCCTCTTCATGTTCCGCATTCTTCGCTTCGCTTCTTGTTCAGTTTGTATTCGCTTGATGGTAGATCGCAAGCTGTTCAGGTCTGCGAAGCGGAATTCTTTGACCTCGTCTGCGCCGAGTTGTGCATTTTTCTTGAATTCTTCGAGCGCAATCTCGAATTCGCACTGTGATTTTCCTGAGGAATTGCTCATATTCGTTGTAAGTTTGTAAACTCAGTAGGAAGTATTGGCAAAGGCACTGGCAAGGGCTGTCAGGGCAAAGAGCGCCCAAGAACCTTGGAGTTTTGCGTGTTCGCGAAAAAGGCAGGATCCCAGAGAATGAGACGCAACAGGGCTTCATGTGGCAGTGTCCATCGGAGCTGAGATGTGTAAAAAGTCGTTATATGTGACCGGCGTTCCTGGCCAGCCTGTCTGCCTGTCTTAAACCAAGGCCTGAGTTCCGGCATCCTCAGTGGAGCACTTCGCGAGATTACTCCCTAACTCTGCGTAACTAGTGCCTTTTGTGCGACGCGTGCGCCTCTGCACAGCCATTGCAGCGATGCAGAAGAACCCCTGACTGCATTAGCGCCTCCTGCATCCTGAGCCTTTCCGATCGACAGACATTTTTGATGTTCACCATGTCATGTCGTCTTGGTTTTTTTCGTTAATTCATGGTTGAAACAACCAATAGCAACCCCTTCTTTCGAATATGATAAGCCTTGACGATGCTGACAGCGGCCCTCCTCCAAAACACCCGAGTCTGTACGCAGAACCAGGCACATCAATCTTTGAGCGATGGGATGACCAAGTTCGTTGACTGTTCTCCGTCGTTCAAACACACATTTTCTGGTTAGCTGCTCCGGTATTGCCGTGCTTGTGGGTTGGATCTCACAAGAAACTCTTTTCTCATTATAACAAACCATCAGATAAGGGGTGTCTCATGCCACAGCAAGTCAGCCATGAGAGGGTTGAAAGCAAAACTTCTAGTGACGAAGTAGTGTGCTTCGGGATGGTAAGCCATATGCTTCCCTACGCATAGATGAAACGCGTCTCAAATTCTGCAGTTATGCGACATAAGATGCCAATTCACAACAGGCCGAGGCGGCCAGGTGGCAAATGTGTTAAGACAGATCCGGGAGCAAGCAGAGACTCTTCGCATTTCCCGAGATTCTGATACTTGGACAATCCATTCAAGTAATAATGTCATGCTGGGAGTGATCAATCACAGGACAGCTTCCAATCTCGCATCGCTACCCTCTGGAGACCAGCTTGCCTATGAAGCATCCATGGAGACCTCGAAAATGGACGACACCATAGATTCATACTTGAGGGGACAAGAAAGTACAGTTCGATGTGACGGTCAATATCATGGGCCCTGGGTCTATTTCCGAGGCTGTGGGTCAGCAATTGTCAGAACGTCGACTTTTTCTTCAACGGCCTTACCAACTACCGGAACGCATAGCGTACAGCAACCCGCAATACCTGGCAATAGACGACAAAATCGACGATAGATTCGAAGATCACGATTGCGATGGAGGAGGAGTGTCAACTGTTGACTCTCTTGACGAAGATCAGCTTCCAGTATACGACGACCTGGATGGTCAGCTGTGGAGTATATTCGACAACTCTTCTTTGCCGGAAGAGATGGCCCGGGTTGAAATAGATCAAAGCATCCACACGACTTTAATGGAGTATGTACTTTGCTCCTGTGAAATATTTCAAGGTTGGGTATCCGTGCGTGCGTTATAGCTGACGTTGCTTTCACAGACACCAACGAGAAGTTGTAGACTTCATTATCAACAGAGACTGTGGAAATGCAGCCAAGCATCGAAGACTTTGGACGGAAGATCGCACAGATGAGGGTCTTGTTATGTGAGTTAAAAGTCGCAGCCTGTTACTCAATCCTAGACCACAGACAAACTAGATCTGATTCAATTGATTTGCAGGTTTCGTCACAAAATCACTGGTGTCCCCAGTCCAACTCCAGCAGATGTGCCAGGAGGAATTCTCGCAGATGATATGGGCTTGGGTAAGACCCTGAGTATGATAGCAACTATAGCCACTACGCTGGCTTCCGCGAAGAGCTATGTGAACTCAGGGGATGCCAAAAGAAGAGCCCAAATGACGCCGACACCAGCGACACTGGTGATAGTCCCCTCAGCTCGTAAGTGGAATGTCTGATTCTTCAATGAATACTGCTAACCTCCCCGCCCTCCCAGTTTTGCTTGATAATTGGCTTGAGGAGATAACGAAGTATATCTAACCACCAAAGATGCTGTCGTAATATTAGTACTAATCACGGTGCTAGACACGTTAGGCCAGGGACGCTTCGCTGGCACAAATACCACGGTATGATGAGGCAGCTTGATCTCAAGTCCATCGGTTCATACGATATTGTGTTGTCCACTTACGGGACTGTGGCGGCCGATTTGGCTCGAAACCGCGGGTTGCTAAACCAGATACATTGGTATCGGATAGTGCTCGATGAAGGTGAATCCACCTGAGAACCGATCATTGTACAAAGGCACTTGCTTACCGAAGTGAGAAGCTCATGTAATCAGAAATTGGTCGACCAAGCAGTTCCATGCAATCCATCAGCTTTCAGCCCGAAGTCATTGGTGCATGACTGGCACACCGATCCAAAATTCCTTGGAAGACCTCGGAGCTCTCATCCGGTTCATTCGGCTGCCGAGTCTCGAAGACCCTCACAAATTTCGAAGACATATCGTTGGCGGTATTAAAGTTGCCGGACAACTTGTCGGTTCAAACTTCGAAAACCTACGAGATCTCCTGTCCGTGGTCTGCATTCGACGACCAAACTCATTACTGGCGCTTCCTGGAATCGATTTTGAACAATGCCGACCTGTTTTGAGTCCAGCAGAAAGGATTCAATATAATGGTCTCGTTAAAAGGTGTCATCAGGCTATTGAAAAAACATTGTATCGAGGCAAGGATCAGACCGATGCCTATGGAGTACTTGAAAGTCTACTACGTCTTCGCCTGTTCTGCAACGGCGGCGCGACAACTCTTCAACCTGAAGAATGTTCACTCAGCCCAAACGACAAAACGTTGAGTCTGCTCCAGCAAAATGAGGGCGCCTCCTGCTCATACTGTCGGTGTGAAATACTATCAATGGACGCTGAAGCCTCCAACACAGCTCCAATTGCGACGCACTGCAGCAAACTAGTGTGCGCTGATTGTCTTCCCAGATTCTCTGAAGAGACCTCCAAGCTTGCCCATTGTCCAGTTTGCGATGGGGCGGGATCGGACCAGCCTCCCGAGACCTTAGCTGCGGAGGTAATATTCGCACCGCACACAGACAGACCGTCTTCCAAAATAGCTGCTTTAATGGACAGAGTCCGAAAAGAGCCAACTAATGAGAAATGGTTCGTTTTCTATATTCATAGAGTTTTTTCACCAATTTAATGCTTGAGAATGCTGACATCCAGGCGGCCAACCCAGCTTGATATTCTCGTTTTGGAAGAAAACACTCGATTCTGTCTCAGACGCCTTCAACAAGGAGAGTATTCGATATGCTCGCGTAGATGGATCTCTATCCCAGTCCCAACGCAAGAAAGCTCTACAGACCTTCCGAAACGATGAAGACACCAGAGTACTCTTGGTAACATTTGGCACGGGATCAACTGGGTGAGTTTAGCACTGATCCGTCACGGACGCACAGGAATTCATCTAAACTTGCCTATAGGCTGAACAATTTGTGCATTGCTACTCGTATCCACATCTTCGAGCCGCAGTGGAATCCGACGGTGGAGAGCCAAGCCATAGGACGTCTATTTCGGCATGGACAAACCAACAAAGTGCACATCACACGATACATCTGTCAAAACACGGTCGAGGAAGTGAGTTCTAGGAGATTTCTCGCCCATGTCAGATCGATAAGTTTGTTGACAAGCAATCATAGGCCGTCGAAAGTAGACAGCTCAGAAAAGTCGAACTTGCACACCGTGGAGGCCTGCACGGTTCAAGAAATGACCGATCACCGGCCAAGACAAGATTCATGGCCTTGAGAGACTACATCACGAAGTATATGGCATCAGACGACTTCAAGAACATAGATCAATAAGCTATTGAGTCCTGTTGAAATTCCAGTCTGCAGTTCACCTGAGCCGATTGCGGTGACTAGTTATGCGGACAGCCCACCTCCCTCCTGATGCCCTGCTGAAACGGCGGATGTGGCAACCAGCACCGCACACACTTCGCTTCGGGCCGGAAGGTCCGGACATGAATAGACCCAGACAGCCCCCTTCTCTCAGAGAAAATAATTCATGTTTCTGAACAGACATACTGTAATACGGTGACTTTGTTTTCTTCACGATTCTCGGGCGCCCGGACTGCATATTTAGAGTGCTGTTGATTTAACTCCGCTTCGCTTTGAGATAGAGACTGATATTTTTGATGCATTGTAACTCTGGAAAAGTATCTCAAGTATAGAGCCAACTGCCTTCAGTCAATAGCTTAATTTTGTATTGCACAGGTATTGTATTCAACTAGTTCCTAACTTGATTAAAATTGCCGTATCGCATGCACATTAACGGTGTGTTAGTGTGCGCCCTCCCACACCCACACGGCCTCCCTGCTGCCCATGTCGTAGGCCATCGGATTCGCCCAACTACGTGTCTCGCCGACCTCTGCACCTCAATTCCTCCGACTGACCGACCGGCTGTGACATCCAATGGCAGGCTCAGGACGAGGGGTTTCAGGGGCCGTCTTATTGGCTACGCAGAAAGTGCTACCTGCAGGGGGGCTGTACTTCAAGTACGTACCCTAGGTATTAGGCAGCAGTGTTGGGACAGCCCTACGGACCCACCTATGGGCTCTGCAACATAGACGCGAGTCGGTTGTTCTCGTAGCACAGCCACTGCGAGCGAGCCTCAGGACAATAGTAACCAGCTAGTGGGGGCCGGTCAGCACTAGCGGTACGTGCTTTGAGCACCGCCCTTCAATAGCGAGACCAAAATGTGCAGCGGATTTGTCACGTGACTAAATTAGGCGGCACTCGGTCATTTTACGCCGATCGGGGAACAGCCCAGTACAGCGCAGTAGTCAACCCGACGACGACACATGTATTGGGTGGTCTGCACCTTATGAAGATTACAATTCTTATCAGAGCCACTTAATTTTGAGAAACAAGGCGTCTCTCCCACCTGCATACCCAGGTATCGAGCATCAAGTGTGTAGCTCCCTAGGCAGGCCAAGATTGCGGCCACTAAAATGCACCACTTGAATAATTTTACTCTTACCGTTGTGCCGCTTGCAAAACCACTGAAAGCCCTCCAATTGTCGAAAAGCATAGTTCTGAGGGCTAGTCACGTTGTCTTGACGACCTGGAGCGTCCCCCCGGTGGGTTCGTGGGATACTGGGCGGACGAAAAGAAGACAATCTCAATGCTGCTGATGCCTCCGGATCACCGAACGACAATGGGGTCTGAAGCAAGGCTCGAGCCGCTTGTGCTGGCTCCAGTCACTCTACTACTTGTATATTTCTTGTATCATTTGGCGTTGAGAAGATCAGATGTTCCTGACATACCTATTCTGAATGGCCGGTAGGGTGAATTATTCCCATACCTTCGCGCAGTATGGGGGAACACATTTGATCTCAAGTCGGCTCTTGTACTGCATAAGGAACAACATATGAGCCAAGCGATGCGAGTGCCTATTTTGGGACCTGGGAAAATGATCCTGTTACCGGCGGCGGAGTCTAGATGGCTGATCGATTAGCCGGAAGCCCTGAGCCGTGCTCAATGTGCATAAAAAAACGGAATTATATTTTTAGCTTGAGTAAGGCAGGGTCTATCAGGTCAAAAATCAAGCCCATGTTCAGCTTGTCCAAACTAGGCTTACTCGGCAGGTTGGACACCTCGTCCCGGCACTTCTAGACGAGATCGAAGCGTCTATCGCAACCGCATGGGGCACAGACACAACCAAATCCCAAGAATTTTGCGTCTACGATACTCTGCGGGTGGACGTCGGGCAGGTGACAAGTCGCGTCTTCACCCGTCTCCCCTCGTGTCGGGACAGATCTTTGCTGGAAGCAGGCGTCGCTTACGCGCAGGCAATCCCTGTTCCGCCCAGGTCCTGACATTGTTCCCGCGTGCGCTACACCGCCTCGTGGCACCTCTGATTACCAGGTCCAACCGAAAACACGAGAAATCTTGGTTTCGGGTAGTTTTGGCCGGAAATTGAGGGACGACTGAAGGAGTACGAAGACCACGAATGGCATCCTCATAGCCAGCGGCCGCAACCGCCCAATGACTTCTTACAGTGGTCGATCGAGCAGGCGAAAGAAACTGGCGATCCTGAAATGTGGGACTACAAGACACTTGCGGCGCGCCTTCTTCTGGTCAACGCTGCATCTGTCCATACGTCTGCCTCCGCTATCACTCATATCATATTAGACCTTGTCGGGCCGGGCAAGCCCGAGTAGATTGAAGAGCCCAGCGAGGGGATTTGCAGCGTGCTAGCCGAACACGGCGGCCAACGAGATAAACGAGCTCTTGCCCAGATGCACAAGCTGGATAGCGTCTTTCATGAAAGCCAACGGTTGAACTCGGTCCTCACAATCGGGCCGTTGAGGATTGTCAACGCCAAGAATGGCGTTACTCCACTCTCCGGAGTGTTTATCCCTAAGGGGTATCAAGTCGGGATCCCTGCCTTCGAGAATCATATCGACACCGATATCTCCGGACCTGATGCACAGGAATTTCGCCCCTTCCGATTCACCGACAAAAGTCTAGACTCGGACGACGACCATGTCCAGCGAGCAAGTGATTCATGGGTGACAGCCAGCCCGGAATATCTCTCTTTGAGGGGAAAGGTACGCCTTTCCTGAGCGATTCTTTGCTTCCTGTCAACTGAAGATCATGCTGGGATACATACTCACGAACTACGACTTCGTAATACACCATGGGCGGCCCGGAAACATCTAGCTCGCTACCAACCATCTCCCGCCTACTAAAGCAACAATCAAGGTTAGAAGGAAGCAAGACAGCAGCTGAAGTGAGATACTGCTCGATCGAAAGCAAGTGACAGGACGAGACCACTTTGCTAGGCTTGGTGGGTGGTGGTCACACGTATAGTGCTGCGAATGCCAAGGAGCAGACCACAAATTTCAGTTCTCACGCTGGATCGAATCTGGACTCAGCACAGAAAGTCTCGTCCTGCTGCCCGGCATGGCCGGGTGCATCTGTGATCCTTTTTGCCTCACAGCTTACGCGTCGAACACATTCAAAAAGATTTCCGCGAGTTCCGTCTCAATTTTATAAGCAGGAGGGCTATGATCTGGACAGGTGACTTTCCATTGATGATCCCGAGAATTTGTCTTAGGGAGCAAGGCAGAATGCGAGGTTGAATCTGCCGTTCCAATATCATCTACCACAATAAGATCGCCAAGAGGTTGCCAAATACGATGTTCCAGCAGACTGGACCCAGTCATGTGCATGGCTCAATCCCACAAATCAGCCGAGGAAGGCTGGTGTAAGTGGTGGACCCCACTTTGGACAAGCATCGGCGCCCAGACTTTCTCAACTACTGTGCGGGGCCTCCAGGATAACCACGCGCTCGGAGTCCAGGATCTGGGCTCGATGTTGATTTCAGAGCGTAAAAATTGAAGAACTATTGTTCCGGAGGAAAGTTTCTTTGACTGATGTGGACCTTTCAGAGAGGACATGCTGTCATTCACTGCAGTATCGAGGTGAATGTTGATCCGGAAAATCCGTTGACTGTGTCAGAAGCATTTGGTTGCTAGTACCGGAAGTAATTGGATAATTGTTAATCAGTTCCCAAAAATAGTCCGATTCATACGAGACCCCTATTGTGAGCATAGAGCCAGAAAATCCCAGGAGAGCCTTGGAATTGACGAGTGAACAGCCAAAGAGCGCTTGCTGAGAAAAGGTGAAGATGGCGAGGTGACAAGACTGTGGAGCGGTTAACCGCACCAAGCCTGCGGTTTCATGCCTATTGCTTGCTTGAGCCAAGGGCAGATTGTTGCCAATTAATTGAGCTGAAATTGCAGGTGCATCCATTTAAGCTGCCAAAGTACAGAGACACTTAATATAGGTTGCTTATCACCTCTCAATCTTTTGTACAACCCACACGTTGAACATTTCCCCCTTGACTTCTGAGAGAAAAGACATGATCGCTTTAGTTATCAATGTACTAGTATGCTTGGATCGATGACAGATTTGGAAATTTCCCTCCGACTCAACATCCTGAACTTGCTATTGTATACCTGGGCATAGGAGAGATGGCTCATACTGCTGTAGTACATGTAGGAAGCGCGGCCGTTTCTGAACGCCGACTGTCCAAGCTACTCCGGCGTCTTGCGGAATTGTGTTAGCCCCGACCCGTGCAGCCACCGTGACCTGGCCGCAGGATTCCCGCCGTGGCGGCACTGCTGGATTGACCGGACCTCCGAGTGATGAGCACAGTATTGCAGTTGAGATGCATATCGAGTCACGGATCACCACCGTTAGTGGCGGGCACTGAGCGTTGAACAGTGAAGAGAAGTGGCTGTGCAAAGAATTACGGTGTTCCATTGCGCTAGACTTAGACCTACTGCGATCTACACGAATCAGGAATGATCCCGCTCAGTGCCAACGCTCCCTTCCTCACCTTGCCTCCCCTCTCGGTCAGACTTTTACACTCGAGCGTCTAGACCGTGTTCGGTGCCGCCGTAAGCATGCGCCTGGATTATGGAGTCGCACGGCGGCCGGCCGCCAGACAATCATCCAGACTATCAGGCCAAGAAAGCAACAAGACTTTCCCAAGCTTAGGAAAAGGCAGGCGCCAAGGTCAGCGCCGTACAACCACACCATCCCACTGACAAGCTCGTATTTTACAAATTGTTCTAGGCTGAGTTTTCGTTTCCGAAAAGTCGTCATAGTCATGCCACTTGGATTCAGTAAACTCTATCTTCGCCTCTGTTTCACCAGGCGCAAACAAACGCGTACCTTGGCCTAGCCAGTTATAGGTTTGCCAAGCTGGGGCGCCCAAGATATGCATAGCACAGTAGTTCCTTGGCAACCGAGCCCGCTGGCTGCGTCCCAACGTCGGCTACATCACGATTTTTCGGTATTCCTACACAGGGCATTAGGTGGGCAGGGCGAGGCCCACTGATATCGCTAGCCCAGGACACAGAACGGGGTATCATAGTCAGGGGAGCAACTTTGAAAGGCCTAGAAACTCAATTCTGCCGCCAGAAGCGATGATGAAAATAATAGTATAAATCGCCTCAGCATCCTTCTCAGAGAAAGGAGAATGGGCTTCCAGTAGTTCTCCCAAGCTTTTGCCCTATAAACTTTCCCTGACTCTTCTGCCTACCGGGTCTTTTTGCACACAGCAGACCTCACAACAACATTCACGGCAGAATGCTTAAACACAGCCTGTTAGTCGCCTTGTTGCTGGCCACAGCCACCCTCGGCTGTGCGACACACGATTACCACGCGCAATTGGCAAAGCGACAAGACGGAGGCAGTGGAGGCAACTCATCAACTGGTCCGGAAGCCAGCGACTGGAGCTATGATGCATCCTTTGACTGGGGACGTGTGAGCGCCGGTGAGTGATCCTGATTGAATGGGAGCGCGTCGAGAAAACCCAGAGATCTATGTCTGCAGACGAGGCCAAAACCGTGCCCGTTTGCATCACACGCGGCAATACGCGCGTAATGCGTGCTGGCAGTACCGGAGCGTACCATGGCCTGAAGCTTGTCCTGCATAGGCAACGAGCAGCGAGAACGCAAACCCAAGGAATTCATCTAATTGCCTCTACTAGAGTACGAACTTTGCCAAGCTGGGACCCAGCAGTCCCCAATCGCGCTCAGCCTCAACAACGGCCTCTCGCTGAACCACATCCCTACGTTCAACTATCCCAACGAGACGGTGGGCAGCTTCTGGAACTGGGGATACGGCCCTGCCTTTACGGTGCAGCACGCCGAGGGCGTCTATACCGACAACCCTTCATTGACCTACGATAACGAGACGGTCTACCTGACCGGCTGGCACATCCACACCCCGGCTGACCACTCGGTGAACAACTACCGCACCCGAGCTGAGCTGCATCTCGTGCACGTCGACGCTGAGGGTCACGAAAAAGCCGTCCTTGCTATCATGCTGGACCCGGGCAACACCAACGACGCCTTCGTGAGCCAGTTCCCCTCACCGCTCATCAGATTCAACGACACAGCGAGAATGGACGTCACACTGTCCTTGTCAGAAGCCCTGTCGAGTGTGGCGAGGTTCAACGAGTTTTGGTCATATGAGGGTAGCTTGACGAGCCCTCCTTGCCACGAAGGAAGTAAGTAGCCCCGCTTAAAGGTTTCCTGCTTCTTATTCGAGGACATCGTCCATGGGCCATCCTACTCCATGTGGCTCTTTTGCAAAGACGTCCGATCGCTGACTCTGCAATCCACAGTTCGCTGGTTTGTGGCAAGACAGGTGATGTTCACAAGCAATGAGCAAATGCAGAAGATTCTGGCTGCAAGCACGTACAGCGCCAGGTAGGCCACGCTTTTCCCTGAGTCGTACTCTTTCTAGCATATGGGAACATTCACTGACTGGTGAATTCTGTGAACAGAGAAGAACAAATGGTCTGGCAGCACAGAATCAACGAGTAAGAGTGGACCGTGGATTCAAGAGGCAACTGCCATTTCTTGTACATCACCGGGAGGCACACAATTTGGTAGCCTGTCCGTTTGACTGTATTCTTTTCATGACATACTTCGAACGAGGACCTAGCAGTTCTCACATGCACATAACAATGTATACTTGTATTTTACTTCTGAAATGCAACCTCGCTCTATCCTAACTGTGGGGGGAGCCACAAGATGGATTTCAGCCTCAAACGACAAGTAATTTGTTCGCGGCGGCTCTTGCCCTACTGAAGCGACAGAGTTGCTCTGCAGTTCTTTAAACGCTTCTAATTCCACATAATAGACACTCGAGCCATCTGTATCTACGTACATCACGGATGCTTGACTTCAGAAAACCTCAGAGACTGTGATGTATCGGATAGATGTAGTGGAGTCCGTTCTTCTTTTGTGAGCATAATCCAGCACACCAGTTTAAATTTAATAAGAACTGCTTAGAGAACTGATACTACAAGGAGAAGGAAAACGGCTGTTGTGAAAACCGGAGATAGCCAGGGGTCAAAAGCCATTTTAAAAAATAATGCACAAATGCCAAGATGACAATGAGCTCATAAATAGGTACAAGTTGCAAAGGCAATAAAGGAAACCTTAGAATGGTAGAGCACATAATCTCGAATCTTTATCACCAAAAGATGAAATAGCTTCAGCGCATAAGCGCAGAAATGGTTCCGTTGGTGGTGGTGGTGTTGTTGTTGTTGTTGACAACGAGCCAATGAGAGAGCCCGAATTGCCAATCCTGAGGATTTTCGGGTTCGCCAAAGGTCTTGAGCGCTCTGCCAAGGATGCGATATTCACCATTCAGGATCGGGGTCCCATCACTATAGTTTGTACTGACGGAGCCTTGGAAGGGGGTTAAGCTCCGAGGGAAGTACTTGAAGGGGTATGGAAAGTAGATCTCTAGATATTATGTTAGCCGACCGCTTTCTCGGACATAGGGGACTCAGCGGAATGTGAGGTGGAGGTAAGTCCAGGATGGTTCAAGAGCGTAGTTGACCCTGTATATATTTTGCGTGGTAATTGGCACTTAAAAGATACTCTCTCGGTGTAGAAGCAGTCGCATGTGCTGCAATGTACTGACACAGGGATGAAGGAAAGACAATACGTACCGTTCAACTCATCATAGAACTGGAGCGAGCCGAACCAGTTGTTCTTTCCAGCAACCTGAGGGTAGACCCAGTCGGACTCCTTCCAGTCCACGGAGACGAGCTATTTCGTAGGCACGGGAGATGTCAGCCTCATCGCATGAGATAGGATCCTGCGTCCCTGCGTCCCTGCGTGCCTTAAAGAAGAACATTGAATAAATGTCAAAGACTTACATCGAAGCTATGCTCACGAGTAGCCCACAGAAGGTTGTAATACACCTCAGGAGTCCCTTTGTTCAAGTCAAAGACACGACCATCTTCAAAAGAGTCGCCGTAACCACCAGCACCGAAATACACAGGCACGCCGCGCTCGAGTTCCCATGTCTTTGCATTATAGAGTGACCCATACACACCTACAGGAGAGTTAGCCACGTTAGACTGAGAAGACGGGCTGTCTTGCTGGTTCAAAATTGTGCTTACCGAGATAAGTCGCTTTCAGAGCTTCACCATTGTCGCCTACAATGTGAACGAACCCGCCGTAAAGGGGCATTAACGAGGCATCGATGTCGGTAGGGGCTGTAAAGACAACATCAAAACTAGCTTTGCCCCCGGCAGGAACTGTGACCTCCGACACGGAAAGGTTCGCAGTAGCCTGCCCAAATTCCGTCTTGAGAATGGGATCTTGCCCCACCCAGTTGACGGGATTCATGGTCATACTGGCAGGGCCGGATTCGTGGCCAATGGAGTAGGTGACCGGTCCAGGACCGTTATTGCTGATGGTGATGGTGTGTTGACCGGTGAAGTGGTCTGTGTCATTGAGGTTGATGGTGGCAGGTGAAATCGAAGAGTTGTATGACACAACTTTCAAAGCATCAACAAGTCCAGCACCAGCTTGTCCGACATGCCTGAAGAAGAATTTCAGCGCTCACCAGGAAAGACTTTGGAAGCTGATTGTGAGGCACTTACGCTTGCAGAGTTGTGCTGCCGTTGTGGTGAAGGACAGGAGAGCCACTTGAGACTAGGCGAGTATGTGCCACTTCAGCTGGGTTGGAGCGCAGGGCGGATCGTCCACCTGCGGACTGAAAGAACAGGGCTGCAACACCGGCGATGTACGGTGTAGCCATGCTGGTTCCAGACAATACTGCCCAACTGCCTTTGGAGGTTGGCCAAGTGGAAAGAATTTGACCACCTAGAGCACGCTTGTCAACATTTGCGCCCATGCGTGCCTTGTCGGTAAAGGTGGTAGATTTGTCTCAACTCACCAGGGGCAGATATCTCGGGCTTTTGCCTCGCATCCAATGTTGGTCCCCAAGAACTTGGCACCTGTTAGCCACCTGCTACGGAGCCCAAAGTGTTGCATTCTGGAACATTCCACAACATGAAAGACGGGGATCCGTAAAAGGACAAGAATGTGCTTACCTGAAGTCGTTGATCATGTTCGTGAAGTAGTCAACTCCGATGGCAGCTGCGGGGTCGTATTTAAATTCAAACGTCACATTCTCACCAGCGAGGGTTTGGCTGTTCAGCCAGGCGCCATCATCATAGTTGATAGAGGCGAAGCCAGTTGCCTGCCCCTCGGTGTAGAGAATCCGGGAGGGACGCTCATACGACGTATTCTCCCAATTGATGAAGAACACCCATGTTGCCCTATTTATGAGCGCCGAATCCATAATCTGCCAGCTGCCTTGAGAACAAAGCCCTGCGCGACCACGAGGCTATTCAATCTTGTATTAGCAACTTCACAAAGTTTTGGTCTCAAAGCGTGTTTGAGGAGCCGTTGGGTATAGAAAAGAACGTACCAGCACGGCAACGGTGTCTGTCGGCAGGGCACCTTCCCAAGGTACGTCGAGGGAGCAAACATCCGGGGCGTTCAAAGGTATATGTGCCGGGAAAGTGCCAGTCAAGTTCCAGTCGTTGCCAGCAGCATCAAGATACACTATTGTTCTCGACTCACCACTTGTCGACTTAGCTACGACAGAGTAGGCAACTTGCTGTGTCGGCTGGACGCTGCCGACCGCCAGACCGCCGTACCCGTTGCCAAGGCTGCTGGTCGAGAATGGCCCACTTTCGCCTGAGTTTCCCGCTGCGACAGACGCGAAGACCCCTTGGCTTGCACTGAAGCGCCGAGAGTAAGTTACCTAGTACTGAAGAGATAGGCTTCATGGAGGGCTTCTCACATTCTGGTGACAATTTGGGCAGAGAGGACTTCAGGAAACCCTTGGCTGGAACCGAGGGATGCAGTGATAATATCAGCGCCGTCCTCAAAAGCCCGAATAAAAGCCAAAGCGATGATGTCTTCGGTCGTGCCATCCGAGCACCCGAAGACCTTGTAGGCTCTCAACTTGGCGTTGGGGGCCACACCAGGTAGCTTGTCATTTGAACTGGCGGCAATGCCGGCGACGTGGGTTCCTGTGATCAACGTCAGCGATCACGGACTCAGCAGAATAAAGGCCTATACGAGACTATTATAGAGCCGTCTCGTCCTGCGCACTTACCGTGACCAAGACAGTCAATCGGATCATCATCTGGGAAGAGGACATCCGGCGAGCTGGTGCTGTAGTTATCCCCAACAAAATCCCACCCGGACTCAACCTTGAAACCCTCACCAAAGCCGCCACCCAGAGAGGGATGGAGATAGTCGATACCGCTGTCGACAATGGCTATGACGACACCCTTCCCGTCGTAGCCCAGAGAATGGGCCTCGTTAACACGGGTCAGGACGTGCGGGCTCCACTGGCTGAAGTTCGCCACTCCTGTGGACTCGATCTGGGGACTGGCATAGACGGTTGCAACAGGCCATAAGTTGACTACCCCAGGAAGCGCCTTGATCTCCTCTAGGTCTGTCGCAGCAGTCTCGTTGGCGAGATCGAACGACGCGCCGTGGAAGATGCTAGATGTGAAGTTCAGCGCCGGCTTGGCAGTGACATTGGTTTCCTGAGCGACGCTCTGGTAGAAGCCTTCGGTATCCTGTAGCCCGTCAGTATACAAACATTATCGGGCAGCGAATAGTCGTGTGTACCATGGAACCGTCACGAGCCCGGAACTTCGCCGAGCCGGTTTCCGAGAACTCAACAACATATCGAGTTCCGAAAGGCACATTGGGCGGATCGGCTGGTTGGAGGCCATTGTCTGGTGCCTGGGCCTGAGCGAGCACAAAGCCGCTCAGGAGAAGAGCGGACACAACGATTGATAGCATCTTCAGTTCTTCAAGGGTGGCTCGCTACGGCCGATTGTGTCTCAAGAATAGAAGTGGTTCTAGAAGCATGGCATTGTCGAGAGGACAAGGGATTGTCAATTTATATCTCAGGACTTTGCAATGTGCTGCAGGAGAGAATCAGGGGGCCCAAAAAATAGTATTGCTACATAGTATCATTGGGACATCGTTGCATCGGCCTGTCGTACTGCCATTGTTGCCAATGTGAATTCAGAATCCTGATTTACACATTGGGAACTTTCTGAGGGGTACTGCGATTACCGCGCTGGGATTTGAGGGGTTTGCACCCTGGATGGAATCACGCCACGAAGATTCAAAGGCGTTGGCATCACTTCTCATCTAGAAGTCGGCCTTGGGCGACTCCACTTGTCACCATCCAGGTCCAATAAGCTTGGAAGAACAACCCACTAGTGTTGACCCGAAAGCTTGTCTGTCGATAGTTGCACAAAACAGGCATTGTGAGTTACCACCTGCTGTTCGTGGCGAGCCGCAGCGGCAGTGCTCCTCTTTCGGAGCGGGAACATACACTGCAATCCGAGCCTGAATTGCTATATCCGGCGAATGGGGAAAGCCGACCCGTGCGGCTCCAGGGGCCGAATTGAACATGGTTTGAACTGCCAACGGGATTCGCTCGGTTCGAGGCCTCGAGACGGAGGTTTGTTGTTCGCCGGGAAGGTGTTTGCCGGACGTCGGCAAGGCAAAATCAGGAATGGCCTCGACGCTAATGCTGTTGACCACGGACTTGTTCCTGCGTCTGCCAAACAGGGTAGCATCCAAAGGGCGCGTGAACGGAGCCGTGGTAGCATCAAAAGGACGCGTGAACGGGGCCGTGCCAGGAACCTGATATCGCAATCATGTTACTCGCCAAGATTCACTTTCGACCTACCTATTTGGGCATTCGGAAAGCACATGGTGCTTATTAACCTCGCGGCTTGGCCCCGCGGATAACCAAGATTTCCGCCCAAGTTGGCCACAATGGACATCGCAGTTGGCGTCTCCAGTCTGAGTGATAAGACTTGTGAGCTCTATTGTTTACACAGATTATGATGATTATTCGGTTGCGCCTGGCTGTAGGGGCTGTAGGGGCTGTAGCGAAACAAGCATTGGTGTGCTCGGCTGTCTAAGTTGCGGACAATGCAACGAACCCCATGCTTAATTGTAAGCATAATCTGTTCCCAATGCTACCAAGTTTTCATGAAACATATCCACCCTGCATCACAACATATACTACCATAGTTCGCAACGTTACAAAATTGACCACTCACTGGCATGTGAGAGGATTATCAATACTTAGTCAGAATAATAATAAGCAGCGTTCTAATTTGAATTTGAATTTTCCCGCTGCTGTCTGTAATAATAAAGCTTGTTTGCATTTTGCTGGCAAAAGCGTTCACCTAACCGTGACTGAGGACGAGGCCTGCACAAGTACAAAATACAGCACATTGAGGGGGACGGAGGCGACCTTGGAGGGATACTGAGTGGGCTGCTCATCTTTATCATAAGAGAATTTACTATGGAGGGTAGCCTAAAGCCTCTGCTTTGCTACTAAATTTATGAAGAGAGCCACGATCAGAATCAATACGCCTGGCTTTTATTCATAAGGCTAATCTAGACCCTGCCCAGCGCAACTATTTAACTTCAAATCAAAGTTACATGAGATTCACCGCGGGACGACTGTCGTAGCTGGTGCAACGCGTCATTACAATAGGCGAGGACGGCCATACTTCCGAGGTCGTCTGCACCCTGCTGGACCTTCAGCAGCTCTCGTCCCCAGCGGAAGGGCTCCGGTGCGCAAGGGAGAACAGGCCTGAGACATATTATGGCCTTGAATTCTTGTCCAGTTCTAAATATTGCGGGGATCAACCAATCGCCCACCCCCAAGCCAGACGGGCCAATTGCCCAGAAATATCCCGCAAATGTCCGGACCCTCACCATCGTTGATCGGCCCAAGGCCCAAGTGAGGTCTCGAAGAGTTTTGTAGCAGTCGTCACCCAAGGCGTTCGGGTTGCTACGACAGGTATAGATTGCCTCGGCTAACAGTTCCATACGGTAACCCAAGACTTTCCGAGACTCGCGCGCAGCTCGGGGGCTTTCGCTCAGTACCTCCTCCAGGACTTTCAATAGATGTCTTATCTCCTCGCTGTTTGTTTCAGTAGATTCGATTCGCTCAATCGTGTCCTACCAGAACTTTCTTGATGTGGAGGGGCGGATGACCAGGTCCGCCACCCCAGAGTATTGGAAGTACAAGGGGTCGCAGATGATCCGCAACTTCTTCTCAAATACTCGAAACTTCAGGTAATAGTCGTAGTATCTCCAAAAGTATGTCAGCAACCGTTGATTTTCCGCAATGCGGTGGTCATGATTATCAACGTCTTTTGTTCAAGGGCTCCTTACAGGTGGGAGTCGGCGATGATATCTCCTTTGACTATGCGGTCACAAAAAAGCGACCTTTTACGGCATAGCGACCAATCGGGAACCCAAACTGGATACTTCGCGTGCCTTTGTGACTTAACTGATCCAAATGCGCAGAGATGGAGCATCATAGCGCAAGCGGCAAGTGCACGTGTGTCTCTGTTGGTAGGTCTCTCGTACGTATGATAATCGTATGGGGAAGCAATCGTGTATTGGTGTTGTTCTGTCTAAGTTCTGAGAGGCTACGTGCCTCATAGGGGATAACTAAAGTAGCCTTCCAAGGGCGAGGGTCGTACTTGCCAACAGTCTCTGAAGAATTGGAGCGCCAGATCCCTGTACACATCCTTCCAATCCCGCAGATTGTACAGTAACGGCGGCTTCGCATCATCAGAAGCTATAGAGTACACCGCCGCGACCCGGTCTCGCGGGTCAGAGCATTCGGACTCGTGAACATCCCATAGAAGAGAAAGCAGTCCGGGCCTGGCTTCCTGGCGTCTTCCAATGCTCGATAGCAGCATTCGTGAGCCACAGCCTAGTAGGTTGGGCCTTGTAGCAATGTTTATCTTTTCCAACGCGGACATTAACCTCGACAGCCTCAACGTGTGGAATCCGCATTGGAAAATGGCATCGTGTGAGAAGAAAACTTCTTGAATGACCCAGCGTCTGTTAAGCCAAGGTCTATTGAAAAAGATTTCGAGGCACTGCACATCTTCTGCGTTGATTTGGGAGCCAGTCTTAATTTCAATGCGCCGTACCAAAGAAAATGCTTTTCGCGCATCTTCGAGGTAATCATCTCCTAGCCAGATAAGAACCTGCTTCGCGTCTCTGTAAATTTGATCCATCAGTGGAATCTGTTGGGACTTCTCGGCCTTATCCGCTTGATTGAGACAGATTGCGTCAATCCATAATTGTCTCGCCTCATATGCTGCTTGGAAGTGGCGGAGCAGTGAATTGACGCTTGCTGTGATGCGAAGATAAACCCGCAGCTGAGAATTGAGCCTAATGAATAATTTATGGGAAAGTTCTGGTTTCCCCCACGTGTAAGAGACGGCTGAATAGTTGCAACCGTCGGCAGCAAGGGCGTCGATTGTCCGCCGGCGTCGAGTGATGGAGCAGCATAGAGGTGACCTGAAATCATCAGCGGGTTCCAAGACGAGGATACGAACCGCCTCCTCCGCTAACAGCGGCTCATCTCGATATTGATCCTTGAGCATCTGGTCCATATTGCTGGTCTCGGTATCAGGGTCCTCCTTGTGCGATGGGGATAATCGCAACGTGTCGTCAAGCAGACGAGGTCTTCACCGGTAAACAACGGGATGGGAACGAGACGTGACCAGAGCGTTGCTGACCACCTATGCTATATGTAGCCGAAGGACACATGCACGCGAAGCGTCCACACCGAGTCGCAGCGGCTGTAATGCACCGTAATTGGATCATGCATCAATATGTAGAGGATATCATGCTGACATAAGCATGTACCTGACCGTAAGTGTGGTTGAGATCTATATAAATGTAGAATACAGTACTTTAAGGGGGAAGTGAGATGAAATTGGAGAGATACTGAGTGGGCTGGACATAATCAGCTCCTAGTCGTCTTTATCGCAACAGAATTTATTGATGGAAGCGCAACCTAAAGCTTCTGTTTCCCTGCCAAATGTACAAAGAGGGCCACGATCAGAATTGATGTCCCCAAGAAGACAAGACTCAGGATCAATATCACGAGTTTGGTCTTCTCGAGCCTGACGGGTTTGGACTGTTGATCTAGCCTGACTACTTCACGTACCGCAATATCTTTCTCATCATTATCCAGATCGATGGTCACAAAACCATCATCTTTAGCCGTGATATTTGCCTGTTCTTCGGACAATCGTTGGGTAGCTGGCATCTTGATGATGTCTTATGTCACAGTTATTTTTCTGTTCAAATGCTCCTTACACTGTAAGCCTGACTTGGATTCTGAGAGATGAGAAGCCTGCATAAGGATACGCCCGGGGGCACAATGCCTTTACATAGCCTCACATCGATCGTTGAATGTAAGGTGAGAGACAAAGAACGAAGTTTCTCAGACACAATCAAGATGGTCTAGAGCTACAATTCCCTCCAATGACACCAGAGAATTGTTCAACAAACTCCAAGGATTGTTGCGAGAACAAAGAAAAACTAAAGAAGCACCGGCAATCCATCTCCTTTCCAGTTTCGGTATGCATGCCTCGCCGCACCTTTGTTCTGTGAGAACGCGGCCACTTCCGACCCGTTTTCGATCATTCATCAGGGTCTAGACCGCCAGTGTGAAATGAGAATTTCTGATGCCGCAACGTGCCGTTCCTGGTTGATTCAAGAAAACAAAAGAGGCACCAGCTGGACTGATGGTATCAGTCAAAGCGTCTGGCCAGTTTCCGTTGATGAAGACAATCGGTGACGCGATGCGTAGCCAACATGCAATTTAGAGTTAGCACGGCTTCTGCAGACGAATTGAGGCTTTACAGCCCAAAGTTGTGAGTTTTTTCAAAGTTTTAGGTCAGCGCCAAATCATGCACTTGCCCGTGTGAATCTTCCAAGACCGTTGGGCGAGATGGGTTGCTGTCCTCACACCAGTCAAAATTAACCATGTTAGATAAGATTTCGGGTTGCTTTGGTAGGCCTTTGATATTGAAGATAAGATTTGTGTACGTTACCATGGGCTTTTGACCAAGCAATGTTTTCTATTCCACTTATACCGTCCAACGGCCTTGAAATATGTCCATAACAAACCATTCATCACATTTCGACAAATTTCCATGGCGAAGTTGAAAGCCGTGTCCATTGTAACTGCCAAGTGCCACTTGTGATCTGCCTCAATATCCCAGCACTGCACCTCCAGTTAAACAAGCATTCCTCTGCCTCAGCAGGCAACGACAAACAACTTCATCCTGTTTTCTGGCGGCTTTCCAATGACCTCCTTTCGACGAACACATCAGATCATATCAGCCAACTGGGCAGGCGTTCCTTTCCTACACTCCAGCGGCCCTACATTCTAACTGCGTGTACATCATCTGCCAACTCACACTCACGATCTATCCCCTCTCCACTTGAGGTTCATTGCTGCTACCTCCAGGGCAGCTCTTCCAGACGCCAGATATTGAACCACCCTGCTCGCAACCAACTACATGCGAATTGAGCTCCTAGCAGGTAAGTTCCGGATCTGGCACATGCCAGTGGTCAGTATCTCGTTGCTCAGCCAATGACACTTCCACTCTGCTCTTCACACCGGGCTCTCTGACTGTCCTCTGCTTTCGCACCATCCATCCTTCTAGCTCTCATTTGCTCTCCATAGCATTTTAATCCTCATACCACTTCAAATCATCGGCCTGGCCCCTACACTTAACAACTCCGGCTTAGGGATTTACACAGTCGCAAGTCTCATCACACATGTGTTTCATTTTCTCGCTACAGCCCATCAACCAAACATCCCGAGCCATCGTGACTGCCACTTTCAACTTCTCATCGACAAGTTGCACTCAAGGTCTGTTGTGCTGAAGACTAGGGAAAGTCACCATACCTAGGTACCTCAGGCCCTGCTGCTCCTTCCTTAGTGCATTTCCATAACAGAACACACACCGTCGTATCACCTCACATTACAAGTTCTACTACAAGAATATTCTGGGCCAGGCTGATTTCATTCCAAAGTTTGTTGTCATATCCGCGGCCACTTCCTCCACACAACAACCTCAGCCCTGCCCAAATTCTGACCCACTTCTTTTTCTCAACAACAGACTCGTGTTGATTCCTTACCCACGGATATCGAACAAGCAAAACCACAAGAGACGTCTGCAATATCAGACACCATACAAGCTTGACTTTCCCCGTAGGCCCTGTCGCACATAAGGTATGTTCATTCGTCTATACCACGCTCGCAGGCAGAGCTATACCTATCGATATTGCCCAGTGGCGGCTCGATCTCTTGCTTCCTACCGCTTCCATCTGTCAGCGTCCAAACCAAGGCGTTTCCCATGCTTTTCAACTGACCCCAAACTCTGACCTGAACGTGCCGCACAACCTGGGGGTTCGACTTCTTACTGAACCATTAGCCACCTGACACTTTTATGAGCCGTTCACCAACTTCCTCTTAGCACACAACTCGCTTCTCTCCCTCTTTTATCCGAGCTTGATCCATTTTCCGGGGCGCCAAATCAGCCCAAAACCGTACCACCGTTCGTTTGTCTCTTCCGATCTTCATATCACTCCAAGAGTTTCCCCTCATCGAAACGTTGGGAAACTGGACGCACTGACTGGCAAACAACTTACCAGCCCCGGAGAACCCTGCAAACAACCACTTCAGAAATGGCTCCACGAGAAGCCCCCGTAGCTGGCAGCTTGCGGCCTTTTGACCCTACAGCATACACTAGCAAGGCCAAAGCCGCCAAGGTCGAGGCGTCGCCGTCGGATCCGACGACCGATGCTAAAGCGGATGTCAGCGCCAACGTGCAGACCTCGACTGGTGGCAAACCAAGTCTGGAGCCTCAGGGCTACCCGGGAGGACTCAAGCCTGCCGCCGATACCGCTTCGGTGGAGGCTTCCCCATCGGCAAGGAACACTGAGCCACCTCCCGCGGGGAGTAGCGCTCTAGCCGAGAAGCCCCCAACAGACGGTACTGGCACGCAGCGACTTGTCAGCCTGCGACTGATCAAGAAAATCTACAAGGCGGAGGTGGACGACAAGCAATATTCCTTTGCCGAGATCGACGGCTGGACCTGCAAGATACCCCCTCGACAGTACCGTGAGGGGGAGCTCGTCCTGTACTTCCAGATCGACTCCTTCCTACCAGGCACTGACGACCGTTTCGGCAAGGGCTTCGGCAAAGCGAGGAAGCTCCAGATGCTGGACGGAAAGCTGGGCCAGAGGATCAAGACGGAGAGGTTTGGCAGCGGCGAGGACAAGATCGTGTCGCAGGGCATGGTCATGCCGGTGCAGGCCTTCCCGGAGATCTGGAAGAAGCTCGAGGTGGTGCGGCAGTTCATCTCGATCGGCCCGATGGAGCGGAACGTGGAGCTGATCAACCTGACCCTGCTGGTCATGTACCGCGACAGGAACTGGGCGGAGGTGCTGGGCGTCAAGAAGTGGGAGGAGACGGCGGCGCAGCAGAAGCAGCCTGAACATCGGCGCCTCGGATCGTACCCGGGAGAAGTGTTGAGGCGAACGGATGTGCCGCGGGTGGAGGACTGCCCGAACCTTTTCACAAAGCACAAATACAACAGGCTGGTCTACCAGGAGAGCGTCAAGATGGATGGCGCTGCGATGGTTGTCTACTTCGTCAAGAAGTCATGCGCTCACTTCGACTCGCTCAACCCGCTGCCAGACAAGGTCGGGCCCAACACCGTGCTCGAGGGAGCCCAGGGAGCCCGATTCGGCGTGTGCAGCAACAAGGTCGAGAAGAACGAGCTGGAGGAGCAGGGCCCCGGGGGGTTTCAGGTACTGGGAGATGGCCCTGCGGTACGACCTCCCGGACAAGCTGGGGAAGCTGGGCCGCAACATCGCGATCCAGGGAGAGCTGTGCGGCGACATGATCCAGCGCAACCGCGAGGGCCTCCCGGAGGGCGAGCAGGACTTCTTTGTCTTCGCGATGTTCGACATCGACAAGCAGGAGTTCATCGACCCCAGGGATGTGGAGATGATAGCGAAGGAGCTGGGACTCAAGCATGTCCCCGTGTTGGGCTACGTCAAGCTCACTGACATCGCAAGCAGCCACCAGGAACTCAAGAGGCGCGCGGCACAGAGGAAGGGCGAGGGCCTGGTGTTCAAGTGCCTTGAGGACGGGCGACGGTTCAAGGTGATCTCCCATACGTACCTGCTGGAGCACGGAATTTGAGGTTGTGCAAGTGGCACAAAGTAGCACTGGGAGGCTTGAGGAAGCTGCATTGGAGTTTGGGCTGGCTGGTGTTCTGGTTCACGGATTGCTCAGCTGGGAGTTTTGGGACGGAATGGGTGGGACAACGGCTCATGATTTTTGGAGTGCGATGCACAGAAGTGAGCGACGGGAGGCTTTTGGGACTGGCATGGCAGTAGAATTTTGCGAATGCATTTTTAACATACACTTTTGAGTGCTGAGATGATGCTGGAGAGACGCACATTCCCAGCTTCTGCCGAACATGGCCACCACCTAACCCTGGACCGGGCCCGGGGGACATTCTCCACCCCCATTTCCCGCTGCCCAGGGATTACAGGGGGTGGGCAACCAAGAATAGGGGTGCCTAATCCCCGCCAAGCCACCCGGCCGCGATGTCTGTGGCGCAGCCTGGCTCATCAGTCAACACCTCCGCCAACACCTCCGCCGTGGGCGACGAGGGAAGGGGCGGAGCGCAGCGGGAAGGGCATTCCTTCGGGCTGAAGAAAAGGGAGCACCTTACCAGGCGTGCGTGTAAGCACCCCAAAAACAGCACTTGTCGGAGCCCTCATTTAAATCGCGGAGGGCCACATTGCGTCACCCGAAATACATCAATCCCGCGATTCACTTTAGCTCGCGACGGCATCATCAACCCTTAGGTACAGTTTCGAGGCACTTGGTCCCGAGGCAACCAACACCACAACTCATAGACGGCGCACGCACACACAGAAATCGAATACGGACTCCTTTTGCGGCGTCGCGGCATCAACTAGCTCCCTGAGCCCGCCTGGCTTATCTCTCTAACGAACAAACACGCACGGTCCCGTTGAGGCCCACTCACTGAGACCCACCCACTTACACCATGTCTCTCGAAGCCAAGATCCAAGACACATCGGAGCGCAACGTGGAGCTGCTCAACATCCTCCACCAAACGGACAGCTCCATCCCGGACCTCGAGGCCCAGAAGCGCCACGTCGCCGACCTCGAGAAGCAGGCCGCGCAGGCGGCGGAGAGGCTGAAGCAGATCGGGTACCGGCGCAAGCAGGAGCTCAGGGAGCACGAGAAGTACCGCGACAGCGTGCTGCGGCGCTTCGCCTTCAAGGTCGGCCGCAAGGCGGACAAGTTCGAGGCGAGGGCCGCCAAGGAGGAGCGCGAGTACTTTGACGTGCTGCAGGAGGAGCACCAGGCGGACGTGATGAAGAAGAACCTGGACGAGATGCTCGCCGACGCGCGGACGGTGCGCGGCGAGCTGGAGGTCAGGGCCGCCACGCACGTCGAGGCGCAGGGGGGGCTGGACCGCCTCTACGAGTCCATCTTCACGGGGCCGTCGCCCGGGTTCCCCGAGGAGGACGAGCGGGAGCGCGAGACGAGCGGCGCGCTGCGGGTCTACCAGGAGGCGCGGTCGCGGGCCGAGGCCGAGGGCAAGGTGGTCAGCATCCTGACGCAGGCGCAGACGCGGCTGAACGGCGCGCTCATGTCGATGGAGGACGCGCTGCACGCGTCGAGGAGGGACATGTACGGCGGCGGCACGTTCTCGGACATGATGGAGCGGAACGCGCTCAACAAGGCCGAGAACCTGATCAGGCAGGCGAAGATGCTGGTGGCACAGGCACAGCAGGCATCACCGATGGTGCGTCCTCTGCCGCCAGTCAAGATAGCGCAGGGGAACCTCCTCGGCGACGTCTTCTTCGACAATATCTTCACGGACATGGCATTTCACGAGAAGATTCAGCAGTCGAACCTGGAGGTCCGGCACTGCGCGCAGTCACTCAACATCGACCTGATGTCGGCAACGCAGCGGCACATGGAGCTGTTGCGCGAGACAGACCAGAAGAACGAGGTGGTACGGCAGGCGAGATTAAGATTACAAAAAGCAAGGGAGGAAGCGTTCCAGAGGGTCAGTGGCAGGGTAGCATCTTCGTCCCCGCCGGCGGCTGCGGACGTGCCACCCCCTGAAGGGCCGCCGCCTAGTTATACAGAACGTGCTGATGCAGCAGACAACTGGTGGGAGAGATGATAATGGTCCAAAATGAATTCAATGATTCAATCAGGCTGTCTGTCTGACTTTTGCACTCGTGATCTTCGTTAAATGCCTTCGGTCTGTCGCACTTGCGACACCCGTGAGGAAGGTTCTTTGGGACCACTCCGATCGAGATTCGTCTGGCTTGTTTGCTGCCTCCAAGGAGGACTGCAGCCGTCGTAAAGCCCGTCGTACCGTGCGTTCACCCATGTCTTCTCAAAAATCGGCAATTGGCCCTCGCATGAGCCTCAAACCCCTTCAATTTTCTTCAATCCCGTCAAGACCATTTGACGCCCATCACAGGCGCTCACCCTCTGAATGCGCCCTAGGCCATTCTGGAACGTCCATGATGTTCACTCCCTCAAAATTTGGTCAACCTCCGTCTTGCATGAATGTGCCGAAGTCAATCCCTCACAGGCACCTATGGGGCAATTCCACTGCCGTCAAGCTTGCTCTCGTCGTCGTCGGTCGTGATGAACCCTCGTCGGTTTCGTTGTTGTACAATCGCATCTTACAGGCAGAGTCTCACTCATTACCACAACCCTATTGCAAAACCTGGTATGAGATAACGGGTGATGGCACAACCGTCATTCTCTGCCATGGGATAATCTTGGCCCTGGGATGATCAGCTATGGGTTGATCGGTCGTGAGAGCATCTGCCGTGGGATATACCGCCATGGCATAATCTGCCAGGGGGTAACATGCTCATTCCTCGAGCTCATGATTAATTCTTCGGGATCCATTCCGCCTCCGGGTCAGACTCTTTGCTCTGTCTCGTCGTCTTCGCGGAGGACCCACCCCCTCGGCCCCTTGCTGCTCCCGTAGGATGGGCATGGTTGCTTGTTGATTTGGTACTGGGTCTCTCGTCATGCGCATTGCTGCCGGTCTTTGGCGGTGCTTGGCTCCGGGTCCTCATATTCGGGGCAGCATCGCGCGACTTCGGCGCTGGAGAGTCGTAGGTAACGCCTGGAGCGGACAAAGGGTCAACACCTTGCTCCGGGCCTGTCTCCTCGGGGTTGACGAGGAACGGGTTTGACATGGATGATCCCTCCTTGGCTTTGTTCGCCGTGGAATCTGGTTGGTTTCGCGATGCGTGACCTCCGATCTCCTGCTTGGCTTCACCTGAGAAAAGAGCCTTCTGAGCCCGTGCGGAGCTCGATTGTGCTGAAGCGGATGATCCGGGCTTCAGGCAAAGCTCTGTTGCATTGCAAACCACGCCCATTTTGATCACGCACGTCTTAGTTTCATAACTTGCGCCGCTGTTGTTGCCTCGCTTGTACAGCGCCGGACACATGATGAAGTCCACCAATGGAGCCTTTTCAGGACTCTTGCGGCTCCAGTTTGCAGAACGGTTATCCATCACCTCGTCGGCAAAATAGAATCCGTACTTGAGTCTTCGTGGGCCTGTGACGGGCTTGTACATGCGGACGTTGTATGTGGCTTTCAACAACCTGAGCTGGATTTCGAATTCTCGAGCATCCTTGAAAATGTTCATCGCATCAGCCCACATTGTGTCATGGATTTCATCGAGTCCACAAAGCTTTGCCAACGTCGAGGTCATGGCTTTGACGTCTGAATCAAAGTACTTGGGTCGGAAATCTGCGCAGTTCAGGCGGCTAATGAGACTGCTCGAGCTTGACCGCAAGTATTGGAGATCGCTGTACAGGTCGCTCTCGAATCCTGCTTGTGCGATTTCAGCTGTTTCCAGAAAGTTAGCTCGAGGTCAGAGTGAAAATGGACTGAGGCGTGATTACAAGCTGCTATGCCTAGAGCCCTCTCCATAGCCCGTCCCAAGTCGCCAGCCCAGATGTTCGATCCTGGTGTGAATATCCTTGCAACCACGCATTCCCATACGTATGCCTCAAGAACCAGGTTGCATAGCAAGGGAGATGCCAAGAAATTGCGCAGTTCGAGTGACCAGTTCGGCCAGGCAGTCTCCAGCTCCTGGTCTGTAGCGTTGAGGACTGGCCGCGCGCATTTGTCGACAAATTGCCGAATGCTGGACTCCAGGTTCGCGAAGTCTTTCTTGATCTTCTCATCCGGCTCCTTGTAGTTGTACCGCTGACTCTGTTGACGAGATGCCTTTAGCTTCTGCTGGAGGTTGGCGATCATCTGGTTATGCTCCTCCTTCTTGGCCTCCAGGTTCCCCTGGAGCTCCGTGCATCGAGTCTGAAGCTCAGCCTTCTCTGCCTCAAATTCCGAGGCTTTGTCTTTATGTTCTGCGTGTGTGCATTACTCAGATTTAGGACATCATCCCAAGGACTTTAGAGTCAACTCACCCGTTTTCAGCGACTCGAGTGCATCCTTGGCTTTCTTTTCTCGTGACAGAGTATTGTGGTTTCGGTGCCCGTTTTGGTCATTGATGACATGGAGTGCCTCGTTCTTCTTCTCGACCTCTTCACGGGCAGTGTTGGCCTGATCCAGTTCCTGCACCCTGGAACGCAACTTCTCGTAGGTCAATGCGAGCTCTTTTCGACAATCAGACTGATCCCGCTTCGCAGCTTTGAGTGCGCGTTTCTCTTCACCTAAGGCCTGCTCGAGGGCTGCAGATTTGGACCTGTTGTCGTTAAGCTCTTTCTGCAAGGAAGTAATGTCCTCATCTTTGCCCTTGAGCTCGAGTTTCATTTTAGCCAAAAACTCCTCGAGGGATGAAGATTGGCGTTTGCTGTCATCAAGCTCTTTCTGCAAAGCAGCTATGGCCTTATATTTGCACTTCAGCTCGAGCTCCGCGTCAGACAAACATTCCTCGAAGGATGCAGATCGGTGCTTGCTTTCATCGAGCTCTTCCTGCTTAGCAGCGATGACTTCCTCCTTGCCCTTCAGCTCCTCGTCCTTGTTCTGGCATGAGAGCCGTAAAGTCTCGACGTCATTGGCAGCGTCATTCAACTTGCGCTGCAGGGTTTCGTTCTCCTGACGTTCAGTCTCGACAATTTGCTGTTGCTGTCGGAGCTCATCATCCTGTTCACTGCATCGTGCTTGTAGAATGTTGAGCTCTGTAGCGTGCCACTTGAGGTTTTCTTGATTCTCTCGGTTATTGTCGTCGTGCGCCCGTCTGGCACTCTTCAAATCGCACTCGAGAGCCTCGACGGTCTCCTTGAGCTCCTTGACCCTCTCCTTGAGCTCTTGATGGTTGCTGGTGCGTGAGGCTTTCAAATGGTCAATTTCTTTTCTCGATTTCTTTCGCTTTGCCCTTGGGATCATGATCGTATCCTTACGCATCGGAGGCTCGCTGCCCCTGTTCTGCTTGTGCCGCTTGTTTGGGCCCTCAACTTGAGCATCTTTCTCGTGGCGATCGTGCTTGCGCGAGCTGCTGGCTCCAGGCTCCGATGAGTCGCTGACATCTATGACCTCGCTGGAGTATTCCATAGTGACTGAACGCGCCCTTCGGTGTCGCTTGGAAAGGCGAGACTGATCGTCAGGCTGGTCAGGCGGCATTTTGAGAGAATGTGATTGCATTCGATGTCTAGAGGAAAGGTGGAAGGCTGGATGTTTTGCTGAGATGTGCAGGTCTAGTCAAGAAGGTCTGACTGGGATGGAGTTGGAGAGTGTAAAGTCAAGAGAAATGATGTGAGCGTTATTAAGTCTGAGGCAAACGCAAGTCTAGGGCGGGCATAAGTGTTCTGGTAAGTAGCAATGGACTACTTGGAGAGCAGACGGCAAAAGGTTGCCAACTGAAAGAACAGGTTCTCATTGAGGTGGACGTTGCTGGGTTGTGAGGTTGAGGCCAGGACAGTGACACTTTAGTTACCTAGGTACGGTTTGAGAAAGCTTGAAAAGCAGCTCCTCACACATTTGGAACCCCAACTGGAAGCTTAACCAATCAAGTTGCCTGGGGAAGCATGTTTAACAGAAGTCAAAATGGAAGGCATCAGACTAAGTGCCGTTATAGCAGCATTATTTTCGATGTCTGTGAACGAAGCCACTCGTAAACATTATGAAGGAGATGTTGGAAATGCCATGTGTAATGCGAAAAGTCCAGTATCATCGAGTCAACAACAATTCAACCCTGGGGAGAAAGTAGTCCCAAGGTCGTCTTACTAACTTCACTATGGGAAATGTCCGAGCCCAAAAAATCTGCACCACCCGAGAAACCTGTGTCTCTCAAATCAAGAGTGCCTCGTAAAGGGATGAAACCCCATTGCCCAAGTCAAATGTCAGCAGTCTTGTAGACTTTCAGAGCGACGTTCCTGCCGGCCTGTTTGTAGCCACCGTGGTAGATTGAGAAAACAGTGGCTCCGGCACTGCACTTCATCTCAACGGTGTACTCCAGCTTCTTGAAGGTCTTGTGTTGGTCATTGACGAAGACCTCGAGGGAATCCCATGTAAACTGAATGTCCAACGTGAGTTTGAATACCTCCCTCACGGAATCATCCTTGCGAGCAGGTGGGTCCTCCGCCAGAGACATGTAAATGATGGTCTCGATTTTCTCTGGTGGCTCGGTGAGGTACTTGGTGAAGGTGAACGAAGGGTGGCGATCCACATAGATGTCCTGGCCCTGGCGGTCGTGAGCCATACATGTCAGAAAGTGATGAATATTCATGGGAATCTCGGTAAGGCTTACCTTTTTGACATGCCACTTCATCACCCTGATGCAAACATCCTTCTGTAGGACTGCGTCGAAAGTCTTGTCCTCTGCTTGGTGAAGGTCGTCATCCCACTCCTCCTCACAGACCACGCCGTAACTGGCCCTCGAAATCCTGGATCCGACGCCAACACTGAAGGGAGTGTCAATCTTCCATTTCGTCATGCCATAAATGACTGCACCACGAGAGATGGCGGACCAGCTAGATGATGTTAGACAAATTGAATTTCGAGGGCAAGTGCTACTTACGGCTCGGAGCCTCTTCGCTGCAAGATCTCCACTCCATGGCAGCGTTGCTTGAGGTACTCGCGGAGATACTTGGAACTGCCAAAACCTCCCACCAGTATCACATACTATTATTCAGAGTCAGTGCATGACTTCAAGTCTCGAACATTAAGCCACGTCCGACAGTGATCATTACCTTGGGAGCTCTGCCTTCTTTCTTGACGGCAGCCTCAATCTGGCGGTTGACCAACGAGTGTATCTTCTCCACAATGGGCCTGAAAACTTCCTCTACCTCTGCAGACGTGATGGTAAACTTCGGGTAGCCACTATTGGGGTCCAATAGATCCTCGTCGATGAGGCTGTACGGCAGGCGGATGGTCCAAGTCTTGGCTGCGCCGCTGAATTGACTGCGAATTTCGTCCTCCCAGTTCCGGGACATCATCTCCTGAATCTCTTCCTCAGAAACACGAGCCATGGCGTCTTCAGACACTTCTTGTAGCTTGCTCATCAGGAGTGCCTTGAAGCGTTCGTCCACGAAGATTGCGCCACAGAGGTCACCTATGAATATTGGTCAGAAGGGTTTGATCTCGTGTAGCTATAGCTTCATGATCAAAAAGTAACGAATGGGCAGAGAGAAGGGGGATACGGTTGCTCCACACCCACCTTTACCCTTGACAGCCTCTTGAACAGTCATGGGATCCGTGTCGGTAACCTTGTAACTGATGACATCCGCGGTGCCACCTCCACAATCGACGACGACAAAGATGTCATTGGTCTATGATTACTTTAGCAAACAGGTTCAATCTTGGAGCGGGGCTACAAACCTCGATGTTGGGTCGTTTCTCGATGCCCGACAAGGTCGCGAGGGCAGCAGCCTCAGGTTCGGAGACAAAGTCATGCTCGGTCCGACCAATCGTGCGTTTCTTGAGGATTCCTGCCTGCTCGACTGCCTCTTGCATGAGTTGGCGGGCGTAGTTCGGCCAGATGGCTGGAACGGTGAACACAATGCGGAATCGCGAAGTGTCCACGGTCTCCTCTCCCTCTGCGACTTTCAGCTTCTCGATGCAGTGTTCCCACATGTGCTCCATGTAAGCGCTGATGGCATCCACCGGCGACATGTCCAGGGCCTGCAGAGCAGCTCGGGCATTCTGGATGTGAACGGAGTTGCGGAGCCCCACATCCAGGTCGGGCGGATTGAGGAGGGTCAGTTTGAACCATTTGAGGGCATCTGAAAGATTCTTGGCATCGACGCCCCAGATGTCATCCGAGTCGTGACGGGTGAACTTGATGGCGGAGGGAATCTTCACGTAATCTTTGTTCGTGTCGTCCCAGTTCATTAGGGTGTCAATCTTCTTTGCGTCGCCAGAGAAGGCGTACGCGATGCCCGAATAACTGCTTAACGTGAGCATCCATCGTGAAGTCTGTGGATTAAGATGACTTACGTGGTTCCAAAGTCAAAGCCAAAGATAATCTTGGGCGCTTTGGCCGGCTTTGGCTTCGGGGCAGCCTTCGCCTGGTTTGTCTTCTTCTTGGGGGTGGCGGAGGCCCTGGCGCTCGCCGAGGCCCTGGAGCTCGCGGTAGAGGCTCTCTTGGCGGAGGGGCTGGCGCTGTATGCAGCGCTGGATCTCTTTCGCGGGGTGGTGGGTGTTGTGTCCGAGCCAACCAGTGTGAGGCTATCAGGAGTGTAAAGATCGAAGCTCTCAAACTCCTCAACTTCTCCTCCTGAGGGTGACGGCGTTCGTGACTTTATGCGCACCATCTTGGCGAGACCTGCTGTAGCCCAGTCTGTGTACGGAGACTGAAAGGCGAGAAGTGTGGGTATGGGGAATGCTGAGGTTGGAGGATGAGTCAAAGTTGACGAAATGAGTTACCTGTCTGGCGCCGTTTGGTAGTTGGAGCTCAACTGCCTTTTGGCTTTACAGACCATGAGATCGAAGAACAGTGGTCCGAATCGGAAGGATCGCTGTTAGATTGGATGAGAAGGGATGAAAATCAGAGGAAGTGTGAGAAAGTGGCAATGACAGCGGCCATTGGTGGGCCAAAGAGAAAGTGTAACCACTTCAAAAAGCACGTAATGGAAAGGAGGAAGCGAGCCTTTGAGGAGATCTTGAAGGCAGCAGAGAGTAGTCCGAGCAAGTCAGAATAGGCTCACACGAGGAAAGAGCAGCGAGAAGCTGCTTGGCCAACCGACGGGTACCGACTTGAAGTTGGCAGAAAAACCCCAGAGGTTGAAAGTCGAAGTTCTGATCAGGCGAAGTAATTGCTGGTGCCAATAGCGGGGATAGGCCGCTGGGTTCCTGTAGATAGCCAAGCCCTGCTGAGTGATCGGAGTGGGCTTTTCTTGAGTAGTGACGGTCAGCAACTAAATTGAAAAGGTGTGCCTTTGGGAGAAGGAGTCCACAGGTTGAGGGTTCAAAATCGCCTTGTCATTGTGAGATGGCAATCGACGCAATGGTTGTGGTTGAGACGATCTGGGGTTGCACTTACTCTTCTCCCAATCAACTGTCACTAATACGCAGGTCGCAAACACACTGAATTTATGTTGAAGTCTTTGAATGATTCAGATCTAAGCTGGAATGAGTTGGGGCTTAAGGGAACTTCGACTCATATCACTGGTGTGCCCCACGGGACAGTTGGCATTGCCAGATTTCAACCATCATGTACGATCGCTTTGGGCAAATAAGGATTCCAAGAATCCAAGAAATTGGATTGGGGGACTTCAGTGGGGAAAGATGCTCAGAAGGCCTTGCGTTGAGCATTCCTTCCAAAGAGCGTGCTGATTCTCGCGCGCACGCACACATGGCTGCCCAGCTGAGGGTACATGTTGTATAGCTACAATCGCTGTTCTAGATTTTGTGACATCGACTCTCAAAATGAAGGCAACAGATTCACTCGTCGCCCATGTGTCCAAGCAAGCTGGGTTCGGGACACACGGAAAGTTCAGCCAGGCTACCGGTAGTGGGTAACGTGAACCTCGCCCGGCTGAAGCGCGGTGTGCCTAGGCGAACAGAAACAAAAGCTCTACAATGCACTGGTGAACGGGCGATTGCCATCGAAGTACTAGAATGCATTTTGAAACCATCATTTGGCAGGCTTCTGTTTCTTTTGTCCGCTTGGCCCAATCTCGAGAGGCTGGCCGGATGCGGACGGTTCACTGAGGGCCTTCTTTGAACCACCACACTTCGGTCTTCTCATAAAGACGGGTGACTCTACATGGAATCTGTCTTGAGCAAAATAAATGGTTATGATCCTGTTTTCGTTGAAAATTTGCGGCATCTTCGACAGTTCGGTGCAGATCCACACCCAAATAGCCACATATCCCCTGGCGACTGGACCGCGCAGCCACGATGCAGGCTCAATGGTGCCTCGTCGACCGATCTCGCTCTAAGCGCAGCAATGACGAGGAGTCTGATATATCATCCAAGAGACAGCGCAGAGAACGGAGTCGCCTGGAGAGCTCAGACGAATGCGAAGACCTTCCGCAAATCAGGGGGGGACTGGCTCGGCCCCGGCCACCGCAAGTCGGGCCTCCCCCAAACAGAGCCACAAACACTGCCTCTCGAGCAAATAAGACGACCCCACCAGCAAATACCGCCGCTCCGAGAAAGACCCCTCAGAGCAAGGTCAGCATCGTGGACAGTGACGACGATGACGACGATAAGGACTGGCGCCCGCGGAAAAAAGTGCCAACCCAGCCGAGCCAGTCGGGAACAACGGGCGCAGTCGTGGAAACCACAGACGCCTCGAACGCTTCGGGGCAGCCGCCGGGCTTGCCCGGGATTCAGGGGACCTCAAACCCTCCGAATCAACCACCACAGGTTGGTAACACGACGATACCGCTGCCGCCGGTGGAGGTGCCGCCGCAACAACCTACACCGCCGCAAACGGGCCCATCTAATAGGAAACAGGGCGTTAATACCGATGCTGGTACTGGCACAAGCGGTCCCGGCGGCACCACATCGACGACGACGCCGACGCCGACGCCGACGCCGACAAAAGTCGTGCTACCACCGTTTCCACAAGAATCAGAGATCCTCCAGCTGTACAGCAGACTTCAAGAAATGGTGGTAACGTGGGTGGAAGAGTGCCTGCCCGACGTATTCCCGGAGGAATTCCAAACAGAGAGACCCGAAAGGTACTGGGAGCTCTGTGGCTGGTGCAGGCCTAGGAACCTTGGGAACACCATGCTCTCGCACCGTTCATGGGCCAAGTATGTGTACGAATCATGGGTCTGGAGGTTCTTGTACCAAGAGATCTTCCGACCCGGGTCCATCGCCTGGGCGGGCAATGACCTTCCGAGGAATGCAGGAGGAGCCGGTGGCATAGGAAGGGCGGTAAATGCTAAATTTGGTAAGGACCTCGACGCCAGCTGGGGATCAAATTTCCCAAGACGAGGCACACATTGGGCTGACCATGTTTGATTGCAGAAAACCTTTACGACCCAAGTCAAAGAACAATGACCCCCGACATGTACCTAAAGAGCATACAGACCAGGGCGGCTATGATGCAGAAGATTCGCAGCGGGTTTATATCGGAGAGAAGGCACCTTGCCGTCACGGGTGAGATTGTCACCGAGATGCTCGTCGCCTTCCATCCTTACTTCTCAGATGCATACAAGCCCGCCGACCAGCCTCAGAACATCGAGGTGCTCATCAGAGACACGATGTTCTTGGTCGCGAAAGCCCGAGAGCTTGACCAGAGGCTGCGGAGCGCCCGGCATTTGTACGACCTGATTCTCGGGAGAGAGGGCGACGAGTGCCGGATCAGCGGCGTCAGGTCGCCGGCCATTCAGCGCTACGAGGTTGCGGGCAATAATTCAACATATCCGCATTATTTTAATGATGATTCATTGCTCGCGCTGATCGTTGTGCCGGGTCTGATCAGATTCGATCTTGAAGAAGACTTGTACGGGACCGACGATAAATTGACTAAAGCTGTAGTTCGGCATGCGAGGGCCTTCGCGCAGACGGACGTGTTAGCAGCATTGAGTTCTTGACATAACAGTTGAGTTTCAGGGTTGGGAAACACAAATACATACTGTCTTGGACTTGGTGTCAATTTAGATGCATAATTTAGCTTTTAATTTACGAGATATCTGTCCTCCAAACGAATAGCTGGTGATATTGCCTTGGCGGAGATTCTACCGGCAATGCCCAAATGCTTCCCTCTTGAATGAAGTGAGTCATTGATCCGAGCGCGGCTCTCCAGTACAAAATGTGTGACCCTCATTGACACCATCGCTATCTCGTGATCTCGACAGCAGCCTGGAGACGTAGTTGGCGTGTTCTTCTTGATCAGCTGCGCCGGTGTAGTCCGTCCATGGTGTCGAAGACTTGATCATGCTTCGGCCTCGTGTACCAGGAGAGAAGGCCACCAAGCCAGGCCAACATGCTAGGTTTTGTGTAGGTTCTCCGTAGCACCAGCGACTGGAGAAACCAGTCGTGATCTTTCAGCCTCCATGTCTCGTAGTAATAGCCTCCGCCACGGACATCGACCGGCAGCCAGCCCTGTTGTAGAATTATCTGGTCTTCCATTGGCCAGATGGCTCTCACTTCGTCTGCCTTGATCTGTTCCAGCTCTGCTCTTCCAAACATGTGGAGGGTCTGGGCGGTTCCGAGAAACTTGTGGAAGAAGGATGTGCACTCTTCCGGTGTTTTGAAAGCTAAGGGCGTCCTGCCGACATGGGTGAGGGAGCCATCAGGCTCGCAAAAGCGAAGCTCGGCATCTGGAAGGGCAATGGAGGCTAATCTGTCCCACTGTTTCGTATCGATATAGCGGCCGTAGAGCGCCTTCTTTCGAGAGATTATTTCGGTGGTCTCCGGGGAGACGGACATGTCGCTTCTTGAGACCTCAAGGCTACTACGCGGAGGTTGGCGCGTGACGTGCGAAAGCTTCAAGGTGGCCGAAGATTGACTGAGGATGATTTTGTAGTAAAAGAAGGGCTGTGAAGATCACATTGGGAATATATCACTCTAATGAAAGGACGACGAATTGGACTCGTGGTCAGCCCCGACAGGGCATGACCATGCTGACAACGGTCCGCCGACTACCGGGGCAGGTGTCTGGTCAGCCCGTTTGAGCGCGCCATGACGGTTAGACGTCACACCCTGGCCATGCCTGAACTAAAGAATTCGTTTGGACATGTTTGATAAATGCACTTGATTGCCAAGCCAAGTGAAATATTACAAAGGGGTGGCCAAAGCAGCAGTCATTGCGAGGCGTCTTCGCTTGCTGCTGTCTTGCGAGCTTGTGTGCCAGATGCCACTGCCGTCACCTCGACAAAACAAGCCATGATCGAGGGGAAACCATGTCGATTGACATGTAGAGGTTATGAATGAAACAGTGCGCTGTACTGAAAACGATTTGGATGGGCACAGATCCCTATTCTGCCCGTGATCACATGGTATGAAGACGTGCATACACACGTCCTTAAGCTAAGGATGCTAGAAAACCACAAGAGAAACCGTCGTACGAGGCTCCAGGCTTGGTGGCCTCCATTAGGTCCTTTAGAAATGAAGCTTAGCCAGCATTTTGCTTTTTCAAAGCTGCCTTGCGAGGTCAATTCGAGGGCGTCACGCAATTGGAGTCCTTCATGTGGGCGGCGGCTTCAAACGCCTCTGTATGAATCCAGCTTCTCATTTCTACGACTAGTGTCCTCACACAGAAGGATCACTTGATTGTAAAGCGTTGCCAGATACTATCACCACTGGAAATCACACCTAGATGCGTAGACCGCTTGCCTTGCTCCAGGACGACCCAACATAGCCAAACGGGGTCAGCTCCTGCGAGACCCATCGAGTGTCAGTGATTCATCCAGTCACTGCGCCGCTGGCCACGAACCGTGTGAAGCCTGCGAGTGAATGAAAATCATCTGATCTTTCTATTGGACGCCGAATCCAATGGGAAATATTATTTGAATGGGAGCCATTCCCAACCTCAGTCACTGACGGCCCCCTCCCAAAAACTATTTAGACCCTCGCGCCCTCCCATCTCTGAACCTTTTCCTTCAACCTTTCTTCCATCCTCCACATTCGTTTCTTCCTACCATCTGCCTTCGACCCTTTCCTTCCCACCTTCGACTTGCGACCTTTGACCTCATCCCCAACCTCGCACCTTCACCTTCACCTTCTTCCGTTCTCTACCCATCTCCTCGCTTTGCGTCTCGCCATTTGCGACCACTTTTGCAACCCTCTTCAGAACTTCTCTTTTCTCACCTGCTTTCCAAGCGCCAGTTTCCCCTCACCTGCAAACAGCTTTCGAATCCACACAACATGGCCAAGGCACGCGCTCGCAAGGGCCGCCAAAACGGAGGAACAACAAACCCAAGGCATCACTGACCATGACTCTACCGTGGACTTTGACCAAGAGGCAAGTCCATCCATCATCCAACACTGGTACGCATCCTTCTTCTCTCCGACCCTGCCAAAAACCACGCGAGCGAGAGTGAAACTCTGTGTCGAGCTGCGATCACGTGTGCACATGAAGACATTTCGGACACAGCCCAGATTTCATCTCTGGGCTGGGGAAGACATGCGCATACAGGGCTCACCAGGACTCCTCCCCATCGAGCGCCGGTGGTGGCGTTTCTCGCTTGCAGGTTGTTCGGCTGGAAAAGGGGAGTCGCACGTCGTCTTGACGCAAACACGTGCGGGAGGCGAGATTAATTGTTCACCCTTGAGAACCCGTACTCCGGCGGCCATACGGTGTGCTTGGATCCGGGGTCGAATGCGGGGCGGAGAGAAGATTTGACTCTATCCATCATTTACATTGCTACTGTTGTGGGCTTATTTAGTTGACTCGTTCGCTAACTGGATGACTTTCTGACTCTTAGGATGACGACCGCCGCCGTAACACCTCCTCAGAGGACGAGGGCGATGAGGCCGACGACGACAACCAAGGCCAACTCGCCACCATGGGCCCCCCAATCGACGCCCACGTCGCCAGCCTTGTCGGCCACGCCAGCCAGATGATCGGAATGTCTGGTGCGGACGGCACCGCCCTGGCCCTTGCTGCTGCTAACGTGGCCACCCCGGCTGAAGCCTTGAACCTGCTCGCTGCTTCTTCGGCAGTGGCTAACATGGGCCTGCAGCGCGCAAGCAGCAATGCGGCTCGTGCTGTAGTCGCGTCAGACTTGGCAACTGAAGGCTTTGCGCAACTCCGATTACACTTACGCAAAGCGCTTCAACCGTTACAATGAAGAGCTGCAGAAGCTGCAGAATCGCGTCACGCTTCTCGAGTGGCTTCTCAGCCGCGTTCTCTCCATGATGCAGAACGGCAACATTGATGCTGCCGAGGTAGGGACCCCCTGCAACGTGGGTAGCCCGCGCCACAGTCTTGACTGACGTTCTTTTTGTCTAGGTTGCACAGGTGCTCCGAAACCTTGGTATTTGACGAATGCACTTGACATCTGCTGTAGGATTTGGGCATTTATGGCGTCTGATGAGTGCCTGGGAAGAAGGGTGACACTCTGGTAATTGCACACAGGGAGCATCACTTCACCGTCTGTAGTCACCTATCCGTGTCTCCATCACTAGGGTTGATGTCTCAGTTTGGCTTTGGTACTCTTTCACAAGTAAGGCGAGCTTGCAGGGGCTTGGTACCCGGCGGGATGAACCACAGGCTTGACATAGAGAGGTTGCTGTTTTTTCATGAACTGTAGCCTAGCAAATGAAGCAGTTCAGGGAACATCTTATAAACTCTTCACAGCCATTGTGCGATCGTATCTCATGACGCTCTGACACAACACCTCTGCACCTAAGGCACAGTCCTCGGGGCTCGTCCACTCCTCGGGATGGTGGCTGACTCCGTTCTTGCTCGGCACAAAGATCATGGACGTCGGGCAGCGCTTGCTGGCGTAAACACTGTCATGGCCAGCCCCGCTCGTCATGTCCCTGAACAGCTGCTCATCACCCAGGACAGACTTCGCCGCCGCCCTCACCGCGGATATACAGTCCTGGTGGAACAGCACAGCCGGGCTCTCAAAGTCCGTCTTCCAGGTGACAGACAGCGGCAGCCCTTCTCGTTGGCTCTGCGGAGAGGGACCACCGTCGCCGTCGATGGAGCCGCGCCGCGCGAGGACCTCGAAGTCGCGCTTCAGCTCCGACTCCACGGCCTCGACGGCCGAGTCTGCCGCGGCGCGCACGTCCAGGCTGAAGCGGACGTGTCCTGGGACGGTGTTGACGCTGCCGGGTGAGAGGGTGAGGATGCCCGTTGAGGCGAGGGCGGAGTGCTTGGCCGCGACGCGGTTGGAGTGCGTGATCAGCTGCGACGCGAGGAGCAGGGCGTCGGCGCGGGCGGAGAATGGTGTGGTTCCTGTATGCGAGGCTGTCCAGCAGGTCAGCTATCATGATCTGAAAGGTGACGCGGCTCCAGTGACCATCAGCTCACCTCTTCCCTCAACATCGATGGTGAACCACTTGTACGCCTGCACTCCCTGCACCACGCCGATCTTCTGCTGCTGGGCTTCGAGGATCGGGCCTTGCTCGATGTGTAGCTCGAAGTGGGCCGCCATCGGCGTTGAGCGGTAGCTTGCTGGTATATCTCCCAGATAACCAATCCGCTCCAGCTCTGAGCGCATGGTTGCCGTACCGCCTCCCACTTCTTGGAGATTGTGTGCTCGCTCGAGTGGGATGTCTTCGGCCCAAACTCCTGATGAGCTCATGGACATTGGAAATCTCGCGCCCTCCTCGCTGCTTCATGTTAGCAAATTATTGATCCCTGCAATCTTGTGTTCACACTTGGGTCCGCTTACTTGGTCCAGTTAACGACGCCGATGGGGTGCTCCGTCTCCACCTGGTGATCACGGAGCAGGTTCAGCATCTGTAGGCATCATGGTCAGCTTTCCTCGCTCCTGAATTGCCGGGCATCTTCAAAGTGCATTATGGCACCGATTGAAGGTTCGGTTTGACCAGAGCTGCTTTCAGAGGACCAGTCTCCTTGTGCACACAGTGACGTACTTCAACACCTGCTTGGATTCCCAAAATGCCGTCATACCGGCCAGCAGCAGGTTGAGTATCTAGGTGCGATCCCGCAAAGATCGGGGCAACGTCACTTCTGCGCCCTGGCCTGACGGCGAACGTGTTCCCCATTGCGTCCACAGTGACGGAACAGCCGAGAGACTTTGTCGTTTCCACGAACCAGTCTCGGGCTTGTTTGTCTGTGTCTGACAGCGCAAGGCGGGACATGCCGGTCTCGGTTGGCTTACTGGATGTTGAAGGAATGTGTCAGCCCTGCTTCTCTTTCAATGGCCGCAAATATCATGAGAGGCAGAAATAGCCCTCAAGCGCCAGCCTAGCAGACTTGACAAGAAATGAAATGCCTGCCTTCCCCATCTGAGGCCCGTGCCGAATCTGCAAGTATGGTGCAGCGTGTCCATCAGCCTCCGCCCATCGACCTTGACAGCTGCCAGGTCAGACTCTTTCATGTCGGCCGTCTTGATCCATCTCGGACCTGAGGCACTGAAGCGCCTCCTCGACAAATCGTAACATCTCGCCGGCGATGCTCTCTTCAACGCGGTTTGGCCGGACGGACTGCGCCAGCACAGGTCCCTGAGCACTGCTGCGGAATTCCGAACGAGCATGGCTGTATGCTTTGGATCTGAGGAGGAAGGCTTTTCCCAGGTCCTCGTGAAAAGCAAAAGCAAGAATCGCGACTTTTGACCTGTTGACACGAGGAGACGCCCGTCGTCGGGAGCGGGGTTGCCGCCGGCGCTCGGTGCTCGCCCATGGCGGAGATGAGCGTGCCGAGATAAGCGGCGGACGTCGGGCTAGCTGCCGGGCAGGACTGCGTCCAGCGTGCATGCTCAAGTGCGCATAAAAGTCTTGTCTCTCGCACAGAATTTGCGATCTGTTTTGCTACCTGTACTGATCCCCATTGTTTCAAATGCAGCTAAAAGAACAAAAAAAGGCTTCCGTCGAGCTCATCTTTTTGTTGACCGGGACTCTTTCTTTGAGCTCATCTCTTCGGAAGATCGCCAAGGCTCCTTGGTGGAGCGTTGGGCATTGAAGACTCATTTCACTGACGAGCACGAGAGTCCGCTGGTGTAGCCTAAAGCGAGGCTTTGTCCAGATGGTTGTTGTAAGACCAGCAGGGATTCGAAGAGTGTGCTTGAAACCATGAGTTCCACTGACTGAGACCTGAGAGACTGAATTCCCCGATCCCGAGGATTACGAACACAAGAATACTCTTCTCGCAATCACTTGAAAGCACAAGTAATTCAAGTACAATTCAAAGCACTTAGGACCATGTCAGGGCGTGGCAGTGCTTTGAGCCAGTTGGGGGTACGTGTACCTAGGTAGTTAGCCCACAGCGTTGTTTTACTCAGAAAAGTATTGTCACTTGAGTATTAACGTTCCTACCCTTCAATATCCTCGCGGTATTGGTTGTGATTGAAGTCTATGGCGAGATTCTGAGGCCCTGCGCGCAAGAAGGTAGCCGGGTACTCGATGGCGGCCAGCACTTGAGCGAGCTTGGTTCCCAACTCTTGGGAGAAAAGGGCAATCAAGGGTAAGTTGGCTCCACACATGTATCTAACAGAATTTTTATTGAGAGTTGAGCGTTATAATTACTCTCATTGTCTATGTCTGTCAGAAACTCGACATGTCTGCCATCTTGTGGAAGCCAAGACGGCTCGGGAGTGGCCGCATCACATGGACGGAAATGGTTGATGTCGATATGACTTCAGATTCCATGCAGGTCTCAACTACGTCACGGCCACGGCCCTTTGAACTTGATGCCCGTGGGTAAGCACCACAAACGCCACATTAGAACGATGAATCATTAGCCTGGCTCTATTTGAGCAAGCGACGTATATATAAATAAATGAATATATTAGATAGATGGCAGTTTCCTACAGTAATAATCGCCACTGCTGCAGTACTCACGCGCTCACATCTCCGGACCAACCTTAGTCAGATCAGAGCTCTCAAATTTCAACACCACTTTCGTGCCGCTAGATATCTCCACAACACAGTGACAATGTCCGCGCAAGCGCCAAGTCAACACGGAGCCGACTCCGGAAAAGTCAACTTCCCGACGGATGCATCCTTGCCAGGGGAGTACTTCGAAGTCCGCCAGACACACCCGACTGGTGATTACAAGCCAGACCCATCCAAGTCTCTTCCTCTGTCAGCTGCACGTCAGTCGCTTCTGGATGATATCATTGCGTTGTATGAGATGAAGCCTTCGGTGGATCGTGTGAAGCGATACACTCCAGACTGCGTGTACAACGACCAGTTTGTCTATGCCAATGATCGATATAAGATGGCTGGCCAGTGGTTTGCACTGCCCAAACTTTTTGCTGGGGCAAAAAGCCACGGATACGAGGTTGTGACCAACGACCGAGATCTGATTCAATTCAAGCACGAGGAGGTATGCTTGACCTCTCAACCCGGCCATGCTGTCTCGAGACACACCCATAAGCTGACCTACCCCAGGAATGGACTTTCAAGGTTATTCCAAAAACGGCCGTGGTAAATGCGATTGTTAGCCTGTCTCTGGACCCGGCGACCATCGACAGTGACTTCATCCGGGTCAAGTACCACAAAGACCAGGCAAATGAGAAAGACTATTCAAACGAGGGATTCGGCGCTGTCATCAAGAAGTTCCAGGCAGATAAAGTCGTCCACCTCATGGATAGTCCCGAGGTGAAGCAGTTCGAAGCAGACAAGGATGCTGGCAAGGAGAAGAGGCGAACTTACGGAACGGGTGAAAAGGAGGGCGATGCCCCTGTGAAGGACCTGTGAGAAAGAAACACGATGAGAGACGTCTCAAATTCTAAATTCTGACTGAAGTGACAAATTTTGGATTTTCCAAAATGCTGAAGCACACCAGCACACGCCGTGAACACATGATTACACGCTGTGACATCAAAACATCAAATTTCCTTCGTCCTGTGAATTAAGACAGGCCGTGCTGTACACAGTATCGACTTTCAATTTGCAGTGCTCAGGCATACGGTTTGTATCCAGCGCTTTCGGGACGGGTTGAGATAGCCCCAATTGATTGCGACCTTAGTATGTTACAGCGGGTTTTAAAATTCACTAGCATCACATTCAAGCAGCAAGGCAGATGAGAGCTACGGTACAAGGGCAGCCGTGTTTTTTGGACAGTGATTAAGCTGCTTGGGCCGAACTGCTGGCATCCACGCATGCCTTCCTCCCAAATGAAAACATGTTGCGCAACTTGGGAAGGAGCAACCTCGGAGTGGACTGTCCAAGATGGGTTGCTCAGACAGCCTCTCGTTGCTGGCGACTGCCATACCCTTAGCTCCTTTCAGTCACGAACCATATCAAAAGACCTCCGCTGGGTCGGCTGACCTTGGCTGGGTGTTTCTGGACAGATGACTCTCAAATGAAGACCGTGTTTATGGAAAATTGACTAGCATTTTCTTTGGTGGCCCGATGGTTCTGAGAAAGAGACTAATCAGGAACTGTGTCATTGCTTCAGGGACAGTCTAGTTACCGTCTTCCAGATTTTATACGGGGCGCCATGGTGGTGCATGCTATGCTCGCTCAGCTGCCTCACTCGATCGTGGCCCTCCCATTCTCTCCATTCTCCCACTCTCTCGCCCGCTCCTTCCATTCCCCGCGGGCCTGCGCAGTTTGAACTGCAATCCATCGCGCTGTCAGTCCTTGCTTCAACGTCCCTTGACACCACAAGCAGGCACTGCGTCACCCGCCTTCCTTTCTTTGGGAACATAGATACGTTAGTACCCATGATATTTTGCACCAACGGAAAGCCCAAGAGGAACACGCACGACGTCGCACACCCTGCACTGAACATCTCCTGGAGCCAACGACACCTCTGCCTCCCTGCCACTTTCAGCCGCCATCATGAAACTCGCTCAGGTTGCTGCCCTTTTGCTCGCTGTGGGGACCACTGTCGCCCATGAGCTGACCCCCTACGAATGGAGGCACCAATGTCCACAGCTCGAATCTCTTAACCCCAAAACTGGCAAGCAACTTTCCGGCCTCGATGAGTACCTCAAATCCGAAAAGTTCCTTGACATCTCCGTCGCGCGCTTGTCTGGAGCTGTCCAGATCGACACCACCAGCCAGACGCCATGGCAGGATTTGCCTGGCGAAGACCCTGTGTGGCAACATATGTCTGAGTTTCGCGAGTACCTCAAGAAAACATTCCCTCTGGTCCACCGGCACCTGGACCTTGAGCGAGTCAACAAGCATGGTCTCATTTACACATGGAAGGGAACGAATTCATCTTTGAAGCCATCTCTCTTCCTCGCCCACCAAGACGTCGTCCCCGTGCCAGAGGAAACAGTACCTGAATGGGAGCACCCTCCATTCAGTGGATTCTTCGACGGAAAGTATGTGTGGGGCAGGGGTGCGATCGACAGCAAGACCACACTCATTGCGAGCATGTCAGCTGTTGAGTCATTGCTCAGATTTGACTACACCCCCCAGAGAACACTGGTCTTGGCATTTGGCTTCGACGAGGAGATCTCTGGGCTCCAGGGAGCCAAGAAAATTGCTGAAAATCTTGTGAAGCGATATGGAAAGAGCGGGATAGCCCTGCTCGTTGATGAGGGCCCTGGCATAGTCCATCATAAAGAGCTTCGCACGACCTACGCCGTTCCGGGATTGGCTGAGAAAGGTCTCTTCAACGCAAACATCTCCGTACATATGGAGTCTGGCCACAGCGCTCTCTCAGCTGATTATGATGAGAACTCCATCGCTGTCGTGGCTGCTCTCATCGAGCGATTTCACGAACATCCGATGCACGGCGAAGTCCAAGCACATGACCCATTCCTACAAGCAGTTTTCTGCCTGGGGCAGCACGCCGGGTTGGAAGACAAGTGGGTGGAATATTTCAAGCGCATCGACCAGAATGAGACAGTCATCAATGACGTTCTGCCCTTCGTCATCGACATGATGCCACATTTGAAGCCGCTTGTTGATAACACTCAATCTCTGGCCATGATTCATGGAGGAAACAAGATCAATGTTCTCCCTGAACGCACAGTACTGTCGATCAATCACCGCCTGCATCTCGGTACTTCCGTTGAGCAAGCCAAGAGTCACCTGGAGCAGATCATCAAGGACCACATAGCAGATACGAATGGGGCGAAAGATGAACCGAAACTCACTTTCCGCGGCTGGTCTGACCCTGAGGTCGCTGATTCGATCAAACTGACGGCACTCCCGGGGGCCTTGGAGCCATCGCCGGTCACTTCGTTTTCAGTCAACGGCACGACCCCATACGGTGTTCTACAGGGCACAATCCGAAGCGTGTACGGAGACAGTAACTTGACACTTGTGGCTCCAGTGACCATGCCTGCCAACACCGACTCCCGGCACTACTGGGATCTCACAGAACACATCTTCCGCTTCAGCCCCGGGCACGACATGGCGGACCCCACCGATAACCAGATTTACAGCAACGCGCACAAAAAGAACGAGCGCGCAAATATCATCGGGCATGTCAACGGTGTGAAATGGTACTCCACATTCATACGGAATATGGATGAGGCGGACTTACCTTGAAAAGGTGCTCTGAGCAGGTGTCTACCAAGAGTTCGGCTCGACCAGGGCTATGTGCCGTATTGCACAAGGAAGGTGGCATTGTAGACCTCGGATTCCCACACAGCTGGGACAAGTACATGATACCTAATTACCAGTCATTAGTATTAATAAAATATCTCCTATCATATGGAGTGATGCCCGATCGTTTGTACATGTTTCTAGTCAGTGATGTCAAACTGTGACAAGGTCAACTGCGTTATTGGCCCAAAAAGGCGAACACCCTCATAAACCCGAGTGAAAGTAATCCATAGGCGCAAGATATTGAGTCCCTACACGCCCTCACGAATCTTTGCAATGCTGCAGAGGTCCCCTTCCGACACAGAAGTGGGAACACCTCGGCAAGAGATAGAGAAACAACTAAGTTTGGAGGAGTGAAACTGCCAGAGACTCCACTAAAAAAATCCAGGTCCGAATATTTGTGATATGTTCCACTTCCCCCCCGTGCCCACCTGTTGCTGTTCTGCTGTATGCATAATTGTCCATTCCATGCCAAGGCACTTGCCAGATCATAAAGCCTCCACATGAATGTGTAGGAAGGGTCAGAATTGGATATGCCTTGCTCTAACTGATGATGGAATAGCCAGCTCTCTCATCGATTTCCAGAGGTCACTCCAGTCGCTAGGCCCCTGATTGTACATTGCGTACCACCTGCTTAGCCGTGTCACGCGTCCAGTGGTGTCAGTGTCAACAACTTCCATGTATAAATAGATCTTCTCCCTTCAGGAAACTCGGTCCAGCTCTCTTGTTCTTTCCATCGGCATCACAACAACCAACGCTTTCAGACCACAACAATAACGAAAAGAAACTCCCAAAACCACGAAATTTCACCAGAACACCGTTCTCCGTACCAAAAACAACAATGTCTTCCAAGACCACCCACAGCCAGACTAGCGCCTCCGGCGCTAAGAGCTCAACCTCGGAGGGACAGAAGGGAAGTTCTGGTGCCTCTGGGGAGTCTCAGAAGGATGAGGCAACCTTCAGCAACATTGACAAGAAGGGATTGGAGGAGTGGTCTCATCAAGAGCGTAAGGATCGTGAGGAGAAGCGCCAGAAGAAGCCGAAGGCTGACGGGGAGGAGTAGACCGCGGAGGCTTTGTACCACGCTCAGGAACAAGCCCGGGAGGATCATCGGTATGCACACGCCGGGGTAATAATTGCTTGAGGATGCGCTACCATCAGAGCAGCTCAGTCTTACTCGAGGGCGGACAGGTCGTGTGCACGCCTGTCCTTAGACACGAACGTGTCTGGGTTGGGAACAGAACAGAGGCATGAATCAGCAAATGGAATTGATCACTCAAACTACTTTGCCCTGTCCATTCTCTTCGAGCAAAGGTGTGACGACTTCAAGTTATGAAATCACTCGGCCCAGGCCTGAATGGTTTGATTCCAGCCAGGGTAATAAAACCCGGATATTTTGTTTCCCGTGCAACAAGTTAAGCTCGGAAAGCCGCTCTTGTGCTTATCTTCCCATGTCCTAGACACAATTTCAAATTCTGACACTCGTAAATTATTCAAATTCAGCCATCAGCTTGTTGTTTTCCACTCCTATAGGGAAGTCCTCCTCCAGGTGGGTCGTGTGGGCCCACGGCTTGAGGCCAACCTCCTCGCGGATCGTCGCGCTGAAGCACTTGCTCCAACCGAGCCTCGGGAAGGCCTTGTTGACGTCGACCTTGGTATCCAGGTGGACGATCTCCGGGTTGTCTCCCATGTTGTCGTAGACGGTCGCCAGCTGGATCAGCTGGCCGAGGAAGGTAATGGTGCCGGTCGACCCCAGGTCTTGGTGGCGGATGACGGCCTCGGCCACAGCCTCTGCCTGAGATTTTGGAGCCTCGAGCTGTTTGCCTACGAGGTCTAGTGCTAGGTATCCGCCGTAGAACTCGAAGGACAGCTGAGTCGCACGCAGATTGCCGTGGGTTGTTCCGATGTCATGGAGGAGAGCTGTCAAGGCCAACGTCGAGCGGGAAAGCGACTTGGCCAGGTCTGGAAACTGCTGTTCTAGAATCGCAGAGGCTATCACATGGCCCAATCAGTTTCACAAGTCAATATGACGAGCTGCTGTGCCATACCGAAATAGAATACTCTCATGGAGTGGTTGAACGTGGGAGCAGGCAAGTTCTCTTTCGCATGCTTCCGGACCTTGGCAACAATATCGTCAGATGGGAACTGGATGTCCTTGACCAGGAGGGCGGTCGGCCTATTGATGTAAGGCTTGCCGGCCAATAGAGCCTTGTGATCCCTCACAACCGGAGTCCATCCGTGAATCGCGATTTCGTTATTGGCCATCACTGCTTGTTCTGAGCTGCATCGTTTAATGCGGAGAGCAGGTAGGTGAGACGCATTCTCAAATGTGGTCTCAAAATGCGTGCGTCCGGAAAAGAAACACTTATATACTCACTCCCACGTACCCATCTAGAGCATTTACATGAAGGGCGTTGCGATGCGTTCAGAATCGGTCATCAAGCCTATAAAAGAATGGTGAAATCATCGCGTCACGACGACTGCATGTCCTTACTAAGTCCCCTGGGGCCTGCCTGGATCGTGGGTATGATCCGTACGCGGAGGTCGTCTTAGCTAACTATAGTAAGTAAAAGAGTGAGTAATCTATATGCCCGGAAATGCGTTCCTCGGTCCTGTGAGTCAAATCTGCAGTGTCACATCCATATATCCCCCACCTTAAGAGGGACAGCACTCGGTTCGGGGACACTAGGAATGTGGGGAGAGTGCTAAAGTGCTACCAACATGACCAGCACGAGGCCCAAAGATTAGGTATGGCTTCAAACCGCCATGTTCTGTGCTATCCTGTGTGATTGAAACGTATCGGTTTATGTGATACTTTTTGCCAGCGCTCTGCACTGCGGCTTGGGTGATTTCCGCGGTGGAAGCATCCTGGCAGAGCAGAGCATCTCTGTAGAAAGTGGCTGGCTAGAATGAGCGTGTAAAGGTGTCTAATTACCTCCAGAGACCAGGGGACTCAACATATGAATAATGGACATTACGCTAATGTCTGGCTGTAGCAAGATGGTCATACATTTTACGAGAGCGCTTTGGTGGAATGATACCTGAGCGGTTGTTGTCGTGATCGGCCAACGGGTCATCAGGATCACCGGCATCTTCCGTGCCCCGGGGGGGGACCAGTCACACCCGTTGGTGCATCTTACATGCTTAGCCAACAGGCCCGCGCACACAAATATGACGAGTCACTCGAAGAATCGAGGCGAAATGAGACTACTTATCGCCTCGGCTTGACATTTTTTTCATCATCGAAAAGCATTGTCTTAAGAACCCTACACCATACCAACTTTTTCAGTCACCGCCCGGCCTGCGCGTTCAGTATTGAAGCTGACCACGTCCTGGGCAACGGACCACTCGCACTTGTGCCATGGCAAACTTGACGAGGGTTGGCCTGGGCATTGCCGTCCTCGGCGCAGTGCTCAGTCAGCTCTCTATAACCCAAAGCATATGGACTGTGCTGAAATTGGGTCTCGCAATTGGCAAGGTTTTGCAACCCATCAGCGACTTCCCTTCATACCAATGCCGTCGGGTCCATGACCCGCTTCTCCAGGCGTGCGAAGACATGTGGTTGTCCGAGGCCACGCGGCAGCTGTTCCTCGCTTGTTCCGACTCGGATGCCCGGAACAGGTGGATGCCCAGGTACGTCGTGATCTGCGAGTTATTCCCGGACTGTTAACTACGTTTGAAAATTTGACCGAGTCGAAGTGAGACAAAGCTTGATCTAGCTGGACGTTCGACCAGGGATGCGATCATCGTCATGGATATAGAGACCTTGGATTTCAAGTCGACTTCCATGACAGGACTGCAGGCGACGGTATCATCAACTTTGCAGGCTTTGCGGGAATAGAACTGGATGAGGGTGCTTCCGAGCTCCTTATCACGAATTTTCGCCCATCGGTCGACAGCAATGGGGAGATCGTGCCAGCCCAGGCTGCCGTGGGTGGTAATGCCACAATCGAGGTCTTCAGGCTTCTTCCGAACACCGACAGTCTTCAACACATGCGTACAGTGGCAGATCCTGCTATTGCAACGCCGAACAGGGTGGCAGCTGCGGAGGGCAAAGGTTTCTATATCACCAACGATCATGGCCAGAATAAGATAGGTTGGGTAGGTTCCGTCTGAGAGTTGTCCGTTGTATCGGAGGGTGACGGTTCAAGTCGTCTGAGTCCTCGTGAAGCACAAGGCTGATCTTGATTTTCATAATTATCCAGGGAAATGCCCTCTCGCCGATTCTCCTCACAGGAGACGTCACATTCTGCCCAGACGGGCCCTCCAGCCCATGTAGGGTCGTCTCGGAAGGCTACGGCTACCCAAACGGTTTGATCCGGAGCCGCGTGGACGGACTGATATACGTGCCCGAGTCCGCGCAAGGCGGAATAACGGTGCTTCGACCAACGGCAGACAACTCCCTGGAGGTCATATATAAGATAGATCTTCCGTACGCGATCGATAATCTTTCCGAAGACCAAGATGGTACCCTATGGGCGGCGGTTTTACCGAGGGGCATCGAGATCTAGAAGCAGGCCGAAAACCCGCACCGTTATTTCCCGTCTTCCTCTGTGTTCAAGCTCTCCTGAGAAACGGGAGGAAAATTCATCACGGAGAAGGTCCTCGAGGACAGCGAGGGGAGCGTCTTGCCGGGAACTACCACCGTGGTTCATGATGCAAGAACAGGGAGGTTATTCCTGAGTGGTACGTACACACATCAAGACCAACCTGCAATGTGCTAAAATCGCTGAATAGGAGCCTTCTCCCCTTTCATCACCATTTGCGATGGTACTAAATGAATGGGTTTGCGCTTCTGCCAGAGCCGATCCAAGTTCAGGGCTGAGGCATGCGTTGGTGTCGAACTTTCCGCCTCAACTGTGATGTACCGAGGACTTCTCTCCCCATAGAAGGCTTCTTGTTCATAAAGGAAATTCACCTTAGAGTGTGACACTCAGTCTGAGACCTTACATATAGCGAGCTATACTAGTGCGATCTGTGTCACCTCCCCCAGTGCCTGAGTTGTGGCATTCATCGCCGAAGTTTTGTTCCCTCCACTGGCAGATTGATTCGATCCATTGAAGTATCCCACTCTCTCAAACGCTCCCTGCACTTCTTTTCTATGAGTTTGGCGCAGTATCAAAAAACATTCATACCCCAGAACGTTGAGCATCGTGAATTCACCGGGCACTTGAGGTGCACTTGTGCCCTCATCAGAACTGTCCTCGATACATTCTGGAGCCCTCCTGATTTGACAACACCCACAGTCTGCATCGCTTGAGCACCTAGAAGGTATTGTCTACTCCTCCCCAAATTGCCCTGTCACATCCACCAACTGACAGTGCGTGTTAAGTAGACATACTTGTCGTTTGCCTGTATTATACCTGACAGCACCGCTCATTTCCTTCATCTCAATACTCTACGTCACCGCTAGACACTGCCGCCTCGACATGGTCGCAGCACCAGGTCTCCGGAACTGAAGTAGTCCATATCAAACATCCCTCGCAATTCAAAGATGTCTGAACCAGAGGAGGGCTCCTTTGTCCGCTTCATGCAGCTCCCATTGGAGATCAGACACATGGTGTGGAGTGAAGCCTGGGCCGACCGCAAGCCTGAGATCTGCACTCATTTCTACACCAGAAGCCCCACCAAAGGCCTGCCCGGCTTTCCTCCGACACAGCTGATCGTCGACGTCGACGTCGCCTTGATGCACGCATGCAGCGAGTCACGAGCCTTCCTCACCTCAAAAGCTGGTGGTGTGCGATTCCGCTACTCTCTGGCCGCAAAGCGCAATGTGCCCTGCCGGGCCTTCGACCCGGCGCTGGACACACTCTACCTTGGAGGGCACAACGTCGAAGACGCAAGTGAGTATTTCCTCGGTGATGCCAGCCTTCTCACGCACATTTATATGCCATATTCTTAGTCTACGTCACTGCTCCGCTCCCGAAGGAGGGCGACTGTAGGGATACTTGACAGATGACATCCCAATCCATCCCTGACCTCTATAAAACTTCCTTCTCACCAATTTTTGAGCTGACTGGTATTACTGTAGTATGGAAGAACGAGCGTTTTCATCGGCGTACTCGGTACCGCACTGACACTCTGCCAGAGCCCCCCAACAATGAATTTGTGGACTGCTGGAAAGCGGTCCAAAACATAGCACTGCAGCCTGGTGTACTGTTCCCCAGCAGCCATATCTCCCTTACAATTTCTGAAACTCGAGCTGGCATCGCGGCAACTTTCCCTCAGCTACGAAAGATCTCGATTGTGGTGAACCCCTTTGTGGATCTGGAAAACTCAATCATCGGCGAGACAGTTGTGTGCCCCCCAACCAGTCGTTGCAGACTCGTCAAAGCTGCCGGAGACACTTCCTGGCCTGCAAGAGACTGGCAGCCCAGAAAACACTGGCTCGATACTATTCGCGGTGAAATCGAGCTGCTTCGGGCGCCAGATCACGCGATACCAGTATCAGTCCAAATTTTCGAAGTCTACGTCGGTCGGAAGGGACGCAAGAAGTGGAAGAAACACCCCTCGTGAAGTCGAGGTCTTTCGAAGGCACCAGTGGATGGGGCGCGGGGCCGCGGGTGAGGAGCAGTGCTGTGGTAACCTCATGCTTGGTGTTCTGAGGACTGTATTCGAGGAAATTGGTGGCAGCGGTTGTCAACACAGAATCGGAAGAAGACGATGAAGGGGCGAAGGCTCTGGCACTTTGACTCAGTTCATTGAATTGAAACTGAAACTTGTTCGAGGGTACCCAGGTCAATATTACTTATTTCTAGATAGGTCTTCAATACATGAACGCCAACCTGCAAGCCCTCCACGTCCACTGACTCAACATGATGTTCTAGTTGAGCTGTGGCGGGAATGTTGATACAAAACCAGGACAAAGCAAACCAGGCATACCCTCCCTACTCAAACAATGCCGCGTCTCAGGCGGAAGCACCCACATCTTCATGCGTCTTCGCATCAACCAACCTCTTGTGGCTCTCGGAGCTGCCATTGTATGCTTCCGCGAGGTACAAGGGCTGTTGAGCTTGGCCCTCGGCAGTGTATTCGCTGCGGACCTCGACCTCGTTCCGGACACCAATGTTGCCCAGCTCGTTCGACTCTGTCGGCTCCGTCCAGTTCGACTTCTTGGACACACGGCTCGAAGTACCCTGACCAGAGTTTTTGGTGTCCTTGCTGCTGCCGCCGCTACCGTAGAGGGTGCTCGAGAGGGATGCCCATGATTTCGACACGAACCTCGTCAGCGGGCGCAGGGCAAGCACGGAGCTGGCGAAGATTGACAGCCCGTGCTCCGTGATTGCCCAGATCATGGCCAGGTACCACGTGGAGACTGAATTGTTGTCCCGGGGGTGGAATGTTTCGTAGTGAACTTGAAGCTTCATGATGGCGGCGATGGCGGCGCTGAAGGTATGGATTTCATCAGTAACGGGAATACCCGCCTTGGGGGACGTGTGGCCTCGACAACGGAGAATGGCATAACAAGGTAAAGGGTATCAACTCACAGAAGCCCAACACTGAACAGACAAACCACGCTCACTTTAAGAGCCCTCGATATTTGGACGTTCCAAAGAATGTAAATCGGTAGGAGCACATGGAAGATGTCGTAGATAACATAGGATGACTCCTGTGAGTAGAACGTGTTCTCGCACACCTTGTTGTTGATAACATACGGACTCTGCCTCATGCAGCCCAGCGAGAGAACGAAAGTGGTGATGACATTCCAAATAACACATGTGACAATGTCGATGATGATGATTGTTCTGACTTTTGGGCGGCTGTCAAGGCGATAGAGGACCAGTGCGACGCTTATCTTGACGACTCCGGATATCACAAAGCAGACAACGTACTTTGCGAAGTCGTACTGGAATTGTTCTCAGTGCCCTGTCACTAGGGGAAAGGGGATTTTTACGAGTTACCCACCCTCCTGGCCGTGGCATCATTATACCATGGCTCGTCTTCGGACGAGTCCCTGCCTGCCCTTACAGCCAGTAGGCACAGAGCCACAAACACCATCATGCCCGCCTGGAGTCCATGTGTCATTATACATTGCCGCTCAAAGCAGACCGGGGGTTGCCGATGATAGGAACAGCACCGCAGACTCACGTATGAAATGACAAGGGCGACATCATCCCATCCGAACGCTCCCTTTGTAAGCTTAGTCCGTACGAGCACGCGGAGTCCGACGGTGATTGTGCAGAGGACACTAAAGAAGATCAGAAGCCCGAGCAGCTGGTCGTACAGGTAGGAGTCCATGATGGATTCGCTGCGCACGCCTGATAGCGCCGGGTCCTTGGTGGGAGAAGAGCGAAGCTACGCGAATCACTGGCGGCTCCCAGCTTGCATATGTGGGCAAATTTGACACATATATGGGGCTGACAGAGTTCTTTGGGGGAAGTTCGAAAGCGAATTCGGGGACTCCAACCATCAGAGCCCCGGAGCGGCCATTTGCTATATATCACCCGATGATCCAATTATGACTGTACCTACATCACATCTCTCACGCCCCTCAGCATGTCTTTGTCAGAGCCAAGGGATGGGAGCCAGTAGAGCCTTGCTTGCACAGAGACAGAGGATTCCTGGACGGAACGGCGCGGACCACATTTTAGGGGAGGACGGCAGGAGCTCTTTCGCTCACCTCGGACTCTCGCCGTTGCAATGGTTTCCATTAATACTGGAGGTGGGTCAGTGAACGTGGAGGATGCCTCTCAGTGGTTTATTTTGGCTGCGAGGTGGTGTGGTGGTGTCAGCTTACCGCGTCTTGATGGGTTGCTCTAGTTGCCCATCAGGGGGGGGGGGGGACTCCGGCCGCTGGGTATTCCACGGCATGCAAGCGTGGTTTGGCAGTCGTAGGCCAAACTTTGCTTGGCAAATCATATGCACACGATCCCAGAGGTGTGCGCAAGCAGGTGCGGAGAAAAGGAACGTGGTCTGCTGGAGGTCTGACACCAAGCCAACGATTGGGTGGGTCCCTTCACTTAGCCCGTCTCATCTACCGGGCATGTCCAGTGACCTCGTGGATCTGCTGGAGCGTGTGCATTTGTGGTGGTGCGCAGGAATACATGCAGGTTGAAGGGGGCCGCCCATCTGGAAGCTACGGGGCTTGCTGTGCGGGAATATCCGGTAAAATGGCGAGGTTGATTTCTCAAAACATTTAGATTTCGGCCATTCATCTGCTGAGCTAAGAGACAACGAACACGTCGAATGTGATTGGAGAGATGCGATAGATAGCTCGCCACTGGGTGTCCATGTGCCTTTTGAATTCAGACCCACTTTGAGTCAATCAAAGAGGAGTGAAAGTGATGTGCAGCGGCGGCAGCGTGACAACAAACGTATCCAGATCATCGTTCTCAAAAGCAGTCCCACTTTCTCCTGCGGCAAATGAGATGTCGAATTTCTGCACGAGTGTTGAAAGCGCAATACGCAAGCTCATGTATGCAAGATTCTTGCCCGGACATGAATACGCCCCTGGGAACCAAGTTGGCCACCTGCTCGCGATATTTTAATTACTCATCGGACTTGTCGTACCAGCCAAGAATGGGAAATAGGGTGCCTTGTCGGTCCCCATCTCTGACCGTCTGTCCCCCCACCGCTCCGGTATGAACTCGCCGGCCTGCGGCCAATAGCGTGGGTCCCTCTGGATGTTGTACACGGGCACTAGAACATTGGTGTTCCCAGGGATATGTACTTCGTCGATCTGGAGGCCTGCCGGTGGGGTCTCACGAGACCCGGCAACGAGAACTGCTGGCCTCAGGCGGAGGGTCTCGGCGATGATGTCGTCCAGAAATGTGACGAGTTGCACTTTCTCGTAATCCCACTGCCGAGATCCCCCGGGCATAACCTGTCGGAGCTGCTCACGCAGCTTTTCCTGTGCTCCCACATTCTTGCAAAGAAAGAACAGAGCATTGGCTAACGTACTGGACGCCGTATCACTGTGCAGCGGCTCTAGTTAGCTAGGCAGCTTCACCGATGGCTTAGTGGCTGAGTTACAAACCTGCCAGCCAGAAGGACCAGTCTTGAGTCATACTCAAGGGCTTCGGTTGTTGGAGCTGCGGAAGCGTCCTTGTCATGCACAGCCTTGAGCAGCCATGATACGATGTCGCTCGGACATTTCTCACTGTCCCACAACTTTTGACGGCCCGCAGATCAGTAATGGATTAGGGCGCCGATGTGACCAGATCAACGAAGAGGTGGCTTACTTACCTTCTGCTTAGCCCGGATCTCGTCCTCACAAAAGCTGAAGATTTCGGTGTATATACTTGAAGCGCTAGGGATGCTGGTCATAATGTTCATCAACCATGGTAAGTGGCCTAAGACTGCGAAGACCTTGATATGCTCATGAATTGGTTTAAGTGCTGAATGCTCGGTACCAGTGGCGAGGTTTCCGAAGTCTTTTCCGAATGCGACTTCGCCGATAACATCAAAGCTGTAAAACATGGCCCACTTAGTAATGTTTACCGGATGCCCGGCTCGGTCTTGCATCTGTTTCGTTAATAGATCCGATCTTTCTTTGACACGCTGTTGGTAAGTTGCAATGGCTGTCTATTCTCAGCAAGAGTGTTCCAACGCCTCGCTCTTGACATCACATACCTTTGATAGCAAAGCCCCGATCCCAGGCTCTCCGTCTATTGCGGTGTCGCACAGGGTCCCGTACCATGTGAAGTGAGCACCGGTCTGGGTCATTTCCTGACTGACCATACCATGTTGACTTGAGCAATTTTGATGCCGGACCGTATATTGCATTGACGGCTGAAGCACGAGTGACAGTGATCTCACGCGGTCCTGCAATCGGTCAGCTTACGTGGAAACGGCACTTGTATGCAGCGTCTGGGCGAAGTCCTGTTGCCATACCTGTGCGTACGAAGTCGCCGTACTTGGCCTGCATCTTCTCTAACTCCTTGTGGTATTGGAAGTTCTTGATCGAAGTATATGAAGTCCAAAAACGGCTGAGCTTTGCTCCCATCGGCCCGGGGAACCTTCCACATCGGTGGAATAGCAAGCGGTAGATGCCGATGCTGAGGAGGCAGCTCAGATTGAAAACCGTCTCGATGATAACAGACTTCGCAAAGGCTTGAGGCCATGTGAGACGACCGAAGGCTGAGAAGAAAGTTGACATGACAACAGCCATTACCGGCAAAGCTGCCAGGAAATGGAACATGAGCTTCTCGAATTCCACAGTCTGGATAGACATGTGAAACAAGACTCCGAGTAATGCGGATCCGATAAAAGCATGGTAAGAATTGGCCTGAGCCATTTCATGGAGCAAGGCGTGTACCATTTTCCAATATCCGTTCACGATGATGGTAAGTCAAGACAACGCCACACACTTCTTCGGCCGGGGAGCACAACACCAGATTGAAAGAACCAGCGCAAACTTTGTGCATTTTCAAAGTCGCCTGTTGAATTTCTTTTATGCAGTCAGCTCGCTACCCCTCCTGGTGGCAGCGGGGTTGTGGACTCTGGCGGTTGTACAATATGACAGCTCCGATTTGCTGAAGTCCCACTTCCAGTTTAGCAGCTATTCACAGCCAGGGATGACCGCGCACTTCTAATCAGAGGAGTTGAGTGTGCGTGTGTGTGTGCGCGCGTGTACAGATGAAGGCGCGAAGGTGTTCTGAAGGCTCGAATATGTATACAAAAAGCAATATTGCTTGACTAACTTACTGCGAGAGAACTTTGGTGAGAAATATCTAAGTAACTTTGATAGATGTCGTTTCTGGAAACATAGTCTGAGGGCAGTAGAACACAGAAGTAGTGCCAGAATACTGGGTCGAATCGACGGCCACACCGTCTGGCAATGTTCTATCAACGTGATGGGTGAATGCTCAACCACTGTCCTGGCGGTGTGTTTGGTGTTCAAAGCCGTAACCGCCGGAACACTGTGACGAAGTCTCCTACCGCGATTTCCTCATCCAGCCGTGCCGCCGCTGTGGCTCATTGGTCCCATATCAAACAAATTGTACGTGCTCGTTCCAATCAGAATGATGGATTAGCTAGATATCAGCCATCATGGACAACGATTGCTGAGAGAATGAGCCGAGACAATGTGTCATCACTCCTTTGATGGTGAAACAAAGCGAGACATGTTGTCAGAATTCCGTTTGCTCCAAGTTGCTTGCATTGAGCGAAAGAGACACCCAACTTGAAGGAAGATTGCAAGAATATTGGAACAGAAAACCAACCATACTTCCATGAATCTGGCATACTTCATCAAGACAACTTCCTTCTGAAAAGATTTGAACCAGGCTTAGCGTCTTCAAGACGCACCAGTTTCTACTTCAATGGCACTCCCCTACGTAACAGCGGTCACAACGATGTCGGGAGCCGAAGACAGGCCAGTGATAGTCGGCCTTTATGGTATCTCTGGGTGTGGAAAGACAACACTCATCGAACGCTTGAAGAAGAATCTGGGCGAGAGAGATTTTGCCTTCTTCGACGGCTCTCAAATACTCAGTTCACTGGTCCGTGGAGGACTGGCCGCTTTTCAGCAGAAGCCCGACGCTGAGAAGGCTGTCTATCGCGAGATTGCCATTCAACACATCGCAGCAGTGTGCCAGTCGAGTCGGAAAGTAGGCGTTGTCGCTGGTCACCTTACCCTCTGGACAGGCAGTAGTACCATGGAGGTGCACACACAGGCCGACCTTGAAACATACACCCACATTCTGTACCTCGACACACCTGCCGAGACCATCGCTGAGTACCGTCTGAATGACATGAATCGGAACCGCCCTGAAATGAGCGTTGCCGACTTGCGCAGGTGGCAGTGGAGCGACAAGTCAAGAGCAAAGACTCTTTGCCGTCATCACGGCATCATGTTCTTCACCCAACATGCTCCTGCGGAAGATGGATTTGCCCGCGTCGCAATGCTGATTAGAGACATCCGAGATCACTCCGAGGAGGAGAACCTACGCCGAGCACTTTCCCGGTTGGACGATATCATGGCACCTTCAGCGGATAAAATCGAAACTGTCTTAGTCTTCGACGCGGACAAGACTTTGGCGTCCATGGATACCGGGGCAAGATTTTGGGGTGAACACCTGAAGATGGGAGAGGACGGCAGCAACAGGCTGAAGCAATACTTTGGTCATGAAGCCTGGGGTTACTCATACAAGGCTTTCCGCCAAGCCACTTGGCTGTACGAGGAGATTCCAGAGCCCGTGTTTGAGCGAATCTGTGAAGTCATCTCCAGGGAAGTGGTCTTGCACCCTGAACTGGCAAACCTTCTCAAACAGGTTGGAAGTCTGACACACGTTCGGGCGGTGGTCGTCACTTGTGGTATCAAACGCATCTGGGAAATGGTACTGCAGAGAAGGTCCTTGACCCACGTCGACATCATCGGCGGCGGCCGAATCTCAGACGGTTTGGTTGTTACCCCCAAGATCAAAGCAGCCATTGTCGAGCGCCTCCGGAAGCACTTTGCAACACAGGTGTACGCTTTTGGCGACAGCGAGGTGGATATCCCCATGCTGGTGGCAGCTGATCATGCCTTGGTCGTGACGGGAGATGTTGAAACAAGGAGCAAGAGCATGGACCAGGCTCTACTGAATGCTGTCCGCGACGGTCTGCGCCCAAGACAGATCCTCCTGCCGGCAGGCTCACGCCCCAGACTGGCCGAAGGCTTGACCCCTGTTGTCGAAATGGACGCTGCCTTCGCCACCAGCATATTGGCTCGACGTTCGAACGCTTCCAAGCTCGGCCGCGTCCACGCAACTGACTCGATGGCAGCAAAGCTTCTCATGACGCCGATGAGGGACGCGGGTGTTGCTGGACCAGGGCTGCGGGAGGCACATCGAAGGGCAGGATGGTGGATAGCAACACAGCACGTATCTGAGATGATCGGCTGCGAGGAATTCGGAATCGCTCATGTTCAGAAATACCGGACCGAGGGATACCGGCTCCACGATGAGGAGAAGACGGTCATTGTTGCCTTGATGCGCGGAGGAGAGCCGATGGCCTTGGGCGTCAGCGAGGCCTTTCCAGCTGCCATGTTCGTTCACGCGAACACGCCAGAAGACCTCAAGGAGCAACACATCAAAGGCCGGGGCACTGTTCTTCTTGTGGATTCTGTTGTGAACAGTGGCAAGACCGTTGTTGACTTCATCGAGCACGTTCGGAAAATCAACAAGACTGTGCGCATTGTGGTCGTTGCCGGCGTCATCCAGGCCAGATTTTTCAACAAGCCTCCTGCACACGTACAAGCCGATCGGGATGTCGGCTTTGTCGCGATGCGTCTGTCTGAGAATGAGTTCAAGGGAAAGGGGCAAACAGACACTGGAAACCGTTTGTTCAACACCACACAGCTTGACTAGATGGATGAACCGTGCCAGAGCGGTAAGACCAAGAATGAATGAAAGGGAACCCAGAGGCAGAAATAGTTTAAGGATTGCATCCCTTGGTCGTGTTGGCTCACAGTGAGTAGATGGGGTAGTCAGATGCGGGCGAAGGTGGCTGGGCAGATCATGGCGTGGATGCGGCTCGCTTGTCGTATAGTCTGACGGCACGGTACCCAGCTTCTAAGTCTTCTGTTGCACAACTGAATCTCACGTCATTCAGTGGAACAAAAGGAACTTCCTGATATATGTGTGACAACCTACGCCCGCACATGCCTGGAAGCTGTGTGGGCGATATGTCCAGCTGAGGAGTTCAGGAGGATGAGATCCAACGGAGCAGGCTGACGTTACGAGGGTTAGGGGTCGTATTCCTCAGTGGTGGTCAGAACCGGGGGGAGGGCCACGCGGGTAGGCGCAGGACAAGATCAGCCACATGCATGCAAATCCACTTACACCGCGACGAAAGATACCTAGTCTTTCAAGTTACACTGACAATGAGTCCATGTATCACACTGAGTCTTTCACCTCAAAACTTACCACACAGGGCCTGACGAACCACTCGGTCTAACCACGGAAAGTGCAAAACGGCGCTTGCCGGGGGCTCCGAGAACGGCGGCGGCTGTGGACCACCACCTCGAGGCGCTTATCGCGACTACGAGTCAAGATGGACGTCACACACATCGGCAACACTTGCTCTCCCTTGGCCTCGCCCTCTGGTCACAACCAGCAAACAGGAGTCACAGCTTTTTTTCAACTGGATATATAGGGCTCAGCAAGTACGCTGTCGGAGGACTCATTCTTAAACCTCAGCTTTCGGAGCCTATTGGAAAGAAATTAAAGGCGTCACTCAAGCTGAAACTCGTCTCACCCCTTATTGAGAGCCTCCCTCTTTTCCCTTGAGTTTAAAACATATCATTCTCTGCCCACATTCAGACCTTTGCCACCTCGCACGCACAAAGATGGGCTCAACGACCGCGAGAACCCCCATCCGCCTCGCCATCCTCGAGGCGGACACGCCCGTGCCCAACGCCAACGCCAAGTACCACGGCTACAGGGGCGTCTTCACCGACCTCTTCCGGCGCGCCGTCGCCCCGGAGCCGCTCGAGGCCCACCTCGCCGTCACGGGCTACGACGTGGTCAACGAGCCGGACAGGTACCCGGACCTGGACTCGGTGGACGCCGTCCTCGTCAGCGGCTCCAAGCACTCGGCGTACCTGGACGACGAGTGGATCGTCAAGCTGGTCGCCTTCACGCGCAAGGCGCTGGCCACCGGCGGGAGGGTCAAGGTGGTGGGCATCTGCTTCGGGCACCAGATCGTCGGGCGGGCGCTGGGCGTCAAGGTGGACCGCAACGACAAGGGCTGGGAGGTCAGTGTGACGGAGATCAAGCTGAGTGAGACGGGGAGGGCAGTGTTTGGGTCCGACACCCTGGTAAGACAAGGAATTCTAGTGTGCCCCTGTGGCTCGGAGACGTGGTCCTGTTCTCATCCACTGACGCCGTGTCGCAGAAACTACACCAGATGCACCGTGACATTGTCTTTTCAAATCCCGAGGGCGCGCAGAACCTGGGCGAGAACGACGTCTGTGCCACGCAGGGCTTCCTCCTCCCGGGCAAGGCGATCACGGTGCAAGGGCACCCAGAGTTTACGGGCGAGATCATAAGCGAGATCCTCGAGATTAGGCACGACACCAAGGTCTTCACTGACGAGGTCTACTCCTCGGGTGTGGACAGGGCGAACAAAGACCACGATGGTGTGAAGATAGCCCAAGCGTTTTTGCGTTTCATAAAGGGCCAGGAAACTTCCTCGGCCTAGAAAATTCAAAAATAGTATTTGCAGTGGCAGATCCCGATCATGCTGAATGCTAAGCAAACATGACATTCCTTTGGGAGGGGGTGGGCGGCACATGCCCTTCAACCAGTCTGCATGCTGCCCCGGTCGTCACGCATCACACGCCCTTGCCACTCCTCATCCTTACCCTTTCCATCTTGACTTTCTACTTCATCGTCACCATGGAGCTCGACGTCCCACCAGTTCCTAGACACATACACCTGAGATGTGCAGCCCGGGCTCATCCTGCTGGCACGCTGCTCCCTCTCCATTTCCTCCTCCCTCCTCAGCCTCGCCCTCGAACCGTCGTGAAACATCTCCTCCCTTGTTCTCCCAATCTCATTGCGTGAGTCAAAACTGAGGCCGTTAACAAAAATACCAAGGTTCTCCCAGAACCCGCCTTTTGTGTGCCTCCAAGGCTTCTCCCTCAAGCAGAACACGATCGTGTCTGCCATGCCCTGGACGGACAAAGAGACAATGCTGGCTACCAATATCCAAAATGGCCTTTGATTGTGATCCTTGTGAAACCCGATCACATCGCTGACGAGAGGGAATACCCAAACACAGCCGTATACTGCTGGGTATATGAACAAGAGGCGCAGCTGGCGGCGTATCCTGTCGCGGCTGCGGGAGATGCCGTCGGACTCTAGCGTCTCGTAATCCAGAGAGGCTATGGGAGTGCTCGGGGTCGGGTCGCCTTCTCTTTCAGAACTAGGGCCCTGCTGGAGGACCGTATAAATGTGCATCTGCGAGCCATTCAAGTTACGGCTCCGGCCGACGTTGAGCCTTTCGCCCTTTGATGTGTCGTCTTCTTCCATAGTCGTTGATATTGGGCGGCGGTAGAAGTCGAAGGAGATGCGGCATTGGGATGGTGATTGCCGCGAGGGAAGGTTCTCAACTTTTCCTCCGAGTTTGAGTGTAGATAGCGAGGGCCGAGGTGGCTGGAGCTTGTGTCCTGTCTCCGTGAATTCAAATGTCGGCTCGGCAGCGCCTGTCTTCGGGGACACCAGCCCAGAACTGGAGGGCTGCACTCCTTCGTCAGCCTCCCAGTCTAAGCCCTGCCACGGCCATCCTCTTGATCTTTTTGAGCTTACGCTCAGTCGGTCTAGCCTGAACCTCAGTGATTCTCGAAACCGGACCCTGTCGTCGGCCTGGATGCTTGCAGTGCGTTCGTCCAGGCTTCTACCCGTAGGAAATCTGAATGAAATACGTCTGGATTCGAGCGGTGAAGGGACCAAACCGTGACTGATGAGAGGTGGCGTGTCTGGAATCCGTCTTGCTCGATGGGTTGTTGGAACTGACGCATGACGTCTGCTAAAACGTCTCATCCTTATGCAGATGTACATGTAAGAAGCACCGTACATGGCGATGATCAAGGTCATGTTGATGTATCGTGGAATCCAGGAGAGTGCCATTCGGTCCCACCAAGGCTTCATAGGCAAGTAGCAGTACTGACCCGTATCGACATAAGCTGGAAACCTCGTGAAGAAAGCCAAAGAAGCCATCAGTGTAGGGAAAAGAACGTAGAACGTGAAGGCAAGGTATCTGTAAGGATAGATCCCGCTCTCGCCGGCGGCCCTGTTTGACCGAAATATATATACGGTCCAATGAAGTGCAATGAGAAACACAGCAGCATCTGACGCTTCAATTCCCATGGCGAAGAAGAAGCCGCTGACCTGGCAGAATGCTGAGCCAGAGTCTGTTGACAGCAAATGGTTGAGAGTGATCGACGAGTAGATAACGAACCACAAGGACTTGGTAAGATCACTGGCGATCAGTAGGAGGATGAGGCTTGGGTGCAAGTTAGTCAACATTAACATGATGGCTGACCCACCCCCGAAGCAGCAGCCATGAACATACAGACTGACTTACTCGTGACGAAAACTGCGGCGCATTCTGACGAGCCAGTACATCGACAAAGATCCGGCCAAGAGGCTGACGGATGAGAACACCAGGGAAATGATCTTTAGATTGCGTGCCACAGACCATTCGAGTTCAGACTCTAGAGTCGACATAATATCTGGTTTGGCATGTCTTGAATGTGGTGACCGCGGCGCCAACAAGTCTGGGAAGATTGCAGCCATTCTCACCCTCAGACAGCCCCAGAAGTGATGAGCTCATCAGACAAGATGTCAAGCAACAAAGTGAAAGGGCATTCTGGGTGATCCGAGCAAACTCGTCCCATGCAGTTTTGTACCCGAGAGAAATTACAAAAAGTGAACAACCTGAGAATAAGACGGCGTCGGATGCTCCTTCTTGATTATATCAGTGGATGTGATCACTATGGCCCTGGAGAATCTCTCACATGGAAGCAACGAGCAGCATGACATCCGAGTCATTTCAGCCTGATTTGCAGCAATCACACAGCTCAAGGGACTGGATGCGAGGGTTGCCCGGCCTCTACCATGCGATTTACGGAAAAGCAACTGGGGAGACAACATGTGTGATGGAGACGGTCTCCCCGTGAAGGCGATCCTCAGTGTCAGCTGCGGGTCCCCGCCGCTGTAATAAACATAATTATAAGCAATCCCATATAAAACTCGTCACGGGAGTAAATCTCCGGTGGGTTGGATGACATCCAGGTCTGTTGTTCTTACTTTTGTCGAGAGATTGCGTTGGCCACTTGACCACCCTTGCCTGAGATGCAGGCGTTAGGCGTCGCCGTGGGGAGCTGAGAGAAGAAGCAAGTGGCCGCCACGAAAAAATCGGAATCCCACCATGGCAGCCATGGTTGTGCGTTTCGCTTTGGCCCACACGAAACAAACCCGCTACGGGGGCACGCGCTGAGAAATGTCATGTACGGAGGCAGCAGAGTGATGTAAGGTGGTCGCGAAGAAAAAGAAACTCCGGTGGCGATATGGGTTCATGGCCCTTGCGCTGCGCGGGGGACAGTCTGATTTGACGGGCGTGAGGTCTTAAAACTGGATTCGATCGTGTCATTGACAGCAGAACACAAGTCCCATTCTTGGACGGAGGCGGGCGCTGTGGTGCACTGGGCGTCATCCAGGCTGGCGTGGCGCCATGGGGCAGCCTCAGCTGAGAACATGATCGACAAACTTTGTCCATTTCCTAACGCCCTCTTGTAGTCTACGGTGTTCAAAATCGACGCCATAAACGCCGGTCCCAATGCAAGCCTGAAGCCCAGATCAAAGTGAGGCTGGAGACGGTCCTCCGCGACTTGGGCGGTTTTGTTGCCCGTGATTGAAGCCGAGCTGCGTGGCAGCCGCCATGCTCATCCCAAGAGGTTGATAAATTGCTCTGGCCAGTTTCCCCATAACAACGGCCGCTTTCCAAGTCTGCCGCTCACAGGCGTCAGCATGCTCAGCTTCCTCCTATCCTTGACAACGTCGGAGATGTAGACAAATCCCAGCACCGGCGCTGTCCGTATGCTTTCCGGGGAGTCGCCGACGGAGGCGTTCATGACTGCTAAGGTCCAGTGAGACAGGGCTGGCGTGGGCTCGATTTTCTCAAGTCCTCTTCCTTCACTGCCATGCTCGTTCGCTGTGCGTCATTGTCAGCATGGATCTTCTCACAGCTTAAGGGGGTCGACGAAAACTCACGCTCGGGAATACGGTAGATAGCTACGGCATCAAAATCCACTTGCTGTGTAAAGGGGCTCAGAGTCCTCTTGCTGTCGCCGAAGAAGTATTCCTTAATGGCAGCCTCCTGCATAGCTTTCATCCAGCCCTCATCCCTCTCGACCACACCGTGCGACTTGTCGAGCATCACCAATGCGATCGGCTCGCCCAGGGTGGTCTTTTCCCTCGCGAAGCGCTTCTGTAGCTCTGTGTGTAACTGAGACGAGCCCAAAACAACAATAATATTAACTGACAACTCGTCGACCACATGCCCCAACACGTCCAAATCCCCTGCCTCGATCTGGCCGGAGGAGCTGATGCCTGGCGTGTCGATTATCATCCCCGAGCTCTTGACGTCCACGTCGCCGCCCATGCGGGCCGTTGCGGACCCAGCCAGCCTCGACACAAGCTCCTTGTACAACTGGACATCGTCCGCGGGACTCTGGCAACCGTAATACTGCGCGATGGGCAGCTTCACGGGCACACCAGACGGCCCGCTGGTGGGCGTGCCACCCCATCCGTTGGTACCCTCGCCGTCCAGGTCCATAATCGTGGCGTAGACGGCGGCAGTGAGGGTCCCGGGCAGACTCAGCATGCCCTCGCGGGGGTCCGTGTTGACCACGACCGGCTGCGCTCCAGACTTGACCGCCAGCGCCGCCAGGGTGCGCGCCAGGCTCGTCTTGCCGACATCCCTGGCGCCCGCGATCAGGACCCGGGGCCCCGTCGCGTTCTTGGCCCTCGCCTCCCTCCGCAGGCCGTCAAGCAGGAAGTGCAGGTTCAGGTAGGACACCTGGGGCGTCTCGTCGGGGCCCATGTACTCGGCCACATACTCGTCGAAATCGCCGGCGGGCTCGAACTCGATCTCGCAGCCGCGCCAGGTCAGGATCTTGGACTTGGTGCCCCGGAGCTTGTAGGTCACGTTGAGGGCGAGCTCGGTGCCGTCGCGCTCTGCGGTGCCGGAGACGAGGCGCACGGCGACGGTGGAGTTGTGCGGGATCTCGAAGCGCCACTCCCAGAAGGGCCGGAGGTTGATCTTGCGGATGGGGGTGGTGGCTGCCTGTGGGTTTCGAGGAAGCAGTTGGTTAGCTTGCGGTCTGTGAAGTGGGTTGAGCTCTGCCGCTGACGTCGCGGGGACGCATTGGAGGGTTGACGTACCTTGATAGGCAGCTGCCCTAATCCAGGAATTGACATATTGAAATGCTCATCCCCAAAGATGCGAAGGGCAGGAAACAGAGCCGAGTGTCACGGCAGCTCAGCCTTGTTGGTTTCGATTCAAGACGGGAGGTGGAGCTTGCTGCTTGTAGCTCGCTGAGAAGGAGAGCTACTGCAAAGATCTGCCCCAGAACGGGCAACGCACGACGAGTACAGTGTGGTAGGAGGTACTCAGGTACCTGCACAGCAGATTTGGGTACCTAGATAGGTAGCTTCCAGGTGGGTAACAGTAGATTGCCACGGGCCAAGCCGAAGGCACCCCACACACCCACCCACTGAGAGATCCCCCACACCTGAGGCACATCGACCGGCCTAGTGCAGCTCCCCTGAGTCCGGGACATGGCAATCACACATGCCAAATCCTGCAGCCGAAATGCAGTCGAGAGGGTCCGTCGCTGGTGACGGAGGCCTTGCATGAAGACGTCATGGCTTCAAACCTTCCATTGCTGGCGATTAGGCAAGGATGACACAGCAGGCGCTCAAGGGATGGCAAAGTGTATGGCACCGTTGCTATCAGTGTTGTGGCAGGATCCTTCAGGGACGAAATAGGGTTTACACGGCCACGTAGACAGTATCACCTTGATTATTTTGGCAGTGTGAACCATGAGGTACATACAAACATAAAGAGCCCCAGTATGCCCTCCAAGACACGGCAGTCAAATCACATGGACTAGGCAAGAAGGCCAGTGGATTGAAATGAGAACACAAGTTTATTGTAAGACCAAGAGACCAGCTATGGCCCCCTATCCGAACGCCTATGGAAGTCAAGTAGGTACCGGTAAAGCTACTTGCGCAACAAGACCTTGTATGGGGGTATTATGATGAATCGTCATGGACACCCGAGATGGACCGAACACATCTCTGTCATGCCCAATCATGCCTGAACCCGTTGATGCTGCCCAGAACTTTTTTCTCTTGCCAAAATGTCATCAACACAAATGTCTACCGTGTATGCCCGGAACGCCTGTTCACACCCCGTCAAGTTGACCGCCTCTGTCTCCGACTGGTCACTGGCTTCTCTGGCTCCTTTGACAGCTCCTCGAAAATGGTGATCAAACTTCTGACACCCAGTAGTATGTTCTCGTCAGGACCCTGCCCCGGGACGAAGCCAGCGTGTGCAAAGTCGATGAGCTTCAGTCTCCAGATGTGCCCTTCCTCGGCATCTTCGTCGCTCTCAGACAGCTCATCGTACTGTTCTTGAGTGGGGAAGACAATCTCGCCCTCGTCGTCCAGACCGATGCCACTATCGATCCGGTTCGTGGTACGACCAGGTAGGCAGTCTTCCTCCGTCTTGGCCTTCACAGAAGCGGCGGTACTGCGGCTCTGGTCATCGATCTCCGCCTTGAGCGCGTGGCCGTCGCCCTCAAAAATGAACAGGAGACTGGAGGAGTACATGCGGGTCTCTTCGTTCTCTAGGACGTCGCGAACGTGCTTCAGGTCTCGTAGGAAAGCTTCTGCAACAGCTCTGGCGTACTCGTCATCGATCCCAGCCCTGCGGTTATAGAGAAAACTCCGGAAAGCCTCAACAACGTTGTCACAGTTGACGTCCTTTCGGCCGTAGTCCTTGTCATAGATGCGATAGTCCTCCTCGTCGAGGTCCTCTGGGTTATCGGAGCCTTTGAAAATACGCATGCCGGCAATTCGGAAGCCAAGCTCGCGGTGCGTCGTCTCGGCGCTGATCTTGTCGAACCTCCGCTTCTTCTCCAGTGGCGCGTCGTCAGCCCAAAGGCGTTTGCCCAGTTTGACATCCACGATGTTGGGACGTCTGAAACCATAAGCCGCATTGTCCAGGACGACCGCCTTGTCCGTTGGGATCTTTCGACTGGCATTTGGTATCCAAGTCACACCGTCCACAGGGGCCGGTTCTTGTGCCGGAATCGAGGCAGGCGCCGGAGCCACCATCTCTGCCAGTTCTTTCCCCTTCTCCGAGATCAGCTCGAGGACCTGCTCCTTCATCTCGGGGATGACATCTCCATCTACCACGGGTAGCTGCTCGGTGATGGCGTTGATGTCGGTGGCGGCGTTCAAGGAGAGACTGCCAACGAATTCGGGTACGATTTCCAGCATGCGCGAATGGTTCTGGGGCAGGGACTGATAAAAGTCGATTTCGGCCTGCGTGCATGGCTTGATGAACAGCTCGCCCTCGGTGTCGCAGAGCGTTCCATCACTGTAGGGGCAGAGCTGTCAGCGGCGAGGCGCAGGGGGAGACGCGGGTTTTTGAATGGTGCACGTCGTGCATACTTACTGTCCAGCGACTGCATAGTTGTACTCGACGAGTTCCGAAGGGTGCGGTATCTGCTTTTGCGAAAGCGGCATCCTGATGTGCGCCGCCCGTTGCATCTTGACGTGCGCCCGTCTCAGGCAGTAGAACGGGCAAGAAAGAAAAAGTTCGCGACTGTCGGCGCCTTGGTGTGGCGCATGTATTTGGGCGCCGGGTAGTGTTCGGGGTTAAAAGGGGACGCCCAAATTAATTAAGCTGTGGCGAATGTCAGTTTGCGAGGGCCGGGCACCCAAACGGCGGGTGTAGCAAGCCACCTGTAAAGGACGGCACTTTGGTATCGGTGTCAGGTTGATGGAATAAGACAATGGGCCGGGTCGAGGCGGAACGTGCTTCTGAGAAGGAGAGAGGAAAAAAGAGAGGTAGTCCAGATTATGAAGAGAAGAACCGGGAAAGTAGGACCAAGGAGGGTTGAGAAGGCAGAAAGGGTAAGGGGAGAGACGAAGGAGGGAACAAGAAGGAGACGAAGACGAGGATCGCAACCTTGGAGGGCTTAGATTGTGACGGAGCAGGTACGAGTACGTATGTACAGCCTTCGCCGTCGAGCGTGTCCGAGGGGGTTCATGGATCTTTGTCTGCACGTAGTGGGCTGTGACTGGTCCTGATCAGCGACTTCGACCATGGGCCCCGGGATGGAATTTGCGACCGTGCCCAAGGCGGAAGCAGAGGCGCACACGGGTTTGTCACCCTTCCTTCTTCTTATTCTTCCACTACTGCCGTGCTACCGTGCAGCGGTGCTGTACCTACCCAGGCTGCCAGGCAGGGTACCATGCCCATGTACCGTGTGTGCTAGCGGTACCCAGAGCAGCTGCTAAGTTCCAAGGCTGCTCGCGTCACGCCTAGCCGAAGCGAAATGGCGCTAGGAGCCAACGTGCCAAGCTGGCAGGGGTGCCGATCTTCTGACAGCTGCAGGTGAGTTTGAGGCAAACCACAGCACTGGCGAGCACACTGTTGGAGGCCGACTGCCTCCCTGTCTGCCTGCAGCACAGTCAATTGACCGTTGTCTGGTCAGTCAGTCTGTCACCTTTCTCCTGCAGCTTGCTGGTCACCCACTCACTCCGCATTCTGCAATCAATGGTGGCTTCTATATCCAGAGTCCGAGACAACGGACGGGTATTCTACCACAAATGCCTACTAGCACCGACCCAGAGAAGCAGTAGCAGCAGCGCGAGAGAGTCAGTCACTGTCCCACGCCCTTGCCCATGCCTTGCCCACGTCCTGCGCACGTTCTGCCCACCTCCAACCCACGTCCAGTCACCGCCTGATGCCAGTAGCTGGGACGTGCGTGTCACCCAGACGCCAGAATGCCTCAAGGTGGACCCGGATCTCCTTTCAAAGGAACGGGAGGACAAGAAAGCCCAGCTGCAGGGCCTGTAGGCGCTTACGTGTGGCGCACATCGCTGGAACACAGGGGTCTTCTCCATCCTGGAGGGGAAAATGGGGAACAGAGGTGGAGGGGCGAGGGCGTGGGTTCCTCGGAGACCCCAGCTCCTGCTCAGCCACTCCCGGTCCTTTAGCAGAAGGTGATTCCACGGTGGCAGGGTGTGGCAGGGTGGTACAATCTCACGGCAGATCCAGTCCGCGACCGTCCTCTCCGCCATGCGTCCAATCTTTTCTACTTCTGAGCCCCCTCCTGAACGAACCGCAGCACCCGTCGAGCAGCCGGACAGGAAGACCGAGACCGCCTGGACTGTTCTCGCTGCCGTTCGCAACCCTCCCACTCACGCCTCTCCTGCCACAACCAGCGTCCTGCATATACGCAGTGAAACCCTCTACACATGCCCCAACACGAGACAAACACGCGCTGCCGCCATTGCGAATCAGAGCGGTCCAGGTGTTCAACACCCGCCCAAGGGCTGATCATGGCCCGGTGCCAACTGGCACACCTGAACAGAGACACCTGCTGAGCTCGAAATCTTCAGGTCGCCCATCAGACGGCACTGCCGGACTCACACGCGGTCTTGTTGCACCTCTGCTGAACGACGCTAGGTGTGCAGGCCAGACCGTGCGTCCCACCATGGAGCTCTTTTTCCCTCTTGATTATCTTTCGTGCCGGTTGCCGTGCGAGTTCGCCGCTTCCTACGGGAGCTCTGTGGTCCTGCGCCATGCCATATAGGTCCAATTTTGGTTAATGTCCAGTGTCTGGCCCTTCCGCCCCACGAAGGGGGATTCGCGGACGGCCCACGGGTCGCCGATGATGCAGGGAGTGCCTTGGCCTTTTTTTGGTCCCCCTTGTCGGATGCCTCTCTCGCTGCAGAAAGACCCGTTCCACCAATCCTTCACGCGCATAATCTTTGCCCGAGAGCGCCACTGTGCAGGTCGCTTGAATTACAACATTAAGAGCTGTGAAAGAGTTCTAGGTGCGTTATCCGGTAGGTAAGCCGCTGGATAAAATGGCACCCGGAACCGGCCGCATTGATGGGCCTAAAGTACCTTCACACTGCTGAATTTGTACCCCGTCTATCAATGGTGGTGATGTGTTTTTGGGTGTAGTACAGTTCAACTTTCGATACCCGAAAGCGGGGTGTGAAATAAGCTCTAAGTACTCCACCGCCCATTACCCCCCCCCCCGCCCTCCATAAACTTTTCAAAAAGTGAAAGCATATCCATCCTGCTCTTTTTCGATGGCACAGCTGATTTCGTCGAATTCAAGACCTGGCTCAGCGACTCTGCAAGAAAAAAAAAAAGCCTGCAGACCTAGAAATAACCTGCACAAAGACAGTCCACCACCGGTAAAATGATACAAATGGCGCGGCACATTGACCCCGCAGCGAAACATGCCAACTGGAGGATACCACCCTCGTCACAAAGCCTTTTGGCGTGCAGGGCGTGGACATACGACCTGCGGAGGCGTTTCTATCCTCACTAGGGAAATATGGCCCCCGACAGAGGCTGCCAGTCCCTTCATTCTCTTTTGGTCCTGGGCAAGCGGGATGCCCATCACCCGTACTTGGGAGCGATGACCGAGCCAATCTGATCAGCGATTTCTTAAAGCTTCCCGATCTCACAGCACATCAACATCAGCTGAAGGAATTCCTGCAACAAGAAGCTATCAAACATGCCGAATCCGCGCACGACTTGACAAGGGCTTCGCAGAGGGACCCTATCATAATTGATCGGTTCCGCACCTTTGCAGCTGAGGAGGTCGCTGTATCCGGTGCGTCCCAGGAGTCCTTGATTTGCCCCTGGGGGTCCCTTGGGTCCCGGCTTCACATACGGCTCCACTGTCCTAGCTTGCTGGGGTACTCAAAAGGCTATGCCGACTCTGTGTTGCACCAGTTCCATGGGAGCACGGATAACGCTGTTGCCCCTTCTATAGCACTACTTGCAAGCAAAGGGATGATTGGCGACCTTCAAACGCTGGTCAGCGAGGCCTCATACCGTGCCGAACCTACTCATAATCGGGCGAACCGGAATGGACGAGCTCGATTCCCTGAAGACTATGGGCCCAACCTCCGCGCTATCCACCAAGCCTTCGCTGAATGGATCTGGGACTCGAGTCAAGCCGGCGTTGTACTGCTTTTCGGGTGCGAAAATGAGCGCCGTTTCTTGGAACGATTCTCCCAGGCTGTACTGTTTCGAATCCCCGGTTTCGAAGTGGTTACCGGGCGTGGCTACCTCATCCTCGACGAGTACAGCAATGTCTCCAGAATTGTCATCTGTGCTTCGCATCCAGAACATACAATTCGGTTCGCCACATACGTCCAGGCGATGCAGCAGGATCATCTGCTCAATCTAGCAGCCGCCCTGTCCGACATCCCGTCCGAGGTGCGGTCGGCCTGGTGCACCCAAGTAAAGCAAGCCTGCCTGATGCGTCTGTGTGACCACGCCAACCAGTTGTCGACAGTCCAAGACATTTTGGCCATCCTGCAATGGGAAGCTCGCGGCGGAGTTGTCTCGCTTGACATGTGCCCGCCCAATGTCCACGATCTGATGGAGCATTCCCATGGCGGCGAGGGTAAGAGCACTACGAGAAGGTTGTTGGAACTGCTTGAACGCCTCTGTCCGGCTGAGAAGAAATCTGATAGAGGAAGGTGCTTGTATGTCTTGTGTAACAAGCGGGCGGGTGAAGCGTACCAGGGTTATTGCTCGGCCCATTGGAAAGTCCAAAACCCAGGGATGAAGATGCCGGCACTGAGGTGTAAGTTTGATGATTGCGACAAAACCCGACAATCAAACTGCACCGGTTACTGTATAGTCCATTTCGCTGTTATCCACGGGAGGAGACACGGGGTAAGCTGCAAGGTCGAGGGATGCACGAAGCGAAGCCGCCCTGCAAGTCTTCAAGGTTACTGTGCGGCTCATTATCGCTCTGTGCATGGGAAAATAGGAAGTGGGGTTTGCAAGTTCCAAGATTGCGACAAGTCAAAAAGGGGACAGTGTGGTGGCTATTGTGCAGCCCATTACAAGATGGTATTCGGCCAGCGTCAGGGGCTGCTTTGCAAAGTGGCCGAGTGCCGGAAAGAACGGAGGGTCAATGGCTACTGCCATGCGCACAATAGGGCAGTGACGGGGTCATTTGCCAAGAATTACAGATGCAAGGCGGACGGATGCCCGAAGGCAAGGGTTGGGCTTTGTGAAGGCTTCTGCAGGGAGCATTTCAGGAGCACAGCAGGGATTTGGTGCAAGGGATATGGAGCCTGCAAAACTCGTGGTTGTTCAAGATGGGGCTATTCACAATATGGAGGTCATTGTCGGGCCCACCACCCTGTGGCAGCTGCAGGAGCACTCTCACTCCGATGTCGAGTGGAAGGGTGTCCACGTCAAGGGAACCACCGGTACAAGGGGGTATGCATAAAACATCGTGAGAACGGTCCATCTCGGGCGGGATTCATCAACAGGCCTTCCAAGGTATGTCGAGTGGAAGGGTGCGTAAGCCGAGGGAACAATCGGTTCCAGGGCGTCTGCAAAAGGCACCGCTTGAATATGTAAAACGGGATAAATTTTGCGACATTCGTCTGTTCAGAGGCTGCCAATGGTGAGGGACTAAGCAGCCCAAAAGATTCTGCGATGGACACCGAGCATAGCCCGCCAAGAAGACAAGATAAGTGTTGGTGGGTGAACAATGAATTGCATTCCCTTGATGAGGTTGCCGAATAAACGCCCCCCCCCCCCCCTAAATACGGAAGGCGGAGAAATTAATGCTTGATGTTCCGGACCACCAAAACAGCGTGCCTGGGTGTACGACCTTGGACCTGAGCATCTACCCTGGGCGACTGAAGGTGATTGTGATGGTCCGACATGGACGGAGTTTGTGGTCTCACGTATGCTGCTGAGCTGTTATTGCCCGACGTTTGACCTTGGGTCGCTCGGCCGACTCGGCCTCCTCCGCTGGCCTTTCCCTCTTCCGCCCTGCCATCTTGAAGATGTTTTGGGACTTCTTCTTTGGCTGGATAGCAGGACTGGCAGGAGTATTGGTGGCCTTGTGGCCTAATCGAAATGTGATGTTGGTATCACTGTTTTGTGTAGGAGTAAGCGACGTAGGTTGTGTAGGCAATGGAGAAGTCGTAGGCTTTGCCTGTGCCCGTGCCTCTGCCTGTGCCTGAGCCCTCTTGACCTGCTCCTCTAGCTGCCGCTCCTCCTGAAGCCGGCCAGCCGCCTCCTCCCGAATCTTCTTATCAAGCAGCGTAGCACGCTGTAAAGCGTCAGGGGAAGTGTCGATCCAGGCTATGTAGATACCGTCATCCTTCTCCTCGACGCGGCAGAGACCTTCACGGCCAAGCCATTTTGCAAAGTCGCTTAGGGTATGCCAGCGTGTTGCGTTAAGATGTATGTGGTTACGGTCGGCAATGTAGGTCTGGTAGAACCGGTTGACTTGTATGCTCTTTTCGCGATGGTTAAGACGGAGAAGGTTCAGAAAGTCAGACTTAAACTGCTGGGAGAACTGCTCAACAGCTTGGCCGAGATTTGAGCCGATGGCATCGATGTTGCGGACGTGGCTTTCGGACAGGGTGTGTTGCTTGAATGCGTTCTCGTCGCGGCATTGTTTGGAACAGGGCGTGCAGTACCACCGTAGGCGACCGAGGCCTATGAGCTTCTTCGTCGATCCGCCGGCAGCATGTCGTGAGTCGCGAGACATGGCGTATCTGGTCTGTTCTGGGTTGAGAGATGATGACGCCAAGCTCTTGCCCGAGGTGGAGGTGGAGAGGAAATGTAGTGGTGGCAGCCTCGGCTGCCTGCCCGCAGGCGGGGCACGGGCCAACTCCTCCAGCCGCAGATCCACAGCCACAGCCACCACACGTGCTATGCTAGGGCCTGTGTGACTAGTCACACCCTGGTTAGCATCCCCCACCTTATGACCAACCAGTACATCCTAATAGCAGTCACCATGTGTGGGTGCAGTATGCCAGTATCCAATCACTATATGGCTACCTCAAGCAATCGCACATACCTAGGTAATCTCCAAGTGTTGACGAAAATGTGTAACCTTGATACACTAAAATTATACGGTTGGCTAGCACGTATGAATTTGCCTAGCTAGCTATCAATTGATTGCTGTACTGCCCCTTTATTTGGGGCCTGCAGTAGGTACTATGACTGTCCGATCACTATCTAGCAGTTGAGAAAGGTGCCCTGAGGCTCTCCTACGAGCCATCTCCCGAGTCCCAAGACTGCCATTGCGACACGGCTGGCATAGCCAATCACAAAAGCGGCAGCCCGGACCGCATCGCAGGCATTACAACCGTGGTGTTACTCGGATAAAGTAATCAGCCACCGACCTTGCATGTGTACAAATGGCTCAATCTCGCGACAGCCTCACCGTCTGACAGCACCGCCAGCCACTCTCCACTACCAACAGTGGCATGAGCCATCATGCAGTCAGAAGTGATAAGCTCTGTGTCGCCGGCAGATTTTTCATTGCCTAAGCAGGCTGCCTCAGGCTCTATTCTTGCCTTTAAAACCTGCAAGCCCGGTGTGACAGGAGTGTAAGTGAATGGTCTAGCCTGATCACATTCGAGTAGACTCAAGTGAAGAAGTCTCAGACTCGAGATCTAAAGATGATTGACTACCACTCAGTAGCATAGTCCTGAGTTCGCTGTAAAGGAGCGCAGTATCTTTCTACGACGGAACTTGTATGCCGGATCGAAACCCTTCCAGGGAATGTCTTGCCCCTGTTTACCTCGTCCATCGTAGTTAATTGTGGCTCACTGAGAAGTGTTCCCAATATCGCAACGTCTACTGCGGAATGCCTTCCAAAAGAGCAAAGCGATCTGATGTTCTTCTGGTGATCTCTCCACCAGACATGCCTATCTTGTAAACCGCTTCAATCTATGAAGCAAGTTTCTTGAAACGGTGCTTCAAGGTTTCGTCCTGAACATAGTAAAAGCTTGCTGCATCTATTGTTGTGAAAGGTTGCCCATGGTGAAGTGTCAATGGAAACTTGTGGAGAGTTTGCTTCGAGGACAGCTTAATGACAGACAATTGAGTGTTCCCAAACAATACTGAAATGAAGGAGTTGATCACTTGCTTGCCATCTGATCCGCAGAAGGTTTGTTTGTACAATTGAGATGACCTTGCACCTTCCGTTTCCTTTTCAACTTACTGCCTCTTTCGTCAACTCCTCCGCCCATCCACGAGAATGGTCTGATCTTGACCTGTCTTGTGCCCTTTACCATTGACAAACCATTTTTCGACGACAGGAGGCCTTTTCCTTCCTCCGCTTCCAACCCCCCACCATCAATCCGGCATGGCAGGAAAAAAGAAGAGCAAGAGCCTCAAGGCTCGCGGCGAGACGAGCCTGAATAAGTATCGTGGCTCAGGTTTTGAGGATGGCTTCGCTGATCCTCCGATCACTCCGATGGAGCATGCCGCTGAAAGGCAGATCTACGACCCGTACGTACCGCGTCGCGTCTCTTGAGCTATGGAGCAAACGTTAGCTAACTTCAAGGCAGGAAACGTTCTTTCCACGAGTAAGCCAATCTCGACCTTTCTCTTAGTTTCCGCAGCCGGCTGACTTGACTCGCATGGACAGGCGAATTGAGGAGTGTATCCAGCGGTACATGTCGCGTCGCCGACTCACCAGTGATCGCAAGGCCCTCTTCACCAAGTACTTGGCCCTCGGCGGCGTGGACACAGACCAGCGCCAGTTCACCGGCACTGCGAAGCACGTCAAGGACATGAAGGAGGATGACGAGTATGATGCTGACCACGTCCGCGAGATGACTGCCAACGAGGTCCTTTCCCGTGAATGGGCGGAGGTTGGAAAGTTCTACAACCCATATTATCCAGAGCACTGGGATGTGGACTTCGCCGGTGTGGTGGCTGGATTCCTGTGAGTACTCACACCATTTTCGACGCGAATCATCATCAAGGACATGCTTCTGACATGCGCCGCTGTTACGCAGTGGCGATTGGCTCCCCAAGACGATGGGACTATCGGATTATGAGAACAAACTCGCAATCGACACCATCCTCAATTTTCTCAGATATATCCAGCACCATGACGTCTGTCCCGAGTACGAGGACAACCTTACCCAAGCTCGCACGATTTGTGAGCTCGCCCGCACAGAGATGCCCAGTATCGGCGAGGTCGGCGCTGCGATGCCAGGGGACTTCAATCTCGCTTGCCAGGTCCTGTTCTGCAGCACTGGAAAGGCCAGCGGTCCCACGGGCCTCAACGACTCCGGCGACGTACACTACGAAGTAAAGCCTTTCAACGGCGCAGAGCACAAGAACTCCTGGGACACTGGCATCATCGCGCCCGAGAACTTCGACGCCGAGCGTGTCTTCAAGGCCACCATCTCCATCCACGAGCCCGGCCTGATCGACCGCGTGCTCCAGCACAACGAGGACCCCATCCGCGTGGTCAAGACCTACGACGACGCCTTTGCCGTTAAGGAGATCGTCTTGACTACTGACGAAATCATCAACGTCTACGATGGCATCAAGGACAAGGCCGGAAAGACCCGCACCGTCAAGCCCATCGGCCGCGTCGTCCTCGTCCCGAGCATCATCGAGGACGGCTGGGACAACCACCCCACCCTGGCCGAGGGCCGCCCGGACGGCGAAGAGGTTCGGCCTATCTCCATCTACCTCGAGCACACCACGCTGGCCAACCTGAAGGAGGGCATGAAGCTGCGCCTGACCATCTGCGAGCTGGACACCGCAGTCGGCGGCGGCGGCGGCGACGGTCTCGCGTTTATCAAGGCGTGCTACGAGATCCTGCCGAGCTTCCACACCTTCCTGCCGCAGTCACTCATGATGCACTACAAGCCTCCCCGGACCAACGACCGCCCCCCGCCGTCGGTGGACGACCCCGCGGCCGAGGATCGCGCGGTGCTCGAGGAGGTCGAGGAGGATGCCAAGGAGGCTGATAAGGCCGAGCGCCGGGCGGACCCTGAGCTGGACCGTCAGATGAAGGAGACTGAGGATGCCGAGCGGCTGATGAAGGTCATGGAGAGGGTCAAGGTGGAGGAGTGATCTGGACGAGGCTTGAGAATCAGGTGGACAGCTCCTCGGGAACGAGGACAGGGCACGCTTTTGACGTCGCTAAGTCAAGACAAGCCCTTATTTGATAGCTCGTCTTTCGAGGCTTCAGTTAGGACGCATCAAAAATGCCATTTTCTCACGACGAGGCAGAAAAGACAATTCAATTCTGTCGTGCTTAGCCAGTGTATCTTCCTGCTGGGAGGACTGGGGGCGTCATCGGAACGACCAATCTCACAGCTGCCTAAAGCTAGGCCATTTGCGCAATAGCAAAACTCAGTAAAAGCACAGAAACAAATGCAATAAGGAGCAACAATCCTGCCGTGCCAGGTCGCATGCCGAACTCGCAGCCCACAACCATCAAAACCCACATTTCGGCCCCCCCCCCCCCCAAGAACGCCGTCCGATGCAAATCCGTGTACGTGTATATCTCATAAAAGAGTGAGTCGTGAGCCCTGAACGGGCTGTCACTACGCCGCGCTTGGAGTCTTCGCCCTCGTCCTTCGCGGTGAAGGGACGTAAGCCCATTGTGGAGCTGTTTTGGTCTTGCTCCTATCCACCATTTCTTTCCGCCATTGTCCGGACGCCTCGTCTTCCGTCATCTCAAGAAAGCCGCTGCGCCGCTCCCCGCCGTCGCCATAGAGCACTCGTACTAATCCATCTGTTCGTCGGAGCCCCTATTACCGGCTCTGGTCCTGGATCTTGTTGTCGCCCATCACGACCTGGGCGTAGCTGGGCGGTGGCGCCTGGTCGTCGCTCGAGCCCTCACCTCCGTTGGCGTGGCCCTGCGCCGCCGCCGATGACGAGCCGGCGTTGTTGTTGCCCTGCGAGGTGCCGTAGCTCATGTTGCCCTGACGCGCCGGTTTCGGCTGGCCCTGGGCCTGCCCGCGGGGGGCCCGCTGCGATCGGCGGCCGTTCTCGTCCTGCTGGACGACGACATATGTCACGCGGCCGTGCTCCGAGTCGCCGACGCGCTCGTAGTTGCTGTAGTCGGGCTCTGGAAACTTGGCGATGATGTACCAGGCGTGGAGGAGGCCCGGGAGGAAGCCGAGGACACAGAGGAGGATGTTGATGACCGAGTCGGCGCTGCAGATCCCACACTTGACCCAGACTGCAGATAAAAATGGTTAGCAGTTGCTTCATTCGCTGCGAGAATACTCGGCTCGCGCGAGCACCTTGGGTCACGAGAGCAGTGCGAGCGGGTGAGGGCTGGTGGGGAACCGGGGAGGGGGGCAGCTCACCTGGCAAGGGTGGGAATAGAATGGCGAGGAAGCCTAGGAAGATGTCGGAGGAGCACATCGTGGTGCGCAGTCGAAGTCGTCCTGCTGGCTCGAGCTCGAAAATGATGTGGATGGTTCGGGTTTGTTGTTGATGTGCAGCAGTTATTGCATTAGTCGAAGCTAAGTGGAGGAGGGTTGTAGGAGAGAAGATGAGTGAGAGCTGTAGGCAGGATGCGGCTCGAGAGTCGAGAGCGAATGGGTCACTTGGGGTACAGTCAGAGGTCCCGTGGACACTCTCCCGCGGTTACAAGTACGCAGTTGGGGGCCGCCGGGGGCGATGCCGTTCGACTGAACCGGGTGGACTACCCATAGGCTAGGCCATGCTGAGGAGGGACTGAGGTCATGTTTCCTCGCGGGTGGCAGTGTTGGGCCTGGGGTACGCAAGTGGGGCGGCTTAAGGTTAACAACGGGTTCAATGCCAGAAAACGTCCACAGGGATGCTGGTACCTGCGTACCCTGCGTACCTACAGTACACGCGAGCTAGTGTGTTGGGCTTGCCCTGTACAGTACTGCATTCGTTCGAGCTTAGCAGCGCGGTCCAGAAACTACAGCCTGAGGTAGTATGTGGTGCTCCTCTTGACAGCATATTTACTGAAGTCTTCTCATGGTCATACGGTAAGGATGCTGGCTCACAACTGTCAGGTACATCCAGCACGTACGTGTACAAATATCCGTGCGATCCGGGGCGCAGCAACACCGGATTTGAATTGGAGAAAGATCTTGGAAGCTTTATTGATCCTGCGAAAGTGGAAAAATAAAGCAGTGTCAAAACTCGACTATCCATTCTTTGGAGGGATGAACAATAACAGTATGCCTCATTTTACGTCTTCCGTAACTATCAGCCCACAACTATACACATCAGCTTGCGCTCTGTCTCCAGGGAAATACCAGAAAGGATGGTCTCCTGTGTTTGGGGTGATTGGGGGGGGTCTCATCCAGCAAGAACACCATCTCGACTGGGATGGACTCTAACAGGTGCTCCCAGGAGGACAACCTCCAATGTAGAATATTTTCCAGTGGGAGGCTCTTTAAGGCATCAACGTATCCTGCGAGATAAATCGCTTTCAGATAAGATTCTTGAACCTGTGGGATACACTCCTATAGAACAGTTATTTACGGGGTAACCTGCTACTGTGAGGACAACCTCCTTGGGGATAACTCCATGTGGGCTTTGGGATACTTTGCTGGGGGATAATGTTCTATAGCACAGTTTCCTGTGTCCTACAAGACCACCTCCTGAAGCATGAATTCCTACCAATAGAATCATGTGGGATGACTTCATGTGGGATTATGTATCGTTTCCTGTGGAAGAACCTCTGTTTTCGTCTGCCTGACTGACTACCTGGGCTGCCCGCAGGTGAGTGGATGTACTAGCGCCGATCCGTCAACCATCCCTGCCTGTTTCTGCGAGGTCGAAACTACAAACTTTCGTCGCACTCCCCAACCACGGCGTCTTCCAAATCGCTCGGCGCCACACGACAACCATGGACGACCTGGCAGCACTAGAGTCACTGGAGCAGTTATCGCTCGTCTCCAAGATATCGTCAGAGCTGCAAAACCACTTGGGCATCGCCGATAATGACGCCCGCAAGACCCTCGCCGAGTTCGTCATCGCGAAACGATTAGAATGCGACACCCTCGATGATTTCAAGAAGATGCTGCCCGGCATGGGCGCATCTTCCCTGCCAAACAGTTTAATTGAGAGCGTTGATCGGCTCGTGTGCACGATGCACCCCAAGATGAAGGGAAAGGCTCAACAGCAGGACGACAGGCCGACACGCACTATTCGGGAGAACGAGCAGATATTCAAGGGCCTAAGCCTGCCTGATAAGGACCCTGTGGGCAGCGGCATAGACGAGATCGACGATACCCTGGCCCTTCTCGAAGATTTGGAGGGAAAGGCCACAAAAGATAGGCCGTCGAAAAGCAGGAAGCGCAGCCGCAGCCCGGAAGACGACGGATCCCATAGGCGGAGGAAAGACCGCCATCGAGACCGAGACCGAGACCGAGACCTTTACGATGACGATTATTCCAGGGGCAGGTCCCGAAAATACGATGACGACGCGAATGGAGACAGCCGAAGGAGGCACAGGAGGCGAGGGCGCTTCGACGATGACGAGGAGGACGAGGACGAACATTTTCGACGACCCCCACCGCAGGAGGTCGACGATACTCCACAGCTTTACAAAGTGTACGATGGACATGTCACGGGCATCAAGGACTTCGGGGCTTTTGTCAATATCCACGGAATAAAGGGAAAGGCCGACGGTCTTGTGCATGTATCCGCACTCGTCGAGGGGCAGCGAGTAAATCACCCCTCTGATCTTGTCGCGAAAGGTCAGAACGTGAAGGTCAAAGTCATCAAGGTTGAGGGAAACCGGATCGGGCTGTCCATGAAAGATGTGGACCAGGAGACTGGCCATGACCTCGCTCCCCAGGCGAGGATACAGTCGGGGGCTAACTCGATGGCTTTGGGCAGCGCGGGCGCCATGCCGAGCAGCCTACCAGCCAACGGCTTTAGCTCACAGAAGCGGCACAAAAAGCGGATGACGTCGCCTGAAAGATGGGAAATACGTCAGCTGATCGCATCTGGAGTCGTCAAGGCGTCTGATTATCCTGATTTGGAGGAAGACTACAACGCCACACTCACTGGCGAAGGCCAGATGGATCTTGAGGAAGATGTGGACATTGAAATCCGGGACGAGGAGCCCCCCTTCCTCGCTGGACAGACGAAACAGAGTCTCGAATTATCACCAATCCGAATTGTCAAGGCACCAGATGGGTCACTGAATCGTGCTGCGATGTCCGGTACCAATCTTGCAAAAGAGAGGAAAGAAATGCGCCAGCAGGAGGCAGCGGCTAAGGAGCAGGACTCGAAGGTGGATCTGGCAACTCAGTGGCAGGATCCCATGGCAGATCCTGACAAGCGAAAATTCGCTAGTGACATGAGGCAAGCTACGATGCGACAAAAAACGGACGTGGCTCCAGATTGGAGGAAAGCTATTGCACCAAAGGACGCATCCATGGGCAAGCGATCAAACATGAGCATCAAGCAGCAGCGAGAGTCTCTGCCTGTCTTCAACTTCAGGAGCCAGCTCATACAAGCGATCAAGGACAACCAGATCATGATTGTGGTTGGAGAAACTGGTTCTGGAAAGACCACACAGCTTACCCAGTACCTGGCGGAAGCTGGTTTTGGTGACCAAGGCATGATAGGTTGCACGCAACCCCGTCGAGTCGCGGCAATGAGTGTGGCAAAACGTGTGGCAGAAGAAGTTGGATGTGAGGTCGGCGCCGAGGTTGGGTATGCCATCCGGTTCGAGGACAAGACCAGCAAAGACACTGTCATCAAGTATATGACGGACGGTCATCTTCAGCGAGAGATCATCATGGACCCTGACCTGCAGAGATACTCCGTCATCATGCTGGACGAGGCTCACGAACGTACAATCGCGACGGATGTGCTCTTCGGCTTGTTGAAGAAGACGGTCAAACGGCGGCCGGATCTCAAAATCATTGTCACCTCGGCCACTCTGGATGCGGACAAGTTCTCCTCGTATTTCAACGAGGCACCGATTTTCACGATCCCTGGAAGAACTTTCCCTGTGGAAGTTCTCTACTCGAAAGAGCCAGAGAGCGATTATCTCGATGCGGCATTGGTTACAGTCATGGAAATTCACCTCGCGGAACCGGCCGGAGATATTCTCGTTTTCCTCACGGGTCAGGAGGAGATTGACACAGCTTGCGAAGTGCTGTTCGAGCGTATGAAGGCCCTTGGTCCCAACGTGCCCGAGCTCCTTATCCTACCTGTCTACTCAGCCTTGCCGAGCGAGATGCAGAGCAGGATCTTTGAGCCGGCACCCCCAGGCAGCAGGAAGGTCGTGCTGGCCACCAACATCGCCGAGACATCCATCACTATTGACGGAATCTATTACGTCGTCGATCCGGGTTTTGTCAAGCAGAACGCTTATGACCCAAAGCTGGGCATGGACTCCCTGGTTGTTGTGCCAATATCTCGTGCCAGTGCTCAGCAACGTGCAGGCCGAGCAGGAAGAACTGGCCCTGGAAAATGCTTCAGGCTCTACACTCAGCAGGCATTCGAGTCAGAGATGCTCCCTACCACGATACCCGAAATCCAACGGCAGAATCTAGCACATACGATTTTGATGTTGAAAGCCTCGGGTATCAACGACCTACTGCATTTCGGTTTCATGGATCCACCGCCTATGAATACCATGCTTACGGCCCTGGAAGAATTGTACGCCTTATCAGCCCTGGACGACGAAGGACTTCTCACCCGACTCGGTCGAAAGATGGCAGACTTCCCTGTCGACCCCTCCCTAGCCAAGGGGCTTGTGTACAGCGTCGACTTGGGCTGCTCCGATGAAATGCTCACCATTGTCTCCATGCTCAACATTCAAACCGTGTTCTACCGGCCCAAAGAGAAGCAATCCCAGGCAGATCAGAAGAAAGCCAAATTTCACGACCCGCATGGCGACCACTTGACGTTGCTCAATGTATACAACTCGTGGAAGCACAGCGGCTTCTCTAACCCGTGGTGTTTCGAGAACTTCATTCAAGCACGGAGCGTTCGCCGGGCCAAGGACGTGCGGGATCAGCTCACCAAGATGATGCAGCGGTACCGGCACCCTATCACGTCGTGCGGCCGCGACACGGAGAAGGTGCGGAGGGCACTTTGCTCGGGCTTCTTCCGTAACTCCGCCCGCAAGGACCCGCAAGAGGGCTATAAGACGCTGATCGAGGGCACGAACGTCTACCTCCACCCCAGCTCCGCGCTCTTCGGCAAGAACGCTGAGTGGGTCATCTACCACTCGCTGGTCATGACGACCAAGGAGTACATGCACATCACCACGGCCATAGAGCCCAAGTGGCTGGTCGAGGCGGCGCCCACCTTCTTCAAGGTCGCCCCTACCGACCAGTTGAGCAAGAGGAAGAAGGCTGAGAGGATCCAGCCGCTGTACAATAAGTACCAAGGAGAGGACGATTGGCGGCTGAGCGCTCAGAGGAGGGGAGGGCGATCGGGCGGCGGCGGCGGCACATGGGGCTAAAAAGGGGTTTATCACTGTTGCATTGCATAGACAGTCCAAGTCAGAAGTCCATACAGAGTATCCAGGTACCTCTAATCAACAAGCCCAATATTACATTACATGTGACTAGCTACCTGTATCACACAAGACGTTTTCCCACTGCATGTCGCACCAAGGGAGGTCATCCCGTATGAGGGTATTCCACGGCAGGTTGTCCAGCCTGGGGCTATTCTATGCGAGGTCATCTCACGAGATTTCCCCCTACGATTTGTCAAAGAGGAGGCAATCCGAGCAGACTGTTCCAAGGCGCATCTCAACTACAGTATATGTGCCAGGTAAGTAACGCGCCAAGGTCTGAATTCTTTTAAGCTGTATGCTATATATATTAAAATTGCTAATCAAATCTGCACGAGGGCAGTAAACCACACAAGCAACTATTAGGCATATGGTCACAGTCACCTGAGTCCAAGCATTTTCAAAATATCATGGCGATGGAAGAAGCTACGATTCCGCTTGCCGTAGATGTCTACACAGAATGTCAGCGAGGCCTGCAGATCGAACAGAGGTGGCAGGGACCTACACATTGGGATACTGGACGCACAGATGACGACCTGTATGGCGCCAAGGGCGTTGAAGAGGGGCGTCGCCTTGGTGCCGTTGGTGATGAGCCACTCATAGGCCTTGAAGGTAAGTGCAAAGCTGAACATGTTCTTGAATATGATCATGCACGTCAGGCCTTCGATGGCCAGATCGCCTGTTCCGCCTTGTCAGTGCTCCGATACCATCGGGCGGAGGGGAAGGAATCTTGGGGGTTACTCACGATACGCATCCACGATGTAGAGACTACTCGCAACAGCACCAATGATCATACCGCAGACCTCGAACCCGAAGAAGGCCAGCGGCACGGCATACCCATACTTGCCAGCCAGGAGCCCGTCAGAAGCGGCGCCCCAGCCGAACACGCCGATGCACCCGAATATGAACTGCGGGATGACCAGGACGATGCGGAACTCGGGCTCGTAGACGCCGCCGTTGCGCCTGGTCATGACCTTTGCGGACCAGTCCGACAGCCCGCCGGCGATGAGGAACCCGACGATGGCGCCGATGAAGGCGGCCGTGTACGCGTAGCCGGTCTTGACCTCGTCCCACCACAGCGGGTAGCCCAGGAAGAAGGCGCCGAGGATGACGCCGATGAAGACGGTCCAGCCGATCAGGGTGCCCTGGATCAGGCACGCCCACAGGAAGGCGGGCTGCAGGAAGAGCGGGAAGGGCCGCAGGGCGAGCTTCCAGAGGGACTCGTCCGTCTTGCGGCCGTTGAAGAGCGCGAGGGACCGCAGGTAGCTGGTCTTGGCCGGGACTGCTGCCGCGGCGCCGCCGGCTGCGGGTTTACCGCCGTCTCCGTTGATGGCGGCCTTCTCGGAGTCCTGGCTGTTGTTGTCCCGGGTCGACAGCGGGTGGTCGTCGCCGTTTGCCACGCCGGCGGGGTCGTCCTGGGCCAGCATGTCCGTGTTGAGGCTGGTGTCCCGCTTGTACGCCGTCTCGGGGCAGAGGAACACGATCGCCGGCAAGCACAGGCCGCAGAAGATGGCGACCAGGTAGAAGGTCCACCACCACTTCAGCTCGTGGGTGATCTTGCCCACGACGATGGGCGTGAAGAAGGCCCCGCCAAAGACAGCCAGGTTCGTGAGCGCCATCCTGCTGCCGCGCTGGTGGACAAAGTACAGGTCGCCCACGGCAGCATTGACCAATGCCTCGTACGGGGCGCACCCAACCCCCTGGATGATCCGGGACCAGAGGAAGCTGGTGTAGTCCTTGTGGTAGCCCACGACGCCGCCCCAGGCGCTCGAGGCCACCAGGACGATCATGCCGAAGATGAAGGTGTGCCTCTTGCCCCACACGCGGCTCGAGGGCACGAAGAAGGCGCTCGCGAAGCCGGTGCCGAGCAGGAAGTAGCCCGTCAGGACGGCGACGTCGGTGAAGTCATGGCTCATGTACAGCGACACGGTGACGGTGTTGGCGGCGAGTATGGGCCCTAGGGCGGTGGCGAAGATGGCGGAGAAGGACAGGATGAAGGTGATGAGGTCGCGCTTCCACAGCGGCCAGTTGAGGGGGTCGTTCGGGTCGTCGGAGGGCTGGGGCACGAGGATGATGGGCACGGCGCCGCTGTTGTCGGTCTTTAGGCCGCGGGCGCCGTGCGCGGCGAACTGCGGCCGCTCGGTGTCGTCGAAATAGCGGGTCGTCCCTGGAGCAGGGCGGTCAGTGAGTGCAGACGGGGTGTATATTCGTGGGCACAGCGCGTACCTGGGACATGGTCCATGACCCTGTCCTCGAGAATTCCCAAACCCATGATGGATTACTCTGAGGCGTGCAATGATGTGTGGTAAGGATGTCTAGATTATCAAGAGGTTATAGGCAGTCAGAACAGAAGCATGGTGATTGCTTGGACAGCCACCAGACCTCGACAGCTCACTGCCAGGGAAGCCGGGAGAAAATGGACTCTTGGTGTATACGAGCGTGGATTGCTCGTTAAAAGAGTCGTGGGCGAGGACGGGAAGGTTTCGGCGTCCGCCCCGTTGCTCCATGGCTGCATGGGTGCTGCATGGCTTGGCGCCAGTCGTCTGCAGTGGCCGACTGGCTGGAGGCTGGAGCTAGACCAAATGCTATAGCTGCATTTAGAGTTGCAGCAGCACATTGTGATGAGCGTGAGAGGCGTGCTCTGTTCACCTCTCAGAACTCTAATAGCAACCCCTCCAATGCCTTTCTCCTGCAGCATTTCGTCATCCTGAGCGGCAGTGCTAGTGCAGTGCAACACACGCGCGCACAGAGAGGCATCTCACACGTTGCGTGCCGTGCCGTGTGCGCTGTTGTCGGTGAGTTTGGCCGTGGATGGGCTTGTAAAACGGCTTCACGGGCTGATTGCTCGGGCCACTGCGGGGGAGAGACACGCAGAACACGGCGGCAGTCGGGGAGTATGGCAGTATCGGGGGTGCGACGAACCACCCCTGATCACATCGGACCTCGTGGTCAGCCCATTTCAGGTGGAGCCGCCGTCCGATGTGACTGCACTGGCGCCCGGCACACGGTGCAGCTTTGGTTCATCTATGTGAATATGTCTGTAGGTGCATGTTTCTCTGCCCTCTCGCTGGCCCGGCAGTGGCGCGGCAGTTCCTCACAGATCGACAGAGATGGTTTGATGGCGGAGGATATCCCTGACAAGTTGTTGGCACGTTCGTCCGGCAGACACGAGAGGAGTCGGGGGAGAAAGGCAAGGAACGGGAGTCGTCCAGACTGGCCACACCACGTCGCACAGTATCAGAGCAGTTGTCCAGCGCAGCAGGGCCAAAGCTCCAGGGAAGCACAGCTGAGTTTCTTCAGTGGGGGCGGTGGATTCGGTGGGCTCGGTGGAGACCTCATTAAGGTTTAGCTGGAAATTATCAATTTGTTTGGTCTCTTGCTGCTCTGCTGCTTCTGCTGCCACACTCGACGAGGTCAGCGTCCAGCCCGAGGGACCCGAAATAGTCTATCGACCTGCCATTGAAGGAAGCTTCCAAGGCTGCTGCTGCCATATGCTGAAGGAATCTGCTCGTGCACGAGCAGGCAGGAATCAAGCTCGGCATATGTTACCACCAGAAGCTTCACCCGAGCATGTCGGCGATGGAGAAAGTCGCCGGGCTGCTTGCCGTCTCTGGTTGATTGTACGCCGTCGCTTCCCTACCATAATAATCTTCACGATTCAGAAGCCGAACCTGAGCTTGGCACCCAACCATCTCAACCCCAGAATCTTCCCGGCCCCTCCGCCACGCTTGGCAGCACGCCGTAGTTGACGGCATAACAACTCGGGCTGGACGGACTGTAGTCCGTATCAGACAAGATGACCAAGGATTCTAAACTATTACCTGCCAACCTGCCGTAGGCTATCGCTTAAACATCGCATTGCATGAACGGTTCCCCAACTCCCTTCCCCATTTGTCTTGCTAGGTGGTGCCCCTGGCCGCTCCTGCTCAATCCCCCCTCGCATGCTTTCCAAGCTTGGTTAGCTTTGGCTGGGTATCGGCGCGTTGTTCTCCCTAAAGAAGCCACCACTTTCCCCACTCGCCCTTGTGCAACATCAGTGAACGGCCGACGCTCGGTGAACTCTACCTTTCTGCCTCACCTTTCTTCAGCTCTGAGCTCGTCCATTCATAAAATCAATTCAGTTTTATATACCTCTCCTACCTCACCCGGAGCGTCTCTAGCTGTGCAACATCAGTAGACTGCGATCTAATTGCCATTGTATACTACCTGCTCACACGCGCCCGCCAATATGCTTTTCCCCACCGTCTCACTCTCGGCGGCCATCTTCGCCGGCCTGACCGTCGCTCAGTTCAACGGGCTGCCCACCTGTGCTGTAAGTCTGACTGCCTTCGCTCACCTCCCGCATCACCCGCCTGCTCAGGTGTCATGCATGGCCTCCGATTTCCTCGTCATCGACCGCAAACCACACAATCCCTGCCGTGGCTAACATCCAACCCCTTCAACAGCAAGGCTGCGCCTCGCAGTTCTTCTCCGGCGGCTCCTACGCCGGCTGCGGGACAGACCCCAAGTGCATCTGCGCAAACCAGGACTTCCTCGGGAACGTCGCCTGCTGCCTGGTCGGCGCCTGCAGCGAGGCCGACCAGGCCTCCGCAATCACCTTTGCCCAGCAGATCTGCTCCGCCAACGGCGTCCAGGTCCCGGACCAGGTCAGCTGCTCGACCGCCTCGGGCGCCAGTGCCACGGCCACGGCCACGGCCACGGCCACCCAGAGCGGTTCCTCCAGTGGCAGCACCGCCACTGCCACCGGGGAGTCGGCCAGTGCCAGCAGCTCGGCTTCGGCCAGTGCGGCCACGGCTTGGGCGCCGAGGCAGACTGCCGCCCTGGGCATGGAGCTGTTTGGTGGGCTGGCAGCCGCCGGGCTGGCGTTGCTGTGAGGTGCTAGGCGCGACGATGACATGGCGACCAAGAGCTACGATATAACAATGCCGAGGGCGTCTGGATGTTGGGTAGGCAGTCTACCAAGCCTGTGATTTGCCGGGATGGGGCTTCAGAAGATGCTTGTGTGCTCATCGTTGGATAGCCGTGCGTGTACGATGGGAATGCGAGGTTACCTGGGTATGACCATAGTTGTTAGCTGTTTCTGTTATTTGTATATATTGTTCCGAAATACTGATGATAATACCTACTCACTTTCAGCGCCGCCACTGATCCAACCTTTTGAACGTCAGATGAATGGATCTGCCTCCAAGCACCACTGGTAGGCCATCTTTTGTGTACTTTCCTGTCTTGACCTCAGATCTGACACTACTCCAAGCTGCTTAGCTGCCACGAGCAATGGTCACTTCATGTGTCTGTTCATGTTTCTTCGTCAACGCCGTGGCTGAGCGGCAATCTGCGCATGCAGAAGAAGAAGTGCCTTGCACTGAATTTCATTCATAAGATATCGAGACGCATCAGCCTTGCCTAGGCTCCAGGAGGATTTAAGCGGCAAGTTGCTGACATGTGGCTGGAATGATGTAAGCTGAGGACCAATGGATCCCTCCGTGACCAGTGCATCGCCCCCCGGAGAATGGAAGACCATATCCAGAAGGCTCCCCTTACCTCTTTTTTAACAAATTGAGTTCTGAAACTACGACTCGAGACATAGAATAGCCAGGAGTCCACGCCAGCCAAACCAAGATACGCGACCGCACCGCAGAGAACGCAGCTCAACGAGTGAAGACACACTCTCCCCTGACGCGGAGCGCATCAAGCCCGGAGAGTGGCACTCGGCACATCCCGACTCAAGCTCAGGCTCAGGCCCTCCCGAACGTGATGGCGTTCCCCTCCACCGCCCTCGTGATCGTCTACGTGGTCGGCTTCCTCATCGCGGCCTTCCTCATCCTGCTCGGCGCCTACGACTCCGAGACGAAGGCCAGCAAGTGGGACAAGCCCTGGGTGCCGGCCGTCACCCGCCGCGACGCCTGCGCCATGCCCTTCTTCCCCGTCTTCTACCTCCTTCCCGCCATCCTCTGGCCCCTGGTCGTCGCGTTCGCGGTCCTGGTCCTTATCGTGAGCGGCCTGTGGATGACGCTCGGCTCCGCGACGTCGTGCTGCGGCATACCGCTGCCAGGCAAGAAGGAGGACGAAGGCGCTGGCGGTGGTGGCGGCGAGGAGGCGAGGGACTTGGAGATGGGTGCTGTTGCGGATGGCGAGGATGGAGACGCGCCTGGCGGCGGCGAAGAAGCGGACTCCGATCGGGATAGTGTGCGCTCAGCTGTGTCTGCCGGGTCGGAACGCCCGCCTCCATATACCTCTGTCGCACCCGAAGAGGATGGCGACAGAGAGACGGACGGCCTGCTTGGCAAGGGTGCCAAATAAGGCGAGGCCGGCTACCATCTGTGTCATGGGGTGTGCTTTGTATCGAAAGATCAGATGTTACGGCTTGACAAGGCTGCTTGGACATGCTAAAGGGCGAAGACCTCTTCTGGTTCATCTATGAATGCGGCGTCAGGGAATACAGCCACGATATATCAGGGGGTCGATCATTACAGGTCATGGTGAAGCCAGTAGTCAGCATTCAGAGTCCATGATCGCGGAAAAGGTCGCCGTGATGGTGATGGTGGTTTCAAGTTGTGCTAGCTCAGAAGATTCTCTATTGTCTGATTGAAGGCTACGGAGGGCCTCAAGTGGCCTGAAGAGCTTCAGGGCTTGATCAACTCTTCTGTATCAAGTTGACTCGTGCCCGCATCCCCTAAGCTGCCACATCTATCTAGGCGGGCTTAGGCACAGTCGATCATGGCGCCTTCAGGTTTGAACATCCAATCTTCCTCCTTGTTCTCACAAGAGATAGTCCCGTACTTGTTCTCAGTTGAGTTCAAGAAAACGCATGCAACTTCAGTGTCGTTACATATCTGAGTCGTTTCAAATCACATGTGGAGTGCGTTTGGGTTCTCATGTTAGTTGGATTTGCCACACCCTTGGGGAACATCCACACCGCAGTGTCTCTGTCCTTCTCTGGCTTTCCAGAGTCGATCGCAGGTGTCTGCCACATCTTTGACTTTGTCAAATGTGGATCTTCCAGACCCAGAACAAGGAAAGTCGCGATTTCTTTGCGCTGAATGATTTTGCGCATGCGATATTATCGAAGCCGATCAAAGGCGACTATAGAGGCGGTAACAAGGGCGGAGAGCTTCATGATCCCTGATACTGAGGCAATTTCAAGATTCCTCTTGCAGGTGAGAACAAACTTGAAGTATTATTCGCCGTGGTTGAGTTATGATGGAGTGGCGATGCCGCGCGTTCGGCGTACCAGACGGGGAGGAAGTAGAGCCTGGGTCATTCCAATGATAGCAGCGATCTGTGGGGACTGAGCAGCCCATACTATAACAACAGCGTGCATTTTGTACACGAGTACTCGCGTCTAGTATGGTTTGTACTCTATTGCACTACTGGAATGCGCTGACAATCTCCAACTAACAAGCTTGCAAGCGTTAAGATGGCGGATTGTGTCGCGGCCAGCATCTATGTTCACTTGCGTTGGACGTTGTTCACCAAGGACTCACGAGAAGTGAGTAGATATGATGGAGTTTTCTATTCTGTCTGACTCACTTCGTCACTTGGCTAGTTCTACGTCTTTTACATGTGAACAGTTCCTATAGGGGAGATGTTTAGACATTGAGATGCCTGTGCATCAGACAGCTCAGATGAGAGTGCTCGGCTCCACAGTACTCCGCTCAAGCAATCTTGGGGCTAAGGGCTCATGGAATTTTTCTTCTTTGATGACCATCGGGTCGGTTTTAATCATTCAATTAAAATTACTGTTAATATTCTACGGATGGAAAATAAACCATCAAGGCAGGAGGTCTCTGGGGATGGCGGCCGGTGCTGAGCTGGCCGCCAGCTGGTGGCAGCTGTGATCCGGCTGGTCCTACCTGGATCACCTGCCCAAGCTCCATATGCCTGCAACAGTGGTCACTCAGTCCATCATCCCGCTGATTGATAAACCCCCTTTCCGTCAACAACACCATGGATCAATCACAGACTTTGCCGATACGCGGGCACGTTCGGAACAAGTCATCCACGGGCAGACGTAAGTCTTCTGTTTTGAGCCTTCGACCCCAAGTCAGACCAAGCCTGAGAATCGACATGGACAGGCGTCGCTTCAGTGACGTCTGCCTGCACCACAAGCTACCTGCACAACAAGCTACCTGCACATCGCAGACCTGAGCACTGGCATGCTGCATAACATAGGCTGACCTGATGTCTAGCAATGAGGCCTCGGTCCTCGACTAAAGGTCCACTCGATGTAGACGAGTGAGTGCATCCGAGCTGAGCTTGCTCGTCTGGTTTACTGAAGCCCGGAGCACAGCGACCCCCTGGCTTCGCCCCTGTCTCCTCAGCAGGCGAAGCATCTGGTTCCATCTCGCCCACTCTCTCAGCGGGGCAGCCCACGAGTTTCTATCGACAGACCTCACCCATCTCCTCGTTCACCAGGCCCCCGCCGGGTTGCTAGCCCAGCCATTCTCCCACCCAAAGACTTCTCCTACCTGCTGCGTCCTGAAATTTACCATCCCTTGACGCCAGTCACAATCCCGCCTCCCTTCCGCAACTCAAGCAAGCAGCCGCCTCCAGATTCACCGATAGATGAGCTGCTTTCCAGGGGCCACTTCCGTGCCGCGGCCATCGCAGCCGTTCAGGCGCTGACCGGCACCGCGGGCCACCCTGCCCCAGCACCCACGGACTATGCCAGGATCTTCGAGCTGCTCTACGTGCGCCTATCATGCCTGACGCTCATCGATGCTACTCAGATTGCAGCCCAAGAGGTCCGAGCCCTCGAGGATGTCAACAGTGCGATATACATGGACGAGATATCCGGCACACACCTCGTCCCCTGGGACCTGCGTGTCCTCATCGTCCGCCTGCAAGCCATGGGCTTCGGTGATCCCAGGAGGGCCATCATGAGCTACTACGATCTTGCCAGGGAGGCACGAGCTGAGATAGCGACTGCATTGACTAATCACGATAATTCGGCCAGTGAGGTCTGGAAGGACCGCCTGGTGGACTTGGGCATGAAGGTCGCTGGCGCAATGGTTGAGATGGATGACCTGGCGGGTGCGGCACATCATCTCGCAGGTCTAAAAAGCCGCCCAGATGGCAAGCTGAACATGGCCAAGGCGCTTCTGTGGCTGCATCTTGGGAACACCGACGCTGCCAGGCTGTGTGTCAAGGAAGGGGAGTCCGGAGACAGGATCATATCAGCCTTGTGCGGTATGGCTGATGGCGAGTACGAAACTGCTCTCTCAACATGGAAGGAGCTACGAGACGAGACGGGTGATGATGAGATGATTGCAGTCAACTTGGCTGTATGTTTGCTCTATACGGGCAGAATGGAAGAGGTACAGTTGTTTCCCCGTTCGCTTTGATTCACTCAAACTAAGCGATGATAGGGACGTGAGATATTGGAGAGCCTGGTTGACAGTGGTTTCTCCTCGCACACACTCTTGTTCAACCTGGCGACAATATTCGAGCTTTGTACCGACAGGTCCCGAAGCTTGAAGACTAAGCTCGTGGAACGAGTGGCTGCGATGGAGCCGTCGACATCAGGGTGGGAAAGGGCAAACGGTGACTTCAAACTCTGAGGAACCACACTGCCATCACTGAATCGAGTCTTCAAATTTGATGGCCAATATCTTGGTTGCAGGAGCTGCCCAATTTGTATTACTGTGACTGATGACACAGTTGGCCACGTTCTCAATATTATCACCATTGAACCGACAAATCCCATTCGCTGACTTAATCAACCCGTGAACGCCGAAGGAAACCACGCCTAGCCGTCCTCTGACCACCCTCCCTCTCAGATAATGCAGCAGTCGCAGGGCAGAGGGCACGGGATGCAGAAGCAGAAGCGTCCCGGGCAGCACCGGCCACGTTCTCCACCTCGCATCCGGGGCGTTGTATCAGCGATGGTATGCGGTCGCTCGGGGTCTATGCATCACGGTCAGCTCCAGGTCTCAATGGAGTTGGGATTTCTCTTGAGAAAATGTCTTACCCATCGGCGGGGAGGTTCGCGGCTGTGTCACCTCTATCCGCGGTGGTGGTGCGGGGAGATTCTGTTCGGCCACCATGTTGGCTTGAGGTTGAGTCTCCGCTGGCGACATCGTGCAAGTTGGTTGTTTAGGGGAGCGGTGAGAGGTGGCTGCCGTTCTCTTTGGCTGCAGGCTTTTCAGCGAGAGAGCACTTCGTCTCCGAGTTGAATGCTGTCAGAAGAACCTCGAAAAAGGGATGGCAGTTCAGGTCCATACTCAATGACAGGAGAACTGGGCCCGGTTCCTCTTATTAACTGCACGCCGGCGGCTCGTTGGAGGTCAGTCATTCGCAGCGTCATCCCCACCTCTCAGGCCGAGTCAGGGCTTGAGCGACCCGACCCCCATCGGGCCCTATAATTCGTGGCTGAGAGGCGTCGCAGTTTCATGCTGTGCATTGTTCGATTTGCTCGCCCGCCTGCTAGCGCCGTCCGACTGACGGCAAACCTGCTGCGCAGCCCATGCCAGCTGGGGTTTCCTGCTCCGCAGGGGCGGCTCAAGTCCCGAACACGCGCGTCGCGAGGCACTGCCAGCTGTTCGACCCATTAATGGCCCTGCGTCATGTGTGACATCATCCCCACCCAGGCGAAGTTAAACACCTCTCCGCCGTATGTCCTTTTTTCGCGCTTGCAATGCACAAATGCAACTTCAGGCGCTGGACTTGGCTTGGGCTCGGCGTTTCCAGTTCTTTGTAGCCTAATCTGAGATTGCAACAGTCTGCTTTGAGGGCATGTAGTCGGCATTGCAACTCAGTTTGCCTCTCCAGAGCCTGGCTATCGCATCCCAGCTGCACGGCCATCAGATGTCACATCTCACTGGCCAAGATTCTGCAAGATGGCAGTAGGGGAGGCATCAGATGAAATATGACAATGCGACTTGATCCTCTAGCCCTTAGGACTGAACAACCGCGAGTGCACTACGTTGATATCCATGCGACCAAATACATAACTAACCCAAGGGCCAGTCGCCGATGGAAAGCAGCCGCGAAGAGACACAAACTTGTCTGTGCTACCTCGCCGCATTTTGTGTCTATTCAATGAGCTTTACGTCCAGAGCAGTTGAATTCCACACAACACTCTGAGCCCTTGCCGGCCTAGGAGCCATGGATTTTGTAAATGATGCATTTGAAAATTATTTGTTCCTGTGATGTCTGTCTCTATACTGGCAATTAACCACACCACAATCCTCGCACCCCGGGATCTAAGTTGCTCCAAAAAGGCCAAAAGACTGACTGGGCACACCCCTAACCATCAACACTGACGACAATCGTCGTCAGGCTCGTCGACGCTCCAAAGTATCTTGTCGCCAGGACAGGGCTGACCACGTCCAGCACCTCCCAACAGTCAACGTCCATCTTGGGATACAGACACTGCCGCAGGCTGTCCGTGCTCCTCAGCATGATCAGAGACCCAGGCCTCATGGCCTTGGCGACCGCGATGAGGAGGTCCCTCTTGTCCCTCTCCGTCTCGCCGATCAGCGCGGCAAAGTGAACGAGGTCGCAGTCGCTCAGGTCCGGCAGGGCCAGCGCCTCGTCAGCGGCCGTGGCGGGGGAGACCGGCACCGCGCCGTTCCCGCCGTCGGACGAGGAGGACGGGCTTGTCGAAGCCGGGGCGACGGCGACCTCGGCGCGGACGAAGCCCATGTTGCCGGAGAACTCGGGCCCCAGCGAGAGGGCCATCCGCTGGCCGTGGTCGATCGCCTCCGGGCTGCGGTCGATGTTGACGATCTCGACGCCTGGTCCTAATCTCTCTCGGAAACAGAGTGCCGAGAACGGGGTTGGTCCGGAGCCCAGGAAGGCGACCTTGCGGACTGGCGGGAGGCCCTTCTCTCCGAGCGCGGTATCGAGCGTGTTGGTCTCCATGCGGGCCAGCTGGCGGTACTGGTCCAGGTACGGGAAACTCTCGTAGAGGCGTAGGCATTCTGGTATTGAGGGGGCGCCCGAGATGACCTTGCGAGCGAAGTCGAGCTCGAGCAGGTACTCGGCGTCTCCCCATAGCTGCCGCAGCTCCGGGATGATGGCTTGTACCCGGGGATCAGACAGGATCTGTGAGAATGGTCAGTGAGTCTGGGACCAGTGCCGAGTTGGGGAGCCAACTCGCCTTTTCTTCTTGGCTGGTTGTGGTTTTCGATATGGTCACGAGATCAAACAGCTGGTTGAAGAGTCTCCCATTGATCGGGTCTGGTTGTAGGTTTTCAAGTTTCCGGAGTTTGTCAAACAATGTCAAGATTCCGAGGGTGATGCGCTCTGCTGCGTCTTTATGGTATGGCAGTTTGGTGGCCACACGTTCCACGGTGTTGCCGGGCTGTCCATTCTGTCTCGCGTCGACGGTCATTGTTGGAGAGGGGTTGTCCAGCGTGTAACTGTACCTAGGTACTGACAGTCTGGAAGTTACTGGCAAGCAACAGAAAGTTGAGTGGTTTTTAAATGGCCCCAACGGTACCTACAGGGCCAAGTCACGCTCAGTAGTGAAGTGAGCTCGATTCAGCGTGGTGCAGGAGCACGTGTGATTCATCGCCTCACTGCCAGTGGGAGTAAACAGAAACAATGGGACGAAAGGATGCCCGTATGACCAAGCCACCTGAACGGGATCAACAGCGAGAGAGGTCAGTTGTACATGCGTAGCAGCTTGCACCCGCGGTGCGCGCCGAAAAGCTGGTAAGCTTTTGCCCATGCCGTGTACACCCAGCAACGCCAGATTAGCAAGGCGAGCAAAGTCATTGGTGAAACCTTCTTGTTGCGGCCGAAAAAATAGCACTATACGGGTGTAGTCGCATTTACTGAAGGGACATATCCTTGCAGACCGCGGGCCATCAAGGTCCTCGTCACCCTTGTCCATGCAGAACAACTCACACCACCACCATAGAGACTAACCCGGGTGACTCTGGATCGCGGGAGCTAGCTATTCTGCCAAGGATGCCTGTTGGTCTCATTGCCCAAAGAAGCACGCAAGCTGACCACTGGCTAAGTGTTAGCCAGATACTGGTTAGCCATCTCCGACCAGGTGGAGCCGAGGCCGTAGGATAAGACATGAACCAAACCCCTAAATGAGCTTAAAGAGATCCTGCGTACTCCGTACCAGCCTCCCGGGTCTCTAATGAAGTACACAATGTTCTTCACCAGGGCTCACGGGCCCTAGGGACTGGGCTCTGAGGGACTTTGGTCACGTTATCACCAAGACCGCGGGAAATGCATCTAGAGATGCTTGTCCCTGCAAACATCCCACGCTGATCTTCTCGAGTGACTTCCGCCTTACATCAGGTTCCCAACATTGGCACGGTCACGTTGCTGCCCCCACGCCCCAGTAAATTGTAACTGGTCTTGACCAACCATTCTTCATTGTTTGCACCGGACTTCTGGCAAAGCCTTACCAAGACATTGAGGACTCTGAACAGTGTTATTCATGTAGTTTAGTTAATACATATAGAGAGGTCAGGCTCGGTCCCTTGTTTCTGACCCCCACACTCCTTGCTCATGTCTAACAAGCCACTTGATTTCCGCCACGTGCAGATCTGGATCTGCTCCAGTGCCCAATATCATCTATCCCAGATGTGGAACCGATCAAGAAGTGTCTTCAACTATTGCGTCTATCATCGAAAAGCCGAAGCTAAGCGCTGAGCATGAATGATTATCGCCTGTACTGATGCAAAAGTAGGGATACAGCGTCAGGGTAACGAGCATCCAGGTTTAGCAATCACAATGAGTAACAAAATCAGCGAAACTTGGGGGGTTGTTGCAGCGACTAGAATCCAATGGTCAGAGTATATGATCTGCGAGGAGTCAGCACATTTCTTGTCCTGTGGCGATTTCGACTTCTTGGATTTAGCACAAGAAGCGAGACAACAACTTTGGCGATCATTGCACCCGGACTACAAGTCCCCTGCTAAACAAAGTCATATTACTATATCACAAGCAAGCCTTTAGCAGTAACCGCCCTAGGTTGATACTTCTATTACAAGACAAAAATCACGGGAAAATTCGAATACCATTGTGGGAAATGTGTCTGGGTCAAGACAATCTAGTTTGACTTGTTGATGCGAATTATAAAGGGGAGAGAATGGTTTATTGGATTTCCTAAGAAAAAGTCTCTCTAGGCTACTTTTATAGCAAACAAAGCTAAGTCACATGGGCCCCGAAGGAGGCCCCGGGGGCCTATTTACCCAAGGGGCCGTTTGTGCCCGTACTTAGTAGCACTTGTGAGACCTAGTATCTGCTCAGACTATAGACGCCTCAATTCATGGCTGTGTTATACCATGCTTTGAGAAAGAGAAGACACAAGTGAAGTCGGTTATTCGGCCTCCGTGCACACGGATGTTGCCGTGAAAGCCGAGCAGCGAGTTATGTTACATTGGTGGGGTAGTTTCCGGCATCGAGGTGAGACACAAGGGAATCCATACCGTACTCGGCGTCAGTGGTGGAGCTACGTATGCAAATGCTGCAACCTTACTTGGAGTGAAACATGTGAAATTTGTGATACTCTTCAGCGAGAACAGATGCCTAGCCATAGTTTTGAATCCTTAACTTTGTTCGCCCCGAAATCGTGTGCACTCCATGCTAGAATCGTTTCGGAGTATTCATGCTGTTTTCATCGTGTGTTGGGAGAGCTCACGGCCCGACGCGACGATTCTAACTGTGGATTGAATGCGTGCCAACCAAGGATGATCCACATATTAGCAAGCAACCATTATGGTATGTTCAGCCTGTCTGCTAGGCCGAGGAACTGAAGCACCCATCGAAACGAATTCGATAGGATGCCTACGTTTCACTACATCTCATTAATAAGTGATGCAGCTGATCTGTCGCTGACTCGCCGTCGCGGGCTGCAAGGCAACCCGACCTAAGCCCCCAATGGGGTCTTCTATGCCATTCGCGACTTCACAGTCATCCGATGCCGACCCGCGATGAGCACACCGTCGACCGTGCTCGGAAGCCGACTGGGATGACAACTAGGCTCGAGCGGGCCTTCAAAGATTATAAATTTGGCATCAGGTTGTTTCAGTCGAATGGTAGAGTGAGGACATCTCACTAAGCTTTCATTCACCCATCATTCTACCAACTCGGCATTGTACTTCTATTTGGACGTCCACTCCTTCGAAAGACATGAAGGACACAAAGCCACACGTTCTGATTGTTGGCGGAGGACTGGGAGGACTTACTTTGGCCCAGTCTCTGCGCAAAAGAGGTATCTCGTTCGAGATATTCGAGCGAGACCCAGACTGGCGAACATCAGGATGGTGTATTTATATTCACAGGTGAGAGTGCTGACGAGGACTACCGCTCCCCAAAAGGAAGCAATTTCGATGATAACAAAGCGACACCCACACTGACCAGCGAACACATATCAGCATAATTCCTCAGCTCCTCGCCGCCATGCCGGATGATGTGCCGAATCTGGCTCTCACAAGCCATTTAGTCCCGTTGGATTTGCCATCGCAGTCTGTGGTGTACTGGTCAGACCAGCCGGGTGTACGCTACGGAGTGACATCGCGAGGCATGCTGGATATGGTCCGCGCCGACCGCGTTCTATTGCGCCAACGCCTGACCACCAACATCCCGTGCCACATGAGCAAACGCGCCATCTCCTTCGAAGAGTCGCCCGAATCTGTGACGGTTCGATTTGAAGATGGTACCAGTGCAACCGGAACCATCTTGGTCGGCGCAGACGGAGCGAGTAGTGGGCGTAAGTGAGACGATATTCCACCGCAGCCACCCCTTCTTCCCTTGTTTTCAATTTGAAGCGACCTAACCACGAGACACGCGCCTCTAGTCAGGACCCAGTGGTTGGGTCCAGAAGTAAAGCCTCAGATACTCCCTTCCGTCAGCATCGGTGGCGAGGTGACTTTATCCGGAAGCGACTTTGAGAACGAGCTGCGGCTGGGTCACTCGTCACGCTCCAACTTCTCTTCTGAGCCGACAGACCCGAGCCTCCCAACCGTCCACATGTTCTCTGCCTTGAAGTGCGTGCGGCCTGATGGGCGATCCGGAGAATACTACTGGTTTGCCATGTGGTTCGATGACACCGCCGCCGACCCAAGTCACTGGACCAACACAGCGTCGCCGGACGAGTTGCACGATTTTGTCGCCCGGACCACGCGTAACATGCCTCCGAAGTTTCGAAAAGTCATCGAGCTGACCCCCGCGAGCAAATTGCGCGGGAACCCGCTCCCTCAGCGTGCGCTCGCGTTGCCGGACTTGCCTACCGGACGCGTGACGCTTCTCGGTGATGCCGCCCATTGCATGCCCCCTAGTAAGTTATATCCCAACAGCCGTTCCGCAGAAAGATTCAAGACTGCAGAAAAGACTAGAAACGAAGGAAAGCACACTGACAATAACTTTGTGTCATGCATCAGCCCGTGGAGAGGCTGGCGTCCATGCTATGCGAGACGCACTGAAGCTCGCAGAATGCATCGGCAACATTGACCCCTCCAACGACCACGACGGATCCAGTACAAAGAAGGCAATAGGAGTCTATCAGGAAGAGATGCTACGAAGAAGCAGGGAAGCGGTCAAGAGAAATGTTGATGCCAGCAGGCTGGATCCAGCGTCCATGGGATGGGGAGGGCGAGGTATAGAGCCTCTTCCGGAGGAGCACATCTCGCTGGAAAACATCGGACGAGTCGAGAAGGCCATTTCGTAGGCATTCAGGCCGCGTACGTTATGCTCCCGACTGTGACGCAGTATCAGAATCATTGGATGGCACTGCGATCCGTTGCACGCTCATATTCTAGTGATTGTGATGATACGGAGAGAGATGGATGCATACCTGTAGTATCTGGGCATATTTCAACTCAAACATATATAACATAATTGTCAAATCGTCTGTGTTCTTATGTGAATCGCTTCTGTTGGGTTGGGAGGGATGTAGGGCTAACGTTACAGTTGATTTCTCATGTAAGTCGCCCGGGAACACGAAAAGGAGGTGATGATAATCGTTAAGGGGTGGTTTGCTTTGCAGATGAGTTAAACATATGCTACCTTGATATCAAATACCGATGCGGCGCAAATCTCGGTGAGACGGACCACGGAAGTATGAGACTAAGAAACTAATTACCGTGCAGGCGGATGTCTTGGCCATGCGACATCAGGGGTAGTATTATGGGAAAGTCTCTTCACCACCGATGCATGCCTGTTGTGTTCACGTCTCGTGGCACGACGTATTTGACATTGCATTCTGTTGCCTAAGTGAAGAATAGGGACCTGAAGCCCCGACCCATAGGAGCCCCAGGTGACGAGTTTTCTTATGGCTTTCCTGCCAGGAGGACCAAATTCTGCCAACAGAAACACTGGCTGGACGTGTATAGAGATGGGATCGGACTTGGCTGAGACAAGATAGAGTACCTTTGCCCTACAAGGCACTTTTTCTGCCGAGCTCTTCGGTACCCAATTGGAATGCCTTCGGCCACCGTATCCAAAAGACCACTAACGTAGTCCGAAGGTGAGCTTACTGCTCCGGATCACCAGATCCATGCTTTGTCCAATGACCTGCTGTGCAGGCCAAAGCCAAAGACGCCGTGATTACAAGTGCGTAGGAATCCCCAAGTTTGGACACTCGTTCCCGGCCCTCCACAGCGGTGCCACCCTACATTGTGGCAACCACAAAAGGACCTTCAGGCCGAGTGGGGGAGAGTTTGGGGCCGCTACCGTCTCACAGGAAGGATTGAGGGAAGCCTGGTGATCGCCCACTGGTCGCATGCCCGCTCATTTACGCTCTGAGCTCTGGTTGGGGTGTATTTGGATGTGCAACCCTGACACCTGCAGCGTGCTTTTCAGCTGGTGGTCATCTTCGGTAGTGCTCTGCAGTCGACGTCGCGCCACCTCTGCCGCTTACGCTACGTCAGTTTACCTCGGGTCATACATGGACGGCGCGTATAAAAGGACTTGTGGTATCCGACAAACATGCGCTAGCATTCTTACGTTGTCACTTTTGGCCGCACGCCTTCTCTCTCTCGATGGGCTTCTCCCATGGCTACTCGAACCCCTCTCGCCACGACAGCCTCGCCACGACGTGAAACCCGGCCGAGTGTATCATGAGCCCTCTTCGTGGTACCGGTGGACTGGTGTCCAGGGCGGTCACGGCTACCGCCAGTAACCCGCCGATAGAGCGCCCGGCAATCATATTAGAAGGCTGGGCCGAAGGATTTAGGTGAGCTTCAACCCCCTTGCTTGGGATTCCAGATATCAGACGAGGAACCTGTTCTGCAATCCCGCACGATTTTTATCGGGGGCCTTGGCAAGTAATGCGGTGCTAATGCTATTTTCGCGTCTAGTACGTAGCGCCGTGTGTGCAACTTGAGCTTCTTCGTTTACTTACCTGGGGTCATGTGTGCAGTGATTGGCGCGATAGTCGTCATGATGGGTATCACAATTGCGAACATGCGCAAGGGCATTCTCCTCCACAGGCTGATTTTCCTTGAAGTAAGTGCCTCAGACAGAATGTGTGTGGATCATCTCATAGTCTCAGCTAACTGACTCAGATCGCATGCACTCAGCTTATTCTCGGAGGATGGCAGGGCTACAATCTGTTCTGGGCGAACCCAACGTATGGATGGTGGCTGTCTGTTGCCGCCACGTGTCTTCATATGTCGAACGGGTTGCACAACGTTATCGCCTGGATGAAGATCAAGCCCTTCATGAGCACGCGGAGCAGTCGCATCTTCATTTGTACCATCTTCCTCGTGCAGCCATACTGGATAGTGGAGATATACGCGACATTCACCTTCTTCAACGACCTCCCCAACAGCCACCTCTTTTCAAAGACAAGACCCATCGAGACCATCTTCCGCGACCCCTGGTGGGTAGCCGCCTGCATCAAGCTGATCTGGACCCTCAAACGACACTACGACATAACCTTTGGCCAGGTCATCACGATATCCCCACGGTTCGCCGTCATGCTGGCCGCCATGGCCCTGAGTGTTATATTTTGCCTCCTCGACATACTCTCGGTAACGAGCGTGTTCTCAGACGCGCTGCCAACGGGAGTCAACCCGTTCTGGAAACTCGCGCTGGTGTTCAAGTGCCTCACCGACACTCTCATCCTGGACGACTTCAAGACGGCGCTGGACAAGCTGTGGTCATTGAGGCGGGAGAGTCTCGGGTCTTCTGCACCGCTGATGCCGAGGCAGGATTCCAGCAAGACGAAAAGGCGGCCTGATGGTGTCGGGCATCATTTTCCTGCACATTCTCCGTCCAGGCCTGGTAACTCTGGCTTTGACAACTTTGAACTGCAACCGCCGAGTAGTGTTCGAGGAATGGTGTAGCGGAGTTGGTCCAGGTAGTACATAGGACCCAAGAAACACGCTGTATGATTCTATGATATTGTGCTCAAAATAGCGGCTACGGTCAGTCTACTCCGGCTTGGGTGACATTGAGGACTTGGTGAAAAGACGGGGAATTTCGCTGCTCCCCTAACCCTACCTGACTCCGCTGCGGCTTCAAGAGTGGATGAAGAAGCGTTTTCCCCGCAAAGTTGGCGATCATTGATGCCGAGATGTTTGCGATGGAATCGCTTCACACAAGGTCACTAGACTGAACACTTGGTGGATTAGGCGGGTCTTACCCGTTCGGCTTGTACATTTTATACCGAGCACCCCGTTCTTCCGAACACCAACTCCTGGCTCAAGCCATTGTGGCTCAAGTTGTTGAAGGATATAAGGCTTGATCCGCTGACGGATTAAGCGTTCGCTTTTTTCCACACAAGTCATTTGTACGGCCTGCATCGCCGAACGCAACACAAGAGCCTCGACACCCTTTTCTATTCTACTCTCGCATACGCTCGAAATATGACTGGAAAGGGCTTTGAAAAGATCATCATCGTCGGCGCAGGACCGTCCGGGCTCCTGCTCGCCCTGCTGCTCTCAAAACATGGGATACCCGTCACGGTGGTCGAGATGTCGCACGAGCTAGACCAACAGCCTCGTGCAGCCCACTACGGCCCAGCAGCCACCCCGGACCTGAAGCAGGCCGGGGTCCTGGACAAGATCAAGTCCGAGGGCATGACCCTGGACACCATGTGCTGGCGCCGTGCCGACGACTACGGCTACATCGCCGGGTTCAACGCCGAGGTCATCTCCAACGTGGACGGCAACGACGCGCGCACCGTGTGCCTGCCGCTGCAGGACTTGGACAAGCTCATGCTGGACCTCTTTGTGGAGAAGTATAATGGCAATGTTCTGTGGAAGCACAAGGTTGTCGACGTCGGCCAGGATGAGAAGAAGGCGTGGGTCGATGTTGAGGCTCCGGATGGCAGGAAGAGGCTTGAGGCTGACTACATTGTTGGTTGCGACGGGGCGAACAGCGCCGTCAGGAGGGCGTTGTTTGGCAATGACTACCCTGGATTTACGTGGGATGCGCAGATTATCGCAACCAACGTAAGTATCCGCTCTAGAGTGGCACCGCACTCACTGAGTAGTATTGTTCGCACTGTCATTCATACTGACGATCGATGTAATAGACTTATTATGACTTTGAGGGGAAGTTCGGCTTCGACGACGCCAATTTCATCATACATCCCGAACACTTCTTTGTGAGTTTTGGTCCTTTTCTCCCTTGGCGGATCAATACAGGGTTCTAACCAACCGCGAAGATGGCAGCAAGGATTACCCGGGATGGACTTTATCGCGTCACTTATGGCGAGACACCTGGGTTATCTGTTGAAGAGTACAAGCAAAGGCAGCCATGGAAGTTCGAGACCATGCTCCCAGGTCACCCGAAGCCGGACGAGTACAAGTTGATCAACATCGCACCCTACAAGATGCACCAACGATGCGCAACCAAGTTCCGAGTCGGCCGCGTTCTCCTCGCCGCCGACGCCGCGCATCTCTGTAACCCATGGGGTGGACTCGGCATCACGGGGGGCTTCGTCGACTGTGGCGGTCTCTTCGACTGTCTCGCTGGGATGGGACGGTAAAGCTGACGACTCCATCTTGGATTTGTACAGTGAGAAGAGGATCGAGAAGTGGAAGACGGTCATCGACCCTATTTCACAGGAGAACTTCCGACGCGTGTCGGACAAAGATCCCGCAACAAGGTATGAAAGGGACGAATTCATGCACATGTTGACCAAGGGACAGACGGACAAGGCTTTCTTGAAGGACTTGCTCATGGGAACCTTTGATGTAAGGTATGACTTTACCCAGCATTACCATAATGCTGCGAAGGCGGCGTAGGAAGGTGTGACAATACAAAGACTTTTGAAGAGACATGCTCACGGGAAAGGTCACTTTGGACTACAAGTGTCTACGTCACGTTTCGAGGTCTCATAATTGACGAGGATAATGGGAGAAAGTGGTTGATGATGAGGCTCCAAAAATGTCCAGTGTGTACTTGTGCCGAGTTGGTGTAGGACCCAACCCGGAGCAAATCTCCCAAGGATACTGCGACCAACTCCAGCCCCAGGAGAGACAATCATTGGGATGGACCCCAAGGAAACAATTTTTCCGCCACAAGTCTTGTCTGACAGCAAAAACCCCCCAATATCTCGCCCTTCATATTTCTGAACCTTCCTCACAACTCGATCTCGTCCGACGGTGTCCGAAGGATGCCATCGAAGAGGTGTAGTGACCACACTGCAGGACAAAGCAAACGTAGTGCTGATGCTACCAAGGAGTTGCGTGGCAGAGAATGTTCGTACATTTCGTCGAGGTTCTGTACATGAATCGGGACAGTCAGTTAGGTTTGTGCTTATCAAAGCATGACGGGATTCAGACAGGATGGATAAGTTACCAATGGCCGACACAACGTGGGAGCCCAGTTTCAGTGCTCAAGGTGACTGAATAATCTCGGTTCTCAAAACTGACAGGCTGACCATGTCCCCATGGGGTGGACGAGTAGATGAGCCGCGACTAGGTCTGCCACTGGCCCAAAGCAGCGCCCATCGGGCGGAAGACACCCCGCTGCTCCTTGTCATCTTCCTGCACGACCGGGAGTCCCGCCCAGGTCTGGAAACCGGGACGCCTGCGCGGCGGCGCACAGGGAGGGACGGCCGGGAAGTCCGGCGGCGGCGCGGTGGGGCGGACGACGGGGACCGGCTTCGTGGGCGCCCAGTGCTGCGGGTCGCAGGGGTCGCAGTGGAAGAAGCAGCGGACCTCGGGGTGCTCGCGCACGAGGGCCATCTTGGCGGCCTCGGCCTGGCAGCGGAAGCTGCCGAAGCGGTACTCGACGACGGCGTCCCTGTCGCCCCTGAGGCCGTCGCTGTGGGTGATGATGGAGTCGATCTGGAACTGGAGCTTGGTGCAGAAGTACTCGGTCAGCGTGACGGGGTTGACGAAGTCGGGCTTGCCGCCGATGAGCAGCACGCGCGTCGTCGACCTGGCGTGGTCCTGCTGGGCCGTCTTGATGCGGTTCCACATGACGCGCACCGCGAAGCCGTCGACGTTGAAGCCCCGCTCCTCGCACGCCTTGTAGAAGGCCTTGGCCGCGGCGAGCTCGAAGAAGATGACCTTGGCCGCGCAGCCGTAGTGCTTGCGGTCGGGCTCGGGCGCGTTGATGTGGGTGGCGTAGATGCGTCCGGTGGGGCCCATGGCGTGGATGGCGGCGATGAGGCGGTGGGTGGTGAGGCTCGAGGGCAGGTTGACGAGGAAAAGAGAGCAGTTGAGATGGTCGGGGATGTTGGCGGACTGGTTGCGCAACAGGTAGGGGTCGCCGTGGTAGTCGGGGCTGAATCCCAAAGACACCTTGGTCGCCGCATCATCTTCGTCAGCACGGGCTGACTTCTTCGCTGCAAGCAAGGGAGTACCGCAGGTTTTGTCGCTTACCAGCATGGGCTTGGAATACTTGCTCTCCGAGTGGCCGAGGTGTATGGCGGCAGGTTGCGCAACGCACACGGCTTCAAAAGGAGTTCCATTGATGCCATGAATGCTGTTCATGGGCCAGTAGTACTTGTCGGATGCGAGTACCTCAGAGGTGGAGGTGGGTTCAAAAGAACCACCTGAGAGAGAACGAGTGGAGGGCGGTTGAATAGGCTGACGGATGGGCATGCGGAGGTCGTGAACAGTTTCACCGATCGAAGAAGGCTGGGTGGACCATTGTTGAGCCTTGGAAATGTCAGGAACGGCCACAGTCTTCTGGCCAGACTCTTCAATGATCTGCATCAGACGCTCATGAGCCATGTCATGTCGAGACATGCGCTCAGGTGTCTCGGAATCTGCGAGCTTCGCAACCCAGCCAAAACTCTGAGAGCTTGAGACCGAGTCTTCTGCGCTTTTGGGGGAAAGAAGTGTCAAGTTGGAGGGGTGACCCACAACTTGACCATGTGCACTGCATTGGACAGATGAGGCTTGATTGGGGGGCACATGCTCCTGGTTGTCTTTGACATGGGGAGGAATGGATGCTTCCTTGGGTGTTTGATAAGACATGATGGCTGGAGTCAGTCTTGTAGGGTAAAGAAGATGGGATGATGAATATGGAAGATGATGATCCGTGGATGTGAGAGGGAAGAGTTGTGTTGTAAAATCGAAAATTGATGGCGGGGTGAAATAGAAGTAAAACGACAGATTATATATAGCCTTGGTGAGGCTTCACTTCCACTGGATCAGGCTTGCAAATAGGGGCCGTGACTAGGCCACCGCAGGAATCAACTGATAATGGACTTGTAGCTATCACTTGAAAGATTCCAGGCTCTTGTTGATGCATGCTGCCACAGTAACTTTTAGAGGTGCCTGTTGAGCCTGGCAAAGGTGTTCAGCGTTCTGATCTATCAGGCTCCGAATCTCTTGATCTTTGTGTTCCCATCCGTAGATCTGACACAGAAGATGGCCAGAAGCTGCCAGAGAAGGCGGCAGGCTGCCGTACGAATTCCCTCATGTCTACCTATTAGGTGTCTGTTATGGTCCTTCAGATGCCTGGACTGACTCAGAGAACGCTTGCCTCGTGTTGTCAACTTCAAGGAAAATTTACAATGCAGTGGGTATGACGTGGCAACATTGAAGCTAAATCACTCCCTGAATGGCGTCAAGAGGAAGGTAGGAATGGAACAGAACAGAGACTCTCGCCGTCCAAAACACAGTGGCAGTGAGCCCTGAAACAAATCTCACATCTTTTGTGTTCGGCCTCGAATCGTGGTGACATCGGAGCCTACGTCGAGGCCCTTTGTCTATTCAAGTCACTGCAGAGCGGCCAATCATATTCGCCTGGATACGTTTCGAGATTGGTCATTTGATTTGGCACAATCAACATCTTGGAGAGGCATAACGGAGTGACCAGTTGCTGCATGACCTCTATGGAGAGAGGTCTGTCTCGATTTACATGACTATCGAGGCAACTATTCCATTGGTAGGGAATCCAGCGTCAAATTACTTCGCGGATGGTTCGAGTTCACGGCTTTCCACAACACCAACTTGTTCGACACTGCAATTGTGGCATTGCCACATCTCTTAAGTCCATACTTGAAAGTAACCTCAGATGAGATCACAGCACCTTGCACCAATATTTAATGACCATCATGCGGAGTCGTCCAAGTCTACCGTTGTCTTGCAACGTGAGAGCCACTGAGATCGGTGGATAGTGGCCTGGCACCGGTATTATGGAAGTTCATCACTGACAAAAAGACATTGCTATTGATTTTCAAAATGCTTTCCCAATCTCAAGGACTCACAAAAGCGGAAGCAGTTGACATTAAACCACGTGAAAATCAACAATCAATTATGTACATGTAACATATGACGAGACTGCCGAGCATGATGAAAGCGCTCTCGAATCAGGACGAGTTCAGCTGTCACGATTTTGAAGTACCCGTCCTCCACAACCAATTAGGACATTGGCTGTTTGTGCCAATGATTTACGGAAGACGTGCTTCGTTTGTAACTGGCTGTGTGTTCTGCCGTGTCCGAAAACAGGAAGAGTCTTGCACTCGAACAAAGACAGACTCAGCCAAACATGAAACTGCAATAGCCCGACTTGATCTCCGTCATGGACGCCTAGCGGTCTGACATGCCAAACGACTAGTGAATGCGATAAATGTTCTTTTTCCAGCCTCAAATTATGCGCTTATGCAGCTCAGGGAAGCATTCGGTCTTCGACGTCTGAGCAGCTGCAGTGAACCCCTCATTCCTTGACCAGAAGCCGGCCGACTGGCATTCTAGATCTGAAGACAGAAGGAGATGGACACAATTGAAGTCAGGATGCAGTCGCCAACTAAGAAACGTGCGGGAGACGACAATTCGTCCGGTCGTGGCGGGAAGCGACAGGCTTCGACTCCACCGCGACTAACTCGATCTATGCTCAAGAAACTCAATGAGAATGGCGGGCCACCAGTAGAACTCAACCCAGGCCTTGACATGGGTGTACGCCGACGGGGTCCAAGGACGCGGCCTCCGAAACGGCCCGCTCAGGATGAAGCTGTCGCGGGTAGTGTCAAGCGGACCGCTACGGAACACGGGAGGGGGCTAGGACCACACCCGATAGAACCACAACCTACAGCAACACTGTCGATAGAGCCACAGCCGATAGAACCAGAGCCCGTAGAGCCTCAGCCTGTAGAGCCTCAGCCTGTAGAGCCTCAGCCCATACAACTGCCAACAAAAGATCATGAAAAGAGGGTTTCGGAAACCGATGTCGCTGCGGCGTCTCGACTCGCACAAGCGGCCATCGCGGCGGGCCTCGCAGGAAACACTTCAGAAGCAGGCACTCCCATGGATGAAGAACTGCCAGGCCCTGTGCGCTTTACAAAGAAAGATTTGAGGGACATTCTGAGGGACGCCGTCATCGAAGACGAAATTCGTCAGATGATGGAGCCTCACTGGCTCGCGAGGATGGAATTCCTGACGTGGTTGGAACGTCCCGCCGCGGACATGCGTTACATCAAGAGGCAAATACGCAGGCTGGCAGTGAGGTGGAGCAAGGACCTTCGGAACCAAGACGCTGCTGATGTTGACGTCCCTATATCGACGCTTGAATCATGGCGGGCCGACATGGTCATTGTGGGTGGTCCCAGTGAAGGCACGGACACCAGCGAGGCGATGGATGAAGATGAGAAGACAGGAGACGAGACGAGGGCAGGTGAGAGAGAAGAGGGAGATAAGAAAGAGCCTGAGACAGATGGAGATGGTACTCAAGCGACCAAGGAACAGGATGGCGAGGAGGGAGATGAAAATGCGATTAACCATGATGGCCGCGAGGTTGCTGAAGCACTCGCAGAGTCTGTCACTCTGGCGACGCGCGACATGGCGGAGTGGAAAGAAGCCTTTGACAAAGAAATGGCAGCGGAACCGAACTTCAGGAGTAAGCGTGCTTGGGCCGCGAGAGTATCAGAGTCTCAAAGAGATGCGAAAATACTCGAGGAGAAGGTATTGGGCTTGGACGTATACAAGTCTGAATGGGTCACACAGTCATTTATGAAAGCCGCGGACCAGCTGCTGGATGAACTACAGAAGTTCAGAATTGGGCTTCGGATGGATCGCGAAGCCTTCTGGGACGAATTTGACCAGGAAAGAGCAGAACTTTTACTAGGGAAGACAGAAATCGATCAAAGTGCAGAGGAAGTGATACAGGAAGCGGTCCACGAAGAAGAAGCACAGGATCTTGTGCCAGAGAAGGAAGACATTCAGATGACCGAACCCGAGGCAGAGGTGGAAGACGCTCAGATGACGGAAAGTGAAGAACTCCAAGGCTCCAGTACTGGCGATGGTGGTGTTTCAGGAGCCAAACCAAGCCCAAGTGAACAGTCTTCCCGGGGGGCGAGTGACGACAGCGATTCGGACCGAACAACTGTCAAATCAGAGCACCCATCAGATGAGAAAATCTCACAAGAAGATTTCCCCTGTCCAGCGTGAGGAGCCTCTTCCTCCATTTCCAGCTCGCATAGCAGACCCCCAGAGCAAAATTGACGTTTCGAAAGCCGAAGAAAGGAGTCCAAGGAGTCCAACTGAAATGTATGCAGGCAAGGGGATCATTTCACCGCGGCAAGGAGAGAAGCCCGGGACACAGCCCGCAGCCGAGTTTGAAGGGCAGGATCGAGAAGGACAAGCAGCAGAGGCCGGAGAGAAGTCAACTAGCCGAGAACCAACTCCATGGCTACCGGACAAGAGGGGCAGCCATAGCCCATGTTGGAAGTGGCCAGGTGACCGAAAAGAGGAACCCAAAATCAGTGACCCTGATGTCACCGCTGCTGTGGAGGAAGACGACAAGTCTCCCCATGAGGTCAGGCGGGACACGAGCTCTGAGTTGTTCAGCAGTCGCTCAGCGAGTGCTGAGGAAGTCAGCAACGAAGAGGAACACACATCCGACCAAGCCCTGACTACCTCCGAAGTGGCCGGCGACCCACAGAATACCAGCTCTACGATACCGAGTGTCGAATCTGAAGGCATCGACAGCAGCAAAGCAGAAGATTCAACAGATCAAACCTTGACTGCATCTGTTTCAACTCGCTTGCCGCAGGACACAACCTCTGTGGCCGACAACAGTCGGTCGGCGAGTCCTGAAATAATCATCGGCGAGGTAGAGAACACGGCGGACAGCTCTTCGACTGCCTCCAATATATCCAGCCTGCCCGAGGAAACACAGGTGGAAAACACAGTGGGCACGGCCTCGGCAACTCCCAATGTGACCAGCCGGCCAGAGGACACAGTCTTGCCACAAGACCCAAGCCCGTCAACATCAAGCGTGCCGATAGAGAGTACCGAGGAAATCGACGGGGAAGTAGAGAAGACAGTGGGCAGCACCTCATCTACCTCTCGTATAACCAGCTTGCTGCAGGAAGTAAGCATGCCACATGAAGTAAGCTCTTCGACAACCGTCGTAGCGTCAGAGAGTGTGGAGCAAATCAGCGGAGAGGTAAAACAAGCAGCAGACCAGGTCGCAACTACCAACCTGCCGCAGGACACAAATCTTACAGCAACCGGCATCCGGTCAGGCAGCGACACGGGAGCCGGCGGCGGGGTAGAGAACACAGTCGACGACCGTGCCGCACCGACCTTGGACGCAGCCCGTCTGCCAGGGGGAGGCAATGCTGGAGAAGACCTGGAATCACCGCCAGCCACCAGCAGCGTTGGGGTGAGCCCAATCGTTGTCCCCAATGTGCGGTACATCAAGCCGCAGTGGGAGAGCCTGTTCAGCCCCGAAGAGCCCATGTACAGCTCCAACGACTTCAGCGCGAACGAGGCCGGCGATGGGGATGACGAGGATGACCACCAGGCCTATGATACTGAAGAGGTCGGCGAGGTCGACGACAGAGAGGCGGATGATGTCGACCCGTAGCTCAAAGGTCCGAAGAACACGTTGGGTGGACGACCGGGGGTGGTCTGGACAGTGCCTGTTTGCGTCACCGCACGGGTTGTGGCCCGCAAGGGTGGGTTGGAAGGCTGAAATTGCTGGCTTGTGACGATGCGGAGGAAGAAGAGTCTAGAGCTGCCGTGTGGATGAGACTGATGCGAACAGTGAGCTTTTGATTTACCTGTATATATGAGTCCCGAAGTTAACCTATCGAAACGCCGAGCCATGCTTGCTATTCCCAAGATCCGCCACCCTCCCTCCTTGGTCTCCTGCAGACCGTACATAAACCGTGCAGTTATAACAGTCGTAGCGCGTGGATCATGCCGGGCCACCCTCCTCTTTCCCGCGTCGTTCGAAACACCACCATTCCACATTCATCTGTATTTCCCGTATTCTCATAACCCCATGTCATCGTCGCTCTCCTCGTCCTCATTACCTCCACGGCCCTCCTCCTCCTCCTCCTCGCGGCGCGTGGCCTCGGCGCTGGCCCCGAGCCTCCGCACGCCGTCGACGACGCCGAGCACGAACCCCCTGTTCTCGGCGAGCTCCATAGCGCCCACGCCGCGGAGGTTCATGACGCCGCCGCCGAACTGCTCGAGCTGCGTCGTGCCGGCCCGCAGCTTGGCCGCCCGCGCCTCGACCAGGTCCCGCAGCAGGCCCCTGATCTCGCCCGCGGGCGCCGGCATGTCGTCCGCCGCGTGCGCCAGCAGCATCTCGGCCGCCTCCAGCCAGTGGTACGGCAGGTAGCCGGCGGGCGCCTCGGCGGTGCTGCTCGGCAGGAAGGGGGGCGAGAGGAGCGTCCCGCCGTGGTTGGCGTCGTCGCCGTTGCCTAGGGCTGAGGTGTTCACGCGGTGGGCGACGCCGCGGCTGTCAGCCCTTGCGGGTGGTGGGGGTGGTTTGCTGAAGGCCGTCGCGTCTTCTCTTGTTTCTTGGCGGATGATCTCGGCGAGTGATAGTGGGTGTAGCCATGCTGGGGGCACGATGTTGGCGCGGCGTTGCTTCTTGAGGAGTAGGGCAAGCCAAAGGGGAAGCTGGGCACGATGTGGTGGTCGGAGGGAGGAAGTTGTGCCCTAGAGGAAGACAGACAGTCAGCTGGGATCTTGTGATATGATCGTGAGGCTTCGGCTTATATAGGCAGGACGAACACTGAGAAGTTCTATACCGTCGAGCCGCCCTCTCGGGACGACCGTCACCATTTCCATTTCGCAGAGGAACGAGACCTCTGCAGGCGTGAGGCCCGGCGGCAGTGGGTGGGCCATTCTGGACTACTCGAGGCTTCTGTCATGCCATGGAGGAGACTGTGAGACTGTCAGAAGGAAGAGGAACTCATCAAGTCGATGTGGCCATGTACAGATTGGAATTTGGTTGCTTGCACTGGACAATGCAGCGCCGTATGATACGTGGGGCCGAGTCAATTCGGCCGTCATTATCTGACCTGACGCGCCTTGACGCGATCCTCCTCCCAGGGGTTGTTTGCCTGCCCCACCAAAGCAAGCCAGGCCCCTGGCTGCTGGCGGCTGAGCTTGTGAGGCCAAGGCGTGGGGTGCAGTACCCCAACCCCGAGAGGGGCTCTCCCAGACAGCAGGAGGTGGGGGTTGATTCCCGAATCGACATGAGCTCAAGACGAGATACTGTTCTTCGAGCTGTGTCGCTTCATGTTATGATATTTGGCGAAGTGCAGCAGTTAAAGCTACAAAGATTATGTGATTATTTATATTCCGGCTGCGGCAGTAGCATTCATGATTCACGATCACGTTGAATCTGCAATCCGCCGTCTGTCTGACGGCATACCGGCTCGAGACGACAACGGTGACGAGGACTGGAACAGTTCACTCGTGTGGACCATCACACTCCTGCGAGGCATCGAATCACTCATGCACAGGTCACCACACAACACACACAGGGTCACTTTCACCACTTCACAGGATGTCCTCTGGCAGCACAACCACCCAGTTCTTGTCGGCGGTGACCTCCAGCCCGAGGTCCGCCTGCTGGCCCGCAAAGTCCTCGATCATCTCGCTGATCTCCTCCCACGCGGACGCGGAGCGGTTGACCCACAGGTGGACGCCGCCCTTGGACACGTCGACCCCGTGGAACTGCATCGGCCCGTCGCTGTTGGGCGTGTCGCCGCCCGCGAGCACGGGCATGCGCCAGTCGTCGATGTACGTCAGGATCGCGGCGAACTTGCCGGCCATCCAGGTCGCCGGCGTGAAGAGGTACGGCGTGTAGACGAGGTCCAGGTTGGCCTGCGGGTCGTACCCGCCCTCCTCGATCTGCCGCCGCGCCGTCACGAGGTCCCCCGTCGTCGCGTTGCGCAGGAACGTCGTCACGCCGATGACGTTCTCGGCGGGGACGTTGTAGCCGTACCGGGGGTCCGAGGCCACCATGCGCACCAGCTCCTCCGACGCCGCCGAGATGACGTACACGTCGATGCCGTTGGCCATGAGCCGGCTGTACAGCTCCGTCTGGCCGCGGAACACGCGCGGCGGGTTCACCTCGGTCGACACCACCTCGTCGCCCTCGTAGTAGGTCGCGGGCACCGTCCCGTTGTGCGCCATCAGCTCGTCCACGTGGCCCTTGAGCTCCCGCAGCGTGAGCCCCGCGAACACCTGCGCCGACCACGGGTAGCAGAGCAGCTCGTCCATGTCGCACAGGCGGAGGTAGTAGCTGTACAGCGACTCGGCGTGCGTCGCGTTGTCCCTGAACGGGATCGGCCTCAGCGACGGGTCGAGCGACTCGCGCGTCAGCACGCCCTTGTTGTCCAGCCACGGGATGAGGGACTCCTCAAGGTCAAACCGGTAGGACGTGTTGTCCATGTCGAACACGGCGTAGTCTGGTGTTTGTGTTAATAGCCTGCTACAGAGCCTAAAGTGATGTATTCCGGAGCCCTTTTAAAGACACCGAGAGACGGGGAACTGTGATAGGAGAAGGCCTGTACTCACTGCTCTGGTTTGCATTCTCGGCGATCATGGCATCCAGCGATGCCGCAGCCTCGGCGGGCCAGTGCGTCAGGGACGGGCCCGCCAGCGTCGCGGTGCCGTTCCTGCGCAGAACTGGCTCGGCGTTGACGGCAAGGGCCAGCATGGCGCCGGTGAGCGTGCCGGTCATTCTTGTCGAGGACCTCATCTTGCTATGCGCACCGCGGAAGGGGAGTGGTGCGTAGAACTAAGGCTTGCCGGAGGCGCAACGGGGGTGTTTTGTCAGCGGGGCTGCGGATGCGGAGTGAAAGGCTTGCGCTGCATCTTCATGACTTTTTTGAAAGAAAGGCCGGACTGTCCAGTTATATTGACGTCTCTATCGGCCGCGATCAAGGTTAGCGGCCGGAGCATCAAGGGCAACGAGATTGCGGTCCCGGGGTGTTGGTGTTGATGGCCGTGAAATTGGAGCCGTGAGGACCCGCTCGGCAGTCGGTCATTGGACACCTGTGGGCCGTCTAATTACCTAGAGTCCGGGGAGAGTCATTCGCTTCCCTCATTATCTCTCGCTCGGGACTCGGGGCGTTTTCTTGTGCGTCCTGCAGAGTAACCTCATATTAGGGACAGAGACATCGCTGAGCATGTTCGTGAACATGTGCATATACAGTCTCAGCCTCTGTATTGATCACATCCCCCCGACTCCCGGATGAGATCCTCGACGACCCAGTCCCGAACACCGCAGGGCTCCAGGAATTTTCGAAGGATTCCGGCCGGCGATCAGTGAATGCAAGACATGACTCGAGCCTCACTTACACGAGCCCTGACAAATGATATCACATTTTATCCCAACGTGACCATTACATGGCCACTGTACCGGAGAGCTTTCACTGAGATAATGATGACGAGGCAAGCTTCAGCAAACCAGAGGCATAATATGCCGCTTTACAAAAATAGACTACATACACAATGCTTCAACCAGGTTGATGCCGTTGACTGCCGATCTCCGAGCCGTTACTTGGTCGCAACCTAGTGTCCGGAAATCGTCTCTTCAAAATGAGAATGACCGGCAAGACCGTCCAGATTTGCTATATTCAAACCCGTTCGGTCAGAATTCATCAACCACTTCCCCAGATAACGCCATCCAAATCCAGCGCTTTCTTTGCTGGTTCTGTGTTCTGTGCTCCGTGCCGTGCCGTAAAAAAGAATGTTGGGAAGTGCAGAGAAAGACTGGCCTTGCGGCAGGCCCAAACGCATCGTAACGCCCACCACCCCGGTGAACTGGCAGTTCCGACCCGTTTTCCAACTGCCTGGCCTAGAAGTAGCTCCTCATGGCGTCCTGATATCCCGTGCCACCCTTCAAGTCACGGTCAAAATTGACCTGGACATCCAAGATCTGTCTGACGTGCACCATGGACAGCGGCTCACCCTTATTGACCGCGAGTGCCTGCGCCCTGATGACTGTATTCTTGATCTGCCGGCCGTTGAGATCATGTCGGGCAAGTGTGTTATACTCTTCCTCTGTGAAGGGCGCACTGTCGCTCTTCTGAGACACTCGGGCCTTCTCCACAAACATCTTGAAGATGGTCTTCTTGGCCTTGAGGTCGAGTGGATCGTACCGCAGGGCAATGTGAATCCGCGACTGGAACGCATCATCAAAGGTCTCCACTCGATTTGTGGTGAGGAAGAGGATGCCTTGGAAATACTCCAGCTGTCGCAGGAAGATGCTGACGAGGGCGTTGCGATGAATGTCGTGCATGTTACGCTTCTCCAAAAACACATCCGCCTCGTCCAGCAGCAGGATTGCGCCCCAGGCGTGGCATATGTCAAGGATTCTCTGCAGCTCGCCTTCAAGGATGCGCGAGTCGGTGCCTAGCTCACCAGCAGAGACCATGTATAACGGGCACTTCAACAGCTCACTTATTCCCTCGGCAGTGAGCGTCTTGCCTGTACCTGGTGGGCCATGAAGGACAGCTGAACAGTTGTTAGTAATTACTGCCGGGGAAGACGAGACGAGGAGGGACGGCTTACAAACAAGGCCTTTACCCTTGCCCTGTATCACATCGTCGATGGACTCTGTCGCATGATACTTGTGAGATTCGACGAGGGCCTACTTGACCGTTAGCTCATATCGCACACATGAGACGCATGAGAGCAGTGCGCTGACCTTGACCGTCTCCTTTGTTCTCTTCTCCAAGACCAGAGAGTCATAAGCATGCTCATTCCATCGAATTTCCTGAACCCCAGAGACCGTGAACTCCAGCCAGAGCTTCTCTCCAAAGGAGAAGCCAAGTACGACGGGGCTTGCAATCAGGTACTCCTCATCAGTCCACTCGGGGGTCTTCTTGGAGCTCTGTGGTTTGCCTTCGTCGCTGCTGCCATCAATGACGGAATCATCCTGGTTCTCAACCTTGGAAAGCTTCTCCGTGTTCATCTCCTCAGCCTCATCTTTTGTCATGCGGATAACACACAGTCGTCCCTTGTTGTCCTTGATGACCTTTGTGACGTATTTGACCCTCTCTTCTCCGTCCTCGAGGTCCTTGTCTTGAGCCCCATCGTCCTCCGAGTCAGAGCCCCCAGCACAGCAGGCATCCTCATCGGACTCTTCATCTTCAGTAAGGACGTCCTGCTCCTTAGGGCGGACAAGAGATATCGGATAGTTGGGGTTGATTCGCCTGTGGATAGATGGATCAATCATCACACGACCGTTCACATTCACCTTGATGATTGATTTCTTCTTCTTGTAGTACGCCATTCCGTGATGCGACTTGTAGTGGACACCACTGAGAGACGCAAATTTCTTGCCTCGCTCGATCAAGTCCTTTCGTATCTGTTCCTCGTTCTTGTGGTATTTGAGCGGATAAGAACTAAGGCTCGTGATCTTTTTGGCGCCGCGAAAGTCGCCAATCTCTTCCATCATGCGACCGTACCCAAACTGCTTGCCATCGTACTCGAAATACTGAGAATATGTCAGCAATCAGACTTGTTCGAACCTTAATCTTGCAACTCACCTTGCCGTCAACGTAGTAAAATTCACCCTTAGTGATATGGTAATGCTTCTCTGCCGTGTCAACCTTGAAAACCCTAGGCTCGTCGTGTGAACCATAGGTTGTGGTGTACGCGAGGGTGCCAGGCTTCCACAATGCCCAAAGGAGATCAAACGTGATGAGCCCGTGCTCCAACATTGGGTAGAGGCTGTTCTTGATGTGCTCGTAGTCCTTATCAATGTATTTTACAAGAACTTTGAGATGGAGCCTCTTCTCCTCCAGCCACTTGACCTCCTTCTTCCGTTCCTGCTTGTCGGTTGCCGAAGGGCTCTTCCCTTGCCTCTTGAGGTGCTTTGCATGCTTCCTCAGGTCCTCAAGGTAGAGGAACAACACGTTCGGGTCAATCTTGGGCGTCTCGTCCACAAGACTGACACCCTTGATGTTGCCTATGACATCCTGGAGGCATTCACGTAGAGCCTTGCTCTTGACATCCACAACTGTGGCCTTGTACTTGCCTTCCCAGTCAAAAGTGCGGCGAACGTGGAAGCAGAAGCCGTCGTATTTCTTATCGGCGGCAGACTCTGCTGTGTCCTGGAGCTTGAAGTTGTGAATCGAATTGTCCCACACTTGGTCGACTCTCTTGAAGTCGTACTTTTTGGACTTCTGCTTTGGCGGATCGGCTGCACCACCAGGCAGTTTCTTGTCAGGGCCCAGGCCGCCGTGGCGGCCTCGGCGGTTGAGAAGACCAGTATCTCGTCCCAGTGGGTCGCCTAAACCATCGAGAAGCGCCAAACGTTCATCGTAGGCGGGACGAGCTCGCCCGCCGGTCATGGAGGGATATGTGGCCGGCAAACCTCCTATCGCAGCTGATCGAGGGAAATTGTTCCCCGAATTTTGCAGCAGGCCGGGAGTGAGTCCAGAGTCGAGGGCAGACCCTAAACCACCATGAGAAGAAAGACCCGCAGTAGGAGGAGCACGTGCTTGAGCAAGCTGTAAGATCCGCTGGAGTTCCCTAGCCACCTGGAGTCCGACATCCTGCTTCAAGGGTTGATGATCCTTGGTCTTCTTCTGACGATCTAAGCGGGGCTCGGCATCCTCCGCGTCGTCGCTGGAGGAGTCCCAGCTGGTCTGAGAAGAGTCCGAGTCCGAGTCCGAATCTGAGCCGGAAGCAGCAGGAAGCTTCAGCTTGCTCTTGACGGAGCCCTTGTGCTTCTTGGTAGCCGAAACTGTCTTCAACCTTGGGGCTTCCTCTCGCTTCTTGTTTGTGCGCTTGCGGCGTACGACAACCTCATCATCTGCGGTGTCGCTATCCGAGTCCGGCTCCGTAGAGTCGTTGTCGGAGGAGGTGGAGGAAAAGTCAGAGGAGTCGTTGATCGCGGCCAGCTTCTTCTTTTTCTTCTTCTTGTCCTTCTTCGCTTTGCTGCCTTTAGACTTCTTCTTAGCATTCTTTCCCTTGGTTTCTTGGGGTTTGGAGGCGTCCTTGGGCTTTGGAGGGGCGTCAGGACTGGTGACGGCGTCGGCTGAGTTGGGCTTGACGTCGTTGTCGGGGCGCGGGTTGGAGGGCTCGCCTTCCCTGATGAGGGTGTCGGACTGCTGCGAAATCGGGTCCATCTTCAAGAAAGGCAGCTGCAGAGTATTTCGCTGCAGAAAGTCCAATATTTGCTTTCAGTTCTCCAGGAAAGCCGTAAGTGAATTTCTTGGGGTAAGAGCTGGTCGCGTAGTTATGAGGTTCGGGCAGGCGCACGCGTACGCGGGTCAGTCGGCGGCGGAGCACGTGGGACGCAGGCGATATGGGTGAGGCCAAAGATGGCCACAACTCAAATACGAGAAATCACTCAGGCAGTAAGTGTAGAAAGATGAGGCGATCAATCTCGAGGGGCGAAAAAAGCCCGACAACGCTGCGGTGGAAGCCGTGGCCACGCGGAGAGGCAGTGGAGCATGTGGGTGCTTCGCAGCAGTCGACGGACGGATCTGTATGGCCAAGAAGAAGCAGCCGTGTACGACACGAAAAAAGGCTTTTATATTGCACGGCAGGAGAGGGATGCACCAGAGGAGGGTGCGGGTGAGGGAGTGCAAAGGTGCGAATGGAGGGTGCGAGAAAGGGTGCGAGCGGGTGAGGCTCACAGAGTCCAGAGGTAGAGATCGGCCTGTCGACGGACGTTGTTCCTGTGGCCTCGATGTGAGCTACTGCAGGGTGAAGACGTGCATGGAATAGGATGGGATGGGATGGCAGAAGCAGGCGGCTGCAGGCGGACGGCCAATCAATGGAGCGAGGCGACAGGCTTGGATCGTCGTGCGTGCAGCTGAGCGTGGAGGACGACGACGCTGCTGCTGGTTCTTGTGGCGCTGCTGCTGTGCGAGGGGCCTACAGGGGTCAGATGCAGGATAGAGGACTAAATATGGACACGATCACATGAGGCTGCTCGTCGACGTGGAGGAGGAGGAGGAGGATGGGGATGAGCTGCTCTGATTTATTGTTCTGTTCTGTTGAGAGAAGATGCAACGGCAACAGCCGGTCTAGCTGCAGTGACGCCATGTAACGACAAGATGGGGGAGTGTGAGTAGCAGCGGGCTAAACATCAGCCAGATGAGGTACGTTGATAATCCAGTCACCCGTCCCACTGGTCAGGTCAAGTGGAAAATAGCAACGCGGAAGCCTGGAAGCGGCACAGAAGTTGTACTGTCCACCCGGATACGTAAGTGGGCAGCCTTTGAATGGTCCAGCAAGCAGGCAGGAGCCAGGTAGCTACCTCCCTGGACCTTGACAGACAGCTGAATCTGGGGCGCTGAACCTGGACTTCGGGACCGGCCCCCTCTTACCGAGTGGATCTAGCCTGGGGGTGGAGGCGATTGACCCCACTGCGACGCCGGGGTGTGGCAGGGACATGGACGGGTAGGCCGGACGAGCAGCCGGGTGCTTGCTTGGCGTCCCGACATGAACAAACCATCTCCCTGTCGCCGCAAGTACGGCAAGACTCGCTTCATTTGCCACATGTTTTTATCATAATGTCTAAACGTGATCATTGAACTTTGCGTGGTCATGATACTATGGTCCAAATCTGTCTCTGAGTATGCATGTCCTTGCAAGCGATCCATCCGTAACGACGGCCAGGCAGCTGGGCGCCACATCCAGGCAGAGTATGCTGTGCAAGACAGTTGTTATTTCTGGATCACCACGCGCCCGTGACATCCGCAGTCACATTGGCCGGTGTGCCATTGAGTCAAACAACTCACAGGGCCCTGTGCCGACCCAGAACGACGCTGCTGGGCCACTCGCCGCCCTGCGAGACAGAAGCGTTCATTTTGCGGCCGTCGCCATTGGACCCCTTCATCCGATGTACGACGTCCCCTGAAAGGCTGTCAGGCAGACCATCCTAGCACACGCCGTTGCCCCAGACAGAGGCACGGTTTGGACACAGGGTAGAGTATGTTCTCCCCCACGGCCAGCTACCACGGACGGGATGGGTCGTCCTTGGGAACCACCCCCACCCCGTGGACAGACAGGATTCACTCAGCCTCAAACTCTAAATCGGCAGGCATTGTCCATGCTTCTTTGCTCCCACATGGCTGCCATCGCCCACGATGACCTTAAAAGTAGTGGTGGTGGGTGCCATCAACACGTCAGAGACACCCATTAAGCCCCCTTGTGACGGTCTTGATCTGCTGAGAGAACCCTCAATAAGTTGCGCTCTGTACAGAGTTGAATATCCAGAACGTGACTGTTGTCTCAGCCAGTGGTGCGGCATCGGAATAGTCTCTACGACGCTGATTCGACGCCGGCAGGAAGAAATTGAGACATCGCGGGTGAAATCACGAATGAAATACTCCCGACGTGCCTCATTATGCCTCCGAATATACAAACATCAAACCATGCCATGCAATTTGATTATTGTGTGCCTGTCCAGATCCAGGCCAGAGAATCATGCGTTCATCGCCATGCCATTCGTAGTCTGCAATCACTCCAGCTGCCCATGTGTTGATGCAAAAGCCGTCTCCCGCCTTCTCGAACGCTCCTCATCCTAACGGTTTGCCTACCTCCCCCCAAAAAGCCGGGACCACTAGCCCACGTAGGAATGACCGGCAAAGCTCCTCCCCTTCGCCTTTTTCCTGGGAGATCGTCTCACGTTGCGAGGCGTGCCGGCGTTCGAGTCCTCTGCGCTTGAGTCCCTGACCTCCTCCTTCGACTTGATCGGCGTGTCGGCGGCCAGCTTGGGTGTCGAATCTGGCGCAGCGGCGCTCGCTGCCTCCTCAATTGCCTCTGGCTGATCCTCCTGCTTGTCGCCGCTGTTCTGCTCGGCCACTTGTGTGGTCTCCTCCACGGCCGGCAGGGTTGGGTACTCCACGTCCTGCTCAACACTGGTGACCACAGTAGTCTCCTCCACGCCCTCCATCGGCTCCCCACCAGCTTCGTCGCCAGCCGGCCTCGTCACGACCTCCTCCACCTCCAGGACGGTCGTGCCGTCCCCAACGGACGACCGCGCCGCATCCGCGAACAGCTGATCCCTGATCTTGGCAGGCGACGAGTCCGGCTCCGCGTCCACCTCCGGCCCCTCCGCCGGTGGGCTCGCGGGCGGCTGCAGCTTGGGGATGCTGCCGCCCACCGCCAGCTTCCTGAGCTCCCTGATCTCCTCCTGCTGCTTCCTGACGAGCTTCTCGAGGTCCGACACCTTCTTGGTCGTGGCCTTGGCCCTCACCCTGTGCGGCTGGTACGCCTGCGCCCTGAGGGCCGACCGCTCCTTCTTGCTCATCGGCGTGCCTGCCGACTCCATGGTCTTGTGCAGCTCCTCGGTGTTTTGGTGCCTCTTTGCCTTTTTGTACAGCTTTCGCCTGAGACCGCGGCGCTGTTGGCTCCTTGATCTTGAGTCATCCTTTGGCTCCTCCGTCTCTGGCTTGGTCGCAGTGCCGTTTGTCGTGACGGCTGATGTGGTGACGTCTGCTGTAGTGGCCTCTGTTGTGACGGCGTCCGGTGCGGTCGCCGCCGCCTTAGACCTCGTCGTCCGTGCCATGACGATTGGATTGCTCTGGTGCAGACGAGGAGCCCAGACCTTGATTTGACGCTACGCTTGACGTGTGAACTTGAGGCTACCGTTCACGGTGCTTGAAGCCAGTTCTGCTTGTACCGTTCTTTTGAAAATATGAGTGAATGTCGTGTTGCTGAGACTTCATTTGCTTGTTTGCATCTGAAAATTTCAAATTTTCGACGGGCACGGTCCAGCGCTGAAGTGGGGCTGCATACAGACCCTGGGCTCTGCACTTGCAGGACCCTCTCCTCAGTTCAGGGTGCCACAGCTGTCTTCAGTTCTACCGTGATGAACCGGAGTAGCCAAAATTTTCCTCGAGCATCTGGAATCATTAATTTAGCAATGCAGTATCAGACACCCAAAAGGACTGCCTTTGGATCGGTGATCGTCGGAATACCTTACAAGTGGAGACTCATACGACAGGGTTGCGAAACACGTTTCCCGAGGACAACCTCGCCTATGTGAAGAGGGTTTTCTTCTGAAAATAAAAACAAGTATTGAAGCAATAGATAAGGAATTTGCCGTGGATTTCAGGTGCGGTTCCCAGGTCTTGCTATGAGCCCAATCTGTACAACATGAGCGGTCCTGATACTTGTCTCCGCGAAGGCTGTAGTGTAACAGAGACATTCTATCATTAGATCTATACACAAGTGCAGCCCAGGGAAGCATGTGCTTTTACCCTGGGACCAGTGTCCATCGTGAAATTTTCAGTCACACATACCTTGACGATCAAGCCTGTGAAACATGATCAAGCTTCTCACTCTTGTCCTGGGCTTCCTTGATGGCTGCCTCGTTAAACCATGCCGACGCCTACTCTGGGCCCTGCCAGTGTTCGTTTCTCATATACTTTCAATCGGGCAAAGGATGTGTCATATTTTTTTCCCCCGCGTTAATGGTTATCTCAATGCGAGCATTGGTTCTTGTAAGCTGGGGAGTGCACTGAGGATATAAAAATCTAAGGGGCCTATGACAATCAGGGGTGGGTGATCAGTCATTCACTTTCATGGTACAGGGTTCCCACTTTCTCAATGCAGATTATACGTCTTGACGCCTTCTACAATCAATCAACAGCAACTCATCTCTCAGCATACAGATTTCCGACGAAGGTAATAGATGACGAAATGCACATGAACAGCATCTGGTATCGTAAAACCAGATGTGTTCCTATGCAAGGTTTTCTTACTGAACGGGACACGAGTCCGGGAATCAAATTCCAAAGATCAAGTCTCGGAGGTTGAGTTCCGGAACTCGAGACTTATTCGACAATGACCCAACAGAAAATCACGAGAATGGGAAATATCGGCGAAAAGTACCGAGGCATTGGAAAAGCTCGATCAAGCATATAGAAATGACATTTTAGAGGTGATCTTGTGGATATGACCTCTTCCGGGTGGATATATGTGAGAGACGAAAAACCGACACTGTGGTTTTGAATCGGAAAGTTGTCATTGGTCGAGAAAAATTACTAGAAGCAACGCAAGATGAAGATATGATTATCGCAAAGACCTGGTTGACTGAGGATGAGCATGCTTACTTATTCTGCAAATCTGCGGCTTGCTATCATTTACTTGTGGCCTAGCTAGCCTGGAATAGAACATTTATATTGTGACCTCGGGAAATATGAAGGCCTGAGAACAGGTAAGTATGGATCTCTAACTGGTTCACCTCAACCCAAAGCAAAGCAGTTGACATTTCAGCCATGAATAACGCCGAAGTGTAATCCGTTGTCCATGTGAAAATAATCGCAAACATGGAGACTCGTCAGTCACTCATCCATGATCCAATGCTGTCAACGCGCAGCTGACTGATGACGCTCAAGAGCTACTTCAGAATTCCAATGAAGATATTATGGTCATCCTCAACTAAATCCAGGACAACGTACCATAGATATAAACTGCATCAAGACCATCACCGGGTGAGCAAATAACAGGTTGCAATCGCCGAAGAGCCCCAAAATCGACCAAGAGCCGCACCGCACCCCGCAAACCGGTCTCGGGCCGAGAGTGGAGGCCACGCTGTGGCAGCACCAACAGCATAGAACCTTGGAAGTGTGGACCGAAAAGGGTCAAATCGACGAGAACCCCCGCCCGAGGACAGCTACAGGGCTTATATCAAACCGGCCTCCTCCCCCCATCGCAACGATGGACGAGCCCCTACCCAAGAACAACATGTCCACTACACCATGGCGGCCGCAGCAGCAGCAACAGCAAGAGCAGCAGCACAGAAGGTGATCAGGGACGCGCCCTCGCGAGCACCGGGGTCCGTGAGGCGCCTCTTCGCCCTCGACGAGGCCCCGCCGCTGGACCACCTCGCCTCCATCTGCTCGCAGCGCGCGACGCGCGAGCAGTACCCCCTCGCGGCGGCGGTCGAGAGCAACGTGCCCGTCTACACCCTGCCGGCGGCCTTGTCCGCCCTGCCGGCCGCGCGGCGCGGCGCCCTGCAGGACGAGTGGTACCGCGTCCTGCACAGCGGGCCGGGCGTGTTCGTGACCAAGGGCCTGTTCCGCGACAGGGCGCTCCTGGAGCGGGCGAACAAGGCGTTCTACTCCATCATCGAGCGCGAGCGCGCCGAGGGGGTCTCGCAGGGCGACCACTTCGCCGCGGCGGGGCGCAACGACCGCATCTGGAACTCGTTCAGCAAGCACGCGCTCGCCGACCCGGCCTCGTTCGCCGAGTACTACGGCAACCCGTTCCTGGGGCTCATCTCGTCCGCCTGGCTGGGCGGCGGCTACCGCGTCACGGCGCAGGTGAACAACGTGCGGCCGGGGTCCAAGGCCCAGGTCTGCCACCGCGACTACCACCTGGGCTTCCAGACCGCCGAGGGCGCGGCGCAGGTCCCGAGGGCGATGCACGTCGCCAGCCAGTTCCTCACGCTGCAGGGCGCCGTCGCCCACGTAGACGTCCCGCCCGAGAGCGGGCCGACGCGCCTGCTCCCCTTCTCGCAGACCTTCGACCAGGGCTACATGGCCTACCGCCGCCAGGAGTTCGTCGACTACTTTGAAGAGCACTACGTCGCCCTGCCCATGGAGTGCGGGGACGGCATCTTCTTCAACCCGGCGCTGTTCCACGCCGCGGGGGAGAACATCAGCGCCGACGTCAACCGCATGGCCAACCTGCTGCAGATCAGCAGCCCCTTCGGCAAGCCGATGGAGTCGGTCGACGCGCTGCCGCTGCTGGACGCCTGCTGGGACGAGGTCGTCGCGAGGCACGCGAGGGAGGGCCGGAGCGACGAGGTGGACGCCCTGCTGTGCGCCATCTGCGAGGGCTACGCCTTCCCCACGAACCTCGACAACAACCCTCCCCGGCCGGGCGGCCTGGCGCCCGTGTCCGAGCTCGACGTCGCCGTCAGGGGCTTGGAGGAGGGGTGGGGGCAGGGAGAGGCTCCTGCAAGAGTTCAAGGCCCATCAGGACAAATCACGACCATGATGCATTGCTATGAAAGGCGGCAGATATGTGCATAAAATATGAGAGAGCCTGAAATCAATAAAATTGTCCAATCTAAGAACTCCGATCAACCGGGACCTGATGAATCCAAGCCTGCCTTCCCCGGTATCTAATCCCAACCCATAAACCCATGATGGAGAATGATTTAGTCAAATACGTCGGTGGCGTACCTCTCGTTCCTCACCGCGGCGAACCTCTCCATCGCCTCCTCGGCGGTCATGTCCTTCCCGTGATGCTCCTTGGCGGCATCCACGTACATCTTGATACCCACCTCGCGCACGGCGTCGCCCACGCCGCGGCTACCGCACACGAAGACCTTGCCGCCCTGCTCCCACAGCGCCTGCACCTCCCTGCGGTCGTGCCACAGCCGGTCCTGCACGTGGGCGCAGCCCTCGCTGGCGTCGGGCTGCCGGCTGTACGCGCGGCGCACGGACACCGCGCCGGCCGCCTCCCACTTGTCCAGCTCCTCGCGGTACAGATCATCCTGCCCCGGGTTGCGGCAGCCGAAGAAGAGGATCGCGGGCGCGAGCTTCCTGCCGGCCCCGAGCATGGCAGCCCGCTCCTGGACGAAACCGCGGAAGGGAGCAAGCCCGGATCCTGCCGCGATGCACAGCACCGGCGTCCTCTCGCTGTCCACCGGCAGGTGGAAGCTCGCGTGCGACGGCCTGATTGCCACGTGGAGCTTGTCGCCCACCTCGAGGCTGGCCAGGTAGCTTGTGGCGACGCCAACGTAGCGCTGACCGTTGCCGGACAGGGCCGGGGCGTCCAGGACGGCGTAGGTCAGGGTCAGGTGGTTGGGGTTCCACAGCGGCGATGATGAGATGGAGTACTGGCGGACGCGCATGGGAGGGAGGAGAGAGAGAAAGGTGGCGAAGGGGAGCTCGACTTTCGGGAACTTCTCCAAAAGGTCGAGGACTGAGACTCGCTTTGCACCAACTTCAGAGAGGTAGTTGTCACCGCCCAAGTTCTGGAGCGCGGTCTTGGTCTCTTCATCCTTGGTAGCCTCCGTCAAGGCGGCAACGCTGCGCTTCGTCGCTGGTTGAGCTAACTCGACATAGGCACCGAGAACGTCAGATGCTGGGACGGATGAGCCGGTGGGCAGGGTCGTCTGGCTCTGACTACTGATGGTGATGTGGGCGTCCCACGGCAGCTGGAAGCGACGCAATGCTCGGTGCACAATCTCCTTCGGGTTAATAGGAAGGATTGCCAGGTAGTCGCCTGCTGAGTACGACATGTCGCTGGGCAGCTGAATCTCAATGTGCTTCTTCGTGGGAGCCTCGGGGGAGGTGAGATTGTGGGCGTCGACAACGACAGCCTCCTTGACGTCTTGGCGAAGGGTGGAAGATCGAGGCGTCGAGATTTCGACCGAGAGTCCGCCTTGAAGGCCTTCTCCATCCTGTCCGTCCGCATCAATTCCGTACTTTTCCTTCATCGCGGGCCAGAAGACCTCATCCTCCCAGGACTCAAATTTGGTGAACATGTCACCATCTGCAGCGTCAGCTACTCCCAGAGGCGCTATTCTCGATCCACCAAACTTTTCGATTGTTGCATCACACATCTTCGGGATCTTGTGGAAGGTCGAGGACCAGTCATGGTGGCCGCAGCCGAAAACCGCATACGATACGTTCTCCAGCTCGTTGCCCTTGAGGCCCTGGATCCAGTTGCAGAACAGAGCTGCGTTGTCTGGTGGTTCGCCTTCGTATGAAGCGGTGATGATGGCAACAGGTCTGTCGGTGGGTAAATTCTGGTTTGCGGCGTCAAGGGAATCAACCACTGCGGCGCTGAAGCCGTGGCTCGGCGCGTCCGAGGCAAGTCTTTGAGCTAGAGCCTCGCAGGTGCCGCTGTTCGACCCGAAGTAGATGGCCATCGGCTTGCCCTTCGCGCCTGGCTGCAATGACAGACTAGCCACCGAGCTCTCGAGGGGGGTCGGGGGTGCAGTGGTTCCGTTGAGACGGTGCTCCAGCTGCGTCGGAGTAAGGCCGTGGCGCAGTGTAGCCCGCATGAGGAAGTCCTTGGGCTTGATGGTAAGCGTCTGCTTGATGCTGAGGTGATAGTTGGGGTCGTCTGGCATGAAGTTGAAGTTCTGCAACAACATCGCCATCACTAGAACGGCCTCTTGCCAAGCAAATGGCCGTCCAATACAAGCCCGCATGCCGTTTCCAAATGGCTTCCAGGCGTTGGGGAATTCCCTGTTCAGGCGGTTGAAGTTGTCCTCAAGCATCCTGTCGGGGATAAAGTCCTGGGCAGTCTCGCCGAAGACGGCGGGATCGACTTGAGACTTGGCGACCAAGAGCGCGATGGACTCGTGGGCGCCGACTGCGTACTTGCCGCCAAGTACTGTATCTTGAAGTGGTTTTACCGAGATGGTAGGGATGGTCGCAGTAAGTCGCAGTGTTTCCCTCAAAACAGCCTGGATGTATTGGAGCTTTTTGACCTGGTCGACGGTGATGGGTCCGGCCCCGACAACCTCATCCACTTCCTCTTGAGCCTTTCGGTATGTCTCGGGGTTCTTGAGCAGGTTGTAGAACGCAAATGACAGCATTCCTGAAGTGGTCTCGTGGCCAGCGATTAAGAATGTGATGAGGTTGTCCGTGATGGACTGGTCAGACATCTTCTGCCCGGTCTTGGGGTCCGCCCCGTTCAACATCGCATTCAAGAGATCCTTCCGGTCGGTAGGGTTCTCCTTCCTGGCCTTGAGCACGTCGTCTGCCGTTTTCCTCAGAATCTCGATGTCCCGCTCGTACTTGCGGTCGGCCTCGCGGTAGAAGATAGATGTGTAGGGTGGGCGTCTCGTCTTGTTGCCCGACTCAACCAGGAAATCCCCCATGGCCTCAATAAATGGGTGCATCTCGTCATGATAGAACGAGTTAAACCTATACCGCTCTCAGTTAGAAACTGCGATTTGAGATGGCCAGATGTCTTAGAGGTTGGGCCTCAAAATGGCTCAACAGTGGCAGGTACCACCCGAGAAGATGTCTCCTGACACCGCTTCCGAGACATCTCATGAGACAGGCCGCGGGGGATGTTCTGGGCGTGAAAAGATTTACCTGTAATCCATGGAGCACAGGGCCAGGGTGTCAAGAGTTAGCCTCGTGAACTCGTCGGTGACCATGATGGGCTGGCTTGGACCGTGACGAGCCCACTTCATGGCCAATTGGTTGGCAATATCGTGCATCTCAGGAAACATGGCCTGGATGTTCATTGGGCCGAAAGCGGGCATGAGGACCCTGTGGGCAATGCCCCAGTTGGGCTCATCGGCGTGTGCCGTGAACAGCCCGTCGTGGACGCCGGCCCTCACCTCCTCCAGAACCCTGGCGACATCCTTCTTGAAGCGCTTCTCGTTACAGACCTCGTTGACCAGTGCCTGCGTAGAAACGACGACTACACTTCTGCCCGGAAGACTCAGGCGATAAATTTCCTGTCGCATGCGTCAGTTACGAGGTCTCAAGGAGGGGACATTGGGCACACATGAGCGAGCATACACCGTATTTGTCTGCCATGTTGATCATGGATCCGAGGGGGAACTCAGGGTTGATATCATTGATATTCCCCAGAAGCGGCAGCCCTGGGGGCTGTGGAATGGGCACCGTGTTGTCCGCCATCTTGTCCTGTGCCTTGGCAAGTGAAGAGGACAATGGAGTTTAGGTGAGGTATGGGTGGGTTGAGGAGGAGACAGGAGGCCCGGTCGAGGTGATGGGCATGGAATTATATATGGTCCAGGCCTCGGCGACGAAAATCATTGCGGATGCGCGACGACAGAGCTGGTCTGCTGTGGCAGATACACAGACGCACAGAATGGCATGATGGTTAACAGGGTCGGCGTCATTGGCTGTGGGCACCAAGCGGCCGTTCTCTAGGTCCACCAGATCCTCGGCAACCCCCTGTAAAGCACCGTGCCATGGCATCATGCAATGCTGACGCTAACGACGTTGAGATAAAGTTACCCTGCAGGGTCGCGACAACACAATCGGAGCAGCCCCAATCTACTTGGTCCAGTTTCTGCTTCTGCAGATTGCACAACATTGGAATGCGTGTTCACTGAGCCCGTGAGGCGTATGACCGGAGACGGATTTGGCAAGGATAAAAGCAATCAAAGTCCGACGGGCCCGGCACGGTGGAGTCAAAAAGGCCGTCGGGAGCATGTGCAGATGGGTTAATGCAGTCGCAGCCACCTAGCCGTTTCGCAATGCAACAGTGGAATCGCTGGGCGATCGAATGGAGGGTAGAAGGGTGACGAGTTTGGTGAAAGGCATTGTCTAGCATTGGCAAAAGGTGCGTGTGTCCCTGCAAACGTGCCAGGCAGGAGGCAGGGTTACATTCTACGGCAGGGGAGCACCTGCCGAGGTCGTCGGTAGGGCCGGGTCCCACCCTCATGGCTGACGTTCCCTGACGTTCTTTGACGTGCAGGGAGACGCAACGCTGGGAGGCTTGGGAAGGCGTGGAATGGCAATCCGTCTCTGCACCAACAAAGCCGTCCAAACCCCTCAACAAGCGGACCAAACGGACCAAGCGGACCAAGCAACATTAATAAACGGACCAAACCTTACAGATCTGATCGGACTAGATCAGCTCACTCTCCTCGTTCCAGTCTACGGCAGCGCGAAACACAGGTCCATCCGCCCCTAGCACCGGCGCCTGGCTCCTCAATCCCTCCGAAGGCCGTGGACTCGGCACCGCTCAAACGCCCCACCGATGCCAGGCCCACTGCGTCCGTAGGCCTCGGCTGATCAGAAATTCTGGAAGCGAAGCACCGACGACAACACAGCAACACGCCATGCCGTGTCCTTCCTCTGTTCAATGCCCACACCTGCTGGTCGTCGCAAGTGCTCGACCTGTTGACAACTCCCGAGGGATGGAGGCGGGGAAGGGTGCGTTTTCCAGTCTACACAAATTACGGACTGGGACCGTCTTGGGTTTTTCTCTAGGTCGAGTTAAAGCAAACCATATTAATCTGTTAGGCTGCGTGACCTGACTCTTGCAAAACTGCATCTACTAACTCAATCCATACTGCAGCCAATGCCAACGGGGCAGCCAAGCGGGGCACATCATAGGTTTTGAATTCACTATTCAAGCATTGCTACTCTGGCAGTCATGATTCTCACCTTAACCGTCTCCCAGAATAGATAAATGCTCCATCGACCTTCGACGAGGAGCGCTGCCAAGCAGTCCACTCCATCTGGTACGAACGCGAGCTCACAACGCAGCCATGGTGGCTGCGGTCTCCAAATTGTTACGCACGGGTTTCGGCGGCATGACGAATTCCACCCTCCCCGGGCGGACAAAAACGATGATTTTTCTATGGGAAGTCTAGATTTGGCTAATGTAAAAACGCTAGCTAAATGCATAAACTTATATTTTAAATGCCTTAAAGTACTTTTTTATTCCTATATATAACCTTTCTTTATAAATTAACTTTACTTAGGCTGGCAATTAAATTTAAAAAGGGGCGGCTAGGGCAAGAATAAATGGTATCGGTAAGCACTGCTGAGTACCACTTGAGGCCTAACCCGGTACTCTTTATGTTCCTTAAAATGAGCGAGATGCGTTTTAAGTGAAAAGTGTGGAGGTATAAGAGGGTACAAAGTATCGTTCTTGTCCGCCCGGGGAGGGTGGAATTCGTCATGTCGGGGTTTTGGGAGCCCAGGATCAGCCTGGCAACACTGATTGATTTACCATTCATGGCCTAGGTCCTGCCTCCATTTTGGACTCTGCCGTCATCTGCCGTCCTCAGGACGATGGTGCCTCCATTGTGGTGGTGGTCTTCCTCGCACATCCGCGCGCGCTCAACAATCCAACACCTTCTTGGAGCCTGATGAACGTGACCAACATCACACACAATCTGGCAGCTTGTCCTTTGTCAGGTCTAACTTCCAGACCTTGGGCTATTCTACTCCTACCACCGCACCGCGTCGCCAACGCATCAACTGACCCCCACTACCCCCAACCCTCCTCCAGCCTTAAAACCCCCCACATGGCAGTCCACTCGTCCTTGGCCGTCAACACCCAGTGAGCCTCGGCCCGTTGGGACCACAATTGAGCATTGAATAACAACACAACACATCGGACGAACACTCCCGAAAGCTCGATCGCTGTACTACTTACTATTACGGTAACAGCTTGTGTTCCGCTATGTCATTGGGCTGAACCCGAGACAGCCGTGACAGCCACAAATGATGAGGCTTCCCGGACCATCCTCTCCACTGTCGACTTCACATGGCAGCCCACGAGCCTCGGTGGGCCGTCCCGTCCTGTGGTCGCATCCTTCCCACCCTACGGCATGCTGACATGTCCAATCGGCTGGGATGCTGCATGGGCATGGGGTGAAACATTTCACCAACAGGACGGGAGTTCGATCGATCGTGCTCCAGCTGCCAGGCCCATTCAGGCAATTCGAGAGCAGAAAAACGTGGCTGCATGACGTCGGCCCAATCATTGTTCTGCGGCTGTCCATATAGCCTTGGATATCAAGATATTTGGTGATGATATCGTGCCTAGTCCTAGTACCGGCTTAGCTTTGTCCGGTGGTGACGGGTGGTGACTGCTGCGCAGAGGATCTGTCTAGACGCATTCACCCCGGTCTCAATAGATAACTATGAGAGCAACCCCCATGCTGTGACCGGCTGGGCCGGGGGGATCATTCTAGTGGTCGCAAGTGGTCATCACTCATAAATGCCTACCCAAGACTCTTGGGAAAATGGCGCCGGCCACAGAAGTTGAGGCTTTGATGCCTCTCTATAAGCGGCAAAGCGACTGTCCCGTCTTGTTCCCCGTCGACTGTGGAGATGGATACTGTTGTGGTGCCACGGCTACTTGTGTCGAGTCAAGGGGAAGCACCCGGTGTGCTCTATCTGGGGGCCCAGTCGATGTCCCTGCTGTGCCTGGAGCTGCAACTCCTTCACCAAGTGAGCAACACCAAGATACGAGATACCACGGTGTCTCATACGAATAGTACCTAGTTCTAATCATTGTTCCTTGACCACAGCCCTATCGACGAGCATCTCGTCCAGCACATCACGTTCCACCAGCACCTCATCATCTACAGGACAGGCCTCCACCGCCACCCAAAGTTCTCAAGCAAGTATGGGCTCAGGACAGGTCGCCGGGATAGCCATCGGGTCATCGATCGGAGTGATCATGGTGGTCCTATTCATCATATCCACCCTGATGTGGTACCAGCGCAGGAAACAGCCACGATCCGAAAACGGCCAAGGATTCAACCCAGCCACGGACAGCGTCCGGGCGAAGATAGATAGCCCCAGATACCCAGGGTCCCAGAGCCAGGTGGTATCGATGTACGACCCAGTCGCCTGGCGCGAGAACTACTCGGCAGCTTCTCCTCGAGAACTAGACGGCCGCCCGTCGTTGCAGTTTCCAAGGCACGTGGCTAGCGAGGCAGGGCTGCGAGGGAGTGCGATGTCGATAGTGTCGCCTGTTGGTACCATTAATTCGCGTGGGAGGGTGTCGTATTCATCGTCGGGATCATCAAGGACATCGAGGGACGGCTTGATGGCAAATGGGGACTTGCCTCCTGGTTATGCTAGGAGGACATCGGCTAGGGGCTCTCCCATTGCTGAGTTGGAATAGTTCCTAAATTCATAATCTTTCTCCCGGAGGTATCAATCAATGTACAACATCTTGCGTTTTGTATACCAGTCGACAGTTGCAATGTAAGTTATGTATGCGAGGATGCATAGAATTGGCAAGGGTTGTGCCAGTGTTTGTAAACCAGTTCTAACATTTGTCCTGGTGTACTGGGCCATAATCCTAGAACCGAAAAACTCGATTAACACCAATGATGTGACTGTCTGTATGATGTATATGGGATTTGTGATCAATTGTCCAATCAGGTCTGTCTTCTGTCAATGTCATCGTTAGGCAGAGTATTGTCGATCAATTGGTGCTTGTTTGGGATGCAGTCCTCGTGTAATGAGTCAATATTTGTGCCTGAATGTCGAGATACGAAGATTCTCTTGTTTATTGACTTCTGAACAAAAGAAATCATTGTTCACTTGGCTAAATCGGATCGCGTACAGCTTGCTCACACGCAGACCCTCACTAGTTCCTGTGACCACAATGATGGACCTGGCATATCCTTCAAGGTTCCGAATAGACAACTAATAGCAGAACAATGCAAATCATCACGGGATCGCGGTGGCCGCTCTGCCCGAGTACAATACACAGGACCATAGAACTCGGTGCAAACAACAGCCAGCCTGTCGACTCTACGCCAGCAATGATCAAAGTATTAAGCATTTAAGTGCAACTGGCTTGCTTCCTCCCTCCCACACATGTGCGAAACATATTCCTGGGTTAGCATACGGTAATAGCTGGCTGCTTCATACAGGATTTCATCTTCCACTCACCAAGACGTCATTCGTGGTCAATATGGCTTCCCAATCATTGCCCGGTCATGCGCGTCAGCTCACGTTTGGTGTCGAATTCGAGTAAGCATTTGTCAGGCCTACAAACGCAAGAATCAATTGGACCTGTTTCTATCTTCATCATTCATCAGAATTGCTGACAAGTGCGCAGGTTTCTTGTGGCAAGACGTCCGGCTGACCTAGTTCCGCACTCCAAAGATACAAGATGGACTGTCCCATCCGGCATGTTGGGGAATTCAAACAAGAATTCGGCAAATACACAGGCGCAGGATTTCATCAAGTCCCTACTGGCCAACAACGGAGTTCCAGCCCTCAGTAAACATCGGTATGGACTTTCGGACATCGCGTACGTCCGGAGTGAGATAGATTCGCAAGGAGTTCAGCCACCTCCCGAACCCAATCGAGTTGCAGTTCACGGTTCGTGCTCGCTCCCTAGAGAATCTCACTATGCCGTCTTCACTTCAGAACTGATTATGTTCGCTTTGTAGCTTTCTGGATGGTCTCAGATGACCCGAGTATCCAAATGATCGAGGGAGAAGACATTGACGGGTACCAATATGAGGATGTTGAAGTGGCATCCCGAATCCTCCAAGAGTCAAACTTCCACGAGGTGGAAAAGGTTTACTCCCTGATCCAGAACGCCATCAAGACTCAGGTCAACTCTTCTTGCGGCCTGCACTACCACGTCGGCATCAAGCACTTATCGCTAGAGTCTGTCAAGAAGCTGGTGACGCTGCTGATGGTGGTGGAGGACACCGGCCTCTTCCAGAGGATCTGCGCGCAACACCGCTCTTCCCCAGCCAACCACTATTGCCAGCCTGTCTCGAAGCTCAGCAGAGCCGTGATGCGGCGGGACAGCCCGTCCAGTGGCCTCGTGAACTACAGCCTCGCAACGCACCTCCCACAGCAACACGGCATCTCGCGCGACCTGCTCCCGGCCCTCGCCTGCATCTGGCACTGCGTCAGCGTGGACGAGATCGCGAAGCAGACACGCACCTGCAACGACGGCGCCAGCGCCGCCTCCGGGTTCAACGGCCGCGGGGGCTTCGCGGTCAGGAAATCCATCGTGGAGCTCAGCATCGAGGGGGATCTTGTCGGCACCGACCCGACCGTCGAGTTCCGGTACAAGGAGTCCACGGGCAGCGCCCGGGAGGACTACCACTGGCTGCAGCTGTGCCTGAGCCTTGCCCGAGGGGCTGAGTGGCCGCGAGATCGATTTCGCGCTGCGCTGGGTGTTTTGTCCACCGCGAACAGCTTGGAGGGCCTGCTGAATGGTCTCGGTGTTGGAGAGAACGAAGTGCGGTGGTGGTCGGAAATAGCGAGACGTCATCGTGATCACCCAGCCCCGTCGAAGAAAACGGAGTTTCTGAAGCCCGAGAATGTCTCGAGTTCTGGCGTTGTCTAATTGGCGGTTTTGTTTCCTGTGGCGAAGATCTCGGAGGTGGCAACAGGTACTCATTTAGAGGCCCAAAGAGCCAAGATCATACAGACATTGATACCCAAACAAAAATTGAAAGTTCTCCGCCCTTGAAGATCATTTTACACACACTCATTCATTTCTACGTCCTGGTGAATCAAAACTGATCACACAGAGAATAGACATAGCCGGAGACTGATCAAAACACAAGTTGTGCTCCAGTCCCATGACAATGTCCTTAAGAATATATTCTTTAGGAGCCTTTGCCTATTGTATCCCTCAAAAACCTCATGTTTCTCTTTCTGTCCATTAAGTACCCAAATGAGTTGTGTTGTGTCTTGTAAGAAGGTTTTCAGCTGTTAGACTGCCCTTACTGTCCGTGTATGCTTATTGGAGGAAAGAGATCTGATTCTAATTGCATTCTTGTGATAGACCCTTATGTCCAGTCGTAGAGGGAAATGGAGTAACCTTCAGGTGCTGGCTGCCTGAAGCCCACTTGGAAGAAAAGTCCAAAGTTTTTATTGCCTTCAAGACATGGATACCAGTAATGACTAATTCCTGGAACCATGTACTCTATGTCACAAGGTCTAACACTACCCAAATAAATACTTAAAGCAGGCCCCTGTTGAGAGGCCGCCAATCAATACTACATATTTATCAGCTCTCAAACATTTCCTGGTTCAATCGCAGCCTCCTCCTGTCAACATTGCTTCCGAAGGCGCCAGGGCCACATCGATCTCTCATCCGATGACCCTTCTAGCACCCGACTAAGCTATGGCTTTGCCGTCCCAATTTGATGATGGCGGCGCAACTGTTATTGTAGCTTATGCAGATCTACCGGTTCCAACGATGACCCTCGACGAAAAATGCGAGAAGCTTGCCGCCGTACAGAAACTGATCAGAACCAAGTACAACGCTGGGGTACCATTGTTCACCAAAGATCATTTTCAAGACATTCTGCAGCAACTAGAAAACGGTGGAAATCTTGATCACAAAGTTTCCGTGACTGGCCTGGACGGTGTTCCTGTCTATTTCCAAATCGACACTGGAAAGGGACATCCAGACCATCCTTTTGGGAGCGACTATGTTTGTATGATGTAAGAATGCCACTACTTGGACTACTGGTGACCGCACTTCCTCCCTCTAGATCCCCTCTGGATTCTTTGATCCTGACTACGCAGGACAAAACCAATACTCGACTATCACGATATAGACCGGCTCCTAGCCGACCAGGATCCACGCTTTTCCTCGCCGTGCCGTGCCCACCTCTCAGTCGAGGTAGCCCACTGGACGAAAATACGGAATACACACACTGACTAGTTTGTAAGCTCCTGGCCAGCCTCAGACTATGCCACTGTGAGGCAGAGGTTTCAGCAGGCGAAGCGATCCTTGGAAGGCAGCGAACCTTTTGCGAAGATCCGGTCTGCGCTCACCTCGGCTGCAATCCCACCTGGAATACACAAAATTGTGGCCCTGGCGTGTTCCACCATGACATGGGCCGGCGACGGCTCTTCGCGCAGTATGGCTCAGCACGCCCTTGCCCTGGTGATTCGCGACTTCTTGGGTAGTGACTGTGCATTGGGTGCCCACAGTGACGGTGACGGTGACGGCGACGGCGACGGCGGAATCCAGTGCTACGCCCAGGACCCAATCTACACGCCCGTCGATGAGCAAGTTCTATGCGAAGCTGGCTTTACCGTTGTCCATGATCCGGGAGCCTTCCTCGAAGTCGACGAAGCGAGTGTCGTTATGGCTATCAGCGCTGACATTCCAATTAGGCAGATCATAGCAGATATCGCGCGACCAGCGATAATGATCCTAGATAAGGTTGTTCCTTCAAATCGAAACACCGTGTGGTAAGTTGAGTTGTCGTTTCTTGCTACAACTTAAATCTGATTGTCTCTAGGGCCGACCCCGTTTCGCCGCGTGTGGAACAGATGATGAAAGAATTCATTGAGTTGGCGTTCCCAGCCGACGACGAGACCTTCAGCGATTTGTCTGTCTATATCCGAAAGGTGTGGACGACAAAGAAGAGACTGTGCAGGCACTAGCGAAAGTTGGGGATGTTCAGCTTCTTGCGAAACCTAGCAAGTTCATGACCTGGACGTTGATGGAGGCTATTAAAGTTATTAAGCGTAGCTGGGAGTGACCCGAGCTTGCAAGGGGCGCTCCCGGCTGCGGTCAAGTTCATTACGGTAAATCTGCAAAATGTTTCTCATGCGGGGATTAATTAATTAATATACCGCTTTATACCTATAGGGCAAGGGGGCCATGCGCCCTCTAGCCCTTTGGCGCCCCATTCACCCATTTGCCCATTCACCTATTCACCTATTCGCCTATTTGCCCTTTAGCCCTTTAGCCCTCTACGCCTTATTCGCCTATTCACTGCACTTTAGCCCTTTAGCCTCCTATTCACCCAATTTACCGAGTCAGCGTACGCCCACCCAGCTTCTACAGTACGCCCACCCAGCTTCCAGCGTTGGCCCACCCAGTACAAGGAAAATTAGCTGCATCCGCACTAAAATGCAAGTACTGCGGGGTTTCCAATAAGCCAGGGTAGCTATTTTCCAATTTAAGCAATACTTTAAAAATACAAGCCTAAAAAGCCCAGAGGGCCCCAGAGCCCCCAGAGGGCCCCAGAGCCCCCAGAGCCCCCAGAGCCCCCAGAGCCCCCAGAGGGCCCTAGAGCGCCCAGAGGGCCCCAGAGCGCCCAGAGCCCCCAGAGCGCCTAGAGGGCTGCAGAGCGCCCAGAGCGCCCAGAGCCCCCAGAGCCCCTAGAGCCCCCAGAGCGCCCAGAGGGCTGCAGAGCGCCCAAAGGGCCGTAGAGCGCTTAGAGGGGCGCAGAGGGCTGTAAAGGGCGGCAAAGGGCGGCAAAGGGTAGAAGTAACTTTTAAGTTGCAAATAGAGGGGTAGCTATGGGACCCCTTTAAGGTAGCTATGGGACCCCTTTGGGATAGCTATAGCTATGCTTTATTAATAACCCCGCAGTACTAATATTTTATAGCGCGTGCAACCAATTTCCTTGTACTGGGTGGGCCAACGCTGGAAGCTGGGTGGGCGTACTGTAGAAGCTGGGTGGGCGTACGCTGACTCCAATTTACCTATTCGCCCTCTCGCCCTCTCACCTTCTAGCCTCCCATTCACCCTCTTGCCCTCTCACCCTCTAGCCTCCCATTCACCCAATTCACCCATTTGCCCTTTAGCGCTCTATTCGCCCTCTAACGCTCTATTCACCCATTCGCTGCCCTCTAGCCCTCTACGCCCTATTCGCTTATTCATAGCCCTTTACCCTTTAGCGCTTATAGCTAAGCGCAGCAAAAGGGGGTTCAGGAGGTCCCCCCTAGGAATTAAAATAGCTTCTAGGTCTCCATAGCAGCCATAAGCCATCCCTCGTAATCACCTTGGGTTTACTCCCAGCTACGCTTATCCCTAATGCAATACCTCTAGGCCCCCTAGCTAGCAATATAATCACAACCCCCCCGGCTGGCAATATAATCACAACCCCCCCGGCTAGCTTTCTAAAAGCCAGGCAAAATTAATGCTGTCCCCATAGCCTTGCGGAGGGCCATATAGTATCAATTTTGGGGAACCGCACCCGGCTTCTAGTAACCAATCTAGTTCTGTGTACCACATAGAAATTCAGCTGAAATAGCAGGCAAAGCCTGAGTAACATGAATTAAATTGAGTAGAAAAGCAAAACGAGAGCCAATTACCACAATTAGCGACTCTACCTGGATAAGAAATTCTTACCACCACTCCATTTTACTTATACTCTTCCCACTTCAGTAGTTATCAACATCATGTTCTTAAGAGATACCTCAATAGCCTCACTACCCTCATTTGCCCCAAGCTCTCCTCTTCCTCACCCACCTTCCCCCACTCCTTGTCGAAAACAGAAGATTTGTTCCCGGATTCCATGCCGGAATCTGTTTGATGTTATCATGTGGACACCTCGGAGCCCGCCGCAGTGGGAACCCTCTAGACTGCATTGAGGACTCAAGATTCTACGTATCGATGTCGTTATCTTGTCACACTTGGCAGATCGCCGTAGGATTGTGGTATCCCCGCTTTCTATCCGGGCCCGGTGATCGGCTTGTTGCTGTGGCTCTTCTCCGATAGTCTGGGCCGGTTCCCGGCACACACTAGCTAGCCGGTGCAGTTACACCAGCTGTTGCCAGAGCGCCATCTCCCCTTTCGAAGTAGACCAACTTTTGATTCAGTCCCGTGTGCGTCATTGGCTTCACATTTTCTATTCGTTACCGCAAGACACCTTTAATCTGCAAATTTGCTCGCAAAAGATGACTCTCCAGCAGGACACCCCGTCTGTTTTAAACAGCACCAGCTCGTCGAGCCCTTCGGCCAAGGCTGGAAAGAAGGAAACCTGGGAAGAGATAGGAGCGCGGAAAAGGGCAGCTCTCCTAGCCTCCATACCAGAGGAGTGGCGCGTCCCAGCGGGGCTGCTGCCTCCAGACTCACAAGACGACGTGACCGGATGGCCGGCGACTTGCGGATGGTTCACTGCTGAAGAGCTTGCCATCACCGAGCTCTCCGCTTCCGAGCTCGTCCCAAAACTCGCATCTGGCGCGCTCAAGTCCGTGGTCGTCACCCGGGCGTTTTGCAAGAGGGCAGCGGCTGCTCACCAGCTTGTATGTCTTCTATCTGCTGCCCTCGAGGGAAATTTCACTAACTCCGCCACAGACGAACTGTCTCTCGGAAACGTGCTTTGCTCGCGCCCTCGAAACAGCCGAGGCTCGTGACGAGCATTTGGCCCGCACGGGGAAGCCGGTGGGGCCTCTGCACGGGCTGCCTGTGTCGTTGAAGGATAACTTCAACCTTAAGGGCCTCGATGCCACCGTGGGCTTCGCAAGCCACGTCGACGACCCGGCCGCGTACGACTCCACGCTGGCAACCATACTAGAAGACGCAGGCGCCGTGTTCTACGTCAAGACCAACGTTCCCACCGCCATGATGATTGCCGAGTCGGTGAACAACGTTTTCGGCCGCACGGTCAACCCTCGTAACAGGCAGGTGACCTCGGGCGGGAGCAGCGGCGGCGAGTCGGCCTTGATCGCGTTCAAGGGCAGCTGCCTTGGCGTTGGCACTGACATCGGTGGGAGTCTTCGGATCCCCGCGGCTTGCACGGGGATATTCACGCTGAAGCCCAGCTTCGGGCGCTTCCCGACACTCAAATGCCGAAGCGGCATGAGCGGCCAGGAAGCAGTGCAGAGCGTCAACGGACCCCTGGCGAGGACCATCGACGACATCATCCTCGAGGCCAAGACGGTCGTGGACGCACAGCCGTGGCTTCATGATCCGCGCATGGTTCCTCTCCCGTGGAGGGACGTGACCCTGCCCGAGAAGCTGAAGATCGCCGTGATGTGGAACGACGGCATCGTCACCCCGACGCCTCCCGTCTCGCGAGCTCTTCGGACCACTGTGGAAAAGCTGCAGGCCGCCGGGCACGAGATCGTGGCTTGGGACCCCAAGGACCAGGCCCAGGGGGTGCGCCTCCTGGGGCGCATGTTCGTCGCAGACGGGGCCATTTCCATCCGCAAGGAGCTCGACCGTACCGGAGAGCCCGTCCGCCCCGAAATGCAGATGTACGCAGACGCCAAGGAGCTCGGCACGTACGACATGTGGCAGCTCCACCTCGAGAGGACAGAGTTCCAGAAGCGTTACCTGGACAGGTGGAATGATGCGGGTATTGACGCCATTCTTTGCCCCACGACTCCCTACAGCTCCGTGCGGAACGGGGATTTCAAATATGGCAAGTAAAAGCAGCTCCGCCCATCAAGTTGCCGGCGTGACTTCGCGTCCTGACCGAATTGCAGTTGGCTACACCGGCGTCTTTAATGTTCTAGACTATTCTTGTGTCTCTTTCCCAACTGGGATATTGGGAGAAAAAGAAGTCGATGTGCCCTTGAACGATCACGAACCCTTAAGCGCTCTGTGCAAAGCCACCCATACTGACTGTAAGTTGGCCACACCTGACACGCGCCTCAATGAAATATTCACACTATCACAGATGATGCGGACCTCGTCCATGATTTGCCGGTTAGCCTGCAGTTAGTTGCGCGAAGACTGCACGAAGAGAAGGTCATTGCAATGGTCCAGCGGATACTGCAAACCTTGTCGTATTAATTATGCATTGTAGAAGAAGCCCACCTCCTTGATAAGCCATTTTTCAAGAATACGGATGGACATGGGATTTTAAGATTTTATTACTTCAGCCGTTGGATCTTTGGTCTGCCTATATTATACACACATTTTTATGTACTTTATGTACTAGTGAAGCATTCAATTGTGGCAATCGACGTGGAACTTGGCCAAGTGTGGGTTTATTCTGAATCGTGATTTGCTTTGCCCGACCACCTCACTCTACAAACTTTGCTCCGGTATCTTCCTCGGTCTGTCTGCTGCCTGCATCTTGCCCAACGCCTTCCACCCTCCTCTCCATGTCGTCTTTGTGATGGAACCACGATAATCCGGCGCACCAGACCGCAAGGGCGATAGATACAGCAATCATTGCCCACATACCATGCTGTGTAACGAGGCAGGATTAGACTCTTGTTCCTCATAAGTAAAGCAGTCGAAATACTTACTTTGAACCACGGGGCCATTGATGCACCGTAGAAGATGATAGACCACCACGCGTTTATACTGTTACTCCCTAGATTCATGCCAGCCAAGACCACACCGCGAAACACAGGCTCCTCGAATCTCATGGCGTCATTGCACCATGCGAAAAACGTCGCTTGGCATGCGTAGACCGCACCGGCCCAGTAATAGGCGCCGAAGACAACGGCCGTTGACTCGGAGCTCATCGGATCTTTCTCCGCCTGGAGGATCATCGCCGAGGTCACAATGCCCGTGACGCCGATGAAGTAGCCCACGAGATACCTCTTCCCGCTCAGGAAGTCGGTGAGCGTTGCCCAGAACAGCGTGGAGACGATCCCGACGGCCGGCACGCCTGTTGGGTAGTTGTTCAGCTGGGCCACCGTGTACTTGTTCCTCGGGTGGCTCTTCATGTAGAGGGCGAGCAGTGAGTTGCTGCTGAACGACTCCGTCTCGCCCGCGATGATCCAGAGGACGACGAAGCCCCACCAGTACCATGATGTCAGGACTTTCCTCACGAAATTCCAAGTCATGGGGCTCCGATCGTGAAGCTCGGGCACACGGGCTTGGGCCAGAGCCTTTTCGTTCTCGGTGAGGTAGAAGGCTTGTGTGGTGGAGGGAGTGTCTGGGAACAGCAAGAAGCCATACAGGGCGACTGGCAGAGTCATGATGCCGTCGACTGTGGATGATGGGCGGTTAGTCTTGGTTCACCTTCCATTGCGGGCATTGGTATGGGATAATACTGATGAAGAGCCATCTCCAACCACTCATTCCACGGATCCCATCCATGCTCTCATGAATGCCTGTCTGGATGAAGCCTCCGATGCTTGAAACAAACATGTCAGTGTTGGGATCATCGAGAAGGACGTTATCAGGCCGACTCACAGTGTTCCGGCAAGGCCTGACGCAGTGAAGATGCCGCTCCTCTTGCCAAGTTCCCGCTCGGTATACCACGCACCGAGGATATAATGGGTGCCGACGAAAGTGCTGGCCTCGAAGATGCCTTGGAGGAAGCGGATCGCCATGATGGAGCGAGGATCGTGCACAGAGGCAGTCACCATGGTCAGCCCAGCCCAGGCCAGCATCATGCTGGGGAAGAAGACCCGAGGGCGGACATAGTGCAGCGACAGGTTGGAGGGGATCTGGCCCAGGACATAGCCCACGGTGAAGCACGTGTTGATCTGGTTTAGCTGGTCGCCGACGAAGCCTATCTCCTCTTTCATGCCCGAAACGTAAGCATTCGCCAAGTTTGAGCGGTCGAGCTGTCGTGGCCAGACCGTCAGTCAGGTCACGGACAGGGGGGCTTGTAGGGTTGCGGGTGGTGAGGGCTCACGTAGTTCATGAAGTAGCTGAGACAGCAGAAGGTGAGGATGAAAAAGTCGACCTTTTGCACCAGCAGCCGCTCGCCCGGCCGGTACTCCACCTTGAAGTATTCGCGGAGCTTGGAAAGCGCCATCACGGAGTTGCGGTGGCTTGGAGATGCACTAGATCAGAAGCACTGTATATCGACCCATTCGAAGCAGGCATGTGGTGTGTGTAAGTTCTTTATGCTCCGGTGGAGTCGGGCCTGTCGGTTTGCTCTGAGTCGGCACTTGTCATAGCGCAAATCGGTGCCGCTGCGATCTGCAGAAAATGACCCTCGGGGAAGGGCCGGCCTTTGGCGCCAAGGATCCACTTAGACTACCTCATGGCTCGCGAACTGCCCGCTGCGGCACCGCGATAACAGCCGAGCAAGGGCAGATGATAAGTGAGATAGGGGTGCATATTCCTGATACTGGAAGATTGTAATTTGATATTTCCAAGGGCAGACAGACATCGTAGACAAATATCCCCCACTGTCGTTGAGCTCTTAATTTAGCCACCCGGCGCATGTGAGCAGGTAGGATACATCATCAGGGAGCCAAGTGAGCCCAGTAGATGTCTCTGTGGAAATCGACACACTTGATACATAGAAGTCGAAGCTTTTTGGATGGTTTACGTTACAAATCTCAACAGTAAACAGCCCTAGCTTTGTCAATATACAAAGTTATAATCATTGAATGCCCAAGTAAGGTTCTGAAACCAATCCTGGAAGAAGAGCCGACAAGGAGACATAGTTACTACAGTCTCAAATTCCTTTTACCACAAGGCATGGCATCTAATAATTACGTCTAGAAGATCTGTCCATACATCTCCATCAGCAAGGTGCGATCTCTCCCCGCACTTCCGGGCATCGCATTGTTCTGCGCTTGTTCCACCACCTCAAACATCCAGTACTTGATCAAAATCTCCTCGATCCCACCCCTAACTGACTCTTGGATCGTGCGGCCGTTTGGTCTGGCTTCTCGGGGTGCCCAGAGCCTTGGTAAGACTTGCAAAGATTCCAATCTGACATTTTTGAAAGCCCAACACCGCTCTAGGAGTGACCTTGCTTCGACAGCGTTCGCTTGAGTGGGGAAAGTATGATGGTAAACACTCCAGTGAACAAGCTCATCCGTGTCCTCTATCGTACCCGGGCGTCTGTAAGCCTTTCCTGCCAATCGCCACCATGGGGTCATTGTATCGGGTACGTTCAACCTTGGCTCAGGCCGTATTTCTTCCATCAGTCAGCACCAGTGTCCCAAGTGGGGCACAAGACAGCACCAGACTCACCAGCACATTCCGAATCCTCATTTTTGTTTGAAGTGGCCATCTCTCCCTTCCAAAAGACAGACCAATCAAACTCTACATGACCCTCCAGCTTCGCCATCATCCACGCTAGCGACGAATGGGCCAGCACGTCATCTGGCCTGCCACCACCAATATCGGTATGATAGCCGCTGAACCAACACTGCTCAAGCGTCTGTCCTGATTGCTCACAGCGCCTAGCCATCACTGGTTGAAATTGAGAGCGGCGTTCATGTAGAGACAAAGCATGGAAAACGTTGTGCACGCCACTAATATGGCCCCCATTCACGGTCACTCGTGAAGGAGCGCCGCCTCTTCTGATGCCTAGAGTCCTGCCAGGGCCGAAAATTCCTGCCCGCCCAACAGAGTTGACAGTATCCCAGAGGCCACAAGCCCTGATAGTTGGCCGAGGATGCCAGTACTTCTGCGATTCAAGATGTTTCAGTTCCTGAAGAAGTTCTTCTCGGGTCTTGTTCTTCCACCAGCAGTCAAACACGGAACGCAAACACCCAAGTCCCTCCCTTGTTAATAGACCAATCTCATGGATAAAATTTATGGCACAACGGACTGTGAAAGCTCCACGAGAGTAGCCAATTAGAACAATTTCATCTCCCGGTTGATAGTTGAGACAAATGAAGTAGTATACCGCTAGAATGCTGACTCCAATGCCTGCGAAAGTACGTTAGTCAAGGAATTACGAACACTGAAAGTTAGAGCTAAGCCAGAGCAATACTGGTGGGCTTGTTGAGATCGCGGCAAGCAATGAAAGCACTGGGGCAGACGTCCTGGAGCTGTTCCTCTTCTTGCGCGGAGACCAGATCGAATTCCCTGACAAGGAGGACAACTCAAGCGACGCATCTGGCATAAAGAAGATCATGAATATTGCAGCCGAGAATGAAGGGGATGGAGCTGCAGTGTTGCAAGTGCTCCTTGACCGATACGGAGACCAGATTTCTATCACTGGCATGGAAAAGATCGTCAAGACTGCAGACGCCAACACAGCAGAAGTCATGAACGTACTTCTTGACCGATACGGAGAGCAAATCTCCATGGCTGAGTTGGGAGAGACCGTCAAGATCGCAGCCGGTAAGAGACCTGGACCCTTGAAAGTACTCCTTGACCGCTATGGGGACCAGATCGATTTGACCGAAGAAGTCGCCAAAGCTGCAACTTTGAGCGGTACCTGGAGAGTTGAACTGTCAACAGTTCTTATTCGAGCCGCTCTGGACAGAGAGGGGAATTATGAAGAGTTCATAAGGCTGCTTCTTGAGACCAACAGCCGCCCTACTGGATTCCGGAACATATTCAGCTGGGAAATGCTTTTGTATGCTATGCATTGCGGGGACAATGAAATTTGCAACCTGCTTCTGGAAATAGGTCGGATCGATGATGATTTGAAAGACATCGAACAAGGACGCGTCTGGACACCTCTCTTCTACGCTATCCGTCAAAGGAACCAGGAAGTTGTGAAGGTGCTTGTCGACAATGGCAAAGTCAATATCAAGAATGTCGAGGCAGAGTTTAACGGACGAGAAGCATTATCATGGGCCGCAGAAGAAGGGCTCGTGAAGACTGTGGAGCAATTACTCAGGATAGAAGGAATCCAGATCGACTCGAGAGACTTCGACAAGCGGACACCTCTTCATTGGGCTGCCAAAGAAGGAAAAGATCAAGTTGTGAAAGGTCTTCTCGACACGGGCAAGGTCGACGTCAATGCCAAGGATGATGCGGGCGAAACGGCCTTTTCGCAGGCAAGCAGGGGAAAATATCAGGTCATCCTGCAACTACTTGGCGCCACGGGCAAGCTGAATGCCAACTCTGAGCAGTTTTGAGTCATAGCTTTTGTTAGCACAAACTGCGTTCCAGTTTCGAACTCTTCGTCACAGCAGCTCAAGTTCTGTTCCACCGCGGCTGTGTCGCCGTTGCAATGTCAGCTGCCGCAGCCGACGTGCGGACGTGCTGACATTGATGTCTGACGTGATACACACAGCCTGGGGCAAGCAGCTGAACAGAATAGAAGGAGGAAGAATTGAGCAGTCACCTTTTTGGCAGAAGCGACTGATAGCAAACCAATTTCTGGTTTCAACCTCGTCTCCCGCCACCATCTATATTGTACACTAAGTATCGATGTGCGAATGTAGGATAGAAGGGAGCAAAAGGACGGCCTACACTAGGAAGTATTCTAGCTACCTATTTAACTTTACAGTAGATAGTCTTGAGCTACATCAAAAGCCTCACCAGTAGGCATAGCCCCATTTTCAAACCCGTTCTACCCTACTCTACGGTGACAGCAGATTCTTATTACTTAGATCTCCTACTAGATTATGTAGAGTACTGTTATATCAACACCCTAAAGTTTGCCATGATAAGAATACTCTTAATTATATTAAGGTCTGGAAGTTTTGCTTTCCAACATCGACGTCCTTTCGCATCAAATTATATCGATTCTCTACTTCTGTCATGGCGAAAATTTCGGTTTACACTCTCAAATAATACAATTGAGAGACCTTGCTACGTTCATTCATCCACAGATAGATCTGTGATAGATCTGTCTCAATTCCTGGAAGAACTTTATTATTGCCATCCCACAACGTATCAATCCACTAGATCGTGTGCTGTGCCTCTCAAAAAGACTGCATCTGGTAGTGCAGGCAATTTGACCGGTGTGTAAACATTCTGAGTCTCGATTGGTTTCAGGCAGCCCTCTGTTTGTCCGTCCCTCGAGTCCAGTCGCGAGAGACGGCTAGTTCCCTTGTCGCCCACTGTCATGACCTTGTCGGGAGATGCGCTTTGTCCAGGTGAAGCGGCGGTGGAAGCCACGTTTGTCTTAAGCCTGGAAAGAACGTGGCTGTAGAAGTTTCGCTGTCTGTTCTTCCGACTGAAGCCTGTCCTCGGTCTGTTTGGGTCTATTCCGTGTTTTGCAAGGTGTTCCATCAAGGTGCTGATACTTGGTAAACATGCGCAGATGATACCGATCGTGATTTCCACAAAACTAGAAATATCGTAGATTTGTCAGTCTTCTGATACTTCCATAGACAAAAGGAAAATTCATCAACGCACGTTAATAAAGACAAGACTCCCAACTCGAACGTTCTGTCGGCTGACTTCTTCTCCTCAAACACCACCACTCCTTTGTATATGGTTATTCCGGCCGCCACTCCGCCGGTGGTAAGAGAAAGGAATATCCTGGCCCTCTTCCAAATCGAAAAGTTCAACGAGAAGACCATTGGCAGTGGTATCAGAAGGATCACGGTGTCCGTTACCATTAATGCCACTATATCTGCTCTGAACAACTTGTCCTGGTCGATGCACTTTTGCCTCAATTGATCTGGCCAAAGTGAAAGCTCCCAGTAAGCGGGTATCGGCCGACATATTGCGATCTTGAGACATTGGATTGGCAACAGGATTGCTACCGTGATTCCAATGAAAATTTGGATGAATACAACCACATGCCGCTCGACAGCAAAAATGCGTGCAAGTAGAAGGAGTATCGAGATCTTGATTGTAAATACGCATGGAATGTAAAAGACGCTGGCAAAATATGCCCACTTCTCTGATTAGCACTTTCTCGTGGCGCTCGGAGGTACACGGGGTGAAGAGGTTACCTTTGTAGATTCAACGTACATGTCCTCTGTGACTTCCCATACGTGTAAGCCTAACCCATTCTTCCAGGCTGTCCGTTATCGTTAGCGCTCATCGACGCCCAAGAGTAAATCAAGAAAGAACTGAGGCATATCATACCCATTGCATCTGAGATGAATGTTGCGGTAACGCAGACCTAGAAACAATATCAGACCTAAGCACAGCTTTCATTAAGCAGGAAATGTCAGGAGAAAGTGCTCCACAGAGGAGGCTCAGTCTTACTAAAGATGCCATGAGGAGCCCTGTAAAGCGATAATTAGTAGAAAGGATCGCGAGGTCGAAGTCGAAATTATCTCACAGTCATCGAGAAACATCACGCTTTTGGTGAGCTTCAAATAAAATCGAGTTGTGCAGCAGATAATGGCGCACACATAACAAACTATAATGCCGCTGATGAAAGAGACACTCGTGGAAATATCTTGCGTGTGTCGAAAGTTTGATAGTGGTTGGTCAAGCGCCGGGGCAGACATGATATCGGTGCGTGCGGGAATGTACCTCGACTTCGGCTGCGACTCGGTACAGCCCATTGAATCTCGTATGGAAGCATGGTGAGAGTCCTGACCAGATCACTGAGCACAAGGAGTGGTTTTGAGGTGGAGTATACGAATTCGAATGAATGTAACAGAGCTGATAGACGAGAACGAGTACGAGTCAGAGGCATCTAGACTTTTGAAAGCCACTTGATCTCAAGTCTACCGCTTCGAGCACAGATTTAGGTTCCGCCTCCCTTCATCGTAAAGCTTCACCCGGCTGCTACCTACCACTGCTGCATAGGCAAGGGGCAAAAGCTGTGGCTTAGAATACCCGCAGTCGTGCTTTTTACAGTGAGAACAGCCGGGACGGACCTTTGTTTTAGACCGATAGAGTGAAACGGCCTCCCTCGTGTCTCGTACCGTTGTAACAAAATCCATGGACCTACAACAGTAGGTACAGATGATGACGAGTTGCGTTAAGCACAGTGCGTCAACATACATGGGAGTAAGGGCAAACACATAACGTTCAATAACACGTGCGGGATCAGCAAGCTTGATCTTCCATGTTTAATTACCACAGTTTGGTGGGGGCAAGGGTGGCGGGGACGCCGGGATGACGATCAGAATTTGGGCTGAAACTGCCCATGTCCAAGCACGCAGTCTGGATGCATATGCGCACAGAGTGCGCGAGTTGCACCGCAAGGTAGCTTGGTAGCATTTGATGGACCATTTGTGTCGCCTCCCGCCAGCCGAAGTGTACGCGCGGTGAGCTGCAGACAAGTTCGGCCCGGTTTTAAGAATCTATTTCTCTTTCCCCGTGTGCGTTTTGGCGTGAAGCAACCATGCGGATTGGTATAAATCCGTGACAAGTCAGAGATTTCCATGAGTCCTATGACGGGAAACTCCTGAGGAACATTAAATGATGTCTTGTGGTTCAAGCCACAGGCTGCTCACGTTGGACATCATGGGACACATATAAACTCATCGCGGAGGATAGGGGCTGAAGTCGTATTCAATATGTGGTGAAATTGATGAGTATAGTAATACTCAAACTGCTTCATGTCCAAACGTAGAGGAAGCATGTGGTCATATGCATGTAGTCATGTGGTCAATCAAACAGGTGTCTTGATTTGCTTCCCGAGATTGATGTTTGATAGTCAAATCGATGCTCAGCTAAACAGGGCTATAAATTTCGTGATATACGTTTCTCTTACAAGAAGGGCAAATATGATACAAATACAATCTGGCTGGCACCTAAGCCGAATTATACACAGCCACATACTCGGCCTGGTACACTCCACCCGACTTGGTGCTCTCCAGCGGTGTTGCATCGGCGCCATAATCTTTGTTCGGGAAGGAACCGCCAATTGCCAAGTTCATGAGTACAAAATGCCCCTTGTGTGCGATTTGGGCCCTATGTGAGATCATGTTAGCAAATCTGGCGATGGACTCATGCGGAGGTAGTAGATCAGGGAAGCCCTCAAGTGCACGACAGATATCTTAAGAGGAATGAGGAAGTGTGAACTCGAATGGGACGGACTTACCAGACATCCTCAGGTAGCTCTGATTGCTTGATCTCCTTGTACTGCTCGCCATCAACGAACCAGCGCATAGCCTCTTGGCCAGTGGTTGTGCGGTCGATCTCGAAGGTGTAAGCATGAAAGTTGCCTTGTGGCAAGGACTTGGGCGTGATAGACCCTGAGAGTCCAGTGGTCTCATTACAGACCCCGCCTGGGTTAGTCCCGCAGTGGAGGGTTCCAAATGTGGTCGGTTTGCAGTTGACGTTCTCTAGAATATCGAACTCGCCAACAGATGGCCAGTTTCTGTTGGTAATAATGTTAGAGGCCTTCCTCATGTGCTAAATAATTCAGAATCAGATTGTACTTACTGATAATTGCCACGAAAGTCCGCTCCCAGTGTCCAGAATGCTGGCCAGTATCCGACACAAGCTTCTCCCATATCAGGCAAGTTCAGGCTGGCTTGTATCCGCATCTTGCCGCCAGCCTTGGCCAGAAAGTCCGTCCGCTGAGTCTCGATGCGGGCCGAGGTCCAGCTTGAGCCGCTCTTGACAGCTGTGATCTGGAGAGTGCCGTTTCCACTGACTTTCAAGTTTGCTGGGTCAGATGTGTAGGTTTGGATCTCGCCGGTACCCCAGTTGGATGCGCCTCCTGGGTAAGACGTTCCTGTGGAGACGACCCAGTTGGCTGGATTCGGAAGAGAGTTGGCTTGTCCGACAAAGTCGTCACTCCATGTAAGCTTGAAGCCTTCTATGTTGGGTACCACGGCATTCGCAGCTTGGAATGCAGAGGCCATGACGAGTAACTTGGAGTAAGACATGATGCTAATTCGTGAAAGATATGAGGCTCTTGAGATTGGATGTTGGAAAAGGAAAGAATGGCTTGTATGTAGAGACAGAAGAATGATGGTGGTGATGATGATCTTGGTGATCTTTTCAGAAGATACAGGACTATACTTGTACTCTCATCGTGTTGTGAACGACGAGTATTTCTGTGCCAAAGGACTGCCCTGTTCCCCTACATTGTCTATTATCAGGTGACAGCAGAAATCGCATGTTTCCGATTCCCCAAGGCTCCATCTTTGATTACCCATTCTTGGAATCCAGCATCTCATGGCGTGCACTAGGCATGTCACTGCATCGTATAAACGAGCCGAGTATGTTTTGTTTGATGTTTATAGGTGTTCCGCCGAGGCGCTGCCTCAATACAGGTCCCGACCGTTCGGGGGGCTAGCCGAGCAAGCTGTTATTCCTGTCTAGGCCGTTCGATATTTAGCGCTCAATGACTAGGCAAGGTCGTTAAGCGACGTGACTGTGATGGCAGAGATGCGCGTATTCGATATCTTGGCCAAGCTTTCTGTAGATATCTTGGGATGATCAAGTATATTGGATGAAACCAAGACCCTGAAAAGGCCAGCTCCTAGAGCAAATCGGGCAAGCAGTCCGGAGCCCCGCTGGGCGCCGGGCGCTTGCGCCTAAGGAAGTGCCAGCCAAGTTGGATCTGGCATTGGTTGTCAACCAGAGACGTTCGGCCCCGAAATGTTTGGCTACCATGTATACAAAGCTTGGCCTGTTTGATGTGCCTGATCCTTGGCTGCAAGATTGGCGAGCTTCTGCTAAGGGCTATTGGCTGTGGTATTCCATTGTGGAGGAGCGCCGCAGATCGTCAAGGTTACCCCTAGAGCGCCCTCCTGATCCACCCGCCATGGAGTATCTCATTATAGCGACCGTTGGCTGTCAGATGATGCCAAGATAGCACCAAGATACTAGCCAAGGGCGATGATAGTTTATTCGAAGGGTACCTGAACTCCACAATATTTTGTCTCCTATGCTTCATTCCAGTTGAGAAATTACTTATGTACAACATGAAGAGCGCGCGCCTAACAATCAGCAGATGAGTTATTTGGTCACAAGTGTTCTTACATACATTCATTTTCCTATCTGCTGATATCCGGGGGCTCTCGATTTTTTCCCGTGTTTTCTTCATGACTAAACTTGGCAAACACAAGGCCCACCCATGTCAAACAGCGCTACCCAAATGCCTCTGAGTTGCATGGTATTGGCAATTTTTAGATCAATAGCCATTTTCTTGTCTATGCCCGCGAGTCCATGACTCGGGCTCTCCAGGCACTTCAACTTGCATTTCGCAGCACATCTACCACCACGTGAATGCTTCTGGCGCCCCACACATGATTAACCTCGATTTACAGCCGTTTGAAGTAAACAGAGGCTTTTCAAAACGATCCTTGATGTTGCTGGAGACTGAGATAGACCGACTCACTTGTTCAGCATGACCGGCTGCGAGTCAGGGTGCGCCGGGGAAACCACAACGTCTTGGTATGCTATCCTATTAAGGTTGTAAATCTGGTGGATGATCCATGACAAGATCGCTTGCTCATTTCTCCTTCCTGGGGAGAACATTTCTCTAGCCTGGGGAGGAAAGCGAATTTCGGAGGATGGCTGTCTAGATCCCCACACTGGCCGACGCGAACGAAAGTCGCCCTTTTGCATTGCTCAAAATCATTAGTAAGCCAAAATCAAGATTCCCTGTTCCATTTCTTGCCATTCCATAGGTTCTCGGTTGTCCACAGCCAGTAGTCCCTCCCCTTTAGCAACCATATCAGGAAACTGGGTAGCTGAAATCCCACAGCTGCACCAACTCCCTTGCCTCTTCCTATGGGTACCAGTTGTGTTTCTCTCATATCTTCCTTGAAGGCATGGCCAGCTCCGGATGACAAGTCCTTCCGATGACCTCCCTGAAGCAGCAGGTCACTTTTTATGCTCGCACACAGGGTAGGGACTGCCGACAGGATGTTGTGAATTGCAGGGCGCGCGTACGAGCTGGCATCCCCAATGGCATAGATTCGAGCGTTGGGGCCGGCGCGGTCAACACGCAATGTTGATGGATTGGTGTCAACGCGGCCGTCAGCGGTTATCAGAGATGTGTCGGAGATGAAGCCAGTATTCGGTGTTGTTCCCGTCGCCGGTATGTATAAATCTGCATCGATGGTTTTCCCATCGTCGAGGACGACCGTGGCCTTGGAGGTCAGCATCTCGAGATTCCTCCCGGCCTGGGCAGGTATCACAGTCTTAACCCGGGCATGCTTGATGACTGTCACGCCAACACCCGCTAGAAGCTTCTCGGCCTTGTCAGCGATACCTTGGCGTAAAGCCGGGAGGACTCTTGAGCTACTCGTGATGACGGTGATGTTGACACGGAGTTGAGATTGTCCTGAGCTGAAGGTACCGGATCGTCCGTTCAGGTACTCGCCCAGCTCTCCAGCTGTCTCAATGCTGGTTGGGCCTCCCCCTGATATAACGATGTTCTTGGCTCCAGGGAGTGCTTTTCTGAGAGAGCTCCAGCATGCGCGGAGAAGCGTCTCATCTTTGATCAACCCAAGCAAGGGGGAGGGCGTAGAAGCACCAGTAGCAATGACCAAACCATGGAAAGACAATTCCTGTAAAGCGTCGGTACTCTCCGTTTTGATGGTGACAGTGCGCTGTGCATGATTGAACTTCATGGCCGTTCCTTTGATGAATTGGAAATTTTCGGCCCCTGCATATTGGAGGAATTGAGCCTCTATCTCGGCAAAGAGCTTCTCCTGAGGGAACATGTCGTCTGATAGCATAGCCCGTGGACAAGCGGGCCGGCAGAAGACTTGAGATGAAGTACTGATCAGAATGACTTGAAATTCTTCTTTGTTGGGAGTCTGAGGGATCACATGCATGAGGGTGTAATGTGCAACGGACAGCCCGCCATAAGATCCGCCTAGAATGACAATATTCTTCCGGGATTGAGCCATAGTTCCAGTTGTATAATTGAGCAAGACGTGATGTGTTATTGTCAGGCAAAAGAAATCCGTAGAATGGTAGGCGGGTCAACGACAAAAGATCCTCCAGGAAACAAGCTTCAGTAAATGACGAGGGACAACGGCACATAAATAGTTTCATGAGAAGCAACGGGATCTTTTATGGCGGATCAACGGACGATATTCGTCCTGAGTTCTGGCGGACCACGCACTTTGTGCTCAGCTGGCGGTTGCCAAGCCCTCGAACGACTGGTTTGGTCCAAATGAAATCGACCGCGGTGTCCGGCCGGACGAATTGTCGAGGGCCATGCCCGTCAACGAAAACATTGAACGTCCCCATGTAATTGTTTGATGGCACAACAAGCCGCTATATCTCACAGTATCTCTAATTGTAAAATGTAAAAAGACTGGTATCAGTCATCGTCAATGCGAACGTGAAAACTCCCGCTTCTTTGTCGTGCTCACGGCGGTCACGGACAAATGACGGATGAAAAGAGCCAATCAACTTACATGAAGCCAGCAGGGCTGTTCACTTTGCTCCGCACTACTGCAACCCGACGTTATCAGGTGCCACCCATAGAGTCACTATTCTTTGATCAGTCCTATAACCAGGCGAATACAATCCACAAACTTTAATCCGCTTGGAATCGATTCAGACATGCTGGTCGTTGATTTTCACGGAATCGCGACACAGGCGTCTGACGCCAGGGTTTGGATCTTCAAAATAACGGCATCGGATGATTCTCTGTCACGAGTCTGAGCGGATGAATGGCGCGCCCGGACGGAGAGCGCCAGGCTAGGCATGCAAGCACTGCTGTCTGAGTGGGACTGCCCAGAATCAGGATTGCCGCTTTGTTCGTCTATGTCGACAGTCTCGGAGGTTGCACTGCTTATTAGCTAGTAAGGGTATTTTAACCGTTGATCCAACTGCTGACGACCCATATTTTCGAATCCAGTGGCCAACCAGGGCGCTGATGTTACAGTCTGGGTGCCCATCAACGATGCAGAAACGGCGGCTAGTCTAGCGTATGCTACCCTGATCTGACATGTTTATACAGGGTCACAACCCATATTGTCGATATTCCAAACGCACATAAAGCGGTGGTCCGCTATCCGGGCTGTCTCAATATTTCATTCTTTTGATCTTATTCAAATCGTCTACCTCCAGGACGGTTCATCGGACTGGCATGGCTATTGAATTTGACAACCCGCTGGGCAGGTCACCCTATCTCGTGGCCAGTATTGTCCTCATCGCCGTGGTACCGATTGTGTCATGGCTGCTACAATGCAATCAACGGCCGGAAACCTTCCCACCAGGGCCGCCAACCATTCCCATTCTTGGAAACATTCATCAAATGCCCACGAAGCATGTATTTCTCAAGTTCGCTGTAAGTAAGCAAGGGAGCCTTCTTCTGTCACGCTATTGCAAAGTGTAGAGGCCTGCTTGAGGAATCGTTAGTTGAAATTATTCCAGGAATGGTCAAAGCAATACGGCGACATAGTTGGGCTCAGGGTTGGTCCACAGGGCTTGGTCATTATTAGCAGTCCTGAGATTATCCGCGAGATGTTCGTCAACCGCGGTGTCATCTATTCCGGTAGACCAGTGCTCTACGTTAGCCGTGACCTGATATTCCCGGACCAGGATCACATGTTCATGATGCAGAACGACGAGATGCTGCGGCGCACCAGAACTGCCTTTAAGCGACTCACCGGGCCGGCCGGACTCAAAGAGGCACTACCGTTCCAAGAAGCCATCACGTCTAAGTTGGTCTCGGATCTGTCCGTTGACGAGCAGTCTCCGGAGAGGTGCATCCGGCTGTGGAGTTTCAGGACTGCCATGACCGCCATACTGGGCCCAGTTGCAGACGACAAAGCTTCTGAAGTGCTTGATGAGTGGACGCTCATACAGCACAGGCTCGTCGAGAGCGTTGAGGCAACCATGTCCTCCGCGTTTGAATTGCTGCCTTTCCTGAAATACTTGCCATTCATCCCTGGAAAAGAGAACGCAAGGCAAATCGGAGTCTCTTTGCGTGCTATGTACACAGATCTATTCGGACGTTTGAGATTTTATCTGTCTCAAGCTCAAAGTTCTGTCGTTGACATCAAGTACTGGGGACTAGTTGGCAACATTATACGGGACCAAGAAAAGGAGAAAGAGGGAGTGGAAAACCACAAATCCCATTTCACCGACTCACAACTCAAGACACTGGCGCAATTTGTGCAGGATGCGGCAACAGACACGACGCTCTCGACTGCAATGACTTGCATCATGGCTCTAACGGCACATCCACACCTACTACAGAAGGTTCAGGAAGAGGTGGGTACTGTCTGCGGCCGAGGGAACGTGCCGTCACAGAACCTTGACAAGTTGCCCTATGTGAAAGCATGCGTGCTTGAGGTATGCATTTCCTGTCCTACCCAAGAAAATTTCCGTTATATCGCTGCTGGATATACATACTAAGTTTATGGTAGGCATTGCGGTGGAGGCCACCAGCGCCTGTTCTGCTCCCACATCGACTTGAGCAGGACGACCACATACGAGGGTTCTTCATTCCCAGGGGGACGATGATCATCGCGAACGCATGGGCCGCTAATCACGACCCAGCACATTTCGACAAGCCAGAGATCTTCAACCCCGATCGCTTCGTGGGCGTCGAAAGCTATCCGGGCTTGTATCCCTTCGGAATCGGTCGTCGATCGTGCCCGGGTGATCAATTTGCGCTGAACACCTTGATCATTGTGATCGCAAAACTTGCATCGACTTTCGACTTCGCCTTCGATGGCCCGGCCCCGGACTCTAGCATTGAGAATGGGTACAATGCTGGTGTTGTCATGTCGCCGAAAGCGTTCCCTGTCAAGTTCATCCGGAGGAAAGCTTGAAAATGCAAGTGGCAATAGAGCATAGCAGGTCTAGGGGATCAGGAGACACACGGGAAAAGTGTTTCTCGGCCAGACGCTACACCTAGGCAAACGAAGGGCAAAGGTTCTTAATATTCTAGAGAAAGGGAATGCTCAATTCAAGTTGGGACCATGTCTCCGTCTCAACGCTCCTTCTGCCTGAAAAGGGTTACACTGTTTAGCTGGTATTCTTCCCGTCGAAGGTTATACTATTTGCTCCTGTAGAGTACTGGTAAGCCTGTTCAGAGAAAAGTTGATTCTGGCGAGAGTTAAGTACACTGGCCTTCTGCGCTACGCTTGCAGACATCGTGTCTCTTGACCTCTTAGACCCGCTGTGGACTACTCAATGTGGCATATATATTGGATGCTCATTTAAAAAATCTGGAGGGATTTGCGTCTTTCACTGGGCAGAGGCTGGCGGAGTCATGCCTTTGTGAACGAACACCAGAAATGATCTGCGACGGTTTGAGTACGGCAACGAAATGGAATGCACGCAAATGCACGCGCAAATTGTTGGGAAATGAAGCGAACTGAACACACGAATGTAAATGGGATGAGAGAGGAAGGGACCTCGAAACAAGTCTACTGGGAAACAGCCACGTGTGCAATTGTGGTGGTCAAACAATCCAATGTTTACGTTATTGTCCCGCTATTGTCAACATTGATTTGAACGGCTTTTCTCCGGTCAGTCTGCTCTTGCTGTTCTGGCCCACATTCTAGATTTTGGTACTTAAGATCTCGCCTTTCTGAGTTCCTCCAAGTACCAGACCACCGCCGTACCAGAGAAGCTGGACAAGGAAGGTGGTGCTCGGCCACTGCCTGCTTCAGTCTCGCAACTGTCTTGACGCATGCCAGCTGTCAAAGTCTGCCAATTTCTCTTCCACTTTGTCACCGCTGCCTTCCCCCACGTCGCTGCACATCGGGCGTTCTACCGTCAAGGACGAGGGCTTCATTTCTTTTTCAGGCAAGCATTCAACAGTCACAGCCCCATTGACCACAACTCCAGCAAAGCACTTTCTCGCCCAACTGTCACCATGGCCGCCCCTCGAAGGAAGCCAATCCACGAGCAGCCGAAGCTCTGCGACCACATCCTCAGTCGCGTTGCCAAGTCCGAGGTCTCCCTACGCATCGGCCAATCCCCGATTCCCAAAGCCGGCAGTGGGCTGTTTGCTGTCAACGACATTCCTGCTGGCACCGAGATTTTCCGATCCAGTCCGCTCATCACGGTCGCCGAGTCCGTCTACAGAGGCATTTGCGACTTTTGTTTCCTGAACAAGGCTTCATCAGTCAATCCCAATGGCCGCTTCTACGGCAGCGCTGAAGACGATGTCAGGCCGGAAATCACGCGCTGCGGCGCCTGCAAGGTCGCAAGTTACTGCTCAAAGGTGAGGATGTTCAATCCTTTCAGCCAGCCACTTGCTAATGGTGTCTTTACGTGTGATCAGAAATGCCAGACCAAGGCGTGGAAGAGCTACCACAAATATGAGTGCGCCGTACTGCGAGAGAATCCAACCCTAAGCTCCTTGGACCAGGCACTGTGTCGCCTGCTCTTCTGGATCAAGAAAAAGGTCATCTCGGAAGATGACATGCGTGTGGTCGTGGAATTGGAGACAGAGTTCGACGCCCATATGGAGCGCATGCGCCAGGAGAGCGATGATGTGCCTGATATCGACCGGTCTCTGCAAGTTGCACAAAACCTGCACTCTGCTATCAGCCCGGGCATTAGTCTGAGCTTGTGTCGCCAACTCTTCTGCACGGTAAGCTCAACTAGACAGGGATCAGCGCACGTAGGACACGGCAGCTAATGCCTCTCACTGTCACAGTTTGCCACAAATGCTCTCACAATCCGCCCTTCGGAGATGGAGACCGGGTATGGGACCTGCCTCGACCTGGTGGTGTCCCTCATCAACCACTGCTGTGATGAAAACGCCCATGTCTTCTTCGAGGGACGAGAGCTGAGATGCCGTGCCGTGAAAGACATAGCAGCAGGAACAGAGATCACCGTGTGCTATCAAGATGGTCGACAAGACGTCCTCCATCGGCGCAGAACTCTGAAAGAACAGTTCTTCTTCACCTGCGACTGTAAGTTATAGAGCTTGTCGAATCTTTTCAAGTTACTGAGACTGACTTTTGTCAAGGCAGCAAATGCAAGTCCGAAATGGCCGAGCATGTCGCCGCTGCAGTCAAGCGCCAAAACCATCTCGAGGTTCTCAGGAAGGCACAAGATGATCTGAATCAACTCGAGCACAGATCCACGTCAGCGTTTTACAGTTCAGGAAAAACCATCCAGACCATTATGGTTTACCAGAGCAAGCTTCTTGACATCGAGGAGAAGGTCTATCAGGGTGGCAATTGGCCTGACCACACCGAGCCGATGCCTTCCGCGCTCCGCGCCTTGGGCTGCATGTACTTGGAGCTCAAGTACATTGTGGGTCTGGAGTTTGTTCTGAAGGGAACCTTCTATACACGCACCCACGACGGTCCTCGTTGGGTGCTGGACCTTATGGGTCTCGTCAAATTCATGATTTTCTTGGCGCAAGACCGGGAAGAATCGCTCAACTGGACTGGTTCTGGACCACCCCAGGTCCTCGGCGGCCGGCTCACCCTACGAGACGCCGCTAGGGGATACATCATCCTAGTGTGCCTGAGTGGCAAGTTTACCTTTGGCGTCGACACGAAGTTCGTCCAGGCCTTGTACCATTGGGCGGGGAACATCACCGAGTGCCCTGGAGATCCGGCCATCGACACGAAAGCGTTCAACGAGCGCTTCAAGAAGTCTCAGGACAAGCTTCTGACTTGGGCTAAGATGAAGACGAGCCGTGGCTTGGAGCTGCCTTCTAAGGAGATCATTGCTGGATTCCGACGGGATATGGCAATGTCAACGCTGGAGCTCGGTCAGCCCAAGACTGAGAAGTGAGCGGCGTTTGCTGCCGTTCATGCCCTTCACACAAATCCTGCGGGTTTCGGCTGGATCGCGAATACGGGAGGCGCACGAGACGCTTGCCAAGATGTGCATCTGTGCCTTTTGGGGCTGGGATTGGTGGCACAGGTTTCCGGAGCGGCACGGGCTGGAGAAGACTTGGGCGCCTGTAGAATGTGTCATTATGCGTTGATTAGATAGATGCTGCCAATGGTGGGCATCAGATAGACCTGGTCGTAATACTGAGAACCGAAAATCCAGAACCCTGTAGAGGCCCGATGCTTGTATCTACCTTCTAGTCACCCGTGACCCATCAAACTCCAGGTCGCATCGGCATGAAGCAACCTCCGTGTCTAAGGAATCGATCGTAGAAGAGGAATGATTCAAGTTGTCTTGGCCCGTCAGCTTACTTCAAAACGCTAGTTTTTGCTACGCACGAAGCGATCTATTGTGCAATCAAAGGTTTGATGAGAACGTAAAGCTAAAAAGGCTGAAGAGCAGCTCTTCCGCAGGCACGTCAGTCATGCACGGTAGGGCGGTGAGCCGCGGCAGAAAGGACGCGGAAACGCGCACCCCGACCTCACTTCAGATCAACACGGGGACATCACTTCTCGGTCGCTTTGTTTCAAAGCAAGCACGATCCAGGCTGGGCTTTGATCCCGTACATCCGGGTTCCATTCAGTCTTATTGACGTCCCAGAAAGCCGAGCCTCTCTGTGTCAGGATCCGCGACCATGGCCAAGATCGGGGACCTACCGGTCGAGCTGGTCGACTTCATCACGGACCACCTGCGCCGAGTTAGCGATCTTGCTGCTCTTGCTCGAACAAGTCACAAGTTTTATGATGTTGTGGATCCGATTCTGTACAAGTTTGCCAAGGAGAATGTACCGAGGCACGTGGCATGGCATCCTCTACGGTGGTCGGCGGAAAACGGACAGACGGGGACACTCCAGAAGGCCCTTGCGGCTGGAATCGATGTCAACATGGCGTTCGTTTCTACAACCTTTACGGCAGCCCGCGACTGGGAGAGCTTCCAGATCAGAGTAGAGGCCGTGGATGGGAAGGAGGTCTGGGATCCGCCTCGGCTCGAACCCAACCATGAGTGGGAGCCGCATGAAGATGACACGGACGATGACGATCTGCCGACATCGACTTCCACAATCGATCCCAGGCGGTCCGGGTACTCTCCTCCTCCCAGACGCTATGTCCATTCACTCCACATCCCAGTTATAGATGACGGCGAGGATGGTTGGAATGGTGTTGATGATTTCGATCCTGATATGGACGAGTTCGACGAGGAGGCCGAAGCCGATTTCTTGGACCAATTCCACAACCCTTTCGTTGATGATTTCTGGTCAGATGATGCGACGGACGACGATGACGAGGATGATTTCGATGAGGATGAGGACGAGGATGAGGGTGGACATGAGGATGGCTTCGGACGCCACCCAGATACGGAAGATGATCCCAGAGGATCATTCCGCGCCCTGCACCTCGCGGCAAGAGGCGGACATGACAATGTTGTGGGCATACTGATTGATCACGGCGCCAGCATCGACGTGTGTTCACGCCGACTCTGCAGGTGTTTGTCCATCTTCTGTCTGGCTACTTCTGGGTCGTACGGGATTGCTACGGTTCGAAACGACCTCTCAGGGTTCTCGTCAGGGTTCTCGCCACTTCATTTAGCCATTTGCCATTTCCAGGAGTCTACAGCCAGATTACTGTTGTCCCGAGGTGCTTCCCCCAGGTTGAGCGAGCCGCAACGCGACAGTGCCCCCACGGCTCTCCACGCGGCTGCCGCTACAGGACAAGTAAACCTGTGCAAGCATATACTGGATGGAAATTTCGTTGAACTAGACGCAGTCGATCACTCTGGTCTCACCCCATTCTATTACGCTTACAGATGCGGGCAGTGGAGCTCAACAGTGTCACTCCTTCTTGAGAAAGGCGCAAACATCAACTTCCAAGTGCCCCAGCCGACTCGTCACAACGGAGTGGAAGGTGGTGAGTTCTTTACCACACTCTACGAGGCTTGTGTTTTCGGCTGCTACGCTGAAGCCATCAAGCTCATCAATCTTGGTGCCGATGTCAACGGAGGCCGTTACGCGCTTAATGTGCAGTACAGTTGGCCCCTTCACGCAGTCTGTGGGCCGCCCAAATCGTTCCATGACCCCCTTCGAACCCCCGCGATGAGGAGCGCCTCGGCCTCTGCTAAGAACGGCGAGGAGCAACGCGTGGAGCTGATCAAGCTCATGCTGAGATCAGGAGCCGATCTCGAGGCCAAGACGTGCTACGACCATGACTCGCCGCTTCAGTACGCGGCAACGCATTGCGATGTCGCCGTGCTTCAGGTACTTCTTGCCGAGGGTGCTGATGTTGAATCACAAAAGTGAGTTCCACTCTCTTGTCTTCTTCCATCAAAGACGCTCAATCAGTAGCGCTTTCTCCCAGGCGCAACATCTTCTGTAGCCATTTGTGACGGCTCGGCCCGTCTTTTGTGTTGTCCTTAAATCTCACGCATTTTATTCCTACCTTTCGTTCTATCGTTTTTCTGAGTTCGCTTTGCAGGCGGGCGGCTGATCTGTCGAGCTACAGTTTTGAAGGGCGAACACCTCTACTCAGAGCTTGTGGCCCAGAAGTTATGACGGACATTTATGCCTCGACTCATTTCCTTCGCCATGGATCAGAATTACTTGCGATCAAGATGCTATTGGATCATGGTGCAAAGATCAATGCGAAAGACAAGGCCGGTAACACGGCCCTTCACCTGGCATGTTCTCTCAGCCATCACCGTCACGATCGTCGATACGATAGCGATCAAAAGCAAGAGAGCATAGTCCGCATACTTCTCCAACGAGGAGCTAAAGACACTGCTTCGAACAGTCTTGGGATCACTCCTTTCGAGTCCGCGTTCCGCGGTGGACTTCTGGGAGTCTGCGACATACTTGTGCGGCGCCGACAGTCGCCTCAGCCTTGGAAGCACGAAGACTTTGACAGGATGATCCTTGGAACCATCCGTGACCGACCGCATGACCTGGACGCCGTTGACCTCCTGCTTGACCTTGATATTAATGGAACTCTGTTCAGCAAGTCGACCTATTTGATGAGGATGATAGATGGCGGCCATGTCAAATTGGCAAGCAGATACCTGGAGAGGGGTGCAGCACGGCCCCCCTTGAGCCCGAAAGACAAGCTCACCATCCTCCAGGAGGGACTCGCTCGTAGCAACGAAGCAATTGTGAAGCAGATGCTGGCAGTCAAAGTCTCCGTTAATTTCCCAGACAAAAATGGCCACACCCCGCTCTACGTTGTACTGCAAGGCGGTCTTGGTCTTCCAGGGAAAGGAGAACTCGTCAAGGCACTTCTCAATGCCGGTGCCGACATGCATTTCAGGCCGCCGTCGAGCACCGATATCATGACACCTCTGGAGAAGGCTGTCATGCTCCAGCAGCACGCTCTTGTTGATATTATGCTCCAGCATCAACCCCTTCGCAACAACCCCAAGGCGCCAAAAGGAGTCTATCTCCACGCCGCGGCCCGTACCGTTCCGTCGAAGCGGATGTTCAGCACCCTCATCCGCTCCGGTGCCAGCGTGACGGAGCTAGACAGCAACGGCGACACCCCGCTTTCGGTCTTCCTCAAGTCTGTCGCCGACCAGCCACACTGGACGGCGCACACAAGAGGCGCGGCGAACCAGGTCTGCGCCACGGTGTGGTATCTGTGGAACAAGAAGGTGGACATCAACCTCAGAAATAACAGCGGCAAGGCCATTACCAGCTATCTGACGGCGTTGCGGATGTATACTGGGGATAATCCGGCTCGGAAGCGGATCGCCGATGAGTTGCAGCTGTGTGTGGAGATCGTGCCGGCTGAGGGCGCGGATGGGGAGAAAGGGCTCAAGATGTTGCGATTCCGGCATGGGCTCATGGGACTGGGAAATATTGGGGGCCATGGTGGCGGTGGGGGAACGAAGCCGCCAATTCGCTTGTAATGAAACCGTCAAACCTGCGTGGTCTGGTCGAGTTTGTATGCGAAAGGAGATAATTTTTATGTCACTTTCAATGTTTGGGGTCACTCAGACAGGTTCTGGGTTTCTTGTGTTGGCAGCTGCATGTTTCTCTGGCTACGTAGCGTTTGGAATGTCCACGCAAAGCCTCGTCCACCGTGAGGAATGAACAAGCCACGTCTCCTTCGCAACTCAGTTTTTGGTCAGAAGCCAGGCTCTTCACATCATGCAGTTCACATTTAACCTCGACGGTCATCTGAATAATCCTAGAAATTGAATCAGTTGAGTCACCTCGCTCAAAATCTGCCCAGTAGGTGTCGAAATGTGTGGCAAACACTTGGCTCTTCAAATACACGCCCAATTCACCACCAGCCTGTCACGGGGTTTCGGCGTGCCAACATGCAAGTTTCGAAATGCGACTGGCTGACAACTCTTCCAAGCGCCAAATCTTGACCTATCTAAAAATCGTCAACGAACGCTTTCCAACCTCAGCCATACTCACAAACGTGCCACGATCATGGAGAACTCGACTACCACTACTGTAAGTTGCCTAACGGTTTATGATCACCGTACCCTTACTCTTCATCTGATGCCTCGTCGCACAAAGTCATAAACAGACTCAGCTGCTGACCGCCGCCCAGCCAGGCCCCAGCAGCCAACCCACGGACAAGACCTCCCAAGTCGGCGACCAAATGCGCATCGTCATGAGCTTCGCGATGCAGCTCGAGCGAGACATGAAGAAGCGCAGGGAGGAGCTCTACACGCTGGCTGGCAAGCTCCGCGACGGGCGCGTCGAGCTGAAGCTTTTCGAGGAGGAGGTGGTCGAGTACGCCCGCCTCATCGAGGCTGACCCCCAGCGCCCCGGCGCGGCGGATAAGATCCGCGCCTCGGCAAGCGATCTGAAGCAGTCCCAGGAGATAATGGAGGAGGCCGCTAAGCTGGTCGACCAGGCTTTGGCCAAGATCGAGAACAGGCGCGGTGCGAAGAATGAGTGAAGGGCCGCGGACATTTCAGGAGCATGGGGTCTTGTTATGTCACTGGAGGAGTGTGGTGGACGGTATGGATTTGCCTCTTACTGATGACGCTGTGAACGAGTGGTGGCGGTAGGGGCCTCTAGATGAGGGCTGTCGTCGTTTGCTTGCGACATCATCACATCTTAGAATGACCCGGAGAGATGTGACTCTTCATGTATCAAGATACAGAATGGACAGAGAGCGGAAGTTCCATTCCATCTACATCTGCTGTTCTGTGGCTCCGCATTCCCGTGCCTGCGATGACGACCCGCATTTTGCATCACTAGGAAAATCGCATGCGATGGTGCCCGTGGCCATGAAATCTTGCGTTCCGTTTTGCCGCGTGTCCAGTCATGGTCCCCAATACCTCCTGGTCCAGTCTCGGGATGCCGACTCACATCGCAACATGGTGGTGACAATGATTAGTGTGGAGTGAAGTGATTATGCTCATCCACATGGCATTCAACCAAATCAATCCCTGTGTGATTTCACATTCTCAGTGCAAATCATGTCAAATTGGAGTTATGAAGAAGTGACGAATGCAGTACCGTTGATGGAAGCAAGTGGTACTTGAGAGTAATCTTCAATTATTCTGGCTTCTGTAATGCGTAATTCAAAACGTCAGAGCTGCGGCGAGGTTGGCAAGTTGGCAGAGTGCTCCGCATTCATTAGAGGCAACGTCGTGTGTTGTGACAAGACGTGATGTGAATGCGATGAGCCGCCTGGAGACAGCAGCCGAAGGATTGATGGGAGAGAAGATGACTTACTGGAAAAGTTCAAGCAGCACTCCATGAATGGCGGGCAGGCAGAGATATGAAGATCAATACAAGATCTGGGAAGTCAGGAAGAGGAATCGACCTGGAGGATAAGCCGCTCGGGTGTTTCCATAAGCCTTCGTTGCCGTATCGCTTTATCCGAGTCGGCCCATTGGGCTCACGGTCCCCAGACCTTCTGCCAAGGCAGACACCGGGACAAGTTTGCTCCACGCTGTACGCCATCCCAATTTTGTGTGGGCGTAGAAGAAAGCGGCGAACCCCACGCAAGGACACAACGGCTTCCCCTCGAAGTCAAGGCCCAACGGATGGGGGAACAAGGCCACAATACGTGAGCCTTGAATCATCAGAAGCCCAGAGTCCGCATAAACGGTCTGGGATAGCTCAAACAAAATCCCGGTGCCTCGTGTGACGGCTTGGTTGAGGGGATTGTGACCCTGGACATGGCGGGAGCCTGGTACTTACCAAGTGTCAACAAACAAGACACCATTAGTAAATGTGGCTAGGCCATGGCATGTGACCCACACCAGCCAGCCGTAGCGACACAAGCGCTATTGTTGAGGGCAGGAGCTACAGGGTTTACCTTGGAACCGATAGGGATTGGTCGATAAAAGGATATCTGGGGATGCTCATGTTGAAGAGGGAGAAGTGAAAAAAAGTGTAAGATGTGGTTAGACATACTGAAGGTTGGATCGTTGGTGGAAGCAAGTGAGGATGTGAGCATGAGGTCGGTCAAGAAAGTTGAAGGGCTTCATAAAAAAAGGAAACTTTGGGAGTTTGAAAAGGGGTAAGATAGAATTCTGCTTCTCACAAGTCATAGGCACAGGTGAATTAAGTTGCAAACGAGGGAAGCAACTATTGACGACCTACCTAATATGGGATAAAAGTTGACCAGATTTGTTTGCAGTGTACTTCCCATCGTGCTCGAGCTTGACCAGTGGTACCGGACCTGCGAAATACTACAAGGCTCAACCACTCTCGTACGAACGAGGCAGGTTTTCACTCTTCAGACGCAACCCTCTTCGCGGATTGTTACCACAACGTCAGCATTATCCAACTGTTCCTTGATCACAGAGCCACGTCTTTGACTTCACCAATACTCATTGTCCAACTGACAGAGCATGCCAACATGGAGTCTTCTTCGATCCCCACCGTAAGTTATTCCATTCATCGTGCCAGCCCTGAAAACACTAGGAATGTCATCTTTCAAGGTTGGATTTTATGTTATCGTGAGCCTGTCCTGACGCTTTGACCTTCCAGGCTGGAAATGCCACCACCGAGAAGCAAGCTGTGGTCGCACTCCTCCGTGCCATGTATACCGAGTCTCGCAACCAATTCAACGAGATTTACACCCAGTGCAACGAGCTTGAAGCCATCTACAACCATCTTATCATCCAGAACATAGAGATCAAGCACGAGCTCCAGTTCCGTGTGTCGGAGGCCAGCCACGACATTGCTTCGGAGGACGCGTCCATCTACAAGGCCTTGCTGGAGTCGACTCAGGATCGAATCAAAGCTCAACTTGAACAGAAGCAGATCATCATTGAGAAGCGCGCGGCCCTTGTCAAGAAGAGCCCAGAGCTCGAGGCTACCGGCATCTCCCAGTGGCTGGCCGAGCAGTCCGACGGAGCCTCAACTGCTGAGATCTAGAGCAGCGCCGGCTCGCCTGTCAACCCTGTTGAGAACGACATTTCTAAGGTCAGTACTGGATCTCCGTTTTGTATTCAAATTGTCCCAATTGATTCTAACTAAGAATTAGACAAAGACATCTCTCGATTTGCACCAGAGAGAGCTCATCGAGGTATGCTCCTGACTGGGACTGGTTCAAATGCTATTGAGTCTGTTACTAATATATGTGGATTTGCAGCAACAGGCGAAGAATGCGGTCAACAAGGCCATCATGAAGACGATTCTTGGAATGCTTGAGGTTTTCAGCATGCGGGGACTTGGCTGGGATGGAAAGGAAGATGCCTCAGTCGGTGAAGAAGGTACATTCGAAAACCCCGATCCAGACAAAGATTAGATTCCATGACACTTTGGTAGTCTCCGTGCGGCTGTTGCTCACAATGGGCAGACGGAAGACAGTTGCTAAGCAATAGATTGCATGGTTTTCTGACACACTTCACTGGTCCACTCGGCTCGCATGTTTTCCTATTCCGAAGTGCTATCAAACAAGAGTACCTCTTGAATGACCATGACCCATCCCAGATATCCAGCAGCTAACTCAGCGGGACTTCCCCTTTTAGTAAAGTATTACAACTGTGCAGGCCGTCGGGTCCGGACATGTCCTGGCAGACTGGCTTGAGCTTGCCGGCGTGCAGTCTCCAACGTGTCGCGGCCTGGGCACGACGCCGAACGTTTCAGGGGCTTCTCCCTCGCGCCTTCGCGCCCACGGCGAAACCGCAGCTAAGGGCGGGGGGGTATTGCGGATCTGTCCGTGATCCACCGGGTCCGGAGGCAGGGAAGGGACGATAGAAGCTCTGGGAAAAAGCTTGCTTGGTGGAAGTGTGGGAACGCCTCGCGATCCTGACGTTGACATCGACCAAAGTGTCCAGGGTGTCGGGCGCCCATCCCTGTCTGGCCACTCGTGGGCCCGGGAATAACATTTTTCTGAGCATGACATCGTGACATCGACACGGGCCACCGGCCCACTCTCCGCGCATTCAAGATCTTTCCGCACCCTTTCCGCGATGGGGTCGCTCCTTACATGTGGGTCCACCCTCTGTGCTTCTCGGAGGCTCGGTTTGAGCGTCAGATGGCGAGCGGCCTGGCAGCGCACACGGAGGTTCCTAGTGGGTGTGGATGCGAGACACGCGTATCGGTGTGCATGAGTATGAGTGACGAAACCTCTCAGTAGCCCAAGGCGAGGCTCGCTGCCATTATATAAAGTGCGCCAAGACGCAGTTGATTTTGTTTTGCTTCCAAGATATTTGTGAATTGTTATATAATTTGATTTTAAGCTTATTGATCCTTCGCTGACCAGGGTGCCGTGCTCATAATCAACACATTTGCATTATACTTCATCTAAAATGTCGGACATATGGTGGACCACAGAGAAGGGCCTCTTGCCCAACTTTATCAAGAGGGAAAGAATAAACCAGACCGAACCTTTTTTCGTCGTGGCCAACCCGGAAGGTGTTGTCCTGGAATTGAGCTATGCCGACGTCGACAACGCTGCCAACAGGGCGGCCTGGTTTTTGTCCAAGAATTTAGCCCAGGATGAAGAGAAGTTCTTTTACATGGGCCGAATGGATTTGAGATACTACATCTGGGCGCTGGGAGCTATGAAGGCTGGAAAATGCGTATGCTCTTACACTCTCACATGGCACGCACAAAACTTGCAGACTGCTGATAACATCAACTTAGGCTGTATTACCCTCCCCCAGTAACACGGTCAACGCGAACCAGATGCTCTTTAAAGATGTTGGCGCAAAGACCATGTTCTACAGTAGCGAGAGTTTCGAAATGTTGGAAGACCTCCACGCTGCGACCAAGAACGACATGCGATGGGTTGAGGCACCAAAATACGGGGACTTCCTGGGCAAAGACAGAGTCGAGGATTTCCCTTTCACGTATACCTTCGAGGAAGTTAAGAACAAGCCATTTATGGGCCTGCACACATCCGGAACCACTGGCCACCCCAAGCCAATCTACTGGACACACTCGGCCGTCCCCGTCTTCGCCTCCCAAGCTGACCGCAGCATCCGGCCGCCTGGCTCATCTCAAGAGCTCGTGTACGAGCAGCTTTGGGACAAGACAAGGCTCTTTACATCCTTCCCATTTTATCACGTATGTACACCCCAGAAACACACTCCATAATATTCTGAACGCTGATGAGGACTCAGGCTGGCGGCATGATCGCGTTCCTGGCAAGTATGACTGTTGGGGCAAAGACAGTGATCGTCCCCGAACCAGGCACCCGGCTCACGTCCGAGAACGTGGCCGCGATCCTGCAGATCACCCAGCCCGACTGCGGCATGTTCGCACCGTCGATCCTCGAAAACATGCTGAAATACCAGCCGGGCATGGACGCACTGAAGAAGATGAGGCACGTCGCCTACGGCGGAGGACCGATGAACCCCATCTCGGGCAACAAGGTGGCCGAGGCTGTACCGCACTTGGTGAACTTCATTGGCTCGACGGAAGCCTCTTTGTATCACACGGATGCCTCGACCGACAACAAGTACTGGAACGCCTTCAAGTTCATCGAGATGGGCCAGCGGATGGAGGAGACCGAGCCCGGCTTGTACGAGCTCGTGTACCCTCGGACGGAGCTGATCGAGAAGACGCACCTGATCTTCCACAGCTACCCGGATCTGAAGGAGTACCGAACCAAGGACCTCTTCTCGCCTGTCGACGACAACTCGGGCTGGTGGGTGTACCGCGGACGGGCCGACAACTGGATCGCCATGAGCAATGGCCTCAAATTCGACCCCAAGAACATGGAAGATAAGATCGGAGGGCACCCGGATATCACCGCCGTGATGCTCGCGGGAGAGCGCCGCTTCCGTCTCTGCCTGCTCATCGAGCTGGACGAGAGCTGCTACCCAGTCCAGCCCTTCGAGTCTGCCGAGGCCGAGTCGAGGTGGAGGCAACAAGTCCTGGCCAAGGTGTGGCCGACAATCGACGAGGCGAACCACGAGGCGCCCAAGTTCGGCCGCGTGCCCAAGGAGCTTGTACTCTTCACCAAGAAAGACAAGCCGTTCTCCCGGTCGCCCAAGGGTAGCGTTCAGAGGCGACTTACTCTGTCGTACTACCAGAAGGAGATCGATGACCTGTACACCCAGTCTGAGCAGGGTCTTCTGACGAGCGGCCTGCCGCCTCTGAAGTCCACATCCGCCGATGACCTGACTCCATTCCTCAGGCAACTGTACGCGCAGACCCTGGAGCACGAGAACCTCGGCCCAGACGACGACGCCTTCGCATTCGGCATGGACTCCTTCGCCGTGGCGTCCCTGTCCTCCCGGCTAAAGGCAGCCCTGAGAGCCTTCGGCACGCCGGAACACAAGCTCGGCCAGATTGGCATCCGGCTGATGTACACCGCACCCACGCCCCGGAAGATGGCACAGAGCCTGTCCAATATGCTCTCCGAGACGAACGGCGCCAGCGGCGACGACGGCGCCAGCGAGGCGGCGGAGATGGTGGACAAGTACGAGGCCGAGGTGAAGAAGCTCGTGGAGAGACGAGTACAGCAGAACGGACTGAACGGGCACTCCAACGGCTACGCGCCGGGCCAGGTCGTCGCCGTCACCGGCACGACGGGATCTCTGGGGAGCTACCTCCTCGCAACCCTGCTCGCCAGGCCAGACGTGAACAAGGTGATCTGCCTCAACCGCGCCGCCGACGCAAAGGAGCGACAGATCAAAGCGCTGAGCTCGCGCGGCCTGCCCGCCCTCCAGCCCGCCATCGACGCCGGCCGCGTGGTGTTCATGAAGATGGACGTCGCGGCGCCCAAGCTCGGCCTCACAGACGACGAGCACGCCCTCCTCGTCCGCGAGACGACCTCGATCATCCACAACGCCTTCCCCGTCAACTTCCTCATGACGGTCGCCCAGTTCGAGCCCCAGTTCGCCGGCACGCTCAACCTCCTCGAGGTCGCCCTCAACGGGAGGAGGCACCCGTCCTTCCTCTTCATCTCCAGCATCGGCGCCTCGGTGCGCAGGACGAGCCCCAGGAACCCGGTGCCCGAGAGCATCTTCGACCGCGACGAGGCCAAGGACCTCGCCCTCGAGGGCTACGGCTCGGCCAAGTTCGTCTGCGAGCGCATGACGCACCAGTTCACCGTGTCGTGCGCCGCGGCGAGCCTCTCCTCGGCGGCCGCCGTGCTGCGCGTGGGCCAGGTGTCCGGCCCCCTGGCCGGTGGCGGCGCGTGGAACATCTGGGAGTGGCTCCCCTCCATCGTCGCCAGCTCCAAGTTCCTCGGCGCGGCGCCCGCGACGATCGGCCAGAAGGTCGACTGGATCCCCGTCGACGAGCTGGCCAAGATCACGAGCGACCTCGTCGACGCCGTTGAGAGGCACAGGGAGGAGGCCGGGGTCACGCCCGTGTACAACGTGGTGAACCCCAAGGTCACCACGTGGGAGAAGGAACTGCTCCCTGCCGTGAGGAGCCTCACGTCCGAGGTTGTGCCCCTGGAGGAGTGGCTGGACCGTCTCGACAAGACCAAGGACACGAGCGCGCATATCCTGGACAAGAACCCCGGCGCGAAGCTGGCGGACTTCTACAAGGTTTTCCTGTCGACTGAGGCTGCCATGAACTTCGCCACGGACGAACTCGTTCGCGACAGTCCCACTGCGGCGAGCCTGGGTCCTATTACGCAGAAGAATATGGCAGGATGGATCAAGACGTGGGGATTGTAGACGATGTAGAGGTGCGGGAGGAAGACTATAGACATGAAACTCGTCCAATTGAATTGACTCCTAGCGAAAAGCCTTGTGTCTGATGTGTTAAAGCAAACTGCCTCGTCGTGTGGACGAGCAATTCCTGTGCTTTGTCGCTTGGAACTGCATCTTGCAGCGGTATGCGACTACTCGTGGATCTGTTGATTGTGTCCATGAGAAAGGGAAGACAAGCCGCGCGAAACCGAGAACGGTCGGGGTGGGTGAAGGGGGCAAGAAAGAATTGGTCTGTTATCGGACAACGTGACGGTGTCGTGGGATGTCCCGACTGCAGCAACAACACATCCATTCGCCAGCTATCAGAAACGAGAGGCCCCTGCAATGCACCAAGTTCATTCTCCACGAAATGGCTCTCCGCATTTGTTTTCTTTTCCAACATCAGGTGCCCTAGTCCCAGTGCCCTAGTCCCAAATTCCTTGATCATACACACACTGGTATAATATCAAAATTGTTGATGGCCAGCCGTGAACAGGGTAGACGAAGCCGATTTCCCCTCCATTTCATACCTTCCGGGGATGTCTAGACTTTCCTTGCGACTGGTGGTGCAAACAGGCAAACAAGGAGACAAGGAATGTGTGTTGGGTGGGTGCGTGGGAGGGAAGGGGGGAGCGTGGGTGACTGACGAGTGACAAGAGAAAATACAGGAGGAAATAGCCGATACTATCCCACTCTCTTTTCGAAAACTCCTTCCCGCTATGCAAGAAGGGAAAAATGTGTATGTGCAGAGGCGGCAGTTAGTCAGGATGAAAGCAGGCAGTAATATACATATCAGGTCATGTCATGATGGCGGCGTTACGATAGGGGCGTAAAAGGGGCATTAGACGGTATGATGGGGTTTGAAGGCCGCCACGAATTTGGTCTCGTTCCCCCTAGACCCTATCACTCTCCTCAGTGTGAAAGGCTCGACGTTGCGAGCTTCGCACCCATTGACTGTAGACAGTGGGGTTGGGATGGATAATGTCGAGATCATTCGCCTGGACTGGACGGTAGGGCATTCGAAGAGATGCCGCGACGTAATTGACAGCAGTGACAACGACACTCGTGATGATGTGCGTGTGGACAGGGATTCGTCAGGTCGTGCCACATGTGGAAGTCTATGGCGTCCGTGGTCTCTTCCAATAGTATTGCTGCGAAAGGAGTGTTAGTGAATCATGCGTGTTCTGACGGGGTCCGCCTGAGACCAAAGCAAGACGGGACATGGGAATCAAAGAAGCCAAGATTCGCAAGGGGAAAGTACGTACCACATGATGCTTCCGACAATTCCTCAGCGTCGGCTTCCTCAGTCCATCCACGACTGCCGCTCGCCTGTGTTCGTCATCGTCTTTCTCGGGAATGTAGTAGTACTGGCTCTCCAGCGGCTTGCCGTCAGCATCCTTGCCCTCACGCTCAATAGTACCAATACAAGTGGCAGTTTCGACAATGAACTTCAAGTGATGGCGGAGCAGGTCTTTCTTCTCCTCGGCAGGAAGGTTCGCCATGATGGTCGACAGCGGCGTGGACGAAAGTCGGGAGAAGGCCAGCTGGTTAACAACATGGTTGGTAATAGTTGCGACATCGAGGTGGCTGACATCAGGCTGGATCTCCTTCTCCTTCTCGGCCTGCACAGACGGCTCGTGCTTGTCACCATCTGGCGTGGGCGTGTGCGAAGCCTTGTGGCCGAGACTCGCTTCTCGGGATGTTGACGCGGACTTGCCAGACAGAAGCGCGTTGGAGGCGTCTGCGGACGACGGCACTCTAGAGGCGCCATTGACTCGGGGCGATGCAAATCCCCCAGACCCGAGTCGACGGCGCTTGGGCGAGTCGACGTGAAAGGAAGTCATGGCCATACGGCTGTTCAGGTTGGCGCCAAAAGGGCCAAACGAATGGACAATAGGATCATTTTCCTCGTTGGGATAGTTCTCGTCCTCTCCGTCGTCAGAGTTAGCGTCGCTCAGGTCGCTCGAGAAGCTGTTATTGATGTCGGTCATGAAGCTCTGGTCACCAGTCGATCCGGCCTTGGCAGCTACACCCTGCTCGCCGGCATCCTCATCCTCATATATCTCCACGCTCTTATCTCTGTCGCTGATGCTTGGCAAGTCCGACAGTATGCTGCTGTGCTGCGAGTTGCTGGGGACGTCATCAGACATGACTTGCTGCAAGGACGCGTGTGCAGGAGTGGGCGACTCCGGAGACGTGATGCGCGTCGTCCGGTGCAGGGGGCTAGACTGCAGCAAGCCGAGACCAGCAACACTTCCGAGGCGTGGGCTGCCACCTCCGGGCTGAGGCCCTCCGTTCCGTACCGAACGCGGCGGCGAGTCCTCCCAGCCCAGATCTGCCAGGCCGTCCCTCGCATCCCTCTTCGGCCAATGCACTAGGACGCGTGCATCCTGGACGTTGAGCATGATCTCGACGCCCTCAGTCTCGAAGGAGAGCACCTCGCCCTTGTGCATGTCGTAGGTCCTGCCCTGGCAGTGCAGCTTGAGGCCATTCCAACCATTGCATTCGATCTCGATTTTGTTCGGTTGCAGTGGGACGGTGGCGGGGACATATCTGGCCTTGACGTGGACGCGACTGATGAGGCGATTGGCGGAGAGCTGATAGTCGGAGGAGTTGCTGGACCTGCCCATGCGGAGGGTGTCACCGTTCTCATTGAGCTCGACCGAGGGCACGGCGGACAGAGGGGCACGTTCAGACACGATGCTAGGGGCGCGTTGGGGCGGTGGGTGGGCATGGACGCGTGGGGGAGACGAGGACAGAATGCCGGTGCTGGAGGTGGGCACTGGGGTGGGATACTTCAGGTAGTCATTGTTGCTGACACCAGACGCGGCCTTGGGAGCCGAGAGGGGTCGGCTCTGGCGTCTTGGAGGCGCATTGGGAAGTCCTGGCAGTCCTGGCGACGACGACAGCAGCTCGAGGGGCGGCAGCAGCTGGGACTGGGAGGAGGGTCGCTTGGTGGAGGACGAGGTGGACGTGTCGCGATCCCCAGAGGCAGAGGCAGGGCGGTCGTGTGCCTTTGTGCGGGGCGACGAGTCCATGATGTTGGAATTAGGCGCGCATAGCAATTGTACGCACAAAGTGTGTGTATGTGTGCGTGTATATCAATCAATGAATGGACGTTTCCCTGCAGGCAAACCCGACCCAGACCCGAGGAAATGGAAAAGGGAGGAAGGGATCCAAGAGAGAGAGAAAGGGCTGGGCTGGTGGTCCTTTTTTTTGCAGAGCCCAAGTCGCGGTCCCAGGTCAAGTCGCGTACAGTACGGAGTGGAGGACGGCACCGCGTTCCAGGGTCCGTCAGACCGTCCGTCCGTCTCCACAAGCACCCGTGTCAGCGCTGAGTGCCTGGGGCACAGTAGCGGCACCTGTCAGTTATTTGACCCTCTGCCTGTCAACGAGTGTATGGGTGAGAGGGCGACAGAAGGCGGTATCAGGTGAGGTGATGTGAGGTGTTGTCCAGAGATGCTCTCGCTAAGTATCAAACGGCAGACAGGCAGACAGGAGTGTGCAGATGCGGATTGATTGAATGATGGATTGAATGCAGAGACAAATGTTTCATGGCCTCAGTGAAGGCGGCCGGGCAAGCGAAGAAAAGACCGGTTAGGCTATCTAGTACCTAGGTACCTGGCGATCGGATCAGTCGTGTCTCGCTGCAACCTTGGAACGGTCAATTTTCCTGCTCGACGCGCTGCGCATGGCCGGCTTACAACTTATCTCTGACTCACAGACCACCTTGGCTGCAAAGCTGAGTCAGGCTTAGAATCTGTGCTTATATAAGGTATGGCTGGGGAGAACGGGCTAGCTTCGCGGCTAAGGTAGTTTGTGTTTAAAATGCTGCCTATATAAGGATTAAGGTACGCCCCTAATTTCTTTGCTTGTCCTTAATAGTAAAGCCTTTTTTTAACTCCTTATACTTTCCAGCAAATTTTTCTTAATTTATATAAATACCTTTTTAAGTTTCTTAAATGGCTATTGTTATGGGCTGGCCCCAAAGGGGCTGCAGGCTGGCTAGCGCCTTCTCCCATAAGCTGCAAAGCAGCAACCTTTTAACTAGGCCAAAAGGTATGTAATAATCCAAGCTCCCTTAAATTATCTAGCCACATTATATAAGGCTTGGGCAATAGCCTAAGCCTATTACATAGCCCCTTCCCCTAGGACCCCCTTAATATAGTGGTATAATTACCCCCAAGGCTCACCCGCAACATTGCCTTTCAAGCCAAAGATCTTCTTCATGGTTAGGTAAGACCATAACTCAAACTCTTAACCCTAAAGCTTGGATTATTTATTATGGGCTGGCCCCAAAGGGGCTGCAGGCTGGCTAGCGCCTTCTCTCATAAGCTGCAAAGCAGCAACCTTTTAACTAGGCCAAAAGGTACGTAATAATCCAAGCTCCCTTGGATTATCTAGCCACACTATATAAGGCTTGGGCAACAGCCCAAGCCCATCACAGCTATTAATTATTATCTCCTAAGCTATACTCTTTTTACTTAAAAATTAAAAGAATAAGATAAGGGTAATTAGGAAAAGTACTTTATATATCTAGGTTTTCTTAATTAATTAATATAGTTGCGTTTTATAAAATGAAGGAAATTTAGGAAAATAAAAATAAGAAAAGAAAGCTTGGTTAATTTTTTTATTTGGTATCTTATTTGCATTAAAATTGCTAGTTGGAAAGAATATATAATTAAGAAGTGTTTAAAGGGCATTATTATTATCTTATATAAATGCATACCTAGGTCTTAAATTTTTTGCGTTTTGATTTTAAATATCCATTAAACGCGTTTAAACCCACCCTTAATAAGCCTGTTTTATACTGCCACCCTAGCTACTCTGATTAGTAAGGAAGCTCAGGCCCTAAAAACTGGAGCGTTTGATGGAGATCTGAGCTGTCTGAGATAACTTACAACCGCGTTTTGGGGCGGGCAGCAGACGAGCTAAGGCCTGGGTGAGCAATGAGGTGGCCGTGATTGACGGGGTCCCACGTCTTAGTGGCCCCGAGTCACCGCACCTGCAGCCTCTGGCCTGTGGTCCTAGACTGCATACCTAGGTACAGTACAGCACAGCACACAGGCAGGCAAACCGCAGCTCCCTAAAATGTCACCATTCCAGGGTTGCGAGCCTGCCCGTCCTACTGCACTGTATGGACGGACTCCTACGGCTTCCTCCACCTTCCTGGAACCTCGTCAATGTTTCATCCCACGCGACAGCCAGAGAGGCAGCACCGCGAATCATTATAGCCCAAGATAATGCACCAGCCCCGACTATACATACTGTCCAGACCAGTAGCCAGCCAGACTAGCCAAACAACCTAGTTACTATCTCAAAGTCGAGACATTGATGCTTCCGGGAGGGTGCTTGCTTGATTGCTTGGACTCCCATCCCAAGCTCGGTACCAGTAGCTAGGTACTCAGCTACCAACCAAGATACCTGGGTCCTGCCCACTGACTCCAGTCAGGGCAGTGGCTGCCGCCTTCCCCTCCCTTCCCGCGCCTACCCCTGCCCGTCGCGCTCTCTCCTCGTTCCTTTTCTCGCCCTTTACGTCACTCTCGCTCTGGAGATTATCGCAAAACGCCATGATGAGCGGGGCTGCGGAACTGTATACTCACTCACATTGCAGCAATGAACACCGCCCCGGCAGCCTGGCAAGCCCGTGCTCGTGACGTCGCATCGGCCGAATCCGGGGACCCTCCGGAGCAGAATCCCTGTCAGACGCGTCTCGGCTCCGGACCGCGCAGCCGCCGACCTCAACCCGAACTCGCCTGCCAATTTCGGCTGCCGGCTTCACTCTTCCAACTTCGTATGCGAAGAGCTGTCTCACATTATCCCAGCAAATGGTCGTAATGGTCGCTTAAAGAGGCTTTCATCGCGTTTGCAGACCTTCCCACTCGATGGTGCCCAGTATGAGGCCGATGGGCCCGCATGGGGGTATCCGAGTGTCTGAGGATCCGCGTTGTCTGAATTACCGCCATGACCAACGCTTATGCCCTGTATAACTCATTAGGCCTAAAGGTTGATCAAGTCCTCAAGAGTATGCTGAAGGCGAACACAAAGGCCTTACAAGCTTCCCATCTTCCAAATTATTCTATAAGATGTTATCTTGCAATGCGTTAACCCATAGTTGTCTTACGAGGTCTGTAGCCTGCCTGTACTGATGAAGTCATGCCCAAAATCCTGCAATCTCTGTGAGGTTGAGAGATCTGTCCATCTAAATCTGATCACTTGCCACTCACATAGTCATGCGGCCAGTCATACTCCTGGGAAGGTCCGACCATTAGAGGGAACCTGTCTCAGGGGTATTACGAAAGGACGTTTTCTGAAGGAACTTCCCTCTTTCCCCTGATCCCTCCAACCTTTCAAATGGAACAGAATTTCCTCAAAGGAAAGGCTGACTGCAGAACTGATTCCATTTCGAACGAACAAGCGCCCTGAACATTCCCGACCTACCCTACCTGATGGGGTATCTCTGTCCTTGACTCCTTCCAGCCATACAGTCACACTCTCACACTATCAACCCACAACGTGAACTTCAGAAGGTGGGAGCTGTCAAAAAGTTAAAGTACTCACGGTATTAACATCACATGCACAGCAGCTCACTCTCCTCATGCAACTCCACATCTTGACCACTCACCGTTGAGCAACGCATCATCAAAATGTCGGCCCACAACCAGTCTCAGCAAAAACTGCCCCAGGGGTTTAAAGACACCAAAACCCATATCAAGACACCCATTGTGCAGAAGTACCAGCAGCAAGTTCAGGAACTTCGCGATGAGCTTACAGCCGCCCGGGCAGAGATCAAAAATCTTCGCACTGTCCCCCAAGCCTTCCCGGAAAACCTCGCTGCAGACGACGATGAGCCATTGTTCGTGAGCCGGGAGAGCCATGATTCCTCCTCCGACAGCGACCAAGATTCGCTGTACGAAGCCGCTCCTTGCATTCCCCAAGGCCGACAGTCGGCCCCCACAGCGCCGAGCGAGGAGACCCTCAGATGCTACGCCACGACAATCGCCTACTCTTCGTACAGCATGCTGTGTGGCACCTCGGATCGCTCCTTGATCCATCGCTTGTTCGAGGCTGATTTGCAGAAGGAGCCATCCGGTATCCTCTGCCCCAAAAAGATGGTCGAGATCCCCCGGGGCGGGCACAACATCGCCTACCTCCGGGAGCAGATAGCGGAAGGCGCATCCCTCTTTGCCGCCAGAATGACCGAGGCCCGCCGCGGAGTCCACCCGGAAGTCACGACCGACGACCACGTCCGCCGAATTGGCCCCGCAAACATTCCCGGCGACAACCTCCCAGTCTACTGGATCGTCACCCTCAGCCAACAGGGCGTGGTGGACTGGGAAGATGGCTGCTCCTTGGCCCGGGCTTACCGCCGCGTCTTTGAGGATTTCGGCGCCGAGGATGTTCATTGCTTGGTGTTTGAATCTGGTCCTTCGGGTGGCGATGACCAGAAAGCCTACGCCATGGAGTAGGCCGGTCATAGCTGCTTATGAGCAGCACGTGCTCTACAAGATTTGAATTTTCTAAGGATGCGGATGTGGTGATAGTACAACCTGGGCGCTTATTTACTGGGGATGACAGCCGCTTTGAAGGAGAGTCATGATCAGATTCAGATCCAGTGGCGATGATTAACTTGGGCAGTTGAGGACTGAGGCTTGACAGATGCATAGTCAGTGGCCGCCGTAGCAAGAATTGCACTTCATCGTTGAATTCGCAAACAATATCGCATATGCTCCGAGAAAGGCACCGTACCGCAAGTGTTGCCTCACTCTTTGACACAATCGAACTTACCCTTCTGTATACACCTCGTATTTGTATCTAGACCCAGGACGATCGTCCCTCAACCCCGACTGACCATGCCCGTAAATCCGCTCCCGCATAGTACCCGACTCACCCCTGGGCGCATATAACCCCCTCCTCCTCAGCTCAGGCACCAACAACTCAACAACATCCTCCCACGTCCCAGGCGTCGTGACATGTCCAAAATTGAAGCCATCCACATCCGCGACCCGGACCCACCGCTCCATCTCGTCAGCAATATCCTCCGCCGTGCCCACAGGAACCGGGCCCGACGCACCGAGCGCGACGGCCCTGGCGATATTCCGCGGCGTTCACTCAGGCACGCCCTCGCCCTTGTACGAAAGATTCGCCACCAGCGACTGGATCCGCACGTCCGCGACGGAGCCGCCCTCGCCGGGAGTCTGCTCGGTGATAACATCGTCCGGGTCGAACCTGCTGAGGTCGATGCCGCTGTTCCCGCACCAGTACGCGAGTGCGCCCTCCTCGCTTGAATGCTGGAGCGCCTCCTGGTATTTATACTCGGCCTCCTCGGGCGTGCGGCCCAGCACAGGCGTGATCGAGGCGAAGATCTTGATGGAGCGCGGGTCGCGGCCCACCTCGGCTGCCTTGGCGCGGATAGCTCTGACGCGCGGCGCGACGATGTCTGGCGTCAGGCCGACGACGAAGATCCCCTCGGCGTGCGTGGCTCCAAACTGGATACCGGCGCTGCGATCTGGGAGAACTCATGCAAGCATTCATGCTCAGTTGTGAAAGCCGTTCAAATTCAAAACGCGTCTTATCAGAGCCACGGTTGAGCTTACGGTGATGTGCCGGCTTGGAAGATGAACGGCGTCCGCTGCGGGCTGGGATCAAGGATATGCGGCGCCTCGATGGTGAAGTGCTCACCCTTGTGGTGTATCGTACGTATCTTCTGGTAGTTGGCGTATATGTCTTTGCCTCTGTCTTCAACGAGGGCGTGATCTGCCCAAGACCCTTCCCACAGCCTTTCCCAGTATTAATTAGCAGACAAGCACTTCCACTTTTGTTGAGGAGTCTGGGACAAATTGAACAAACGATTGGAAAGACCGGTGGAGAGTCATGAGAGTCTCACAACAGCGAGATCGACTTACATACTTATACAGCACACGAAGATACTCATCAGCAATCTCGTACCGCTTATCATGAGGAACCGGCTCAATCCCAATCTGTATCCAATTTCAGCTCATCCCCACTCAGTTTAAGCCAGGTGGAGCAACATATAGCCTTAAACCCAGACGCCTTCCACGACGTAACAACATTCCACCCAAATCTCCCACCAAATAGGTGATCGAGCGTGGAGAAGCGCTTGGCCAGCACATACGGCGCGTCAAAGGACGTCGAGCTCGTGATCGCGAAGCCCAGGTTCCTCGTCACCGCCGCCATGGCCGCCACGGGCACCGCAGGATCTCCCATGGGGGACTGCGTCCCCGTGCGCACGCACGCCTCGGCGTGGCCCCGGAAGACGTCGAACCAGCCGTACGTGTCGGCCAGGAAGAGCGCGTTGAAGTCGCCCCCCTCCAGAAGCCGGGCGAGGTCCGTCCAGTACGACAGGTCGCGGCGCTTCGTGGCGGACTTGTCCTTTGGGTTGTGCCACTGGCCGTAGGACATGTGGCCTACTGTGAACATGTCAAAGGCGTTGAGGAAGATGCGCCGCTTGTCGGGCTGGTTTGGTGCGTTGGGTGTGGCCATTTTGGTATTTTGCGTTGCGGATATTGTCACCCATTGACCACTGACATATCGGGTGATCCAGTTCAACACAATAAAACCCGAGCAACATCTTGTAGTTCTTGGTGTTGTAAACGGCCTTGCGAACTCGGCCGTGGATGCCGGCTCGCAGTGAGATGAGCTCACCTGCAGGATTGATAGCGTGCGAGCTCGTCAGGGGAAGCCTCTTGAACCATTTGAGGTCCATTGGGTGCCGCACACTGATATTTGTTGGACTCCACTTCTATACTGCGACTCCTGTGAGTAAAGAACGAGCATACTCTTCACACCCCTGGTCCCTTTCACGGGATTGAACCCACGCTCGCTTTGCGGAGGTCCACCACCAGTATGGCCGTCTTATCTGTTCTTCTCCGGCTCATGCCCATCTTTGTAATTCTACGACGAAATCACGATACAAAACAGTGAATACTCTGCTGGGCCACATGGGTGTAACTTACCAGACACTTAGTGTCACATGTGTTAATAGTTGAGATCTCACCTCGAAGTCATATTTCCATGTTCTCGCTGCACATGATTGAGGAAAAGAATCGTTATCTTTCAGGTTCCATTTGGGTAAAGAAAACCCGGTCACGGACAACACATATTCCATCGCCGATAGAAGACCTCAACCAGCCTACAACAGCAATCGCGTCCTCAGTGGCGCCTAGTGAAACCGAGGACGCCGAGATGGCCACTAAGAGCCCAACCGACGTGGAGGCAGCGCCGCCCGCGCACATCCTCAAGAGCGGATTAGTTGCCGACACCGAGGCTGTTGAGCCCCATCGCGACCCAGACGACGAGACACATCGACAGGACTTCCTCTCCCGGTTTGCCGCCGATGATGACCACCGTATCATGCGCAAGGTTGACTTGCGCTTCCTGCCGCTGATGGGCTTCACGTACCTTGTCAAGCAAGTGTATTATACCAATGCTGCATCCATTAAGGTGCTGCAAGTTGGACAGCAAACCAACGTCCTGACAGAGCTGGGTATGACAGCGGATCAGTACAACTGGATTCAGACTGTTTGTTTTGTACGCCTCGTGTTGAATCACAGCCGTCCCACAAACCTTCATGCCATGCTTCTTTGAGTGACAGAAACTGACACTGGCTTTCAGATCAGCTAGGTGATCTTCGAGGTCCCGAGTAACCTCGTCCTCAAAAAGGTCACCCCTCGGAAGTGGCAGACGCGCATCTTCCTTTCGTGGGGAGTCGTGGTGGCTTGTCACGCCGCGATCCAGAACAAGGAAGGGTTCTACGCTCTCCGCGTCCTCCTCGGGATGATGGAGGCAGGCTTCTTCCCCGGCCTCGCGGCGCAGATGTGTAGCTGGTACCGGAGCAACGAGTACGGCCGGCCGATAATTTGGATGTTCGCATTCCAGAACTTCTCAGGTATCATCGGGTCGCTGTTCACGTATGGAATATCGTACATGGATGGTCTGCAGGGACTGAGCGCGTGGCGATGGTAAGGACCCCATCAGTCTTCCGTCACTCGTCGTCGTGAAGCCAAAAGACTGATCAATATGAGCCCCAGGGTCTTCCTCCTCGAAGGTCTGGGGACGATCTTGTTTTCGGGTATAGTCTACCTCGTCCTCCCGGATTACCCGAAGTCGCCTCGCTCCTCATCCTGGCTCACGCCCAAGGAACAGGAGTACCTTGAGCTGCGGGCTTCCGAGAATCGCGCCCAAGACCCATGACCCCGTCTTCTCCAAAGACGAGATCCTCGCATCCATCAAGGACCCCAAGATAGTCGGATTCACACTATCCCAGTTCCTCCTCAACATCGCAGGGTACGGCCTCTCCTGGCAGCTCGCTCCCCACGATAACCACTTCCCTGGGCTTCGCGGGACTCCCCCGCAACCAGCTGCTCAACATCCTACCCGCAGCTGTCAGAGTGTTGGGTATAATCGGCGCGGCGTATTCCCTCCGCCGCGCCGTCATCGTCCGGCCGCTGTTCATCCAGCTGCTGACCGCGGGGACGCTGGCCTTCTTCATCGTGCTCTGCCTGCCCGTGAGCCGAAGCGCCACATACGCGGCCTGCGTGCTCGGCACCGCCTTCTACTTCACCTACTTCACCTACTTCGTGCCCTTCTGGGCCTGGCGGAGCGCGACTCTGACGGGGTCCACGGGCACGGCCTTCACGCTGGCGCTGCAGACCTCGGTCGCGCAGGTCGGGGGCGTCATCGCGCCGCAGGTCTTTCCATCGAAGTGGGCGGGGGTCGGGTACAAGAAGTCCTTCACCGTGTGTTCGGCGTGTGTGGCCGCTGCGGCTGCATCGAATGCGTAGCTGTGGTACCTGACACGTGCCTCGGAGGAGGACGTGCAGCATGTGCGGAGGTTGAGGATAGAGGCCTAGAGAGGAGGGCGTGTTTGGGCCGGGGCCGATGTCAGGATTTCGGAGGAGCCGGTCCGGAGCGCATGATCTGGGGAATACTTGGGGTGATGATCCCCGGAGGTTAGGGTAGTTAGTGAAAAGACAGTCTTCGACTCTCATCTCTACGAATCTGAAATTGAGACACAGGTGGCGAACATCACCCCTGGTTGGTTAACTAGTCGTATCTTGGTCTTACGTAGCCATGGCCCTCATGTTCCGAGGTCCAGATTCAGGACTGGCACCGAAAGACTGCAATCCAATAAGACTCCAGCCGATTAATACGGGAGTCCAATCGCACCAAAATTCATGGTCTCCTGCTCTGCAATATTCACCTTCAGAGATGTCTTCACAGGTGCTCCAAATACGGTCCGGAATTCTTATACAATCGCGACTTGTAGTTGAGGATAGTTCTCAGGCTGGAAGTAGGAATAAGCACTTAGTTCAAGCTGTTGCATTACCAATCCAATAACTCTATACCTCAAAGCTTGATGATTAATATGATGGTTCACTCGCTTCATACGTCATCTCCTGGACAAGGCAAAGCCAATCAATGTTTGATAACATGATGGAGGATTCTAAGATACTCGGAGTCAGGATGTAAAATCCGGGACAACGAGGACAGTCTCGAACGCCAAGTCGCCACACAAGCGAGGGAATCACGCACGTGGTGATGACTGCAGCTTACACATGTATGACCTCTACGTATTTAGGCAACGACCCGCCCCCCAGCTGCAGCGCATTCCACTGCTTCGAAGTAATGCTGTTTTTACCTCCTGCTTTGATTCCTCGAGCATCATAAGATGGCTACGGAAAGTCACAAATATACTCCTCTGATCGGGCGTCGCCAGATTCGACTCATCAAACTTCATCCCTGTGCCAGCTTGGACGACCCAGAACTATCTGTCGACCTAGTGCCCATATCATTGGATGCCGCTCCACCTTTCGAGGCCCTCTCCTACGCATGGGGAGACCCCTTCCCGAGACGCGAAATCCGTTGCTCTGGCCGCAGAGCTGAGATTGGGCCGAGTCTATATAGCGCTCTATGCCATCTAAGAAGACGACTGCAACCCTCCGGAAAGAGCCTATTAATATGGGCTGATGCATTATGTATCAACCAGGATGATATCGCGGAGCGGGAATTGCAAGTCCGCATGATGGGCGATATTTACTCTGCTGCGTCTACCACACTGATATGGCTGGGCGAGGAGGACGACCGTATTACACGAGCGTTCGACTGCCTAAGACGGTTTCAGGAGACTTGGCTGCATTTCAAAGAGCCCCGCAGTCTCGTTGATAGCCCAGACATTCCAGGAGGGATCGCACTACAAGCCAGGCTTTCGGGGAATAACTACTCAGGAGCGCGCGATATCCTGCAAGCTGCTTTCGGCGACGAATTAAGTCAGACCAGTGCGTTCGAAGACATTTGGATCCTATTACAACGGCCCTGGTTTATGCGAAAGTGGGTGATTCAGGAGGTGGTAAAGTCGAAATCTCACAGACTGCTCTTCGTCGCTGGGGAAAAGTGGACGAACTGGGTGGACTTGAACTCTTGGTTCACGTTTCTTATCCTGAGTGGTTATAGTCTAGATTTCATCCTCTCATGTCCATGGGGAGTTGACTTCAACGCATATGACGACACAAACACTCATTCTGTTTTTGTGAGAGGAGCCATACTGGCCCAGGCTACTGTCAGCTCGGAATGGCCTTTATGCCGCCTTCTGGCAGTTACAGGAATGTTCAAATGTATCGACCCAAGCGACCATGTTATTGCTTTGCTGGGGGTCGCCGGAGACTCCTCGATATTTGAAGATCTCATTGACTACGAAACCTCTACTGATGATCTCTGGCGCCGCCTCACCTGCGCCCACCTTAACAACGGCCTCTATCTTAAGGTGTTGTGGTCCACTCTTACGGTAGTGCCGCTCAAACGGCGCCGAGGAAGTTCATGGATACCAAACATAGAGGAAATGAACTCTAAAGGCGCCAACTCTTATTGGTCCAACCTCACCACGAATTGGTGGAGAATGGCAAATGCATGCGGGAGCACGGAGGTGGACGCAACCGCTAATGGTAACAGGTTGCTGATCAGAGGGCGCATTGTTGACGTTATTGAGCAGTTAGGAACAGATATGACTGCGGCATTCCCCGAGTTAAAAAGCCCCCGAAACAACAATTTTACAGCGGAAAATAAAAGTATACGAGGGATTGAGGTCAATTGGCTGGATGAATGTCAAACAATGGCAGAATGCGCTCAACAGGACGAACATGCCTTCGTAGACACCATGTTGATCGACAATTTTGTCGTTGATGACGTGACAGAGGAGGTCACAGTAGCGGCGGCAAAGAAGAATTTCTTCAGGTACCGACGAATTCAGGAGGCATTTGCTGCTGCTCCGGATAAGGCGACTTGGTTAAAAGCTGAAGAAAGCATGGACTCTGGTATGATCAGCTCGTTCAGAACCTTGTCAGGATTTCTTTGGCACATGCAGTTCAGGCGTTTCGGCCGTACGCCACATGGCAGAATAGGATGGATGCCGCTTGTGGCGGAGGAAGGAGATTATATTTGTGTCTTTGACGGTATGGAATTCCCGTACGCCGTACGCCAGAGGCAAGGTTCAGGAGAATACGTGCTTGTGGGCGACTGTTTCATTCCATCCCTCATGAATGGAGAGGCCATGGACATGCCTGGCGTTGAGTCGGTGATCATTACCCTTGAATAATTGGCATTGTTCCGGCTTAGTAGAGGAACTTGAAGAATACGAATAGTCCAATACATAGTCCTATAGTGCTGTAGTCGGTCCCTGTTAGATAGCATACAATGTGGATAACAGTAGGTTGAAATTGTTTGGAACTGATACCAACCGGACGTACCAAATTCAAAACAGTCAAGCAGTGCAAGATATCACTGGATTCAGATATTCTCCATTGCCCGTTCTGTCAGCATTCGTAAATCAGTTTCAAAGGATCTTGCGTGATTATGTTCTTTTCTCCTGTAACGTGCTGTACTACCGCCAATATCGACTGGAGTACACGGGTCTATAAGCGAAACGCACATGCCAGACCATGACAGGATAGACGTCAGCATTTCCGATTTTCAACATCAAACTGAAGTAAATCTCACAGCACCGTAATGGATGGTAATTTCTAGTATTATGCCGCACCTGTAAAGGGCTACAGCAGCCCTTGATACGGCTCGAGCCCTCATACTGGAGGCGGGCCACTCGCAGCATCCTCTAGGAGGTCAACAAGCCTGTTTTTAAGTATAATGGTGCCAGGTGGCAGCATAAATACCGCAGCCTGCTTACCCAGACCCGGGTTTTCTCATGGGGAAGCAACGGCTATACGAGAATGGGCTACAGCTATGCGGCGGATACTCGAAGCCTCATAGCCACTTGTGTTATCCGACCAGGTATGCCCGGAAGGCCACGCCGCTAGAATTGGGGCCCCAGTGATAGGGGGGGCTTGGGCGTCATTGCGGGCATACAGTGTGGGTATGTTACTGCTGTTGTATTGCAAGTGGTAGCATTTTGCTAACCACGACTAGTGTGCTACCATGAGATTGGTGTGTATCCTATATGAGTGACTTGTGCATCCTACTGCGCTTTTGAAGATGCGGCTTTTTTGGTCCTCACTGAGCGAGGGTTTTTGCCCGAGGGGTTTGAGGGCTATGTGCTGGAGGTTGGAGATTATTACGGTGTTGATGACGGTACTCAGCAACTATGAGCAAGAGCTGTTAGGACACTGCCGTGGCTAATTCAGTTCAGGATGAGCTTGCACAATGGTGTGCTTCCCAGAAGGTCTTGTCCCCAGAGAACCGCGCGACGGGCCTGGGCTCATGCGGCTGCGGCGCCGATCAGCTCACTGGCGTCACGTCAATGTCAAGCTGCCGTCGACGGACAGCTGTAGTGCAGGAGCTACCCCGCAGCATGCCACCTCGACCGACCAATGGCCCAGCGGTGATGGGGGCCAGAGCTTCCACTTGTGCTGCACAAAGGGACCATTGGGAAGGGATGGCCGTCTGGAGTGGCGAGGGAAAGGGTGCCAGTTCAGTGGTATGAGGTCGTGATCGTCCCATGGGGCGACGGGGTTGTCCTGCTCCCCCTCTCCCTATTTGACGCCTGCCCTCGCTTCTCAATCATAACTCACGTTTCTTGTCCTATATCCAACCTACTCCAGTCGATCGTAATACATATCGAGAGAAGCACCAGCCAAAGCTTCCACCAACAGCTACCCTCATACCCAACTTACATCACGAGACTCTCTTCACCTCAAGAAAAACCACCGACCCGGATCCCACAGCCCCTCCAGCCTTTCACAATGGCCACCACCCAGCAGCAGCAAGCCAGGATCAACACAGACACCTCCACCTTCGGCGGGGTCGACGCCGACCTCGCCGCCCGCCTGGCGGCCCCGGCCTCGCCCACCACAGAGCGCGCCGCCGAGGAGGCCCGCCGCCGCACCTCGGACTGGAAGCCCCCCCAGCTCCAGCGCAACGTGAGCTTCGACCACGAGGAGCACAAGCGGCAGATGATGTCCGCAGCGGGACCCTGCAGAAGGACTAGGGCCGGGGCTAGGATTTGGGTGATGGGAGGAAGACCTGGGGAGAATGGTCCCCGTTGGACTGGGTGAATTCATGCGTGTGCATTCTTGATCTCCTGAACTTGTGAGGCCTTAAGAGATCGGTGTTACGGAAGCGGAAAAGTTGGTCCTGTGATGGTTGGTCTTCATTACGACGCGAGACTCATGGCTTGTACGGCCAGACTGTTCACTATGGGAAATGGCATTCAAGTGGCACAGGTGGTAGGAGAAGATTGGCATTAGTAAACAAAAGCAGCATCATGACAGCCATTGCAGAAGCATTGAAAGGAGAGTGTTGATGTATTGGGAGTATCTGCCGAGTCCTGACTGTCATCCTAAACGCCTCCCAAAACTCCCTCGACTCCGAATAGCCATGAGCGAAGAGTCCGCACTCCTAATATATCTCTTACAATGTCGTCTCTTCGTCAAAATGAGTTGTCTCTGGCCTGCCACTTGGGGGCCACGCCCGCTGCCTGCCCTTCAATATCATTACAACGCACCCTAATCCTCCTCCCCGACCAGATCGAGCAAGCCCAAAAAGATGATCCATAGCGTGCAAATCAGCAATGCCATCCAATGGACCTCCTACAGTCCTGTGGGCCCCATGCCATCCATACCTCCCGTGGTGAAAAATTCAGTAATGACGCCTAGGGCATAACTGATACCGGCAACCCACACACCGCCCACAACTAGTCTCTTGCCCAGGCTCTTCTTCTTGCCCCTTTGCCCGTCGGAGCTTCTTGCCTTCGGCCCACTGAAAACAGGCTCCTCACGATGGACATCGATGTTGTACTTGATCTTCGGAGGAGGAGGCGGCAACTTGCTAGCTGCAGTCTCCGGGATGTTGTCATAGTTCACATAACCTGTTGGTGACGCAAAGTTGGCACTGGCAGGAGAGAATCTCGGCCTTCCGGTCATGTCAATAGGATTGATACGTGTCTCAACCGCTCCAGACTCATCTGCTGTGGGGGTCTGTTGATCATGCACAGGAGGCTTTTCACCCGGCTTGCCTTTGCTGGTCTCTGGCCGGACTTTGCGGAACACGAGGACGTCACCTGTCCCGGAGATGATTTCGTAGCCCTCGGCCTGTAGAGGCGCGAAGTGGGGAAAGAATCTTGTAGGGTGTGACAGGCGAAGCAGAGCATCGGCTGGTGTCAAGGCGGACGCAGTATCGGGAACGAATGAGGATGTCTCGGCAATTTCGATCTTCTGCATGGTCGGATCGTAGGCCAAAATCTTGTACAATGTAGGCTCATTCGTGGAATCATGGTAAGTGGTCTCTGGAGTCGTAGCTTCACTCGCCTGGTCGGCCGAGGCAGAGACGTCCCCGTAGTGCTTGACATAAGTCGGTGGCACACCAGTGTCACCGGATTCATCAGCATGCACAGTGGTCAAGTCCTGAGCAACACTCGAGCCACCGTCATCGTTTTCGATCGTCCGGCTTGTCTCTGTCATGTGTGGCTGATCATCAAGATGTCTGTCGAGGGCGGGCTGAATCTTAGCTGGCGACGGCCGTCCGAAAGCTCCTTCGAGTCCGCCGTCCATGTTCTGACTCTCGAACACAAATTCATCGTTTGGCCGAGCCGTCTCGGGTGGAGCCTTGGAGAGCGTTTCTGTCCAGGACTTGTCAAACTCTTCAGGAAAATCTCGGACATAATTGCCAGTAAGTTGGCGTTCCGGCTCGACATTAGCAGCCCTGGCCCTCGCAAACTTGATAGCCAGGCTTGCTTCGTAATCTGTCGCATCTGATGCTGTCTGGTATTTCTTCATCTGCTGTTCCAGCATCTGTCGGCGTTTGGTCTCTGTGTACTCTTCATCAATCTCTTGTCTCTCGCCCATCCTTCTCAGCACCTCGGCGCTCGGCTCGTCGGCTCTGTCTAACTCCTCAGAAGCTAGCCGATCGGCACTCTCATAGTCTCTCCTCGCGTCCATCTCCTCCAATCCCTCCTGAGCAGCATCAACCTGGCCCGATCGATGGCCGCCTGGCTCTTGGTACCCGATAGGTGCGTATTGGTCCAGGTCAGGATATTTCTTGCTCAGCTCCTCAGCTGGCGTCGGAGCTTGCCCATCAGGCTCGTTCCATTGAACAGGTCGTTCGTAATCATGAAGCTCCACAGGGTCGTAATTCTTCGTAAGCCCCTCAGCGGCTCGCTCGTCCATGGAAGAGGGAGGCTGTCCATCGGGCTCATTCCAATACACGGGCTTATACTCCGCAAGCTCGGCAGGATCGTACTCCTTGGTCAGGCCCTCCGCAACCCGTGAGTCTTCGGCCGCAATCGGCTGCCCATCAGGTTCGTTCCAGTAGACTGGGGTGTACTTGGCAAGCTCCTCGGGATCGTATCTCTTTGTGAGGTCTTCGACGACTCGTTCATCAGCAGTTGGCAGAGGGTTTCCGTCTGGCTCATTATAGTACAGAGGCTTGTGCTTGGCCATCTCTTCAGAGTCGAAGTTCTTGGTCGCCTCCTCTGCAAGGCGCCCTTCTGCGGGTGATGAGAAGTTCTCCTCTGGCTCGAGATGCCTCACAGCTGTGTACTTACGCAGCTCTGCTGTCCCGTACTTCTCACGCAGTTGCTCAACAGTGGATGGAGGAAAGTCAGCAGGTTCCAGATTCTCAACCAATGGCCGATAATCCACTCCAAATCCTCCAATTCCAGGGAAGTAGACTTGATGGCCAAGAGGCTTTTGGTGTGGCTCGTTGTGCTTCGACTTAGCGTCTTCTTTTGACGCGCCATCTGGTTCAAAGACTGAGTCGTATGGGTGCAGATCCGAGTATGGAGCCTTGTCGCTCTCAAAACGAGCGACTACTTCGTCGACTACTGCCGAATTGTACTTGTGAAGGTCCTCATACGGGGGCTTCAAGTCCTCAAACTGGACAGATTCCTTTTGCGTCACTGGCTGTCCGTCATCTACCACCGGCTTGTACTTGTTCAGGTCGTTGAATTCTGGTTCTGGGTCTTTTTGAGCTTCAGCGTGCTCAATTTGCCTCATAAGGTCGTAGAGTGTCACGTGAGTGGAAGGCTCGTCGCTCGAAACACCGTGACCTGAACTGCAGCGCCTTCTGTAGTCTTTGAACGTCTTGACGGGGATGTCCTCTCCGCTCTCGGGCTTTCTCGGGGCTGCATGCTTCGCGACCTTCCGATTCGTAACCGGGTCAATGAAATAGTCGTCATGCTCGAATATGCCATAGGAAGTGTGAGGCACGGAGTTATGTTTGTTCTTCTTGCCACCTCGTTTTCGCTTTGACTTTTGCCCCCGGGTGGCCCCCTCTTCGTCTTTGCCGAACATGAGATGCTCCATGGCCCCTCGCTCGACATCTTCGATGTTCTGGCCAGGACGCACGCCGTCCTTGTTGTCGGGTGTACGTTGCTTGCTGGCCTGTCGGCCGCATGGGCGTGCGTCATGAGAAATCCAATAACTGGCCATCATGCGCTTCACAGCGTGCCTGGCGTCGTCCGCGAGTGGATGCTTGTCCCAATCCAGGCGCCGGCTGAGTTGGTCGGCATATTTCTGCTTGAAAGCCTTCTCACGTCGTCTTATTTCCTCCTTGACTTCCGAATCGGGGTATAAGAACCAGCCAAAGCGAAAGTCGCGGGTTTGCTGACACTGTTGGACGGTGGCGGCGCCAGACGCAGCAAGCGCTCGATGGACGGATGCAGTTGCGGTGGCATGGTTGGTCCGGAGGGACCTAGCCCGAGGGCCAAATTGGGATGCAGCGGTCAACATCGTGGGAGGCGTATGCTCAGGACCATAGTATACGGAATGCGACCGGGCTGACGACACTGGAAGAAGTCAGTACAACGACGCCTTCAAGTCCCAGAAAACAGTCGTGCAAGATGACGAGTCCAGGCACGGCGGGCACACGAACAGCATACCTTGAATACCGTAGGAGAAGCGGGGTGGACCGGTGTGAAGGCAGGAGGAGAGAGACGGCAGGCGTGGGTTGTTGGCTGTCCAACGCAGCCTTTGTGACGTCGATGTGCTTGAGCTATACCGGAAACGCAAGGTTTCCAGTCTGCTGGGAAAGAAAGCGGAGACCGGGCATCAGAGGTCCAAGATCAAAAGGCGAGCTTTCGAGTAACACAGCGAGGCACAGCAAGAAGGTATCAAGTGAGGCCAGGCTCTGGCCGGTTGGCAGGTTGATTTAGGTCGACGTGCCTGTGCTTGTACCGAAGTGCCGGAGGAGCAGCCAGCCAGCCTCGTGGCATGGGGGGACAGGTAAGTCAAGCAGGCATGGGGCTCAAGGCATCTGTCTGTTGTTTAATTTAGGTGCAGTAGCACAATATATGCATATTTAAGTGAGCCGTTGATGGCAGTTCAAGTCGTGAACACGGCGTTGATACTGGAGTGGTTGAGAGGAGGAAGGAGAGGAGACGGGCTGCGGTCGTGCAAGCTGGATGAGGGGTCACGTCAGAGCCGGCCATCTATCTAGTCTATGTAGGCAAGAGCTTCAGCCATACCCCGAGCCTCCTTATCTCACACTGCACGGTCGGACGGAATTAGGAGCTGGCCTACCACCGGGCCCTGCCACAAGGCCTAGGTAAGTACTGTCGCTGTACACATGTGCAGTCCACGTCAGTGATGAGGTACGGCGAGGTACCCCCACCTGTCATCCGATGTGCCCCTCCTCAGCCGCCCTGTTCCCCAGGGCCAAGCCGACCTGCAACACTGATGCCCGGCGACTCTGGTGCTGATATGCTGGACGGAAACTTTGCTCATATCATGTAAATCAAGTAGAGGCTGGATGCTCGCAGTTCGCAACTTACTTGTCTGAGACCTACCTGCTGTAGACATCTTGGGCCACGGGCTAGCACGTACTTGACTTGCCGCGTCTTCCTTGTCGTAGCGTTGCCGACGGGAGCGCCCAGGCCAAGACGCCCAAGCCCCAGCCCCAGGTCCCTCAAGACTGGAGTCAAGCCGCGGCGTGCGTCAGGGGGGATTCGATTCGGCCTCCACGTACATCCACCAATGGCTTACTTTGACCCTGTTATAAATCTGCTGTGGTTACCACAAACATTGTCACACACTCAATCTGGCTAGGTCAAAACTCTTTCGTTGCAAGGCACTCATAAGACTTGTATTTGTTTTGTCCTCTTGGGACCAAGCTTACAGTCATCCTTGAGCATAGCCACAAGGTGACAGATGCGTTGTAATTGACCAGGAAGAATTTGAGCGGCTTGTTGCTTGACTAACTGCTCAGGTTGTTGTCTACGGCTTCCTATTACACAGCATCCCGACTTGATGACCAGTAGTATTGTGTTTACTGGGGCACGCCTCACCCTCGCTCCGTGAAACTTATGATACATCCGTTCTCGGCCGCCACTTCGGACTCGACACGTACCAATATATTCGCTCGCCTCAGCATGTGTTGCCTTGGGAATTGACCTGCTACGATTTTCTTATGGGCCACAGTCGGCTAACACCGCAAAAGAAAATGGGGACGAGAGGAACTTTGACTCCTGGCCACCTGTGCTGTAATACATACCTAGGTATATCCCATTATCTGACTCTTGGACGTCCTGCCTCGCACGTCAGCCCTCCGCAATCTGCTCTTAGGCCCCTGTTGATGGGGAGCACAGCCGTCCTTCCTACTGTTGCACAAGCCCGTTCCTTCTCACATTCTGTGCCATTCTAGACTCATGCAGCTCCTGGGCGCTTTCCCTCAAGCATTCAGCCTGTGCGTGACTTTGACCTTCACCTCGGCCTCGCCGTCCGTCCTACCACTTGTGAGTCTGGGGTAGCCCACCATGTGAGCCATCTCGACCGCCACGTCTTTGGCTGTCGTGTCCACTAATTCCATCTCGAATTGGCAGTGGACGCGCGAGAGAGCCATGTAGAGCTCAGCATAAGCCAGGCTGGAATTGAGACATGCATTAGTTTTCGTGTCGCTTTCAAATCACCGCACTCGTTCATTCGGGAGCAGACGATGGCGTCTTCACTGACTTTTGCCCGAGGCAGCCCCTGGTTCCTCGGCTGAAGCTTCCCAGATAGTTTGTAAGGGGGAACCCGTTTTGGGCGGCCTCAATCCAGCGTTCGGGCTTGAAATTCCAAGGGTCGGGAAAAGGCTTCGGGTGCAAGTTCAGAAACCACGTGGACATGCTGATAGGACACTGGGGACAGGTTAGTTGCATGTCCACGATCCCAAGAAGGTCTCTCAATCAACTTACTCCTGCGGGGATTATGTGTCCGTGGTAGAAGAGAGCCTCTTCAGTATGGATACGCGGCAGCCGGCAGACGGGGCCAAAGGCTAGCCGGATGGACTCTTTGACAACGCCGGTCTATAGTTGCGACAGACCCAGGAATTAGTCAATGTTTTCCGACCAGGTAAGGAAGTCATGAAATACCAGATATGGCAGCTTCTCTAGCTCACCAAGAGTCAAAGTTTGGTTCGGCGACTTCTCGGTGGCCGCAGCCAGCTCGGTCCGTAGCTTGGCTAGGATGGGCTTATCATTGAGCAGGTAGAATGAACCGACCGCCAAGGCCCGACTCGACGTCTCGGTGCCCGCGAAGCCGAAGATCATCCCGTCGTCTACAAGTCGCTCTATAGTCCTGTCTTGCGGAGGAATGTCGGGATTCCTGAGCACCTCGACAATGACGCACTGGGCTGCGGGACTACCGGGGTTGTTATCGGCGAGGAGGCGCTCGACGGTTTGCTTGATGTGCTCCTGCAGGTCGAGGAGCGCGTCTATCAGAGGGCCGTTAAGGAGCCGCAGAACGAGCTTTGAGAAATTGGGTGGCAGCTTCTTGAGCATGCGGGCCAGGTCGGGGATGAGCCGCGAGCTGTGGAACCCGGCCGACAGGCCGATAAAGGCGTCGCGCCAAAGGACCCTGAGGTCCGGGTCTGAGAGGTAGTCGAGGTGCGTACCGAAGAACTGGGCGTAGATCACGTCGGCCGCCAGTGCGGAAAACGCCCTGTCGAGCGAGATCCGGCTGCCTGTGTTGAGCGCTCCCTCAAAGCGTGCGCACAAGGCGTCGATACGCTCGGTGATAAGTGGAATTAATGCATCGACGGCGCGCTTGGAATAGTGGCGACTCAAATACCCGCGCCGCGTGCGGTGCTGGTCATGGTCTACAGTCGCGACGAGTGCGTCTGGTTGGCCAAACGCAGCCACCGTGGACGGGTCCTTGTTGACCTTGGACTTTCCGCTGGAATAGACGGCGGAGAAGAAGTCCGGGTCATTGATGTGCACCTCGTTGGGGGTAATGCGGACGATAGGGCCTGTATTCAACCATTCAGAAGCCTTGCTAGCCTCCCACACTACTCCAAACATCATGACTACCTAAATAGGAACCTGGCCAGGCGCCGGGGATGGAGAGTAGCGTAAACTCACCATAATTTTCATGCATTTTCTGTATATCGAAGAGATAGCTTCCGTCCTTGACAATATCGTAGTAGAAGTCTGGCAATGAAGTCATGGCGGCCAGCTTTGGGCCGGGAATCTTGCCCAATGGGTGCAGGTAAAGATTGTAAAAACAGCGAGAGAAGATCCCGACCGTGCAGATCATCACCAAAGCCAAAGCCAACGACAACTTGGGAATTCTCAGCTGCGCCAGCTGTTGGAATCGCCACGCCATCGGCCCTGGCAGCGCTGCGCTCGACGTGTCGAAGGAATCTCCCATAGCTGTTGGATCGAAAGTGGGTAGGCAAGAAGAAGGGGAATCAGTTGCACAAAGCCGGACTGGAAAGTTTGGCCAAGTTGGGCACCGATGTAGAGCTCAAACACTCCAAGGTCGTGCGCCCATGAGGAGCGAAACGGCGAATAAATACAGAGTCTGAGGAGTATGTCTTTTCCTTATCTCGATCAGATCAGGTTTCTTTTTACCAGGTTTGTACAACCCAAATTGCCTAAGTGGCCACCAATTGACAAAAGGCTGTCCCATGTGGTCAACATTCATTGGCTCTTAGACCAAGCACATACATACTTCGATTCCGAGAGTTCAGTCTCTGAGACACTTTTGCCCCGAACACATTGTTAGCTGCAAATCGGAGCCTACTCAGCTTCGCATTTTGGCGAGATGTAGATCGGATGAAAGTTCAGCCCTCTGTACTACTCTTTGCTCTGTTGATCCAGTCTCAAATGGAAAGTAAGCAACAAGTATCCTTCCCAGATTTCTACTTGGGTTCCAAACGTCATGCCCTCTGCAACGCGTTACAGGATGTACATATCTCAGAAAAAGACAAAGCCAAAAACTTTCAAGTCTCGCTTAATCGCCCTGTGACGGCAGGTGATCTGTACACCGTGCAGCCTTCCAATCGTAAGTACCCCGCCGTTGTGTCACTTGCGTGGCTTCCGAAGATACTTGCATGCTGACCGGACGAGTTTCTTCTTACCTGCCCGGGTCGTTCCACGGGATAAAACATCCGGGTCATTCCCACGGCCTAGAAGTCCGAGTCCGCAGATGAATCGAGACGGAACACCTTTCCGCACTTCAGCCTCTCGACAGGCATGCCATTCCCACATCGCAACCACCTTGATTCTCCAGACAAACAGTATTGTGGCACGGTGAATATAGCTCACACTCGACCCTCCCTTTACAGACCACTCCGATGGGTATTTATAGCCTAGATCGCCAGCCATTCAGTTTTGCTTTTTTTTTCCCTCTCTTTTATTCAGCAGCATCAACGCACACTTTTTATTTGATTGCCCAGCCTGCACTAAGCACCCTAAAAGTCGCCATGGCTGAATCCGATATTTTCAATGAGACGTTTCCCTTAGAGCACTACCTCGAGGTGATGGTGCGGCTTCTCGACGCAGTGCGGTACCGAGACGTGAATCACACGCAGACCGAGCGGCGGGACATACTGCACCATGTGTACACAAAAACTGCGGAACATTTCTCCTCGCCCTTGCTCCAGAGGATGATCCAGGCAGAGCCCAGAGTGCTCCACGCCGCCATCAACTCCATCGTGCCCATGGTCGTCTACTGTTGGGCCAAGGTGACGATCGAGCAGATGGTTGACTTGAGTATCCAGTTCACGTTAACTTTGCTGCTCGACGACAGTGCCGACGAACGCGGCGCTGGCATGGAGTCATTTTTCATGGACCTGGTAGACAACCGTCCGCAGAGGAACGCATGGTGGCGCCTGTTCAACAACCAATTCCCCGTCTTGCTCAAGCACTACGGTCCCTTCTGCTCTCTGACTCTTTTCCGGAGCGCCCTAGACTGCAAGTTTACCACCCTCCTCCGTTATCATCCACGCTGTCTTTTCCTTGGTAAACTGACCGTGAGTGCCTTGGGAAAAAGTCTTTCAGGGATGCTGGGTCGACAGGCACAACCTGCAAGGTCTATCTGGCGCTCACGATTACCCGCAGTTCCTGCGGCGGCTGACCGGGCTGGGCCAATTTGTCGGCGCGTCGCTGTTTCCCGGAACGCAGGAGCGGGAGCAGGAGCTCATGGTGCACATCACGTCGGTCATGCCGCACCTGGATCATTGGGAGATCTTTGTGAACGACGTCATGTCTTTCTTCAAGGAGTTTGATTGCGTGGACGACCAAGCCATCCTGGTGCGCAATTACATGCGCTGCGGGCCTGAGGCGTCGATTGAGGAAGCGCTTGACCGCGTCGGGGGTGATGCCATCTCCCGGTCTGAGATCCTGTGCAGGGTCTTCCGCGACAACAAGGACATGGAACCCCATGTCGCCGCCACTGTTGAGGCCTTCTGCCAGGGCTACATCACTTGGCACCTAACCAACCCGCGCTACCGCCTCCGGGAGCTTGGGCGGCGGGCCGGCGACAGCGCGACCGCCCGGAGATTCCGCGAGTACCTAGACGCGGGAGCCCAGGCTGGCATTGATGCCGAGTACTGGGCATATCCCTCCGTTGCGGCGATGGCCGAGGCGCAGCTCAGGAATGAAGCCTTCTCCGGACAGGATGTCTCCCCGGAGGCGGCGATACCAAGCATTGATAATAAAGGCCCGGAGCTGCAGCCTGCTTTTATTGTCTGAATTCTCGAATCTTCTTCGTCTCAGTACAGCGTCATCAGAATGATAGAAAGAAAGAGCTCTGGTGGGAATTGAGTTGATAGATCTGTTGTATCACAATGAAGGAAACTAAAATAATAGATTGATGCTTGTTAAAGGCTGGTAACTTGAAAGTAATTTATTACAGTCACGCTACAAACTATGTGAACATTAAAAGTCCACGTGCCTATACTCAACTTTGGCCAAGGCCTTGTCGCAGTTACGATGTAGGCCTGACTTTGATACCACTGGCTATATTTTGTCTGCATGGACTCACGACGTCACGTTGGTATCAATGGCCACATCTTGGCCGACATCCTGTTCGCCATGGTGCTTCTTAGTAGAATGAGCCTCAAACATATTTACTGTGTAAGCATTCTACGATCCAGGCTGGTCCAGGGGCACCATTGTAAAACGTTCTCTGCGGAAATTTTGGCAGTGCCCATGAACAACAACTTAAAACATTTGACTAGTGCCAGCGGCTGAACTTGAAAATGCATACAAGTGTCTGCTTTGGCAAGTAGGCGCTTTGTGGAGAGAGGCTCACGGGAGGTGATTTTGGGATCCAGCTCGAAACTCCCGGGATTGGATGGGAAATATTGTGAAAACTCTGAGTTCAGTATGCTTTCTGACTTAGGTTGGTAATCAAGCTTTTCCACGTTGAGGACTCAATTGGAAAGAGTCTTTCTTCTATGTTTCCAAGCCATCCAGCATTGATTCTTCCTCCAAGTCACTCAAGTCAGATAGATGAAGTCCATCTATGCTATCATCCGCATAAGTTCCCAGGCCCTTCTGACCCGGACCATCGTCACCACCATTGGCAACTTGGTTCTCATTCGGACCCCCTTTCTCGCCTGGCTTGCCACCTACAATCGACTCGACTGGTGATGATGAACTCGAAGGGCTTTCAAACTCATCCTGATATCTGTCGCTAACTTGGAACTCATGGGTGGCATTTCCATCCTCGCCTTGAAGATCCGTGAACGATTTATGGTACTGCCCAATTCTGGTATAGCACTTGTTGCAGACGCCGAAGTTGATACATGTTTTGCACTCATAGGCAAGGCCAAATATATTCTGTCAATAAGAATCAGCTCGGCCTTGTGTTTGTCCAAAATTCGGGTGGACAAGGTGACTTACCGAGAGGCATACATTGCAGATGCAGGTCCTTCGCACGTAGCTTAAGGTCTCCTCGGACTGCCCATCCGCAATTTCCTGGCTGTCGCCAGTTGACCCTGTTCTTTCTGTGTTTGCCTTGGGCTTCAACATTCGGAAGATTTCCTCTGGCAGATCCAGCTGACATCGTTTTGCCATTTTCCAGGCCGTAAGCGTCTCTGACGAGGGCCCCGGGCCCACTTGAAACTCCGCGGCAGGATCTCCACCCTCCTCTATCAACAACTGGATGGCAGCAGCGTGGTCCTGTTCCTCTGATAGCGTCCAGCCCGCGCACATCCACAAGTCGGCAATCACAGGCCGACTTGCCCACGCAAGCGGTGTCCAGCCATCGGCATCCCTGGAATTTACAAAATCTCTCCGATCTCGCGCCGGCAAGAAGCTCAGCCGTCTCATTATAGACTGGATAGTTTTGATATGGCCGAATTGCGCCGCCCAGTGCAAAACGTTCTTCCCGAAGTCATCTGGGGCCCTGATATCACCGTCCGTGGCTAGGCAGAGCGCCTCAAAGTTCCGAAGACCGTTTGCAGCCGAGAAATGCATTGCTTGCCGTCCAAGTGGATCTCTCTTGCTCACTGAAGCGCCTTTGTCCAGGAGATAGTTGACCACGTTCGTGCCCCCCATCAATGCTGCGGCAGACAATGCGTTGTAGAACACAAATCCGTGCTCAAGGTTGACGTCAGCTCCACGATAGATCAACTCTCGTATCATTTGCTCAGACCTGGAGAAAAACTCATCAAGGTCTACGCGCCGGGACAAAGACAGCGACGGTAAGCACACAGCTATCATAGGCGTACTCCCCCAAACTTGTGCGCAGAAATTCACGTCAGCGCCACGGTCCATGAGCTTGACAGCTAGGTCGAAGTTGGCGCTGCGACAGGCAACAATAAGAGCGGTGCCAAAATGGGTCGAGACGGCATTCACGTTTATCTTTGGAGCCGCGAGAAGGATGTCATCCAGGTTGGGGTCGGGCGCGACAGCCATGGCTGCAATCATCAAAAGAGTCTTTCCATCCTTATGTCGGGCGTAGTTGACATCTGCCCCGGCTCTGATCAGTAGCTTGATGCATTCTTTCCCCTTCTCTGTGGCTCCATCGTCATATGCAAGAGAGAGAGGCGTATCATCGTCTACGTTGCGTGCGTCGAGATCTAGAGCTATTCGGAACTCGAGCAAGATTCTCAGCACATCTGGTCTGCAATTCCGCGTGGCTTGATGGAGTGCATTCGACTTGGAAAGCGTGGAGTCTTTGGGGTCTGCACCATGCTCCAGTAACAAGCGAGTGATCTCGGGGTTTGGCCGAAAGCCTGCTGCATCAAGAATGGGGCTCCATCCGTGTTCGTCGCGGTGGTGTACGTCGACGTTCCTCTCAAGCAAAAGTTTGACCACTTCCACGTTTTGTTCTGCAACGGCGACGTTCAGTACTGTTTGCTTTGCACCATTCTGGAGCTCTGGGTCAAGCTTTGCGTCTAGAAGAAGTTGAAGTAGTGGTACGTTGCCAAGGGAATGATCCAGAATTGTTCTGCCGTCTGAAGCAACGATGCTGCGATTTTCGAGCGGTTGGTGCTTGAGAATTTCTTCTACCACGGGGCGGCTATTCCCCCGCACTGCGTAGTACAAAGCATGTCGGTTGCCATTGTCGACTAGCCCAGTGTCCGCCCCGTGTTCCAGCAGCCATCGAACAGCAGTGACATCTCCTTTGAGGGCCGCTTCCATCAACGGTGTCATTCCATCGTATGTGTCAGTTTCGTCGATCAGCACAGGGGGGTCATTGTTGACGAGCATGTCGAACATGACCACTCTGTCCTCGTCTGGTATCAACCGTTCTTGTATGATCTGTGTCAGAAGTGGAGGGTCAAGCAGCTCGTGGTTCGGATTCGCTCCGTATTGAAGCAAGAGGCGCACGCACTCAACGCTACGGGCGTCGATTGCGGCCCAGGATATTGCAGTGTCAAATCGTGCTGGGGCATTCACCTTCGCACCGTGATCCAGGAGTAATCGTACAACTTTGACGTGGCCTTGTTCGCATGCCACAACGAGAGGCGGATTGCTCCAATTCGGGTTGCCCATGTCGGTTGCGCTCTCCACCGTGGCTCCAGGCTGATCGACGTCGGCTCTCATCTCCAGCAGAGTCTCGACAACATTGAGAGCGCCAAATTCGCATGCTTCGTACAGCGGCCTGGTGGGGCTGGCCTCTTCCATGAGGGACGGTTCATGCCGAAGCAGTGCTTTGACTACATCGACATGTCCATTTGATGCGGCGACAATCATTGGGCTTACCATTGAGGGCTTCATTTTCACCCTGGCGTCGGCTCCGTGGCTCAGAAACACCTCCACAAGTCGGCCTAGTCCCAGGTTCGCGGCCAAACAAAGAGGGCTCGGAGAATAAGCCGATGCGCTGTCGTCGGCCTGCACTCCATTGTCCAGAAGCAACTCCACCAGCTCGACCATATTCAGCCATGTCGCTCTCCACAGTATAGACGGCGGCCACTGTATGCCTTGAGAATGATGCTGAGAATGTGATTGGTGCTTTTCAACCAGCTGGTGGGCAAGATTGACGGCCATGTCTTTGTTGTTTGCTCTCACTGCGTTTTGGAGTTCTGCCACTATGGCAATCTCAGCGGGGTCTCGGTTGCTTCCATCCTCAACCTCCGTCTTGTCTTCATGATCATTAGATGTCTCTCTTATGCGAATCATATTCGCTGGGCCGGATGACACCGTTCTCCACGCCTCCCAGGCGGACAAGCACGGTCCTCCCCTGGGTCGTGAGAACGGATTGCTCATAGCCCAGTGTAATCTTGCCCAAGCAGAGTATGGCCCCAGGGGATCCTTGAGTAGGGACTGTGTATCGACATGCACCTCAGACCCAGAAAGATGATGAGGCAGTGCCTTTACCGCATAGAAGAGAATGTCCTCGCCTGTTTGTTCCATGGGAGGAGTAATGTTCTGGCCAGCAGCTTTGACTTTAGCTTCATATTGGTGATATAGGGCTTGCAATCTTTCTTGTGTGTCAGGGGCCCTCAAATAGGCCAAGAGAAAGTCTAAAGTGAGCTGCGGGGCCGTTGCCCTCGCTCGACCCCAGATGCAGTCTTCGTCACCGTCCATGAGTTTCGAGACATCCTCGTATTCGCGAACCTGGAAGCTTGAAAGATCCAGGAATGAGCCCAGCGTGGCTCTGATATTCTGCAAGATGTTCCGAGGTGATCTTTCTAACGGATATGTTGTATGGTCGGGATTTTGAGCGCGGCGGGTATGCCACACAATTCCAGCGAGTTCCAACGGGCTCAGAGGGAGATGCCCGTGAACAGTCCAGGCAAGAGCAAGCTTGGTCTGCTCTTGATCTTCGACAGCCTCCAACAGCTTCGAAAGTATTGCTCCTGGTGTTTTATTTGTGGGCAGTGCCTCGAGCAGTGAGCAGAAAAGCGATAGATTGCTCTTGGATGCTGTCTTGGGCCAACAGGACTGGCGTTCAATAAAGGATATGTAGTTCTCCAAGATTGATCGCTGCATAGGTAGAGCCCCCAACAAGGCCTGGCGAATTTGAATTCGGCCCTGTCCTCTAGGAGACAACCGTAAGACCATGGCCTCAAGATTCGCATCATCATCCAGGGGTTCAAGCTCCGCATAAGGATCGTCCTGGGGTACAAGGCATTCATTGTAGTGTATGCCCTTGTCGCTTATTTCGGATGACAACAAATTGGCGTCCCCCGATGTCACGACGAATCTCCAGGGTTCCTCACTCCTGGCTGCCATATCAGCCACAAGTGACCAGAGGACAGCACGACTTGCCCGTGGGCAGTGATCGAGGCCATAAAGCAGGAACAAGTTGCCCGATAACTTGCCTGGCAAAAGTTCAAACAAGTTCCTGACATCATCTTCAACCCATGCGTTGTGCAATTCGAATTGGTCTTGGAGCAAGTTGCATCTTTCAGGGCGGGACTTGGAAGTGAGCTCTGGATTGCAGGCGAAAGCAAAATAGTGAAGGAAGCTGGCCACCATCATATCTTGCACTGGTTCACGTGTGGGGTTCGCTGTTGCGAAGTCGAATGTAAATGGTCTTTCCAAGCAGATGCCGACGGCCTGGTTCCTTAAGACAAACTGATGACCAATCTGCTCAGCCACGTCCGCGGTGCCGATCGCGTTTGGGGAGTGAACATGCAGTACGCGTAAGCCATTCCCACCGAGCCATGTATTGTAGCCTGAAGCCAGGTGCAGGTGACCTGATTTAGATGGTTGAGACCGTGACACCCTGGAACGGTCTGGCGACACCAAAGACATCAATGTGATCTCCATCGCAGCTTCCCAAGGCTCAGCAATCCAGTCTGAGTTCGTCGGGGAATCAGCATGTGTACTGAGTGAGCTGCGTGACAATTTCTCGAATGACTGACCTTTGACTGGGCTACTTATATTGACTGCAAGACTAGGAAATCCATTCAAGTTGTCCTTATTCCCTGATTCCTCCTGGACCATGAGCTCAGTTGCGATGCCGATTGTCGCCAGCGGTTGCGTAAAGTACTATGCAGCCAGTGACTCTTGTTAGTAAACAGTCTGGAATGTGCTGGAAGAATAAATAAGTGAATACCTTCTTCACCCGTCTCCCTTCGGGCTCGCCAGCGAATAGACTGAATATTCTACACCGTAAGGTGATCTTGGAGGCCAGAAATGTCTCATTCAGTTCTTCAACAGCCATAGCAAGGTTTTTGACAGCTATCAAGGTGAGAAATGTTGCCCATGTAGCTTTTGGTACCGCTAGAAGAAATTCGAACATGCTACGCTCAAGCAATAAGGCATCGGCACCGCGCTGGAAGCAGCCACAAAACACCTGGAGTATCCACAGGTTAGTCTCTTGAAGAGAATGTTTTTTTTTTGGGCAATAATTTCGTTAGTATATACAGACAAAACTTAAACCTACAAGTCGAGCTGTACTGGTGAAAATGCTTGCCCAGTCTTCTTCAAAGCGAGCTATCGCGAGTGTCTGTAATCCGAATTAGCAATTCTAAATCATGTACGTGGCATTAAATTGGTCAAAGCGGTAGTCACCCTCTTAACAATGAGAGATCCTAGATCGTATGCGACGAAAATGATGACTGTCCGAAGCTGTTGTGTGTGGAATCCTTAGCATTCAGGTACGTGCGACTATGTGCAGGAGGGTGGACTGTTGGTGGTAAGACCACCGCCTGGGCAGGTCAAGACAAACCTTTGAGTCTTCTTGCTGCAGGTATTTCAGTTGTTTGAGCAAGCGGCGAGCTTCGAAGTCGATAGCATTGAGGGTATGTATATATTCCTCGTTGAGGAGGCACGATACATCTGCCCTAAATATCCAGTCTCTTCTCACCGATCTCTTTCGCACATTATGGCTAAGCAAAGTATTCTCGGTGAGCAAAAGCTCTCCGCCTGACGCAGCTGCTTCGACATGGACGATACTGGACTCCGAATTAGCTGCGTTCTATGTGTATTTGCATTCACTACGTACTTGATATCTGGTTGCCAAGGATCATCTGGACCCCTTTCCGCAGGCCAGAAACCTATTGGTTCAAGGCCACGACTGCCCCGGTCCACCCCGAGCTTACCACCGTCAAGGAAATGTGCTGAGCTGTGCTCACTCGCTGAACTGGCGGTACTATTGCTCCGCGAGGCCATCTCGCTGTCGTGGCTCTCAGCCTGTTCTGAGCTCAGAATCAGGCAAAGTCAGAGTGAAGGTTTCTCTGCAGGTTGAGAAGATTTAAGCTGACAGTGACATCGGAAGCATCAAAGAGTTGGGTCTGGATTGCCATCTCATTCTCTCTTGCACGTGAAACCTGGCCGGGGCTTTTCAGGCTTATCTTACCGGTGTGGGTCTGTCAGGTTACACAGCCGGTCAGACGCGCGAAAGTGAGGCGAGATTGAGGAGCGGATCAACGCATGTGCATGTTCCAGACGGGCCGCCGAGGCAATCCAAGACGTTCTAGGGAGTGATCAAGGAGGGTGGTCAGCAAACTCGCACTGTGCAAACAAATGAGGATGCAGGCTTTCCTGTATACTATATATTAAACTTGTCCAAACACCCTTGGAATTTCGTCGCCGAGAATTGACAGCCGATTTTGCATTCCGCAATATACAAGATGACGGACAAACGCGCCGATGAAGACATCTTCTGGGTCAAAGAAGAGAACGATGGCAGCGACGAAGAGTCGGAATCCTCCTCAGATCCCACGGCTTTCAGCTTGTCCCTCACCCCCGAGGATAGTCAATCCGGCGGTGAGGAAATAACCTTTCCCAACGAAGGCACTGACACCTAGAATGCTCACGCGTGTCATAAGGATACCACGTGAGAAACCGTCTTGGCCAGTACCAACGTCCAGTCGTCTCCTCATTTCACGGGGGTTACTCGTGGAAGCCCGCCTTCCGAGTGAGCTGCTGCGCCAAAGCTATGATCCACGGGCTCATGGGTGGTACGTCTCAAAAGGCAGCGACTTTACTAGTTTACGAGTTCAAGTTTATTACCTCCCGAAGCGAGACTCGCATCAAAGCGGCCAGCATATCATTCGAATTCAAAGCCGATCCGAAATCAAAAGCTGCCACCACTCCCAGCGTTGCAAAGGTCCGCCCATGTGGTGTCCTTAAAATGGAGGAGACAGTCCAGAATGAGGTCTCCAAACTCGGAATATCGATGAACATTGGACCTAGCGTACCTGTAGTGGATGTCAGCTTGGCCCCGTCGAAGGAACGGGTCGTGACCCAAGATGTCAAGTATTACACAATTGTTAACGGCGACAATCCACCAGATGAAGACTTCGGTGATCGTTTCTTAGCCTCGTTTACGCTACAGGAAAATAAGGCACAAGAGTCAGGAATCCCGTCGGAATTCACAGTGGCCATTCTACTGGAGCGAGATAGCGATGCGGATTTCATGATGGTTCCGCGGATCGAAGCAACACCAGACCTTGCCACAAGAGTAGTCTCACTGGTATCATCAAGAACACCAGATGAACCAGTCTACTTCAGGGTAGATGAAGAACCTTTCAACCAACTCGACAGGGAAGTGAAGATTGAACGGGACGGTCTAGGAAACACGGACCTGGAGGATTTGTGGGACTGTACGACGTATAACAAGTACGGCAGAGCTGTGAAGATGTCTACGAAGTAACAGAATGGTAGGATACAGGCGCTGCATGTTAGAGCCTAGGAGGGTACCTTCCAGTTTGGGTATGATGAGGCTGAGGGGCCCCACGAGCACTGTATGCCAGTGTGCACACCGTAATACACGCAATCTATTTGTCGTACAGCAGCTTACTAGTAGCTGCAGAGTAATCACATTGCTTGCCAAGAGGTATCTAACCCCGCTTGAGAATGAATCCGTTGCCTCAAATCCTACTCGTTGGCCGCAATCTCCACATGATCACGGAAAATATGCCTGCAATATCGGGCGAGAAGCCCATGTGCATGTTAGAGTGCCTACAGGCTTGTGCAACTTATTATCTTGCTGGTACTCAAACTGTAAACTCATACATTTCGAGGTCCTAAATACCATTGTTGAACCTTGCAGATTTCCACCATCCATCTACTTGCTATTCCAACCATCCCTACTTAGCATTCATACCTCGTGCCCCCGTTGCAAGATGGATGAGATCGACTGGGATGACCGGGCATCGGAGCGCAGCGTTGCCAGTAGCCTGGACAGCCTTGATGATCTCATTGAGAGCAAGCACGTGATCCCCAGCCGCTCAGTTGGTGATGACATTGCAGAAAATGAAGATGTTGAGCAACGGGAGTTCAAGGAGCTAACCATCGCCAAGAGATGGGAGAAGGTCATGCAACTTCTCATTAGCAAAGAACAGGTGTGGACCAAAGAGTCGCAGGACTTGGGCAGCGAGGACGGGGCAACCTTGAAGCCCTATCTTAAAAAGGGGCTTTTGTGGAGTGACACTCGCGAGCCCAGCGAGCCCACCATGCTTCACCTTCTCGCAAAAGATTTCAATTCAGGCGGTTTCACAATCCTCAATGACAGTACACAACTCGAAATTTTCACTTATCTCATGGACAATCTGGTGACAGAGGCTGCCCAAGCCGCAGGCGAAAATGCCGGGGAATCACCGGTCTTGAGGCGAGCCATGGTGTGGGAGAACAAGGACTTTCTTCGATACGTTACCGAGAACTTCAAAGACAGACTTGCACTCCTAATCGACACGAAGGGAAAAGATGGCATGAACTGTCTGCACTATGCATTCCAAACATTGCTCATGGAACTAGTGTCAGCGGACAGGAAAAGCAACAACAACCAGACCCCAACAAACAACACGCCAACATCAGTCAATATTGAGGAAACTCTGCAAATCTTGGACTCTCTTGTTAAGGCTGCCACGCCAGAGTCTATTGCCGCAAAAGACAGCAAAGGCAATACTCCTATCCATCACGCTGTCCACTATTGGCTATGCCGTTATCTGCCTTCAAGATATCGACAATATTCCGGAATCGTGGAGCAGTTGGTAGACAAGGGTGATGCTTTACTGAATACGACGCTCAAAGAGAACCAGTTCAACAGCGATGGAATGTCTCCATACAGATACCATTTGGAGACGAAGAAGACCCTCCTGAACAGGGCAAAGCAACGTGGCCCAGCGGCCAACAACGTTGCACAGACGGGTACCAAGTCTAGATTGTCAGATGCTCAAGAGGCCAAGATTCCCAAGGCCAGGAAGGTTGGAGAACGTGGAACAGAAGACAAGCTTGCTCCAGAACAAGATTCCAAGGATCTGACAGACAAGCGTCACTCTGATAAGACACTGGCAGATGGGCGGACAGGTATCGACAGTGGCAGGAAGGACAAGAACGACAAAGCCACAGCAGTTGATACCATGCTTTTGCATGCATCTGGCCACCGGGCCACGCGGAGCTCCACAGTACGACGAGACGATGCAGGGGCCGTCCATCCTGTCAGTGTACTTGCTGATGACAAACCGTTGATGCCAACTTCCGGGGAAAATGCATCGAACACAACTTCTGACTCCAGGCTTCGCTCCCGGGTGGTCCAGTCTCGTGATAATACTCGACTCAAAGCCCCCCAGGCAACACCACAGAGTAGCAAAAGAGAAAATGCCGGGGTGGAAGGTTCGATTTTGGGGTGGCTCAAACTTCACTACATCCGAAGTCGGCCAGACATGGAAGCAAAGGAGTTGTTATATGGCAAAATAGCCTCTGGTGAGTACTTATTGTATTTTTATACCTACGCAATGCCCGGGTAAAATGTCCCAATTCAGACACTACCGGCTGACACATTTGTGATGCAGACAAGAATCTTTTCTTTGATGCAACTCATCTCTCACGGAAGACCGCGAAAGATGTAGCTCATCCCTCAGGAAGAAGCGCGAAAGATGTAGCAAACCTGGTACTCTGGTTGTCTTCTCCGGGTGGCTTTGAGAGCACACTCTCATACATAGCATTGCCAGTCATAAGTCTAGATGCAGCCTCCGAGATTTCTCCTAATCCCATTCAACACGCTGCCAATCAGGGACAAAAGAGAGACCAGAAAGGGGAGGATGTGCAGCTTGGTCGATCCTCGCTCATCACAGTATTCGAAACCCTGTTTGATGTAGGGGTTCGTCATGTCTTGCAGCTACACGTTGATGACATGGAGGCGCCATCTCATTCTGACGCTGCTATCGAGAAATGCCTCGTAGGAGAAGATTCTACGTCCTCCAATGCAGTTGGAAAGGGCAATCGCAGAATTCACGTCGAACTCTGGTATGTTATTGCATTTTGCACGATCTCAACTAGCAATCTTGGATTGATGGCTGTCAGAGGGATAACACTCGCGCTGCTGGAAGAAAACGCTGACTTGTGCCTCAAGGAACTGGAAAAAGCCGGACATGAGCGTTGATGTCATCAAGTTCGCGGCACCTGACGTTGTGCAGATCAACCTATATTGGACTGGCAATCACGTGGTGTTACGAGGCTGGGCAAGTCCCGAGGGCATCCCGAGTTTGTATGTGGCCAAGAAAAGGCTACGCAAAGTACTCCTCTACGTGTCTCCGGTATGCATGCTATTCCCCTCTGGAGGTAGGCGAGTACCTGCCTAGCACAATAACATACTGATATTCGACAGGGCATTGAGACCCTCAGACGAACAGGGCAGCTGGTCAACGACTTTGTGACCAAAATCGAAGAACGCACCAACAAGGAAGTTCAAATTGAGACGAAGAAATGGAAACCAAGCACCATGGCTGGTTCTGCTGCGGAGGCACAGCTCAGCTTCGGGGCTGGGCTGCCATTGGATGAACCTCGACACGACTGGATCAGTGTGATGGAGAAGTTCCGGAGGGCTATGTTCTCTATTCATGGATTCCTGCCAGATGGAGCGAAGCCTCAGCGGGTTAAGGTGAGAGTTGTTATGGAAACTACTAAAGATCAAGCTCAGATATCACTGACAATGCTGAAATTAGGTCGCGCTCATAGATGACGGTGTTGATCGCACCAATTTAGTGCCATACAGAGATGGGCGCACCGGCAAGGACCGTGTCGAAGTCACCGGACTAAGCTACTGGACATCGAAAGACCGAAACTTACTCGGGTGGCCGTGGCATCAATCGACTCACGGCCACGGCACCATCATGGCCAACATGATCGCACGCGTAAACCCGTGGGTATCTTTGATGGTCATGCGCATCCAAGATGAGGGCGATAGGAGCAGTCCTACCGCCGGGTCGATTCGAATACATGCAAAGAGCGCAGCAAAGGCAATCGAAGATGCCATCATACGCGAAGCTGATATCATCTCCATGTCATGGACTATCAGGACAATGGTGTCTCCAAATTCGGGAAACATAAAGGAGGATGCCTCTGTCACGGCACTCAGGGCCGCGCTTAACAAGGCCACTGAAAAGGGCATCCTCATGTTCTGTTCAGCATCCGATAATCTCCAGCAATCAAGTGCAGACTCGCTGCCATTCAGCCAGAACACCAAGTACATCTTCCGCATCGGCGCTGCAGGCCTGACCGGACAACGCGACGGTGCCACCGAGGAGCATGAGACGATCAGCTGGTTCTTGCCGGGGAAAAAGGTCGCGGAAGACTTCAATCCACGCGAGGCTCAAATTCTCCAATACCACGATGGATCGTCTGTCGCGACAGCTTTAGCAGCCGGGTTGGCATCATTGGTGATATACATCAGTGTCATCATGCAAGAGCTCAACACGGGGAACGCCGAGACCTTCGCCACTTACGCAAAGTTGCTTCGGGAAAGAGACAACATGAACAAGGCATTCACCAACATGACAAACAATATGTATGACAGAAAATACCTCCCTGTTTGGTATACGTTTGGCGAATGCGCCGACGTCATCCTAGCGAAAGACGTCCCGCAAGAGAAAAAGCTTCAGCGTTTTGAAGATCTTGTTAGGTCTCTTTGCGTGAATCTAAAGAGGACGCGGCTGCAATAATTTCTATGGAAATTCGAGAGGACAATTCAAATGCTCAGTAGCCATGCTTGACTGAAGGATCATCGCAATTCTCAGCGAAGGGCAGAGGTACTGGCCTTCAGAGCTCTTTAAATGTGCAAGCAATGATCTCATTTAAATGCCCACTAGGAGATTAAGCTCTACGCTTCTACCCTGCTTACCTAGCTTGGAGCATCCACGATTCGACTCTGTGCCCGTCTAGAGTTTGGGGATGGATTCTAATATGCTATAATTCTACAGCCCACCGTCCGCACCGGACTGTGTCTATGAAATTTGTGTGTGACAAAAAACAGTCCAGCAGGTAATTGTGATGTTCTGCTTACATCCTCCCAGGCTTCCTGATTAGGCGCGGCGAGCAGGGGGGGTCCATGCGTGGTCCAGGTACGTACCTGGCCACAAGGCAAAGCGGGCCGACGCTAGCGGTGCTGGCCGGCATGACGCATTTCGGAATCCCACCGTGGGGTAGCTTTGGAGGTACTGACGGGGACAATTCTTTCGCTGGTGATTTATAACCCTCCGAAAACCAAACCACCGACGCTCGCGAGCCTCCTAAAACCACACAGCCCTCAACAGGCTCAATTTAGCCCAGCGCCCCTCCCTGCGAACCTCTGGCCTCCGTCCTGCCCTCACCCTCGCCAGTTCGAGACGGCTACCTCAAGCTGAGGCGACCCCTTCTGTCCCTCAACGCCACTCCTAGTCCCGACTTGACCTTGGCCATGTCTTCTAAGGGCGCAAAGGGTCGGGTCGCCAGCGGCAGGGGCTTCGGGAGCCCAGCACCCTCGGGCTTCGGTGGATTCTCATCGCAGTCCACCAGTAGCGGCAGCCTCTCCTACCTTTCCGAAGACCCCGACTTGTCCTTCTTGTCCGACCCAAACATCGTCGTCTCGTTCAAGAACCTGCTCAAGAAGGACAACACTACGAAGTCGAAAGCACTTGCAGACCTCATCCAGTACACTCAGGCGCATCCCAGTGAGACGGATGGCGGCGTGGAGGAGGCGGTTCTGGAAGCCTGGGTCCGGCTCTACCCTCGCATGTCTACCGACAACGACCGCCGGGTCCGCGAGCTGTCGCACGCACTCCAGTTCGAGCTGCTGAAGTCCGCGCGGAAACGAATGGAAAGAAACTTGCCCAAGGTCGCTGGGTCCTGGCTGGCCGGCACTTACGACAAAGACAAGGCTGTCGCACGATCTGCGACCGAGGGTATCTCCACATTCTTGAACACGGAAGACAAAATGACCCTTTTCTGGAAGAAGTGCCAGGCGCAGATTCTCCAATATGCGACCGACGCCATCACAGAGACCCCTGACACTCTGAGCGACGAGCGCTCCACGAAACCAGAAGATGCAGAGGCCAAATACTACCGTGTGATTGCTGCAAGCTTTTCTCTAGTTCTCGGTCTCCTTGGGAGGCTATCAGGCTCAGACATAGAGAAGCATGGCCCAGAGTATGAGGTCTTCTTCACGTCCGGCCCGGGAGATAGCGCCTGGACCTTTGCAGCAGCCGACGATGCCCACGTCAGGAGGACCGTCTACCAGTTGCTACAGCTCTGCGTCGAGAGCCATTGGGAACTGATCCAACCACATGTGTCGCGCATTGGCAAGATATTGACGTCAGACGCCCTCAAAAAGTCCCAGACGGGCTCTGCGGCCGACTTTGTCACGGCTTTGACGACCATGACCCGCAAAGACAAGGAGTTTTGGGGCACGAAAAAGTCACCGCTTGCCAGGCTACGGAGCTTCGTTGAAAAAGGATCTCAGGGTGGCCCGCCACGGTTCTGGCAAGCTTTGGATGAGCTCTTGGCGGCACTTCCAACACAGTCTCTCCAATCCGAGGATCTTGCAAATTTCTTGAAGTCCTTAAGAATTGGCATCAGTAGAAGAGACGAGGCGAGAACCAGCGCTCCATATGCCTGGATGGCTTATCTCAATGCCGTATCTCGCTCCCTCCCTCGAATTGACTCGGGCGCCCGAAGCGACATTATCAGAGAGCATGTTTTCCCATTGACTGATCATTATCTGTTCTCACCGGAGCGACAAGAGGGATGGTCAGTGGGCGGCGAGATTGCCATTATATCTCAAGCCTACAGAGTTGCAGGGCTGTCTCGTGATCCTTCGATCTCACAGTCTCTCGGCTCTGAATGGGATAGATTGGCTGAGGTATTGGTAGCCCGGATCTCAAACTCCCTTCCTGAAGTTTCGAAGGAGTTCGAGGCATCCCAGAAGAAGATTGCGGAAGACGGAACTCGATGGTTCTCGGTCGTCAGTACTATTCAAAGAGATATCACAGCCGTACCAAAACGAAATGCGAGCGATGAGATTCCTGACCGCACCCAAGCCGCCTCCCAGACGGTCATCCGAAATGCGGCAGATCTTCTAAGGCGAAGAAACTACAAACCCTTCGGCGCAGCTGCAATACTGCAATCAGCCATCAAGCTGACACCACACCTCTTCAGCACCAACGATACGCCCTACCTGGAGTCTTTGCTTCCAACAGAGTCTGATGAAGATATGCAGACGATGCTGTCTTCGCCATCAGCCCCATCCATTCTCTCTTGTCTCGTTCCTCTGGGCCAGCAGAACCCGGACCGATACAGGTCATTGTGGACAGCGACTACCGGATGTGTTCTGAAGATGAATGATCAAGCAAAGGCTGATAATCACGTCACACTTCTAATTTCAGATATTTTAGCAACGCCCTTGGCGCAGGAAAACGTTGGATTACAAGACTACATCAAGAGCCGGGTTTTGGCAAGCGTGCGCAATGAGGGCCACTCATGGTCACTTTTCAAGTCAGCTTTACAGTATGACGCCCTCTCAAAGTCAAGCCTGCAGGATTTGTGCTCGCAACTTGTAGAGGCACTCAGCTCGGAAAACGAGTCTAGTATCACGGCCATGGAGATCATTGCGAAGAACAGGCCGACGTCGTTATCGGAAAACGAGGCTCTGCATCTTACCCTTGTCACAAAACTCCTCTCCATGATGGAGATCACGGACTCAACTGTCTCTTCACGAGCCACTCAGCTCCGATCAATCCTGGAGGGACATGTTGATGCCCAGCCGTCTATTTTGAGTATTATCCAGGACAATTTGGAACAACCTGGACCTGACTCCCTGGGAATCGACACACTGGTGCAGCAGGCGAGGTCTATATCAAAAAGCGACGAGGTAGATTTGGAGCAACTGTTTCCGAATACGAACATCTGGATGCAGGAGCTTCTCAAATTACTTCAATTCGCGCTCAGTCCTTCGCTGTCGATGACAAGCAATGTTCTTGGGGCCTACTTCCTCCCTCAAGCCACCGACAACAAGTCCAGGCCACGAGTCCAGCGTGACCAAATGGGGCTATCCATCCCAGCTCGGATGGCCATGTATACAGTGGCGCTGGTCGAGAGTGGCACAGAACTCGGCGCGCTTGCCCAGAAATTCCAAGCAGAGCTGTTGTATCTACTTTACCTCGTCGCGGAGGTGACATCTGATCAGATCACCCTCATGGATGAGAACGTCTTGTTTGGTTCCCTCAGAGACCCAACTCTCCTGAAAGACGTTGAAGGTTTTGTTACCACCACGAGGAAAATGATCAACAACATCTTCACCGAGTCCACACATTGGCGGCCCGGAGGAACCGAAACGGGCCTGCGTGATGAGCTGATTGATTTAATGATACAACAGTCTAAGGAGCTCACACCGATCGCTCTATATAGTGCACGGGCGTTGAGCGAGATACTCGCAGCTTTCTCGGACGCTCTTGGCCAGAAGGCTGTTGTGGAGGAATGGTTGGCCGCAATCGACGTGATGAAGGCGACCCCATCAACAGTTTTGCCAGCTATTGCACTCCTGACAGGATACGGTGAGGCGCTTGCAAACTCCAAGCTCGTCTCGAATCTTCTCAACCGGCTTATGAGCGACATTGCAGGTGCTTCACCGCAATCGGACAAGACCATCCTCAGTCTGGTTCTGCTGAACGCTTGTATGCCAATTTATGAACTTGGCCAGCTTCCCGTCGCGAACAACCGACTCGTGTTTGCGGTGAAGCAGATTACCTCCTGGGCTGGACAGCCAATTGAGGATCTCAGTGTGGGCATAGTCACAGAAAGCTGCCGAGCATTGCAGCGACTGTTGCCATGTATCCGTGAAGTCTACGGTCCCTATTGGGAGCAGGCGATTGAGTTCTGTCTTGCCTTGTGGAAACACGCTGGCAGGGGCAACCTCGAGCAGCACTTGCCATATATCCAAGCGTCCGTCAAGCTCATGTCCGGTCTCGTGGCGATCGAAGATCCCAACGATGACCTTGTCGAAGCTCTTGACACCCACGCGGAGTCACGAAATCATGCTCTTTTGGAACTGTTGAAACTCCCCAGGGCTGAGAATACCTCGCAACCACAAGCAATGGTTGATGCACTTCTCTGTCGTGAAGCCGAAAAGGTTCCGTTGGATCATCTCAAAGATCTGTCCGAAGTCTACGGCTTGGTGGCATCTGAATCGCGAGACATACAATCAGCTGGCTTCAATCTACTCCACAGGGCACTTCCAGTTGTCCAGAAAGAGCTCTCACTGGACGTCCTCTTCGAGAAGAAGCAAGCCAAGCTCCCTGATGAGCTCATGTCCCTCCTCCTCGATGCACCCACGCTCGAGGCCTACCCGGAGGAGATTCTGATCCAATTCCCTACGGCCATCAGGTCTTATCTGCTCTCCTGGAAGCTCATCTTCGACGCTTATCAAGGCGCTGCGCACAAGTTGCGGGAAGATTACACGGAGCAGCTCAAGACCTTGGGAGCGATCAACCCACTTATGGAATTCACTGTTGATGTACTGGGCCACTCAGCTGCTCACGCCATCAATCTGGACAAAATAGGCTTCACAGCTGAGGATATCCAAGACTACGACGTCAGGGTGGGCGACTCATTGCCGGATGAGAAGAACATGCAGTGGCTTCTTGTTCACCTGTTCTACCTGTCGCTAAAGTACGTTCCGGGGCTATTCAAGTCGTGGTTCATCGACTGCCGGTCCAGGCAGACCAAGAACGCCGTCGAGCCCTGGACTGAAAGGTGGTTCTCACCCATCCTCATCCGCGACGTCATGCAAGAGGTGGAGACGTGGTCCAAGTCGCAGGTGGCCGACCCGGACGAGCACGAGTTCGTCATCAAGGTGAACCAGAAGGCGCGGGAGATCACGGCGGCGTACCCGATCGACGACGGCGACGAGGAGCAGTCTGCGTCGCTGCTCCTGCAGATCAGCGCCAACTTCCCGATCGGCAACGTCAACGTGGTGGGGCTCAACCGCGTGGCGTGCAACGAGCGCACGTGGCAGTCGTGGGTGCGCACCACGCAGGGCATCATCATCATCTCCAACGGCAGCATCGTCGAGGGCCTCGGGGCGTTCCGGCGCAACGTGGTGGGCGCGCTCAAGGGCAACGTCGAGTGCGCCATCTGCTACAGCTACATCTCGGTCGACAAGCGCATGCCCGACAAGCGGTGCGCCACCTGCAAGAACCTGTTCCACCGCGACTGCCTGTACAAGTGGCTCGAGTCGGCCAACCAGAACACGTGCCCGCTCTGCCGGACGAGGATGGACTTTGTGGACAAGAAAAAGCCCCGGAGGAACGTGTGAGGGGCGCTTTGCTTGTTGGATATGGAAGTTTCTTGCTCGAGGTCAAATACAGCGTGGGATTTTGTGGAGGGGCTACGTCGGGGTTACACCACTTGGATTACTTCTGACTTTTGTAAGCATATACAGTACCAGTCTAGCATGGCCCATAGCCGCCATGTACCAAAAGAGAATATTCCGCATCTATCATGCCGTCCGGGCCTTTGGGGGGGGGGGGAAGCTTCTCGTCTAAGTGAGTGGTGGACACACGCCAAGCGCTCAGTGCATTGCGGCGCCGATGATGCTGCAGGCAAGCAAAGAAAGGGGCCCTTCTCCCACGTCGTGGGCGGACTGCCGCGGCATCCCTCCGTGGTTTCACTCACAGGCCCAGCTTCGCGACCACCGTGTCGCCGATGATGTCGCCGATCACCTTGGTGAGGTGGCCGTTCGGGCCCCCGGCCCTCATCTTCTCCCTCTCGGACACGAGGTGGCCAAGGTAGGCCAGCCCGGCCGCGATGGCCAGCCCGACGCCGTTGACGAAGGCGGCGACGGCGGCGAGCGCCCCGCCGACGAGGGTGTTCAGCGTCAGGACTATGCCGCTCAGGGCCAGGAAGAAGGGGCTCACGTGCTTTCCCACGAGGTCTGTCCCGGGTTTGAAAAGCGCGCCAGTCAGCGAAGGGTCGGCTTGAGGGGAGGAAGTGCTCGCAGGTAGGCGGGTGTGACTTACGCAGGCCGAGCTTCAGGAGTGACTTGCGGGTCGTCGCGCCGGCGTGCCCGACGACCCCCTTGGTCTTGTCTACGATGCATGTCACGTCGCATGGGTTGCCAACCTCGTCGACGAGCTGGGTGTCGTTGCTCAGTTGCTTCAAGTCCAGGTGGGCGGCGCGCAGGGCCCCGGTGATGTTACCGAAGTGAGCGCCGACCACGTTGGCAACTTGCTTGGCCACATCGCCCGTGATGGGGCCTGGGTGCAGATCGAGGATGTCGTCTGGGGACATTTTACATCGAGGTTAGCACCCGTGGTCTCTCCCTTGCTGCATGCAAATGGTTCACTGACCTATGGCACCGGTCTGAGACTGGATCTCACGGAGGAGGTCTGGGAGGACGGTAGACACGTTCCCAATCTGTCTCTTCTCTGTCTGGAGCTGTGGGCCCGCCGCAGCGAGTGGGCTCCCAAGCATGCCAGCGGCGAGAGTTACAGCTGTGACCCAGATGGATTTCATGATTGTCTTCCTCTTGAAAGGTGTGTTTGCAAAGAAGTGTGTGTCAGACCCAGTCAGGAGAAGGAGTTTTTATGACAGTTCACAAACCAAGGCAAAAGGGCACGAGGCAAAAGGCAAAAGACATCCTCCACGACGTTATATTTATACTTGTTCGTCCCCTGAGTTGAAGCCCTCATCGGCATACAATCCCGGCAAACTGTTGGTAGCTCTTGACTAAGAGTGCACCGTCCCACAGTTGTCGTACCAACCTGGAGGCCGGGCAATCGACCGTGCCATACAACACACGTAGTGACCAGGGCCAAACATGACGTCGAGTGATGCGTTCATCCGTGGAATTCGGTCATCTCTTGAGGCTCTCTGGGAGGGTAAGCTGGAGACAGGTTAGTCGACGGAATCGTCGTCAGGCCACAATTGTCTTGGGCCCTGAGGAGCCTCGGCGCGCACGAGGACGTCACACAGGAAGACATCATCACTTGGAGAGCCCCCAAGGAGGCTTGAAGGCCGCGGGATGACCTCATAGGCGCCGCGGTGTTTGTTGTTGACGATGCCTCTTTGAGGTCGATGATGTCCATGGCCGCGGGCATTCTCGCTCGAGCGTACCTAGATAGACAACTAGGCGGCCTTTCACAAGCTTCATCCGGAGCTTTCTCCCCGTCTTTGACTGGGATGAGGATTATGAGAGAGGCTCGAGGTACGTGTTGAGACAGCATCTTCCAAGATGGCTGCACAGATGCGGGCAAGTTTCGCTACTCAGTTGACATCCAGGCCTGGGCTTGGAGGCTAGACACGACGGCCCGTCCGCGGGTAGCAAGTCGGTTGCGGTAGCACGACGAGGTGCCTGCACTGTAGGTCAGGAACACGTGCTTCTGGCTTGACGGGATGGCGTCACGCGTGCAGATCTGGCAGGTCCAGGTGGCAGGCGTCGCACGGCGTGGTCCCGAGCGTGAAGGAAGCTGGAGCACTGGGAGCTGGAGCACTGGGAGCTGGAGCACTGGGAGCTGGAGCTTGCTATCAGGGACGGGCGAACGGTTGTTGGTGGTTCGAACGGCAGGCTGCTTGGAGGGGCCCAGGCGAGAACGTCAGGGTCCACCACCACTGCAGTCTTGGCCGCCAATTGGCCTGGCCCCACGGAAACCTGCCCGCTCTGCCAATCGCCAATCGAAGCCAGTCTGCGTCTGCCACCCACCCTGCCAGAGGGTGATGGAAGATGCAAGTGGGCCGTCGATCCTCCACTAATATCCACTGCAATGTGCCTCCCCCACTCCAGCCCAGGCCCCGAACAACGCATCCGGGGAAGTCTCCTGCTTCATTTCGTGCAAAACCTTGAACCATACCACCCACCAGTCAGCCACTCAGGCCAGTATCGGGGGGACAAAAGGTTTCCCCAAGCAAATTGCTGAGATGCAGACGCGTCACTCCCACGAGCTCCGCCCAAACCAACGGCATAGTCTGGCACGTGTCTGGCTGGTTGAGCTTTCGATCCCTTTCAACCTTCTTCTCCTCATCACGCTTGACATCTCTCAATGCTTTCCACCAGCCCTCCCTACCTCAGGTACACCCCATGCAAGGGACGACCATAAACCCTGCCAAGTGCGGGAAATTCGGGATACCACCTCTGCAAGCTTCTATTCATCACCCAGCACCTTAGACGATACATCTGGCGTCGCATGAGCCGTCCTTTCCCCCCACTCGTCGAGGCTGGCTCAGGTATATCTATCTAGGCCAACGCTGGCGCTGCTGCTACGGAGGCTTGTACCTGCACCGTAGCGCAGCCTAGAGACGCGCTGGCTGTTGCATAGCCCATAGCCCAGGACCAGTTTGGAAGTGAGACAACAAACGTATTTGTCTGACCCGCGCCTGAGATCCAACCTGTTCTTCGGGCATCCGGACAGTGTTGCCATCATTTGTTCAGCGGCACACCAAGCCAGCCACGGGCCATAGGCCATAGCTGAGGGCTTGGCCAGCCACACAAGTACCACCTCCGCTCAGCAAGATGGGGACGAAAACGCTCAACAGGAAGCCGAGTCTGGTTGACCGCCTCCGCCAACTCCGCTCGGCCGCACCGTCTCCCTCCAAGGCCACCTTTATGCCAGAGAAGCGACCGCCTTATGTCCCCATCCAGCCTGTGGATGAACACCCGGCCACGCACTTCCGTGACGAAGGGCCCAGGAACCCAATCTCCAACCCCCGGTCTCGGTCTTATTATCCCGAGAAAGGGCTGGACTTGGACGAGCTGGATTTCAAACTCGAGCAATATGCCAAAAGGTCTCTAGAGTCAGCAGAGACCCAGACGGATACCGAATCAGATGTGCCGCTGAGGCGCGAGATTTCTAGCGTGCAACAAATGAACGACCAAGCGTCGACGGCCGACGACTCAGATGAAGAGCCGGAGCGTGATCCGAGCTGGTGCCTAGAGCCAGTTACCAGCTTGCAACCTCCGTCTCAGGGGGTCGGGAGTGTCGAGTCTTGCCTCACTGCTCCGCAACAAGCACCAGGAGAGCCAAAACCATCAGACTATGAGATCTTCATGCGGGAAGCCGAGGAAGCCGAACGTCAACGGGTGGAGAATAAGGACAAACCTTCACGGCCCACCCGCGAGCCGCCACTAAACCCCTTCTATTCACACAATTGGGATCATCAACCACAGCCATCACCAAAACTTGCAGAGATTCAAGAGGCGGCCGACGACGGTGCAAGAGAGGACCGCGAGGTTCACGATGCAGCACCAGGGGATCAGGACTCGGACCGGCAGGCGCTGTCCTCGGAGACATCCAGTGAGAGAGGCGACGCCAATGCTGCTCCACCCAAGAGCACCATCTCGCGGGCGAACACGGACGTCACCGGTGGGGGTAGGCACATCAAGTTCAGTGACACATGTGCGCCCAGGGAACGCGTGGAGCGAAGAGCCTCAGCACCGAGCTGTGCCACCCGCGTCAAGTCCCCGTCCAGGCCGGTCCGGAAGCAGAAGAGCATCAAGCAGCTCATCGCGGATTATATCCGGCCCCCACGGGGCTAGCGACTTGTGTGCAGAATGATGTGACGAAGAATGATTATGAGAGTAGGGGGCGAACCCGTGGATCTTTATGGTAGCCAGGCAGTAGTAGTGCCAAAATAATGTAAGATGAGTGAAGCACGCCTGATGCCGTCTTGAAGTCATTCAGGCAGCCGATGCTTGCTCACATGCCCAATTTCAAGTGTGATTAAACAAAGTAAAGTGGTATCATCCTGTCCAAGCCCGTCCGTCGCTCATCATGAATCTCTCGTCGAATATCGGAAACACCATCCCCGCAGTCAACAGCCAACATATCTGGAGAGCATCCACCACATTGCGCCCAAACCCCCTCGCCCACATCAAGCCGACAGCGACAGGCTATACAGGAGCCTGTATGCTGAACATCTCCTCCCCCCCCCTGCCTCCCCTTCCTCCCGAAGTCAACGATGTAGAACTCCACCCCCCCCCCATCCAGTCACCAATCACCAGAAGGACTCCTAGTCCCGCCTGCGGTCATGGTCCCAGATGACAAGCCCCGTCACAACCGCCATGACGGCCCACTGCTCGCCGAGGGCGCGCGAGAGGCCCGTGCCCAGGAACGAGAACTTCCACAGCTTGCTGACGCTCATGACGGACTCGGTGCACACGGCGACCACCTCGTGGCCGTCCCCGGAGGGAGGGCCGCTGCCGGCCACGGCCATGCCGCCGGGGGGCAGCTCGTTGCTGAGCCGCACCAGCTTCCACCCGTGCGCGCGCCCGCCCAGCCCGCCGACCGCGCCGCTGGAGCTCCGGCGCCACTCGAACTTCTCGCTGTGGTACGACGTCGGCGGCGGCGGGGACCCGCTCGCGCTGGCGGTCGGCGGGCTCGGGATCTCCACGACAAAATTAAACGTCGGATCCATCACGGTCGGCGTGTGCACCGAGTGTGGCGGCTGCGGCGCCCGGCCTGGAAGCGGCGGGAGGCTGACGGCCATCCTGCGGCCCGCGGCGCCGTACGCGGCCGTGCCCAGGGGCGCGTGGTCGTCGCTCGGCCCGTTGTGCAGGATCAGGCTGGCCCCGCTCGCGCTCGCCGCCCAGCCGGCCGTCACCGAGTACAAGGGCGTGGCCTGGTGCTCGCCCAGGAAGTAGGACCGCTGGGCGCCGGGGAAGGCGTCGCGGTAGAGGTTGAAGGCCGGCGGGAACTGCTGCCGCACGGTCTGCGAGGCCGCGGGGAGGATCTGCTGGAAGGTCTGGGCTGGCGTGTGCGGGGTGCCTGCTGCTGCTGGCGATGCTGGGCCGCCTGGGGTGCTTGGGGTGAAGGGGTTTGTGTTGATCTTGGTGTTGGTGGGTCGCGGTGGTGTCGGCGGCGGTGGCCTGTGTGTGTGTGATGGGCGGCCGGTTGCCTCCTCATACGAGGGTGGCGGCTCATCGTCCAAGATGTCGTGGTTGTTCATTGTGTGTTGTTTGTTTGGCAGAAGTAGGCGTTTCCCGGGCAAGGCGGGCCAGAGTCAGTCAGGCGTCTTCAGCTGGTCCTGAACTTTTGGTGTGCTCTTGGTTGTTTTGTTCAAAATGCCGAGGCCAGGCTCGAGTGAGTAATGTGATTCCTTCTTGGGTGGTTGTCGACGGCGATAAAACCAGGCAAACGGCGGGCAGGCGGAGTGCGTTCACCTGTCCGCCCGCCGAGACCTCTTCCAGGCTTCGTAAACGTCTCGGCGCAGGAGTGGCTGTGAAGTGGGTTGTTCGGTGCCTGAATCGGGCCCTGTGGCTTAACGTCCAGAACTGGATGACTGGCCGCTCAATACAAACAGTCCGTCTCGTTATGGACTTATTATTCCCTCTGGCCTGCCTCGCGTGGAAAGACCGCGCACGTGGTATACATGTTCTGGGCTTGGCATGAGGCTGGAATGCTTGTTGAACTCGGACTTCCAGGTGGTGTGGTTCATCACCGGGATGCCCGGGACGGGACTCGACGGGAAACCCCCCCCCCCCAGTTTGGCATGACGCAACAGGGCCGTCGTAGGGCTGACCGGGGTCCACTGCGCACTTGTAACCTCATGTGAGTTCGGGTGCTGCCAAAGTCTCTACAACCCTCACCTTTCAAAAAACAACTCCTTCATCGACCGCTCGATCCATTTCGCGTGTGATCGGGTGTCTCTTGATGTACTCTAAGCACTGGACGATAACACCGACTCATGTTGAGCTCACCACACTACCCGGATCCCAACCTGGATTCTAGGCATATGTGCATGCTCGCAGCAGAGACAAGCAGTGGGCCTTGCTCCTTGCCGTGGGAGAAAGTAACCCACAAGGTACATATTGCTCATCACGGGACATCCGGTGCAAACGATCACAGTTTCATGACCGAACTTGCATGACCAAGTGTATCACTGTCATTAAATTGGTCACCTAGACATTACTAAATTGGCCATCTCCAGAAAGGTCTTGCGCGCCAGCACTGCGATTCCTCCGTTTGACATAGCCGTCGAAGGGGTTATTCTTCCTCCCATACTCCTCTTTCCCCGTTAGATCCGACGTCGTCGTGGCCGGGGACATGTCCGCGACCAGGGTGGGCTCGCGGCTGAAAGGCCTAAACGGGTCCTTCTGGCGGTCGAACAGTTCGATCCCGTCTTCTTGCTTGGCAAAACCACTCGACCCTGGTTTGCCAGGGTGGTCGTCGTCGTCGTCGTCTGGGTCGACCTCAACGACCTTGTACCTGTTCGCCAGGCGCTTCCCGACCCCTTCCGTGATGCCGAATACGTTGAAGTAGACGTGCTTGCCGATCACGGGCGCCCACGCCATGACCGCGATCAGCTGCCCGTATGTCCAGTTGGAGGCGCTCGTGCCGACCAGTTCGAGGATCGTGATGGTTGCCTTGAGGTAGATGCCGACGTATATCAGCAGCCCGAACTCCAGGCAGAACCACAGCACGAATTTTGTGACTGGGGGCAGTGACTACCCCACGCGCAGTCGTGGCTGGGTTGGTAACCAGGCTGATCGTGCTACCGCACCCACAGGGACCACGGCTGTCAGGTGCACATTTCCATATTTGCCAAAATTGGACGAGTTATGTAACCATGAAGTCCGAGCCGAGAAGTACATGTGCATCTTCCCCTTGATGGCTGATTACATGTGTGCATCTGTCCTGTTTCGAGTGATTAGGCCAAATACATAGATCCGGTCTGGGATATGATGACAAAGACGTATGGCTGGCCCAATTCGCGAAGTATTGATCTTCTCATAGTGACGAATTGGACCAAGACAGTATTATGGAAAACAGGCTAGTTATCTCAATGTTATACTGCGTGGTTGAAAGGTTGAAGTGGCTAGTAGAATATTCCAGCCACTGCCTTGCAGTTGGGAAGCATTCAATCTATACTGTGAACGAATGAATGACAAGGCTGATGTTGGGAAGGAGATGAAGCACGGGAGTTAAATAATCTCCAGTATTTACGACCCATCATTCTGGACCTGCGTACAATATGTGTCATTTCCGTTTCTTTACTTTTAGATACGAATCATTCCACTTCATTGACAACACACACCTGTTCCGGTTCGCGGGAAGTGGGCTATCGAGATGTTCTGATAGCCTTGAGATGACAGTCAAGTGATCACTGAAGTGCCTAGGTATTTGGTGGCCAGAAACCCGGTTGAACTACACGGATTGGGGTACTGACGCCTCGGGAGAAGCTTCTTAAGTCGTGCTGTCGTTTGCAATCCACTGAGCTCTGAGTGATGTTCACAGCGTCACAGCACTCATAAAAGACCAGACCACGGGTCGAACGAAACTACCCACCACTCGGTCTCTTCAAACCCGCTGCTGGGTTGGCTTGAGTAGTACTTTCGAAGTCGAGGCACCACACCCTGACTACCCATCTGTTCTCCCAGTTGGACTTCGCTCAGTACCTAGACGCGCTACTCTTTATCTTGTGAATCTAGTTCAGAGGCTCTGAAGACCAAATTCCCAATGGTTTTGAAACTGCGGGCAGCAACTGACCAGCGACTGTGGACTGCTGGCGTGCTGCGCCACATGGTTCGTCCAAAGCGCTGCCGTGATCTCGAAGATCATGAAAGCCTGCTCAACAATGGCCTGACTTCTGCTGTGGGGGGATGCCACGCGCAGATACAGACGTCCGGGGGCTGAAAGATGGTAATCTGGTTGGCTAATGTACTCACGTGGATATCCAGGGTTTAAGCTGTTGGTCACGCTGTGTGGAGCAGAGGCAGTGTCCGATCTGGCCGAGATCTTGGACAATCTAGATCTATGACATGACGGCTAATACTCGATCTCCTTGTTAGCACTTCCCGGACGGCGCCCCGGAATTGGGAAACGAGAAGACAGTCTGCACACAAGTCCCTTTGGACGTGGGCAGAGCAACCTGTCCCAGTCTCCAGTAGATCTTGTAAAGTCGAACCTGGGCTGCTTACCCTCCACCACAGGACCACCATACGTCGTGGCCTCAATCCGGAACGAAACGTCCTCAATGGCCCATGCACCATAAGGTTTTGGACGGGTCGAACCGCCGGTTTGAGGAGGGTTTGCTGGGAATTCTGCAGATCGATGAAACTCGAGGTAGCACCTTGATTGAAGAGATCTGCACTTAAGCATCCTCACGGTGTGGTCGGCCACACGGTGTGCGAGCCCACAGCCGTGAGCACAGCGGACATGCTGGCCTGGATTACGACGCTGGAGAGCTCAGAGCTCCCCGGTACCTACCGTATCAGTCAGTGTTGTGCATTGGTGGTCGTCGGACACGACTCGACATCCGCGCAGCACATGTTTTGAACGGTCTAATTCGATTGTCGGACGGCAAGATACAAGCACCATCTGTGTCACAATCCTGGGTAACTGTTTGCAAACAAGTCAGCGGCTGCCCATGCGTGAGTTCCTCTGGGATGTGCAGTTTGAGTTTGTTTCGCTGTCCAAGTAAGACGTTCGTTTCCGTGTTCTCGAGTGCCTTGTTCCAGCAGTCTCGTCATGACAGGCCGTATAAGGAGGTCTTGAGGGACCCACTTCCCGCGATATCGTAGGGATTTGACATCTTGTTGAGGCCGTACGAGCAGGGGGTTGGAAGAAACCGGACATTTTTCACAACGCACGCTGTCGATCCGGACGTTTTTAAGAGGCCTGCGATGCGATCCCGGAGGTCTCAGATATGGCGAGCCTGCAGAAACTTTGTCTAGGGCAGAGCAGGCACCGATACTAACGCGCGTCGAGGCATATCGCCGCCTCCGAGTTGAAGTCCGGTCGAATTTACGCCGGATGAGGAAGGGGCCGCTTTAGATACAGAGACTGTAGCTCAGGGTAGGGCAGGGCAGGGAATGGCGCGCGGGTTTGGTTGTTAAGCGCGAGGCCGGGGCCGCTGGGGCGATAGAAAAGAGGCTCCATGCAAGGGAAAACTTTCGCCGCATCGTGAAACCTTTTCTGGGTCTGCGTCGATGACAGCGATCGAGGCCCACCCGGCGCAGGTTCGAGTTCAGGTCCAGGTCCAGGTCCAGGTCCAGGTCCAGGGGCCAGATAGCAGGAGGACAGGGGGCTGGTTCGCAGCTGGGTGGATGTGTGGACACTCTGTGGGTGTGGCAACGGGCGGCCGGCCGGCGTGACATGATGCGGCTCACTCATGCTATGCAGGGCCCGACATCAGTCGGGCAGCCTGACTTTCTGACAGTCTAGAAATTCAGATCCAGAGATAGCGTAGCAGACAAAGAGGGCCCCCACGCAAGGAGGGTGTGCAGGGGTGGCGGTTACAATCAAGGCTGGCGAGAGCAATGGAGCCATGGTGCGAGGTTCGGCCAGGAATAGCGTGGTGGGCAGGGCCGAGAGCCTCAGAAGCACGGGTGGGGGCTCGGGATGCAGGCCAAGAGGCATCGAACGTCGAACCATACGCGCTGGGCCAGAGCGTGATGGCGGCCCAGAGCGGACGGCGACCAGCAGGGGCGCAGGATGAGCGCAGGGGAAGGGGGCGCAATCTGGTATTTGCCAGTGCTGGAGAGTCAACATGCATCTCGTGGCATCTCATGATGTCGCCAGGTTGCTCGCCGGGATGTGAAAATTGGCTGCAGCGGGAGTGAGGTGTCAAGAGTCGGAGGCTGCAGGAGGGACCCGCCAGGACGAGAGGCGGGTGGCGTGATTCCTGGGCTCCCGTTGTCCCAGCACATGGGACCATGCCATCCGTGATCTCCCGCGCATGAGCACTGAGGTCGTCGGCAGGGATCCGAGCTTATCAGCAGCAGCCGCCAGTCCTGCCACGGTGCCTATGTCGAACCTCAGCTGAGCTCAGCATCCAGCAAGCAGAGACAGAGAGAAAGTTTTCAAAACATGCACTGCATACACTGCGCGCTGCGCCGTCATCAGAGGATACACTTCCGGTATGGAGTGATCATGACGAAACGAGTGTCTGTTTTCTTTCTTTCTTTCTTTTTTCTTATCATCGTCCTGTCTCGAGGCGCCTGTCTGCAGCTCGTATCGTGGCAGCCGTACATTCAATTCAGTAAGCAAGCAGCATCCGCGGGAGAACCGAGCTGGGCCGTAACCGAGTTGGCTGGCTGCATGCCGTTGTCTGGGCGCGATGCAAGTAGGCTAATATTTAGTTGATGATTACATGCACGTGTAAGGTATTGTGTGTGCGTATGGATGTACCACGTAGTTGGTCTGTGTGTGCATGTGTGTGCGTGTAATGTATGGCAACAGTTGAGGCCGTCCCGGCTTTTCATCTTGCACCCCACCCTGGACCACAGTCGAGACCTGGCAGTCGCTACGTGTGTGTTGCCAGTTGTGCCTGCCTGTGAGACCTCGTCCAATGTACCATTGTACCCTCGTAAACGGCGGAAGCAACAGTGGGCGATCCCGACCACCTCCTGCCCCATTTTTTCTCTCCCTAGGTGGACTGGGTGGCCACTCCCGAAGAACAAACGTCGAGGTACTGCCGTACAGGCCCAATGCCTGCCTGTCTGGCCAGGGCCGTGCTGCCGTTGCCCGTGCAGGTACGTACAGCAAGTACTCGCATCTCGAACCCTTCGACTCACTCCTGCCCTGTTCCTGCCCTGACACTCAACCACCCGCAGCCAGTGACTTTGTGACATGTCGCTTCCACTTTTCATCAGTCCATCATCGCAAAGTTTTTCCAGGGAACCGCCAATGGATCCCCGATCCGTCTCTCGGACGCTGGCGATGGCCATTGCGTACGACACGACACATCCACGCCCAGCACTCGACGGCCACCTAGTGCTGCTGCGAGCAAAAGATATAAAACCATCTTGAGCCTCATACGACCTCCAGCAGTCACACCTTTCCATTCATCAGCAAGCCTTGACTACCAGTCATCCACACTCTTCTTATAGAAAGACAACACCCTCCAGTCCTCTGGACACCGCCACCTCTCCCTCTTAGGCTATCACGGTAACCCATATACCCTCCCCTCACCTCAACACCTCACATCAAAACCTTCCCAATGACGAGCACACCGGGAAAGTTCACCGTCGGTGACTACCTCGCCGAGCGGTTGGCCCAGGTCGGCATCCGGCACCACTTTGTCGTGCCTGGCGACTACAACCTCATCCTCCTCGACAAGCTCCAGGCCCACCCCGACCTCAAGGAGATCGGATGTGCCAATGAGCTCAACTGCAGCATGGCCGCCGAGGGCTATGCCCGTGCCAACGGCGTCTCTGCCTGCGTTGTCACCTACTCGGTCGGCGCCATCTCCGCCCTCAACGGCACCGGCAGTGCCTACGCCGAGAACCTGCCCCTGATCCTCATCTCCGGCTCCCCAAACACAAACGATGCCGGCCAGTTCCACCTGCTGCACCACACCCTCGGCAAGCTCGACTACAACTACCAGCTTGAGATGGCCGAGAAGGTCACATGTTGCGCCGTCGCCGTCAACCGGGCTGAGGAGGCCCCAAGACTGATCGACAGAGCAATCCGCGCCGCCATCCTGTCCAGGAAGCCCTGCTACATCGAGATCCCCACCAACCTGTCCGGTGCCACCTGTGTCCGCCCCGGCCCCATCTCCGCCGTCACCGAGCCCGTCATCTCCGACCAGGGTGCCCTCGCCGCCGCCGCCGACTGCGCCGCCGAGTACCTGAGGGGCAAGCTCAAGCCTCTGATCCTCGTCGGCCCCAAGCTGTCCCGATGCGGCGCCGAAAAGGCCCTCATCAAGCTGGCCGAGGCCATGGGTTGCGCTGTCGCCCTCCAGCCCGCCGCCAAGGGCATGTTCCCTGAGGATCACCCCCAGTTTGTCGGTGTCTTCTGGGGCCAAGTCTCCACCCTCGCTGCCGACGCCATCCTCAACTGGGCCGACGCCATCATCTGCGCTGGCTGCGTCTTCAACGACTACTCCACCGTTGGCTGGACCGCCATGCCCAACATCCCCCTGATGAAGTGCGACATGGACCATGTCACCTTCCCCGGCAACCACTTCAGCCGTGTCCGCCTCGGCGAGTTCCTCGACCACCTCTCCACCGAGGTGCAGTTCAACGACTCCACCATGGTCGAGTACAAGCGCCTCCGCCCCGACCCCTACGTCGTCCACGAGGCCGCCGACGAGGAGGAGCTCACCCGCAAGGAGATCCAGCGCCAGCTGCAGCCCCTCGTCACCCCCAACAGCACCCTCTTCATCGAGACCGGCGACTCCTGGTTCAATGGCACACAGCTGCACCTCCCCAAGGGCGCAGGCTACGAGATCGAGATGCAGTGGGGCCACATCGGCTGGTCTGTGCCCGCCTCCTTTGGCTACGCCGTGCGCTACCCTGAGCGCCGCACCATCTGCGTCTGCGGTGACGGTTCCTTCCAGGTGACCGCCCAGGAGGTCTCCCAGATGGTCCGCTTCAACCTGCCCATCACGATCCTGCTCATCAACAACCGCGGCTACACCATCGAGGTCGAGATCCACGACGGCAGCTACAACAAGATCAAGAACTGGAACTACGCCCTGCTGATGCAGGCCTTCAACTCCACCGACGGCAACGGCATCTCTTTCGTCGCCAACACCGCCGGCGAGCTCAAGGAGGCCATCGCCGCCGCCAACAACCACAAGGCTGGCCCAGCTCTGATCGAGTGCACTATCCACCAGGACGACTGCAGTAAGGAACTGATCACTTGGGGCCACTACGTCGCAGCCGCTAACGCGAGACCGCCGAAGGCCTCGACCCTGGACGACTACTAGGAGAGTCAAAGTCCAACACCGGCGGCGGCTCGCGGCTCGCGGCGGGAGACGGCCTGAACGGCCTCACGGAGAAAGACATCGTAGAGAAGGTCTACGATGGCAAGGGGAGGCTTGGTGGCTATGCCTTCTGCAGCCACATCACCGGGATGAGACGAGAGCCGGAGGCTCACTAAGCATTGTACATATTGGTCACTGGTCCTGTTTTTCTGTTTTTCATCATCATCATCGGAGTCATTGTGCGGGTGGTTTTCTTCCTTTTTCTGGTAATTAGTAGAGGCAGGGGGACGGTGCATTTGATCAGACTCGGTTTCCTTCCAAGTTTCGACTCGGGGTTACGGTGTCCCATCATCAATCATAGAAAAAGGCATAGATACCTCATAGACGATTTCAAAAAGTTTCTCATCTTCAATACTTGAACATGTCCAACAAGAGCGCTGAAGTGAACATAACAAACTCCCTATGAACAGAAAGCATTTGAAATTAGCTATACCTTCACTTCCGAGGGGGTCATGCAGTATCCACCTAAACCTTGTCGTCGGCGGCGCTACCCTTGAGTCTCGAGTCGGCAGTCACCTCACCTAGCCCAGCATGCGGGCTCACCAGGGTCATAAAGAAAGTGACCTGTCTGTTTGCGTGGGGGTCGTGCGCTCGTAGGGCTGAGCCCAGTCCAGACTGCAGTCGATTAGGTCCCGCTGAGAGAAAGTGGCGCCACGGAGAAATCGAAAACCCATCAATGGCAAGATGGCACGCCAGCATGGTTCACGATAGGACACACACAAATTTTTCCGGTGTGCACCTCAACAAGCAACATACGGTGAGGAGGCGTGTCTAATTCCTGCGTCTCCTGCCGTCTATCCGCAGGCGGGCTCATCACCCGCGCCCCCTGTGCTCGCGCCCTGCTGCCCGCCGTAGACGCCACCGTCCAGGATGACGGCCTCGTTGTCGTCGAGGTCGTCCTGCACCCTCCTCCACCGCGCCGCCGCCCTGTCCTTGCGGCCCTCCAGCTCGGCCCCCTTGCCCCTGGCGTCGTAGACCGGCCTGATCATCCCGCTGAGCAACGGGTTCCTGCTGAAAGCGCCCCCGGCCCCGGGCCGCCTGTTCGCACTTGTTTCCTCTAGGACGCCTCCGCCGCCGCCGCCACCCCCCGCGCCGGAGCCCAAAAGCTCGTCCTGATCCTCCTCGTCAGGCGTGGCGGGCCTCTCCTTTGCCACGAACTTCTTCACAACCTTGCCGCCGACAAGGTCAATGCTGACGACCTGCTGCCTCTTCTCGTAGTCTGGCCGCGCGTTCCACTCCATCTCGCGCAGCACCTTCTGCTGCCTCTTGAGCTCCCGCGCCCGGTCCTCGGGCGACGCCCACAGGCTGCCGCCGAAGCCCGCCATGGCGCCCGAGACGTCAAAGTCGGCGGCCTCGTCCCTGACCGTGGTGCGCCGCGCGTTCTGCGCCTGGAACCCGAGGAGCCTGTCGCGGTCGAGGGCCCGCGCCTCCGCCTCCCCGAGCCCGTCCGCGGTGGCCTCGTCGCCCGTCCGCGGCTTGGTGAAGGGCCTGGGCTTGGCCGCCACGTCGGCCCGCTTGTGTGCCTGGCGGTCTGCCGCCTGCTTCTCGCGGCCGCGCTCGGCGCGGAGCTCCTGGATCATGGACTGCACCTCGCTGGGTGACAGGAGCGGCGCACCGCAAAACGTGCACGGGCCCAGGCCCTCCTTTAGGCAGATCACCTTGCCGCAGCTGAGGCAGTTGGGCGCGGCGCTCTGGAGCGGGTGCCTCGTCGCCACGCAGTTGCATCGCCGCGCCGAGGAGTCGCCGCCGCCGCCGGAGCCGGACAGCGACGGGTTCGTCGTCACCTCCAGCGAGCGGATGGCGGCGTCCAGGTCCGCGACGGCCGTCGAGGCGCCGTGCATGGGCGTGCCGCCCGCGATGGACACCTTGGTGACCGGGCCGCCGCCGTTCCCCCTGGGCGCAGCCGGCCCGGGCGTCGAGCTGCGCGAGGTCGGGTTCGACTTTGGCTTCTGCTTGGGGGCCAGGCGGTCCGAGACGAGGGACCCGGCAGCCGAGGGGGGCTGCTTGCTGAACTTCTTTGGTGGTGGCGTGGAGGACTTTGGCGGGGGCGCCGTGAAGGGTGAGTTGTTGCTGCCCGATCCGGGCGTCGACGCGCCGGACCGGCCTGCTATGTAGTCATCCTCGATGGACTTCTTGCTGTAGACGGTTCCCGAGGCCGGGGCCGCGTCTGTGATTTGCCGCGGGGCTGGCGTTCGTAGTGGTGCCTTTTTCTTCTTGGGGCCCCTTTGCGTTTTTGGCACCGCCTCTAAGTCAGAAGAGGCGTTTTGCTGTGTGACTGGAGCGGGAGCGGGAGCGGGTTTCGGGTCCTGTCGCCGCGAGTTGAAGGACGAGATGAACTCGATGGCCCGAGGTGAGTCGCCAAGCAAGTTCTTGAAGTGATCTGCCGCCTCCGCCTTGGAAAGTGTGGATCCGTAGTCGAGTATCTGTTTGCAGTCCGAGTCCGGAAGGCCCAGGAGCATAGATAGCTGGTTAAGCGACATCTTGCGCTCTTGCAGGTCGTGGGATAGAAAGTTGAAGGTGAGCGCTGAGGCTCACCAAATGCTGGGGATGACGTCCTTAACGCACACTGAGCCGCAGTAGCATTTCGGCCTGCCCGTTTGAGCTCGCCGACCGGACCCTAACCCCACGTTGTCAGGTCAGGGGGAATGTTCCACACTTCACACCTACACGTTATGGACCACTACCATCAATTCACCAACTCGATATTTTTTGGTTCAACCTCTCCTGACTAGGGTATTTCTGTTGGAGTTGGTCAATTCATACAGTGACTTGAAGCGAATGTGCCGCCTGCGAGAACATAGGAAAGAGGCACTTGGATTGCTCTGCACCGAGATCTTCAACTCCATTTCAATAATAATACGGTGAGTCGAGAAATCTTTGTGCGGGTCGTGAAGCATGAACACAACAGATACGTCCCCAGATGCACATTTCAGTCACCGCCCAGGCCAGAGTGTGTGCCATTCGGTGTCGGCAGAGGCTGTTCTGCATCTTTGTATGGCACCGCCTGAGTGAAACTCGTGCCAGCATCATTCAAACCACATGTGCAGGTGCTTGGCAGTGTCTGATTTGCTCAGCACGAGACGTTCAGCCAACCCTACAAGGGAATCGTGTGAGACACGAAGAATGATCTTCGCCTTGATGCCGCATTATTGCTTTGGGAGTGAATAACGTTTGCCCGGAGAGGTTGCCCTTTGCAGGAGGTTGGCAGATGAGCACCTTCAGCCGGTCAGGGACTTCACAGACGGGATTCCGACGGGATTGGGGATTGATTTTCTTTGAAACCTCGTCAATTTCTAATGCTCAGGCGCTTGCGGGATACGGCCCTATAAGCCATGATGGACGTTAGCTGAGATGCGCTGCCTAGACCAGCTGGTCAGGCGTGTCCCCAACAAGTGGGATAGCCTGCTTGCACAAATTGTATCTTCACGAACTACTGCAGAGCTCCGTCGTACAATTCATCGAATCAGAGACTCGGATTCCACGAAACTTGGTCACTTTTCATTCCCAACACAAGCCAGACCATTTCGATAATCTCTCTGCACATGACTGCCAGAGGACCATAACAGCACAGCAGTTTTATAAGTAGGTCGAAAGCCCGGCATGTTTTCTCTCATGTCGGGAGAACCACACAAGCAGCGGAGGCGTCGCGAAAATGACGAGCAGCACTACAGCCACCATCGGTCTAGCGGAACAGCCTCAGACAGTTTCTGGGACCGACGACTTGACCGAATCCAGACAAAACCCACCTGACCAGACAACCAGCCCTAACAGTCCCCAGGGTTCTCTCCACGCAGATGATAGGTCAGACAAGAAACCACTATGGCGACTCATTCTGACTACAGTGGCTTTATTGACTGGGGTCTTTCTTGTTGCTCTGGATGTTAACATTCTTGGTCCGTCCATTATGTATTGAGAACCCGGAAAGCACTATAGCACGAAGCGCCATATTGACAATAACGTGATACAGCTACGGCGACACCGAAAATCACGACCGAGTTTCACACCCTCGAAGACGCGGCCTGGTACACCACGTCGTATAATCTGGCGAAGCTGGCCACTCAGCCAGCTTTTGGCCGTTTGTATACATCTTTCTCCCTCAAATGGACATTTTGTTGGAGTATTGTGGTATTCACTATTGGTGAGTGACAAGAGCATCGGATTCATGCATTGGAAAAAGAACCTCATCAATGAGTCAAGGCTCCATCATCTGTGCCGTCGCACCAAACTCGACCGTCCTCATATTTGGAAGAGCTATTCAGGGTTGTTCCACTGCGGGAGTGTTCACCGGCGGTCTGGTTATGGCTGGCTATGTGGTCTCTAAACAGAAAGTTCCGCTATTCATCTCCTTCATCTCTACCATGTTCATGGTGGCTTCTATAGTAGGCCCAGTTCTAGGAGGGGTTTTCACCGAAAGCAGCTTGACCTGGAGGTTTTGTTTCTGGATCAATGTTCGTGAGTTCATTCTTTCCCCTCCGGTCACAAACAATAATCCACGTGTCCGAACCCGGTACGAAGTTGCAGAACACCAAGGACCCTATGTGCTGACATTGCGGCTCTTCAAGCCATCAATGCCGTTTGTCTCCTCTTCACATACGTTGCCTTCCGAGAGCCCAACAGAGAGACCACAAACATTCCGCTGAAGGCAAAACTCGGTTCACTGGGCCCCATAGGCACATGTCTCATCCTAGCCTCCATGACGTGTCTTGTCCTCGCCTTGCAATGGGGCGGTTCTGTCTTGCCTTGGAGCGACCCAAGAGTCTGGGGAACCTTGCTAGGATTCGGGCTCCTGCTGGTTCTTTTCTTGCTTTTACAAGTGAGGCAGAAGGAAAAGTAATGTTCGCCCTCATTTTCACCTCGTACTGGCCTTGCCCATCCTCTTCATGGCTGACCGTGACGGTAAAGGGCGCTCGTTCCAATTCGAATCTTGGCCCAGCGTACCGTAGGACTGGGTTGCATCTCGGGCGGATCCGTCATTATGGCAATAAAAGTCTTGACTGTTTACCTACCCTTCTACTTCCAAGCGACAAAGGGTGTATCGCCAGCTACTTCAGGACTGTACATCCTTGCTTTAGGCACACCGAACTCCTTGGCGACAGTAGCGTGTGGTCTAGCAATGACCACGACAAAGTACTATGTCCCCTATCTAATGGCGGGCGCTGTTGTGTTGGCGGTCGGCTCAGGCCTGCTATCAACTCTTCACGTTAGCAGCAATTTGGGGCATGTTATAGGCTGTAAGTCAAGATCAAGACTATTGCATTGTCCCCATCACATTCACGAGCCTTCTGCACCATGGGAGCACCTCCAGCCCTCCGGGCTCTGATGTTAAGACTACACTTTAACAATAAAAACAGATCAGTTTATGGCAAGCATCGGCTTTGGCTTCAGTGTCCAGGTGCCATTAACAGCCATGCAAAACGTCCTGAAGGAGGCCGATCTGCCCACCGGCAACTCGCTCTTCATGTTCGCCCAGAGCCTCGGCACGGTCATCGCGCTGCCCATCGCCCAGTCCATCTTCCTGGAAACACTGGACGATAAGCTCGATGCCCGTCTGTCAGATGATCAGGCATCCCGAATTACAGATCTCGGGGCGGCGAATGTGGACGTTGACCACATGGACGCCGATCTGGTGCCGTTCGTCGCTGCGGCGTACGGGTATGCAGTGCAGGCTGCGGTCTATGTCGCGGTGGCAGCGGCAGCATTGGCGTTCGTGACGGCGGGCTTGATGGAGTGGAAGAAGTTGGACTTCAAGAAAAAGCCTGCTGGGTCTGCTGGGCAATCTAACTCGGCTGAGAAGGCAACTGAGGCCCTACCAGGGGTTGATATGAGTGGGAGAGCCGTTCAGGATTTTGAGAAAGTGTGACGAGATGAGCGATATAGTCCGGTTGAGGACATTGAGGGAAGACACACTGAGATACAGTCTCAGTCGTTCCTCTCGTCCAACTCAGCTTGCCCCGATAGGAAAAAATATGTCCAAAGAGAACACCAAATTTGAAAAGTCACAAGCAAATCCTTCCCGTGGTGGGAGGGGAATTGGAAACCGGGACATGGCTGGGTGTAAGTCCAGAATATGCATGTTGGCTGTGATGGTATCGCATTATCCAGATTATGCATTTAGCGTAGCAGCCGAGAAAAAGTTGGTGGGGCACCAAAATCGAGGTTCGATCACAGGCAAATTGTCCACTCTTCCTACAACAACAAATTAACACAACAATGGGTCGTCCCAAGCGCAACATCCTGGCAGCAGCCACCGAGTCCACCACCCCTCCCGATGAGCTTACCGAGCACCAATTTGTCGCGCGCGTCGGGAAGCCCGAGGGCAACAACACGTACACGTGCATCCTGCCCAACACCAAGACCGCCCTCGTCGAGCTCGCGCAGCGGTTCCGCAACACGATATGGATCAAGAGAGGGGGCTATGTCGTGGTCGACCTGACGCCGAGCGAGGAGCGCAGCAAGACCAACAACAAAGTCGCGGGGGAGATCATCAACGTGGTCCGAGACGAGAAGGAGTGGCGCAAGATGCCGTACTGGTATGAGCTCCTGGGGCGCATCTTCCGCTTGCGGTGCCTTTCTACGAGCTGGCCCAGCATGCAGTGGGTTTCCACTTATGAAGACCGATTGGTTCTGACAAGCGTGTTATTTTCCAGGCCCAGAGAATTCCCAAAGAACACTTACCCTGACGAGGAGGACGACTCGAGAGGTCTCCCACCAACAGACTCCGCAGACGAGGACTGATTCTTCTGCTGGCCTCATGCAAATTTTGCAGAGCACGCTATTCCCTAAGACGCCGTCTTACCACATCGGACGCTCAAACTCTGTCTGCCCGCTTTGGTAGCCGACCTAAGGCTTCCGAATAGACCGAGTTGGCGCCCCAGCTTTACCAACGGACGGGTCCGGAGCAGCCGAAGATGCTGCTTCATCCGACGTGCCGAACCATACAGCCGTCACAGTTGTTGCCATAACACCGACCACAACCGCCGAGCTGAGTGGTGTGCTGGGGAACACGTTCCATGCCCACTCCTGGAGGGCCCACAAGACGTACTGCAGCACAGGATGCAGGCCACCGCGCCAGAGGAGGTAGGGGGTGGACCAGGCCAGGTAGGAGTAGAACTGGTAATGAAGAGACCGGGCGAAGAGGAGGCCGACGACGTTGGCGGTTAGGATAGTAGTCAGAATGTACTTTGGCGTGAATCCTCGGAACAATGGCTGCCAGTTTCGCCCACGGCTGTCGGGGCTCAATGTTGCCTTGAGAACGTCTCCTAATGACTTTCCCGTCGGTGGGAGCCATCTGGTGAAAATGAAGGTCAAGAGGACGGAAACATGCAAGGCGAGCAGGGAAGTCGAGAAAGCCCGGCTGAGAAAGGTCTCCTCGCCCACGAAGCGCCAGTTGACGGTCCACTTGAAAAGGAACTGGCGAGAGAACTCGAAGGCCCGCCCGAAGTAAGCGCTGGGGTGCTTGAGGAAAGGCGCCGCGAGCTGTGCCTGCAAGCCTGCCATCAACCCGCCCAGCGCAATGGTTCCAAATACGCCCTTGGCGAAGAAGATGAGGATGCCGACCACCGGGAGCACCAGTAGCAGTGTCATCTTGACGCCGAGTCCGAAGCTGTAGATGAGACCGCCGGCGACCCACTGTCGGTGCTGGAAGAGCAGGATTGACAGCCACATGAAGAAGACTGCAAAACAGTCATTGAAGCAGCGGAGCATGAAGATGCTGTGCAGGCGTTTTGAGAGAATCAACAGGGGGAAGACGTAGGGCGGAGCCTGTTGCCATCGGGTCAGCCGGCTGGGACTCTCAAAACCCAGCGTGAGAGCTTACCTTTGCCTTCCAGTAGCAGGACATGACCACGGCCAGGTTCACCAAGTACAGCCCAGCAAAGAGTTGCTGGGCCAGAAGGATGTCCTTGCCGTGGTTGGTGAGATGGTAGAGGCCGGTGTAGACGTAGACGTGGGCAGCAGGGTAGACCAGAGGACCAGTGCCGCCCTCGATCTTTGTGTAGTCCCTCTCTCCGTCGAGAAACAGCTGGACCTGCTCCATGTAGGCAGTCCAGTCAATCTCGGTGTCTTGACATGGGCAGAGGTCAGCAGTGTGAGCGCGTCTTCTCATCCCAGGGTTCACTCACAGGCCACCTTGGCAATCACGAGCACACACAAGACTGCATCCAGGAGAATCAGCACGGGTGGGATCAGCCTGGACAGCCAATGCCTTCCTGTGGCAACATCCTGTGCGAACCGAAATGCTTGCAGGTACAGTGGGTCCTGCTTGGTGGCCATGGTGGTGCAGGATTCCCGATGGGTGAGTATTGATTGATTGTGAAAAGGGTCAAGTTGGTCAACGGCAGACAGGGTAGTCTGTCTAAATTGCTGGCGACGTGTTTGGAGCTACCCCTGTCGACCCGGGGGCCGGAGCTGACCCTTGCGCATGGCGGCCGAAGGCATTCTCATCCTCAATTTAGCGATATTCATTTATCGTGCAAACTCATTCCCTTTTCAAACCATTCGGTCCCAGTCCCAGCGTTGCAACCCGTGCTCCTGTCCATGCTTGTTAAATTGAAGGGCTCCCGCGTTTAGAAAATAGATGCCTAGTGGGTATACCTGGTAAATTGACTTGTCTTCCCGTCTGTTGATCAGATAGTCAGTTGTCCTCGATGTCCTGGTTCAGTTATGTGAATGAATGTCCTAGTCGCGACCTGCAGCCAATGAGTCTTGATTACAAGGATAAGTGTCTAATTCTTCAGGCACGATAGTGCCCCGCTGGCCACTTTACGGCTTACAGCTTGCTCCTCCCCTGGATCTCGCCAACCAGCTCGACCACCCGCTCGGCAGTCCCGTAAGACCCCTGGTAGCCCCAACCTGCGTGGCCGTAGTTATGCACAACCCACGTCCCGTCAATCTTCTCCTTCTCAAGCCTCACTCCCCCTTCCCGATACGGCCTCAGCCCGACCCCGTGCCGGATGATGTCCAGCCCCTTGACCCCCTTCCCGCCAGCAATGTCCGGGAACAGGTCCACCACCCGCTGCATGATCCTCGCGGCGACATTCGGGTCCGGGTTCGGGTCCCAGTTCCCCTTCTGGTACGTCCCGCCCAGTATCGTGCCGCCGCCGGCAGCCCGCGTCATGACGTAGACGAGCTCGTCCGGCGCGTCCTCGGTGCTGGACGTGGCGACCATGAACGGGCTCACGTTGCGCACCACCACGATCTGGCCCCGCGCGGGCGACACCTTGGCGTCCATGACGCCGCCGAGCTTGCTCGCCATCAGGCCCGTGCAGTTGACGATGATGTCCGCCTTGCTGCCCCCGGAGGAGGCGCCAGCCAGGGACGCCGCCTCCGAGATGTGCGCCAGGGACGCACGCTTGAACACCACGCCGAGCCGGCGGCACTGGCCGACCAGCCAGGGCAGGTAGACGGCCGTGTTGATGCAGACGGAGGTGAACTCGTGCGCGTAGGCCACGCCTGGCGGCAGCTCCTCCGGCTTCAGCTTGCGGCAGTCGAGGTAGTCGGCGTACCACGGGTTCTCGTCAAAGAGCGCGTCCCCGAGGGTGTCTTTGGGTGGGGTCTTGGGCTGGGGGCAGTGAGCAAGATGTCATTCTATCCATGCCATGCCCATTGAATTCACTTACGTCTAGGTCCATTCCGAAAAATCTTGGCCGCTTCACAGACACGTCAGCGCACCTTCACATCACAAGATTCCCGCACACGCTCACGTTGGAAATGTATCCCGGCCTCGGGGACCTCCGCCGCGAGTCTCTTGATTTCGGGCCATGTCCTTCTCTCCCACCGGCTATTTTCCTTTTTCGCCATACTATGAATGGTAAGAACAAGCCTGGTATCTCCGGCCGGTTGCATGAGGGCCGGACTCACGGCAAGTAGTTTGCTCCGGCCCACGGAGAAGTGTACTGGATATCATAGTCTCCGGGCATGTGTTTGGCGACAACGGTCACATTGTTTCCCTGCTCCTTGGCCAGCAGCAGGGCCGAAGTGAGGCCCACCACTCCGGCACTAGTTCATCACCATGTCAGCCCATGTCATTCGGGATGTTGAGCCTGGAATCTGCTTACCCGACCACAACGATCTCAGGCATATCTGTACGTATAATTAAAAGCAGGCCGACGGGATGTCTCGTACGCAAATGGCACCAGATCGTGTGAAATTGTTATATGTTCTCTCACATGTTCAAGGACGATGACGGTGGGCAGTTCAACTTGGCAGCGGGCGGACTCAAGACAACGGGGATGCTCCAGGGAAAAGCTCCGGCACCGCGGCCCGTTCGCGGAAGCGGAGGCCTGCGATCGCCGGACGGCGCCAAAATCGGCGGCTCGCCTTCCAACCGGCAACATGATCTCTGGGCACGTCAACGCCGGCCCACCTTTTCACATCCGAGATGATCTGATCTCCCAGGGACATATCTCTTGGCTCCCGTCTGCACGACTACGACACCACGTGGGATCAGCCCACGTCACCCCTCGGTCTGTACTTCCAGTAGCTCCCGCGGCCAACGACCCAGACTTTGAGTTTTCCGCGGCTTTCTTAGACAGGATTATATCTAGAGGTTCGGTTGAATCTCACATCTCCAGAGCTTTCTCGTGATGAATACGTCCATTTCTAATGTTGAACTGCCAGCATCCACTTCTATTACACCTCTTCTTATGGAACTGCCTCTTTTACACGTACATTCAGTCAATATGCACTCTCCATAGGTAGATGTATGATTTAAAATCATAAATTATTGCATTTTTTAAACATAACAAATCCGAATTTCACTCATGAGAAACTAAGGCAGAGAAACCACCTAGTGCAAGCCAACTTCTCTGGCTTAATACGCCTCGAAGGCACTTGACGGGTTAAACCTGTCTCAGACGCCTTACTCGGCAAGTACATACGGAATAAGAGAGCGCCCAAAGAATTCAGATAGCAAATATCAAAGAGGGGTTTCCCCCCCCCCCTCTTTCTTTTTGCTTTACCGAAAAAAATGGGCTAATCTCAGGATTCGAGAGATATTTGGGAAGCTTGGGAACAAGCGAAGTCATGATTGGATAAGTTCTCTTGCTACTAAATTGCCATCCGAGAGATGATATATCGCTTCAAACTTCCAAATGTGTCGATCGAAAAAGCAGAACATAATGCTGGCAAAAGCTCTAAACTTGAGCTGGCATCATCCGTCGCTTTTCTAGCCGCTTGGCCGCGACGTAGTATCACTGTGGCTTCTGAACGTGCATGATTACCCGCATTGGAGCGGATACGTGGGTGACGCGCGCATACTCCGGAAGTCCTAATAAAAATAATAAATATGTCTATCACCGTGGCACCCCCCCCCCCACACTAGCTGACTTTTTGCCTAACGCAGCCCAACGTGGCCTACACAGAACATGTAGACCAGCCTCTAGTACATGCAAGCCGCAGCAGCGCTCAGGGGGAGTTAAGCTGAACTGGACTGTCCATCGAACCACCGAGGCCGAGCGGTCGCCGCCGTCCGGCCGGCCGCCATTGGTCGCACCCAACCCAACTCTAACTACCTGCCGTCTTGCGTCTCTCATGCAGCGTCTCGTGTAGCAACGACGCACCCGCAGCGGCCGATAATGCGAGGGCAAGATGTCGCAGTAATAAAGAGGGGTCGAAGGGAGATGGCCAGGCCGGGGCGTGGAGCTTGCTCAGCTTTGCTTTGCCTTGGTGTGTCGGTCGGCCTCGGCACTCCGTTGCACCGCATGCCGGGGGAAGTCTTTATAGCCTGTCATCGCCGCACAGAGCAACCCACGGACTTCCCCCCCCCCTTTCTGGGGACCCTAAAAGGACTCGACTGTGCTGCTGAGAGGAAGACAGGACGAAAAACCCCCCTCCCTCACGTCCCGCATCTAGGAAATATCGCGAGTTGCCGGTTCTGGTTCATCCATCGTTGCGGCGATGGGCTCTACGGCAAATGCGCTGCGGGTGCTGGTCGCGGGAGGTGGCATTGGGGGGCTCTCCGCGGCCATCGCCCTTCGCCTGCAGGGGCACGATGTCGAGGTGAGAGTCCAGTGATGCTTTCACGTGTTGATATTTGGCAGGAAGGTATCTTCAGGGTTCTGATTGTGAGACTACAGGTATTTGAAAAGTCCAGATTACATCGGGGACAAGTTGGCGCCGCCGTCTATGTGGCTCCCAATTGCACGGCTGCCTTGTCCCATTTGGACATCGACGAAAAGGATTTCAAAGGAACCGACTACCGTGGGGTAAGCGGTGTTCAAGTTATTGTCCGAGGATTCGGAAGAGACCGGTTCTGATTGTATCTGAGCAGTTCAAATTCGTGGATACCAACTGTGAGGTTGAGCAAAGATGGACGTACACAGACGAACAGAGAGCACAGTGGCCTGCCGTACGTACATGTAGCGGGCTGTGATCCCCTCAGACCAAGGGCCGCTGACGATGAACCATTGATACAGGGCTGGTGGCTGGTCAACCGGCCGGACCTTCATACCGCCCTGAAGGAGAAAGCAGCCTCTCCCGACGGCCCGGGAATTCCAGTGCGGATCCACACAGGCATAGGGGTGGAGAGCGTCGACTGCGAGGCGGCCACGATCCTGCTCTCCGACGGCACACGCGTGGGTGGTGACGTGGTCGTCTGCGCAGATGGAGTCCACAGCAGGACCCGGGCCTCCGTCGCGGGCCACGAGGTGCCCATGATAACAGCCGGGCATGCTTGTTACCGGTGGCTCACGCCGGCTTCCCGGCTTGCCGATGACCCCGTGACAAAGACGTTCCTGGACCGGCCGGGCCACTTCGTGCAGATCACTGGCTCGGATCGGAGGATAGTGCTTTACCTGCTCGGGAGGGGAGCTGGTCAACTGCGTCGCTTTTGCGCCGAGGGAGGAGGTAGGCGAGATCAAGAAGGGTGAGATATTGCCTCAGCTCCGTTCCCGTGGCCCAGCATTACTAAACAGCGCGTTCCCACAGACGTGACCGGTTATGACCAGCGTGCGAACAAGACGCAGCTGATTGGGCATTTCAATTCATGGTCTGAACCCGTTCTGCGCCTCCTCGACACGGCTCCGGACGATGGTGTCATGCTGTGGGACCTGTTGGACATGGAGCTGCTGCCAAACCTGATCAAGGGGAAGGCCCTCCTCATCGGAGACGCAGCCCACCCCTTCCTCCCGCGTGAGTGATCCTCATGTACATCCCACTTCCGTCCCAGCACCGTGCTCGCCACCGGCGTTGTGCCCAGACTGAACATCGCGGGCTTGATTAGACATGGGGCAGGGCGCAGCCCAAGCCATCGAAGATGCGTGTGCCCTCGGCGCGATAATGCCCCTGGGCACCGCCCCGGAGAAAGTCGCATCGCGCCTGGTGCTCTGGCAGCAGTGCAGGAAGGACAGGGCTGCTAAGATCGTGCTGCACACGAGGCACAGGTCGCGCAAGGCAGACGGGAGCCAGGGGCCGCCCCAGACAAGTAAGTTGTGCACACCTGCGGGTTGTTTCTAAATGTGTGTCTGGACTTGTGCTGAGACAAGCATCCGGTCCTCCTCAGTCGACGAATTCAACTCGGCCATGGCGTATTGTATCCACCACGATGCCTGGAAACATGCTGAGGAGCAGCTGAATGAGTGGAGTGAGGCCAAGACGCTGGCGACGGCGGCATCGTAGAGGCTGTTCAAAATGGGGATGATGAGTTTTCAGTGAGCCGGGTAAACGCGAAGGCAGTGAGCGAGACCAATGCTGAGGCAGACTGAATAGATACGAGAGGGAAAGAGACCAAGATGAGCCCGCGGGCGCGTCTCGAAGGCGGGCTGCAGTGTCGTCTGCGAAAAGCACCACATTCTCTGCTTGAGGATGGCTCTCAAAAATCAATGGTGTCCAAATTTTGTCCTGTCTCCAAGGACTTCTCATCTCGTCCGGGAGCACTCGAATAAGCAGAGTAGTACACGAGCGTGTCAAGGTTCACCTGCAATGTTCAAGGCGAACGATGAGGGTTATACCCTCACGGATCTACCCCGCTGGATGCGAGACCGGGCGCTTGGCCGACCCCGCGATGACAACTTCGAAATTGGAGAAGCAGAGACAGCTCGCGTCACAGGCACGTAATGATGCAGACTGACTGATTTACGCGACAGCGTCAATGGCGACGATGAATCAAGACTGCATTGGTGGTATAAGGATTCAAAATGTTGTAATTGATATTCTCGGGATATTGAGTGGCAGCCTCGTTCCGGTCCCAAGTCATGCCCGCTGCACCCCTAAAGATGCGCTATATCACATTTCCCTCAAGTCCCAGCCGCTCGCACCCGGTCACAGGTGACTTCCGCTGCCATTGCCGCTGCTGTACATCCGATTTCTTTGCTCAGGGACCGCGCGATCGTAGCTGGGTTTGCCGCGAGGGAGATAGAGAGATGGAGACGGAGAGTGTCCTTACTCGGCCTTGGCCTCCTCCTCCTTGGCGGCCTCGCCCTCCTCGGCGGGCTTCCACTTCTCGATGACCTTGAGCAGGGCGGGCGGGTTGGCGCTGACGTACTCGTCGACCTTCTCGCCGTCCTTGAAGATGTGGAAGGTGGGCATGGCGCGCACGCTGTACTCCTGCGCGAGGTCGGGCAGCGCGTCGACGTCGACCTTGGCGAAGTGGATCGACGGGATGGACTGGGACCACCTGTTGGTTTTGAAGGGTCAGCGAGGTGCCGCTTTCGTTTGTCTGCGTGTGCGACCTAGAGAGCCTTGTCGGGGCGGCTGTGGTGCAAGGAGGAGAAAGGAGCTTTTGCTTACTTGGCGATCTGGGGGGCAATGAGCTTGCAGGGGCCGCACCACGTCGCGAACCAGTCGACGACAACGACGGGGTTCGCGGCAATGGTCTCCTTGAAGCCGGCGGCGCTGGAGGGCACGAGAAAACACACGGTCAGTATCGTGGAACCCGCATCGGAAGTTGGGAGCTGCAGCTGCAGGACGCCGCCGGCAGTGCGTGCGGCGCGCGAGGCGGCTGCTTGCTTTTGCTTGCATGGGGCACCAGCGGCGGGGCAGCGCGAGGACAACTCACGTCTCAATGTTGTGGACAGTCATCTTGGGCAGTGTGGAGTGGAATGACCTGGCGAAGGTGATTCGTGCAGATGTTGACAGAGGTGTGCTGGAGGCGGAAGTGCGTGTCGCAATGTTTAGGAGCGGTCGCAGGAATTGCTTTGCAGGCATTTGTATCGCGGGCAGGACGGACGGGGGGTGGAATTGTCGAGAGAAGTTGCCGGATGCACCCTTTTTGTAGTGGACAGTGACCTAGTGACAAGCAGCCCGCGGCGAAACGTCTCAGAGGTTTGCTATGGTAATCTGGTAGTTGGGGGCCCCAAAAAATGCTACGCCTTTGCTGCTCTGCGCTATCAGAAATCCGCCTTCTCGAAAAGTCTCAATGATGTAAGCCGCTTGATTTGTCAAGGCCCGCAGCTGTGTCAGAGCTCCCAAGCAGAGCCCGGGATGACGCGATTCCCGCTTGCCCACCGACTGCCGACAGCCGTGCTCCCGCAGGGCTGCAGGGCCAGCACTTGTCAATCAACAAGGCAGGGAGGTTATCGATCCTCCCCGGTGGCAGCACCAACTGATTCTAGAATCCCTAGGCAGTACCTAGGCCTAGGTAGTTTGTCAAGCATCACTCAAGATGCTATCAATTGGCTGTCTGATTTCGCAGACGGGATGGGACATTCGTTACATAGTCACTCAAGGCCTGCATTGCTCTTCCAGGTTCCTCACAGCCCACGTCTGCCCAGACTGCCCCCATGCCAGAAGCACCAATGCGTCGCTCTGTCCTATTTCTCCCATAGAAAGAACAACGGCCACTAAATTGGCTCCCGCCCGTCAACGTGGGAGACATAAAGAACAATGCCGGTTCCACCATCGTAGGCCCCGGTGGGGACAAGGACCAAGTCGCACATGGCCTGGTGACATCCGTCTCACCCAGCAGTCGTCAGCGTCGCACCTCGCGACCATTTACGAGCTGCACACGCTGTGATCTTGTCTCTCCTCGTTGTGCGGCGACACGTCTTCGCACGAGGGTCTCACCATTGGCTTTCAGGAGAGACATGCTCAATTTTCTTGTTCTTGCGCGTAGCAGCGAAGGTAGCACTTTGCTCCTTTTCTTCTCGTCCCGGAGTTCCCCCCTTTATGATTCAAAAGATCTGTTCAAAAACCCAAGCATCGCCACATCACGCACACATGCCAATGCTCCAGCGATTGCACGCTCAGAATGGGAGCGCAGTGAATTTGAAGAGATAAACGGGTATTTGTCATTGGACATCAACGCCTTCGTCGTTCGACGTTATGATAATAATCTATGTACATGCCAATACAAAAAAGCTCAACGCGCTCTCAGAGGCTTTGTTCCGAAACGCCCCGTCTTGCCCGCTCTTTCTTTTCCTTCCCCAGTGGAACAAAACCAAAACGCGTCAAGGGTATCCTATGAGAAAATGTGTCATGGTGAAGTAGTAAAATGTAGAATGGAAACCGTAGAGCCTTCTCGGGCACCGCGCTGTGTCAGAATACGATGAGTTTGAGATTTTGCCACAGTGGCAGAGGTAGCCATAAGATCGGAGCAGCCAGAGCAGAGAGACCGTGGGTGAGATTCGAGAGACGAGAGACGAGGTAGTACCAGATGATGATGTGACCGGTCCGCGAGATGCATTGCGTTTTTGTCGCTTTTCAACTGTTTTTGTCGGTTTAATCGATTTTGGTGAGAAGTATAGGAAAGTTGAAGGAGCGAATAAAGGTCGGTGCTGACAGTTGTAAGGAAATGTCGTCGAGACTGGTCGTTGAGAATTTAAGGAAATTCAAATGAGTGTGGTATGCATCTTCGCGTAGGCAGGTCGAGCTTCGTCACTCCGATTCCCCGTCTCTGTCTCTCGCATGTCTAAGCTCTGCTGTAGATTAGCTGGCTGAGATTCTCCTCCTTGCGTCCTCAGAGTTACGCGGCGAGATCTGGAGCAACTTGGCATTTCCCTTTTGTCGAGTAATGCTTGTTGCTCGCTTCAGGCCGTTTTCACTGTCCTCAAGATGGACCTCTATGTCATCGTCACTCAGGTCGCTAGCGTCACCGGCGTCAGAAAAGGTATTGAGCAACCCCTCGCGGCTTTTGACGAAGTCCCCAGCAACTACCTTGGGTTGCTGGCCCCCGACAGTGCCCCAGCGAGGATCGTCAAGTTCGTCTGAAGATGGACGGGCGTTGGTGACATGAGAGTCTGAGCTCCGGTGGTTTGCAAAGCGATCGAGGTACTCATCATCGTCCATATAAGCCGCCCCCTCATCCTGTATCTCCTGGGTTGGAAGGTCTGGATCGTGGTGTGACGAGCCATCGGAGCTCATAGACGGTGACCGGTGGTGCTCAAAGCGAGGGGGCGAGACTGGCGTGGGGATCGACCGACGGGGCGTCATTCTTTTTCCAAACCACGCACCCTCAGAATCCACGGAGTTCAACGACATCGCTTGTGGTTCGGGAGATGGATCAAGCGATGTCGGCACACTGGGCGGGACGCTTCCCACGACACCTTCTTCTGGTGACATTGGTGTGTCTCGCCGCTTCGGCATCGTCTCCTCGAGACGAGGGTTGGCTTCGAGCTCCGGTGAGTCCTGTTCGATAATTGCGGGTGGTAGAGGCTCGGCGTCAGGCGAGTGCGGTGGCGATAAAGGCAGCTCCGGTAGGTCTTCGCGGAAGCGAGACATGGTCCTCTTTGGCACATTGCTGCTAAGTTTGCGTGTCAAGGCTGCCGAGATAGGAGGTGCTGGCACATGATTCGCCGACATCGAATCCCGAGAAGTGTTGGAAAATGAGGATGGGCCGGAGTTGCGCTTCGACCTGCTACCCCATCTGAAAAGCTTGGTCCATGACCGCCTTGGTCTTGCTGGACCAGAGCTGCCTTCAGAGACCTTCCTGAGCGAGTCTGATACATCGGTCTTGGCAGGCTCAGATGGGTGAGGAGACTTTGACCTCGATATCCTCGACATCAAAGCAATCTTCTTCCTCGGGCTCCCGGTCCGTTCCGGTCGTGGTCCCTCGGGTTGCGGCTCCGAGCCGTTGACCACGGAGACTCGATCCAGCGGCATGCTGTCGGTCCTGTGGAAGTGGTCGAGAGGTCCATTGCCGGCGCCGTCATCGCTGTCGTGGTCGTCCTCCATGTCCGCGGCAGGACGCTTACCCAGCTGTTTTGCTGTGGGACTAGGCGATTTTCTCTTTTTCGAGGATGTCACGACAGCGGACTCTGGGCCGATGCCCAGACCGACCGACTCACGACCGAGCACGCCTCTTTCCATGTTGGGTGGCGAATGCCTCCCTTCCCTCTCGGCTGCCCGTTCCTTCTCGGCCCTCCTGGCCAGTCTCCGTTCCATCCTTTCTTGGTCTCGTTCCCGTTTCTTTGCTCTCCTGCGCTCATCGCGCTCCATCAACTCTCTCAGGTCACTCGCGGTGAGATCGTCGGCGAGGTCATCGATCCGCTTGTGTGCCTTGAGTGTCGCCTCGGGAATTGGCTCCTTCTCGGACAACTTGTTCTTTGCTGACAGGTGGCGACCTGACCCGGTGGGTGGTGTGCCATAACGAGGGTAGACGGCATACCTCAAGGTGGGCCGAGGGGCCAGAGCCTCCAGGGCCGACACCTTGAATGAGACCTGCTCTGAATCAGAGGACAGGCTGGAGTGAATGCTTCCGGGCATGGGTAGTGATATGTCGGAGGTCGGGTGTTCCTTCTCCCAAGACCGCCGGAAGCCAAGTCCGAGCCCGGTCTTGACCCGTCTGCTGTCCCGCTTCATGGGTCGACCAGTCTGCCATGGCTCGGCTGCCGGTCGCATTGGCTCGAAACTGGCCATGGCCTTGATCTCCTGCTCGCGAGCATGGTCGGCCTTCCTCCGCTTGCTCGACTTCTTTGGCGGCAGGTGCTCGCCATTGCGTTTGTTGTGTAGGGTGGGCATCCTTGGGAAGTTGTCGGAGTTGAAGACAGAGGAGTCGGTTGGATTGAGGATGCCCGACTCTTTTGAACGAGAGTGGGCGCGGGGGCCCGCTGGACCCTGGGAGGCCACCCTTGCCCCTGTTTTCCGACTGGGTCTCTGCCGGTGGACCACCAGGTCATCGTCCCTCCCTTCCTCGAAGCTGTAGGTACGTTCTCGACGGTGTAGCTTGTTTGGTTGTCTCTTGATTGGGATCGGGGCAGTCGGCAGGGGGTCCGAGGCGCCGGGGTTGACAGGCTCGGTTTTCCTCCTGCTGCGGGCACGGGCCTGGTCGTCTGGCGCGCCCCTTGAAGCACCTTCGCCCTCAGACTGGTTCCCACTACGGGGCCTCTTTCTGCGGCTCCGCCGACGGAAGGGCCAGAGGGCCATTGCTCCCCTGGTCGGGCTTCCGCCCGCTCTGGCGAGATGCGATTGATGGGTGGGTGCGGGCTAGAACGAAACAAAGCGCTGTGCTGGGTGGTGGGCTGGATGTTGCGATATGCTGGAGGGCAGAAGCGAAGTCATTCTGGTCGGAGAATATGCTGGTAACGGCAGATCTGGGTCATCGGCAGGGTGGGCCCGGCAGAGCAGTGTTGGATTGGACTGTTTCGCAAGAATTGGGGGGTGCTAAGATTGTCGTGGGTTGGTATGATTCAAGGGTGCTCAAGTACTCGGGCGCAAATGTGAGTCTGGGCGTGTAGGGCGAGCGAGGGTGCGAGCGAGGGTGAGGGTGAGGGAGAAGAAAAGAGGGAAAAGAAAGTTGAAGAGGATGAATTATGCGTTGCGAGGTGCGGCGAGGCGGGCTGCGGCCGCGCTGAACCTCGTAGGCGACGGGGACTGGGACTTGGGACTGGGAGGTTGTGTGACCCCGACCGATGGCGCGGCGAGTGGCGACGGCCCAGGGAGGCTCGACCTGGGTGTGATACGCAGGATACGGCCTGTGAACCTTGAATATGCAGGTACCACGGCGGCACCTCTCTTCGCCCTCTCGTGATTGATGGTGCCAAAGGGGGAGGCCTGGCGCCGTGCTACTTGTCAATGCTGGGTTTCTACGGTGGAATTTTCAAGTTGCCATTGACCATCGACTGAGGACCCCTTTTTTTCCCTGTCGGCAGAGATGTAACCGGGTCTTCGGGATGGCGACCTGTGACTGACGGGGAGGCAGACTATAGATATTGTGCTGCGTATGACTGGGTAGGTCGATAGATGATATGTAGGTACCTGGGGGGGAGCTTGCTGCAGGCTGCATGTGCTGCTGCTGCTTGCTGCTGATGAATCGAGCGTCGCAGGTGGCAGATCAAAGAATAGAAGAGAGGGCAGACAGGGCCCCGTAGAAAACCCCTGACGAGACGCTGGGAAAAAAGCTGGAATGGGTTGGGTTGGTGAAAGGGGTCTGGTCCTTGAAAGCCTTGGGCGGGCGGCGAGCGACAGGCAAGGACCCAGCAGGGGAGGGAATGCGATTAAAATCAAGTACCGGCACGGCCTTCAGTGCCTCAGCTCATCACTCTGCAGTCAGTCAGGACCAGAAACAGAAACAAGGACAGGAACAGGAACAGGAACCGGCACAGGCACAGGTACAAGGAAGGAGGCACAGAAAGAGCCATGTGCTTGATGTTGGCCCGTCACCGTCAAACCAGGCGTGGCCACACCACACCACACCACACCATGCCATGCCATGCCACACCAAGGGCGCCTGGTGACCGGGCCTGTCTGGCCGTTCATAGTCTGCATGTAAGTCACTCCAACGGGTCTAGCGTGCCGAAGCAAGCAAAACACCAAATCAGCCAGAGAGGCCGGAGCCTAGCAAGGGAACGGCGAACTGAGATGGAGAAACTGGGAGACAAAATCCGAGTCATCAGATCCAAGCCAGCAGCATAGCAGCAGCAACAGCAGCAGCAGGGCATCGACCCGCAGCCCAAAGTGGGGAGGCATCGTGCTTGCCCTCAATGGTGGCCCCTTGTTGAGGATTTGGGGCCGCCTGACTGGCTCTAGCTCCCTGGCTCCCAGTCTTTGGACCAAGCGCTGGTGGGCGGGCTAGTGGGTCCAGTTGAAGCTTCAACCCGACCAAATGTACGTACTGCTGGAAGTACCTAGGTACCGGGTAGCTTACTTTTGTTCAATACGGGAGGAACTATCCACCTCAATTGATGATTTTTATTGCTCAGTGCAGGACAGGTACTGTATGTGCATTGATAGACTAGACGCAAAGTCAAGCGGCCCATGTGCTCGAGAAGGTACCTAGGAGCCCCCTGAAACCTCCAAACACCACCATCTCATGAATAGTACCCGGTCTGCGACATGAGTGTTTGTATGTTTCCTTGGCCCGTGTTCAAGGTTTCCGGGCTGTGGGGACGGGCACGACCACAGGGCACAGGGCAGTGGGCACAGGCACAGGGACAGGCACAGGCACAGGCACAGACGGCACAGGTACCCAAGTGCCCAGGGCCCAAGGGCCCAGGGTCCAGCGCCTGGGCGGCCTGATCGAGGGCAAACTCGAACCTTGGAAAGGCAATGGCTCCCGATCTGGGCATCGAAGGCGACGATGGGATGTGGGGCCAAGCGGACGAGAGACGCAGGCAAGGCAAGAAGCAACCCCAACACGAGGAACGTGCGGCTGGCTGGCTTCTCTCCAGAATTGGCATCACATCACGGCAGCCACGGACATTCGCTGGTGTAGATACCTAGGTACCCGGCATCGGCCTGGGGCCGCCAGGGGGCACTTGCCCTCCCAGCTCCAGGCACAGGACGCAGGCACGGAAGGGAAGGCAAGAGAGCCCTCACACAGCTTGGCCTCCCTATCTCAAACCTCACAGCCACCCACATTCTGGAAACAACACCGACGGCCAACTCTATCTGCACCTCGTCTTCCGACCTGCCAGCTAGGCCCTGCCCTGCCATTCGTAACATTAATAAATTGTTCCGCGGCGCAGCTCAGCCGCTCCCGCTCCCACGGCAAGCACCATCAAGGTTTCTCCCATGACGCTTGACCTCGCTCAATCCCACCGCGGCGGCGGGCAACCCTGGAAGTCGTCCTTAGGATCCAGGGGATCCGTCCTTGGCCAGCCTTCCAAAGCCACCCCAGGCAGGCTTTTTCCGGGCAGCAGAGAGGTCAGACGTCAGACCCCTCGAACTCATCAAACCTACTAGGCCTGCCATGATACATTCTTGGTTGCCAATTGCCCTCGCCCTCTGCACAATACGTAACTGCTCCTCGAGCAACGGGCCAGTTCGAGATGCATCTCCGTCCAGAGACACGTCGCATCGCTCCGGCCGCCTATCTTTTCCCGAACGGATGCGCGACTGCACATTAGCCAGCTATGTCATACCTGCCAGGCGAGAGCTAAGAGCAAGATCGCCGTAACGGTGGTCGACGCCGAGCTAGGCCCAAACAGTCCTAATCCCGGGCGATCAAAACAACCTCCAACAGCCTGCCAGGGCTGCCAGGCCCTCCAAAGCATCAACGGCGCATCTCGGGTGCAAGGCCGCGGTGCTGACGAGGCCGTCTTTGATAGGCCGTGCGTTCTCCAGTGCTCCAGCCTGAGGACGCATCTCTGGGAGAATGGCGCCTTCGTGGGGACTGACCACGACCAACGCCAACAGTCGTTCTTTGCGCCTGACCTGGAGCAAGCTTCGGTGGAGCAACCACGTACCAAGTGCATTGCATTGCATGCCATGCCACGCCCTAGCTGCAGCACAGGTTTTACCCGGGCACCAAATCGAGCATTGTTGGGTGCAGGAACCCTTTGTATCTTCGGGCTTTCACTGTGGTCCTCCCGCTGCTGAGTCCGCCCTCAATAGCACAACACGACCTCGGATGCTGCTCCGAACCAATGTCAGGCGGTAACGCAGACCACAAACTCGTCTGGCATGCCATGGCCCTTCGCTAGTCGCAAGGGCTGGTCTATCAGGCCAGCCGTGGTCTAGCTTTCCCGCCAAGCGGCGGCCGTTGGACTATGGCAGCCACCTTAGCCCCAGGCCGAGCGCTGTGTGGGGAGAGAACCTCGTGATACCACACTCGACGTTTTAGCACCAGGCCGATTCATGCACTTGCTCAAGTCGCTATTAAACTTTTCATCGTTCACTGGGCTGCAGCATCTGAAGATGGCTCGTGACCAGAAGATTTTCTGAGAAAGCGTCAAGGGAACACGCCAGACGAACCATTACCCAGAAGCAGAAGGGCCGCAATTTGATCAAAGTTCCTGCAGAGGGGTGGCCATGATTCGCGTGGCGATCGTGACCAACAACCAATGAACTGATGCTAACGCACATCGCAAGGGGGGAGGGTTAGGCCGGATCGGTTGAACATCTTCATTCGAGATCAGTGACGGGATGGCTGTTTCAAGCCAATATCAGTCCAATCAAACCCATTTCAATCCACCCCCTCCCCAATAGTCTACTGGCATATTGGGGGGAGGGGCACGTTCTAAACAATTAGCATCTCGAATTCTATTCTTGCGTTCACCACAAGGGTCCCAAGCTAGCACTTCTTCCCTCCGAGTTTCACTACCCCGAAGGAGCCCCTGTAGCGTCGGCAGAGGCTATTTTCTGCCTGTTCTCGAAACCAGCCGACACGCCTGAGCTGCTGGGATAATCTGAGAGTACAACATTCGGTCGCTTCGACAGCCGTGGCTGACGGGAACATCTGGTTCGCGTGGCAGCTGGCCAGGGTCATTTGGTGTCCTTGGAGTTAAGATCAACGCGATGGACAGATCGTCTTTCCATTCTAGATCCTGGTCGACGGATCTTGCAGAACGCCACTTGTGGCTAACCTCAAGTCGCCAACGAATGCACATCACCTGGCAAAGCCGGCACGATTTACACAACTGCGAGAGTACACTGGCCAGACTGGCCACAGAGCAGGGACTTTACAGGCAGACGGCGTTGCTCATCACGAAAACTCCCGCGACGTGGGGGCCTATCAGCCTACCTGGCTCGTGAAAGATGCGCCAGTGTGCTCAGGTCAGTCCGCCTCTAGACTCGTCTTGCTGTGTATAAGATCATCACTGAAAGTGGGCAAGTTGCACGTTGGAGCACTTGATCAGCATTGCTCTTTCCCTGCCAGTTTGCGTACCACATAATGTCCGCTACCCGTCAGTTACGCAGTAACTGCTCAGTGGTGCAATTGTGATTGCCCGCGGGACTTGATGCCGAACCTGCCCGCGATACCTCGCTGAGCCCCACTGTTCCCGCGATCGGCAGAAGCCAAAAAGCTCCGAACCTTGGAAGTGGGACGGGGAGGCCGGGCTAGACCACGGGACCCGTTGCCTACAAGTTGTAGCAGGGCTCTGTAGACGGCGACTCGGAATTCTTGTCGGATCTCCTCAGCTAGGCACAGCACGGCCGGATGTGATGGCCATGAAATTGTTCTTGATAATAGCCTTTCAACAAAGGACCAGTAGATCTCCACCTTGAAACAAATCGGTGCGGAGCATGCTGATCCAGGCACTCGTCCCGTGCACTCTCCGGCCATGCACAAGTCATTTCGATCTTGATCGGGTCTTTCACTTACTGTATGCGCATTTGTCTCGCAAGGCACATGTGCGCGGCAGTAAGATTGAACGCCTTCTAGAGACTCGCAGTGGACCCGCGGAAGGAGATGTTAGGCTTCGTATATCTGTAGATCTCGGGCCTTTTACCGCTTGCAACTCGGCATCTCCATATGTAATAAAAGTTTCAGCTATGCCCCGCCCGCAACCTCCGTCCACGCGTTGCTCATTCGAAACAAAAAAATGTTTACCAGCCGCGGCACTGGAAGCGCTCGATTTCAAAGCTGGGCGTCTGACGAGTGGGCCCGTTATATCCGCGGCGAGGCGCCGGCGTGTAGCTTGAGATATCTGTGCCAATGCTGATGCCACTCTCGCTATAGGCACCGACCGTTTCGAATCGTTCATCCGTCTGTGACTGAATGTCATCACGGCCTGAGGACTTGGCCAGGTGGACCGTACTCATCCGCCAGTGAGGACTTTCACAGGTTACTCTTGGATTAATGGCATTGCTATGCCAGTTCCTCCTGAAATCTGACAATATGAACCAGTTGTCTGATATCGACTGCCCAGATGGAGTATTGTGAGATACAGAGACAACTGTCACAATTCCCAAAGCCAGGCAAGGCCAGAGTGCTGATGCTCACAGGGTGAAGGCGTAGTACGTTTTGACCGCCTCTTCCAGAGCGTTGGCACTTGGTACGAATACCACATGTTCGACACAAGAGCTGGCCCTTCCAGGAGCTCGGCAAGGCCAGAACCGCTGGGAAGAAGAGTACGGGACAGATTGAGCAAGGAATTTGCCAGATCTCATCTCGAATCTTTTTGACCCTGGCCCACCAACAATCGACGAGTCTGGGCAGAGGAGCAGCCTAGACGATGGGTCTGAAAAGGAGTCGGTCCACCTGTAACCGATGCGGCCGTTGCCGTGGAGTGGTTCTGCTTTTCATGTCTTGCGGGCAATGGCCGGAGGTTTTTGCACCAAGTGCCGGCCAACGAGTACGTAGAAGGAGCGAGACGGATGTCAAGCATGCGTAAAGTACGTTGTCCGTGTGTTTAGCAGAGTCGAAGCTCAGCCTTTTGTGAGGATCGCGGCCTTTTTTCCGCCCACGCAAGATCTCTAGTGATGCACTGATAAAGGCCAAAGATCCATCGTTCTCAGAAGCAAACGCCCAAGCATTGACGGGATCGAACAAAGGTACCTGTTTCTGGACCATAATCTGGAACCTCTGTGTGATGCTTTGCAGCGAGTCCCCTCATATTGCAAGTTGCATTTTTGTGTGCTTCGTGGCTTTGACCATATACCCTCATCGCATTATCCCGCGAGGTTTACGAGGTTCCGGAAGCGTAGCGACCCCCTACTAGGTTTGCTGACGGCCAAGTGTCTGGACACTGCATTAGTGATATGTCGCACGCCAGGGGGCCAGGATTTGCCGACCGAAGGAATGGCACCCCGCAGTGCAGGAGGAAATCGTCGACGACGTGCTTGGGAACTCCCATAGACAACTCAACCGCACTTGGACCCGAGGATGACGACGAATAGGACGGTCTAAATACATGGGTGTTGGCAGACACTGAAGTGAGCTGGACGACCTAGACGTTCCAGAACAATCCGTCAATGCAGGAGTGAGGTCACAAAAAAGCAAAGCCTTGCTCTTTATCGTACTCACCTGATCACTACGCAAAGGATGCCGGCAAAGCCCGTCCTCATTATCGGTGCAGGAGTTGTGGGATTGAGCCTTGCCAATGGCCTCAAGAAGGTGGGTAAAGATACCTGTGGGAGACATGCAACCGCCGGGACTACCCGACTAACGCAACACCCAGGCGAATATTCCCTTCCTGGTCTTCGAGCGCGATGACAGTATCTCGACGAGGGGCCAAGGTTGGGCCATTACTCTCCACTGGGCACTCGGATTCCTGAAAAGCCTCTTGTCGGAAGAGGCCTTCGCCGGTATTGACCAGACCCAAGTCGACCCTGAAGTCGGGCGCAACGACACGGGAAACTTCATATTCATCAACCTCGAAACACTTGAGGCCAAATTCCGTGTCCCACCGAGTGAGCGGCGTCGAATAAACCGTGAGAAGCTTCGGGAGGTGCTCCTACAGGAAGTGAGTGATCAAGTACACTGGAGCAGACGCTTCGTCGGCATCGAAGAGGCGAAAGACGGAGTCGTTGCCGTCTTCGAAGATGGCTCAAAAATAGAAGGCTCGGTCATCGTTGGCGCCGAGGGCTCCAACTCGAGGACGCGACAGCTCATCGCGCCGGAGACCTACAGAAACACCCAGCTTCCCGTGCGGTTGACGGGTGTGGCTGTCGACTTCATCCCGGAGCAGGTCAGGCCGCTGCGGGACCTGGACCCTCTGCTCTTCCAGGGATGCCATCCCAGGAGCGGGAATTTCCTCTGGGTCAGCATGCTCGAGACACCTGAGGCCAATGGGACCCAGGGGACGGACGGCGAGCGATATCGTGTTCAGATCATCATGTCCTGGCCGTTCAGGTCACCGGATGACGAGGTGAAGCCCACGCAGGGGGAACGCCTCAAGGAGATGAAGCGTCGGGCAGAGGAGTTCCACGAGACGCTCCGCGGCGTGGTGCAGTCCATCCCGGAGGAGACTGAATGCCTCGAGATTGTGCTACAGGACTGGCCCTGCCTGGACTGGGACAACCACGGCGGCAGGGTGACGTTGGCTGGGGATGCAGCGCATGCCATGACGATGTACAGAGGCGAAGCGGCCAACCATGGGATCCTTGATGCTCTCAAGCTTTGTCAAGTCCTCGACAGCGTCTCCAAAGGTGACCAAAGTACAGGGGATGCCATCCTCAAGTACGAAAAGGAGCTCAGGAGTAGGACGAGCGCTGCTGTACTTCTTAGTCGTCAGGCATGCTTAGATGCGCACGACTGGGCGGGCTTGAACGAGCATTCGGCCGTGCTGAAGAGGCGAGCGATTGACTAGACGTGCTTGTACGGTACAAGATTAAAGAAAGATGCTCTAGATTCATTTCCGACAATAAGAGATGATCCATTTGCGTGTAGATTGTTTATAAACAAAAACCAATTAGACTGGCCAATATGTAGACTAATAGCTCCAGTGCCGTAGCTGTAAGTGAAGCAGAGCCCCACTGCGGGATGGCGGTCAGCCCCACCACGTTGCCGTACCAACACCCGAGGACTAGCTCCCGCCATCTGGGCCATGCGCCGTTGTGTTTTCTTGGGTCGCAAATTGAGCCATCGATCCTTGAACCTCATCACTATCCCAAGACACTGTGTGCAACATTTATCTACCTTCTAACAATACATCAGAGCGCCGAAATCGTGTCGTCAAGAGTGGGCCAAGATGGCCTACAATCCCAGGATGAGCATCATCCCTCCGGGGCAACAACATTCGCGCAACCAGCGCAAGGAACCAGAACCCGACGCGTTCATGCTGCTCAAAGACAGCGAGATTGTCGGCTGCATTACTGACATCGGCATCCCCTTCACCGTCGCCGACCTGGCAAAGCCGAACCCCCTCCAAGTCCAGATGATATTCGAGTGGTTCGCCGAGCTCATCCTCAACGCAACCCGCGAGACCGTCGACCCTGCGATGCGCGCCGCCGCCGAGGACATTGCTGGAGACAATGGCGACATGCTGTTCCCGCCCGACACGCGGAACCTCATGGGCTTCTACGTATCACTGCGGCGGCTACTATTGGAATGTGGCATCCGGGACTTCAGCTTCACCGATCTGTACAAGCCCACGCAGCCCAGGCTGGTCAAGATTTTCAGCTACCTTATCAACTTCGTGCGTTTCCGCGAGAGCCAGACCTCGGTCATCGATGCGCACTTCAACAAGGCGGAGCAGACAAAGGGACGGATCGAGAGCCTCTACGGGGAGAACCAGGACATGGAGGCCCGTCTGGACGAAATGCAGCAGACCCGATCACAGATGCAAGGTCTGTACGCGGAGAAACTGCGACGCAACGAGGACTTGAAAAAGCGGCTGCTGGAGCTCCGACGGGGCCAAGAGAGGGTCGCTGCTCGGTTGGACGAGGCCAAAGAGAAAAAGGGCGAGTTGTCGACACAGCTCGAGCAGAAGACAGCCGAGAAGCTAGCAGTGAAGCACGAGAGCGCCAAGCTGAGGCCCTACGTTCTGCAGAGCGCTTCTTCCCTACAAGCGAGCTTGACAGAGCTGTCAAACACGCTTGGCAGCGACAAAGCCCACATCGACTCTCTCGACCGACGGGCACGGGCATTACAAACCTCGACGGATTCCTTCGCCGTGGTATCGACCGACGTGGCGTCATGCATCAAGCTTCTGGATGAAATTGCTGTGGAGTTGCAGAAGGAGGAGGACGAGACCGCGCGCAAGAACAAGCAAAAAGACGCTCTCCTCGAGCGGCGTACAGACGTGCAGGATGTCGAGCGAGCTGAGACGCTGCTGCAGAGGCAGCTGGCCAAGTGGCTCGAGAGGACGGAGAAGCTTAGGGAGCACGCCAACCAGAAAGCGCAGGAGGCCAAGAGGAAGATGGAGGAGCTGGAGAAGGTCCACAGGCAACTCAAGCAGGAGCGGACAGAGAAGGGCAACGAGATGGAGAAGCGGCGGGTACGGATCGAGCAGACGGAGAAGAAGGTAAGTTGCAGGCTCTGGACCTTGTGCCAGTCTGGCCAGACCGCTAACATGCTCTTTACAGATGCAAGACCTAAAGGAGGCCATTGAGAACGAGGTCCACAATGCTCACGACGAGTACCTCAAGATGGAGGCACATATCAAGTTGTACATCACGGAGATGGAGCAGGCCATTCCGTTCAACGAGTGAAACGACTATTTCTTTTTGTATTCTTAATGACTTTGGGAGGGCTGATACCAGGTTGTGGCGTTCGGTTGAGATTTGGTTGCCGGGTACATACTGATTCAAGCTGATCGAGAATGAAGAAGAATCCAAGTCTCGACAGGATCATGACCATGTTACAATGTGTCCAGCGGAGCTGTATGGGCATCATGGGTGCTCCTGCACTACCTGCACTCCCTGCGCCCAATTTCCTTGACGGTATCGGAACCACCTCCCCAGGATCCTCGCCAAAGTCACGGTACGCCCGGTCCAGTCAGCGTCATCCAGATCGGCGCCGGCCCTTCTAGCACTGGCACTCAGCACCGGGGCCTCCTCAGACAAGATCGTTTGCTCTGTCTCAACCCCCACAGGTTCATCCTCGTTACCGGCGCCTTGCGCGTCCGCGTCGTCCTCAGTCTGCATCACAGGCCGGGGCGAATCAACCACGACAGCCCGAAAACCAACCCTCCTGGCAGCTTCCACCAGGCCTGTCGCCGTGCTACTTATCCCCTGGGCGCTCCATTCACTCGTGTCGCGGTGCAGGGCGAGGAACCCATACACCAGCAGGAGAGGCCGCGTTCTTGCTTGGCGCGAAGTGGTGACTGGTGGAGGAGGTGGGACCTTGGAGTCCTTGGCGGTAAAGACAGAGAGACAGGCCCGCAGGTGGGAGACGGTCGGCACGAATATCATGCGGATGTGACGGGCGATGGCGACTTGGTAGACAGGGGACGAGAGCAGGGAAGAGAGACCCGGGACTTGGCTGCCCTCAGCCGCGAGTGATAATGACTTTTGTGCATCGGCCACGAGAGAGTCCAGGAATTCTGCCTGAGACGAGCACACGATCAGAGTGGTTGGGTACTCGTTATATCGAACGATGTATGTGAGCAGCTCTGACGGGAGGGCTGGCGACAGTATGAGCGGCGTCAGCGGCATCTTGAGACGGACACACTCTTCATGGTGGTAGCTGGACAATTCAGTGACATAGACACCTCCTTGCCAATAAATGAGGCTCTCACATCTCCCTAAAGTGGAAAGTGGTCAGGGTGTCTGGAAGATGCCTAGGGTATCTACCTACCTGGCAGTCTGAGCGCAAAGTGGTGGCCCCCAGTTTGGTTCGCATGCCTGCCCGGGACTGCCCCACCAAGCTTGCAGGGACCCTCCGGCACGTCACCTAAGCCAGTCAACATCACCTACACCATGTCTAGCAGGCACCTAGCTAGTTACCTAGGTAAGGCACTCACAATACCCGCCCAACCACGACCTAGACGTCCGTCTTGTGGTTGTTCAGAATGGAGCCAATATCCCGCATCTCGTCACTCCTTGAGAGAGGTGAGCTGCCCATGTTGCACGCCTCCTTCAACCGGCAAGACTGACAGCCTCGTGCACCCCAGCCCAGGAGCTCACCCTCGACGCCGCCTCCGCCGCCCGGAGCTCGCGAAGCGCGCCCCGGTCCCTGGACAAGAACCAGGTCAAGAAGCTCCTCGACAGCCGCAATGAGCGCGAGGTGCTCGAGGGCCTGCGCAAGGTCATCTCCATGATGTACCGCGCCCAGAAGACCCTGCCCTTCTTCTCGTCCGTGGTCAAGAACGTCGCCTCGCCGAACCTCGAGATCAAGAAGCTCGTCTACATCTACCTCATCCACCACGCCGAGCAGGAGCCCGACCTGGCGCTGCTGTCGATCAACACCATACAGAAGTCCCTGTCGGACAGCAACCCCCAGGTGCGCACGCTGGCGCTCAAGACCATGTCGGGGATCCGAGTGCCGGTCATCAGCCAGATCGTCTCGCTGGCGATCAAGAAGGGCGCTGGGGACATGAGCCCGTACGTGAGGAGGGCGGCGGCCATGGCGATACCAAAGTGCTTCCGTCTGGACCCGAACCAGTCACCGCAGCTGATCGAGTACCTCTCAACGCTCCTGGGAGACAAGCAATATTACGTGGCCGGTGCGGCCGTCACCTCGTTCATGGAGATATGCCCTGAGAGGACGGACATAATACATAAGCACTACCGCAGCTTGGTTCGGAAGATCGTCGACATGGATGAGTGGAGCCAGCTCTCGACGTTGAGGATGCTGACAATATACGCTCGAAAGTGCTTCCCTAGGAGGACAAGGACGGTCAGAGCTGGGGAAAAGGCAGCCGACTTGCAGGGCTTCTACAATGAGGCAGGCGATAACGGAAATGCGAGCGAACAAGTGGTTATTGTGGATCCGGACCTCGAGCTGCTGCTCAATGCGATAAAGCCGCTGCTCCAGAGCAGAAACTCGGGCGTCGTGGTGGCCACAGCCCGCTGTTATGTTTCAATGGGGACCCCGGAGTACATCAAGTCAGCCGTTGGGCCGCTGGTCGCACTGCTCAGGGGCCCCTCCGATATTCAGCAGATCGCACTTTACAACATTGTGTCTGTCTGCCTCATCAGGCCCGCCGACTTCGTCAAATATGCCTCACACTTCCTTGTCAGAGCAACCGATAGCAGCTCGGTGTGGGAGCTGAAGCTGGAAGTGTTGACCCTCGTCTTTCCTCACGCCCCGCCACACGTCAAATCACTAATCCTCAACGAGTTGGAACACTTTTCAAGAGGTTCAGACAAGTTACTGGTGCGTGAGGCTGTTCGAGCCATCGGGCGATGCGCGCAGAGCGATCCGGCGACGAGTTCAAGGTGTCTTAGGCTGCTACTGAGTCAAATCACCAGCCTCGATGGGAATCTGGCGGCAGAGAGCTTGACGGTCATCAGACACTTGATTCAACAGGACTCGACAGCTCATACATCCACAGTTGTGAGGCTAGCAAAGAATCTTGACTCTGCCACCGATCCACAAGCCCGAGCCACTATCATATGGCTCGTCAGTGAGTTCGCTGGCCTAAATGGCGAAGACAACATCGCAGCGGATGTCTGCAGGATCCTGCTCAAGGGCTTTGCAGATGAATCAGAAATTGCCAAGCGGCAAATACTTCTCCTGACCGCCAAAGTCTATCTGCACCACCTAAATCGCGTGATAGAGTCCAGGAAGAGCCAGGAAGCCGAAGAGGGGGCAGCAGAGCCAACGTCCCTGGATGAGGTGGAAGACCACCCCGTGGCCCGGCTGTGGGATTACGTTCTGTTGCTGGTGCGCTACGACACCTCGTACGACCTCCGGGACAGGGCAAGGTTGTTCAAGGCACTGCTGGGTGTTCCTCAATTAGCGACGCTCATGCTCCTCGCACCCAAACCCGCACCGCAGGCCCCCAGTCCGTCCGAAATCAGAAAAGACTTTACCCTCGGCTCGGCGGCCTTGGTTCTGGCTGGTGGAGGAGGGGTTCACGGTCTTAAAGGGTACGAGGCTTTGCCGGACTGGGTGGAGGACGGTAGGGAGCCGGACCCGAAGCTGAGGTCCGAGGGAGAGTCGGCCAGCAGCAGCTTCGCGTATGGCGAGAAGCGCGTCGTACCCGCCGCAGAGAGTCTGGACAGCGTGGCCGCCAGGTCTGGCGTTGGCAAGTCTACCAACGGGGACGAAGGGCCCGGTCTCGGCTCCAAGTCGCTTGCGGACTGGCTTGCTGAAGATGATGGCCAAGGGGAGTCAGGCGAGAGCGAGGAGGAAGAGTCGTCCGAAGAGGAGGAGGAGGAGGATGACGACGACGATGAAGAAGGCGAGGAAGAATCCGGCGAGAGCGAGGAGGAAAGCTCTGATGAGGATGCACGACTGGTTCGGGGACCCTGATAGATGTGTGTCCAATAAATATACCCTATGAAGATACATGGCCAATCGATCCAGTCGTTGTCCCCTCACGACTCACCACAATTCCAGCCAGAGTCGACCCAGTGACGCTGGTTTATGCTTGAATGGCGTTTGACTCACGGCCTTACAAGCCTGTCTCAACGCAAAATGGGTTCAAACTCAACCTCATCACCCTTTTGGAGTACCGGTCGCCTCAAATCACTCATTTTCAAGTATTTTGTGTTTCTCGTATGCGACACTCCCATACCATGGTACATCTCCAGTATCAAGAAAGGCAGACTGCTGCGTGTCACGGCATATCTGGCACTGCAGCGGAGGCTTTAGCGTGCAGTATAGAGGGATTCGAAGTATTGCTAGGATTTGTTTGTACATCAGACGTGTTCAATGGATAGTTAGGCCCGTAGACCGGTAAGGCAAGCCTAGACTCACTTATATATCTTCTTGGGTCAATAACCTGGGCACGAAAAGGTGCTGTGTCTCTTGGTCACGTGCCTAAAATGGAATGCTACGTTCCATCGAAATCACATATTCGTGTTTGAAGTCAGAGTTGGGCTCTCTGTGGTGCTTCTAGTGTTTTCTTGTTGTCTTGTACGGCGATGCTCCTCTGTGCGTCTTTGACTATTTGTTTAAGTGTTGTCAATCTGACACTATTACTATCCGTTATAGCTTTCCCTTCCCGTTCCTGTCACTGCTTTTATTAAAGCAAGTAGTGTTCTGGGCTTACCATATCGATGACCCCAAGTAGAAGTCCGTGTTAGGACGAATATGAGTTTTTTAGCAATGGGCAAGGTCCTCAGCTTCCAAAATTGTTCTCATGCAGGGCACCCAGGCCAGCAGGGACATCAATTGCTCAACTGAGAAGCCAGTTGTGACAAGTTGGTTGTCTCTGGGAGTACTTGAGGAGATAATCCAAAGTCTATGGAAAATTACCACAGAAATCTGTGAGACGAAATACCAGCGTTGGCAACAGCAATCTGGGGGTTTATAAATATTGTGGCGACTAATTTTGGGCTACACTGCGAGCACATCCGTGATGTTGTGATGCTCTCAGTGAAGTGAGCTTGCACATATGACCTCCGCGATTGTATCACGTCTCGTTTCCGACATCAGCCGAGAATCCGCGAGGTATTGTCCCTCCATGCCATTGGAGTGGAAGTACTAGCTGCAGTCACCTCACCCCATCGAATCAAGCACTCGTACGGGCCAATAGTTCGTGCATCGACGCAGTGCAACTATTCCAGATCCAATGATGTGCATGAACCACGCCGTACCTCTGCATGATTACTTACCCCATTCCCACGCAGAGCCTCAATCTGGCCTGAATTGGGGAGCACTGGGACACCCATCCTTGCTTACTCTCTGTGCCATATCTCTTTCTTGTTCTACTTGTGTCCGTGTTCCGCGTCACTTGTCCCCCACTAGTGCAACATTGCTTCGCCGCGAGCAGCTCTTTTCCTCCGAGCCTTTCCACGTCAATCTCTTCCCATTCGGAATATTCTGGGTTCCAACCCGACTCTTATGCCTGCTGCGGCTGACCTATCGCACGGCTGCGTTGCTCCTCAGCCGACAAAATGTGGCTGATCGACACCACTACGCTTAGGCTCGAAGAAGTCGTCGATCTGCAGGACTGCAAATATGCCATCCTGTCCCACACCTGGGAAAAGGAAGAGGTTGATTTCCAGGAGATGCTGGCCGAGTCGCGACCGGCAAGACTCCTGAAGAAGGCCGGCTTTCTGAAAATCAAAAAGACTTGCGAAGTTGCCAAAGAAAAGGGGTATGCGTACGCTTGGGTTGATACATGCTGCATCGATAAGGCCAGCAGTGCAGCACTTTCGGAAGCCATCAACTCGATGTTCCACTGGTACAGAGAGTCATCCTTATGCCTTGCCTACCTGTCCGATCTCAAGGTCAACAACTTCGAGCACGCAGAGAGCAAGACAGCGGAGTTCATGAAAGATTGCGTGTGGTTCACGCGTGGCTGGACGCTTCAGGAACCGTCATGTCCGACGCCCCAAGAGGTTGATGGTTTTGAAATTGCGCCCGACCCAGTGTCCGACCAGCTGGCTGCCGCCACTCGCCGTCACAATACCCAAGAGCCATCCTCAAAGCGGCTCAAGGCGATCCACCACGCTGGAAGGTTTGTCATCCCCAGTGCTGCTCTTAACTTGAATCGAGCGGGTACCTCAGTCTGAGTGTCCGTGAGGCACTGGATCTCGAGTCTAGTCGAAGACCTACTTAGGTAGCCCAAGAACGGCGCCCTTCTAGTACGGCTTGACTCACGGGACACTAAATCCATCCATATAAAATCCTTTCGGTCCCCATCAATTGTGAACTTTTCAATCAATCCCACGGATTTTGTCACGAAAGTCGCAGAAACAAAATCTTCTTGCCGTCTTAGCGAAGAGCATCATGACATCTTCTCGCCAACGGCAGTGCCAGGCCCGACCTAGGTTGACATCTAGAAATCCCTGCACGACATCGAATTTCGACGCTGTCCCATCTGCAAAAGGTCCAGAGAAGAGAAGAACCCTAGAGGCCAGTTGCTACTGAGATCCGGGGCGGCGGACGACGGTAAAGGCTTGTGGCCTGCTGGCTTCAATCATTGTGGCATGCCGGAGGCTGCGCGAGCATCGCCTGTTTGAGAGTTTCGATGGTACTTTGTTCATCTTCTATTCCGTGTCATCATATCCTTCACGAAGCCTCCACATTGCTCAATCAGCGACCGCAAAACACACATATGCAACTTCACCCCTCGCCATGTCTGAAATTGTCAACATCAAACAGTTATTTCTCCACGATCCCGAATACTTCTCAGCAATCATTCCAGGCCAAAAGTCTTGACGGCCAACCTAGCTTGTGCCCCCGGCGGCCTTGTCGATCCAACTTGCGAGGCCACGAGGAGTGTCTCAAGGAGACGCACATCACAGAATAGCTCTCAATCCTGGGTTCCTGCTCCAATAAACACCGGACGCCTGCGAAGCCGCAGCGATGCTTTGAAAGCCCCAGCCTGACTATGATACCGGTCAGTTTTGGCGAGAGCCAGCTACGCAGGGTGCAGCTGTGTTGGACTCACAGAGGTGCTTGTCCATGTTTGAGGCGTCGCGTTTTTGTGAAAAGTCGACTTGCGCACGCATTGCCCAATGTGTCGTGCCTCGAATGGCCTGACAGAATTCGTCGCGTGCAGAGAGCAGCGTGCAGGTCGTTGAAGAGTGGAGCAAGCTGATATGGCTGTCGCATTCAAGTGCTGCGTGAGCCGGTGCAGGAGAGGTCGAAGCGCAGAGACTGCTGGATGCTCAAGTGTCGCCTCCGGAAAGCCAAGCTTTGCGATCGATCGTTTCTGGGACGTTGTCAATTATTTCACCGACGATGAAGGCCAATGATGAAAGCAAATGGAGCCCGGGATACATACCCTACTCCGCTCCCATGCTTGAGCTGAGGCCCGAAAGGTTGTGAGCGTGACAACCATCAGCCAGCTGTCCCGTTGGTGCTAGTAGTGCCATCGGTCAGCCGAAGCCGCCGATAACCAGTCCCCGTATCATATATAACGCTGTTTTCCTCAAAAAAGGGTCGGAAAGTCGTAACGAATAATCACGCTGGGGGAACTGGCCTTGATATTTCAACTCCAAGGGTTGGAGACGCCAATGATGAGTGCGGGCGCAAGCCTGGTCTTTCGTCCGGACCAGATCCCAAAAGGCATGGCAGGCACAAGCAGGCCATGCTAAGACGAAGACGAACTGAGGCGGCGGTGAGCTTTGCGAAAAGCTGACGGACCAGACGATGAAGGCACCTGAGTTTGTGAGGAGGAGAAAAGAGGGTGGGGAATGCACCCGTCCCTGGTGCTTTGAAGATTCCGAGAGGGGGAGGGGGTTGGCAAAGGCTTATTATGGCTATGCCATCCGGATCAAACGATCAAGGTAAGGAACGTGAATAACTTGTGAGAGCAGAAAGCCGCTAGGGGATATGTGGGAGGAGGATGGAACATCGCAAAACGGACTTGAGAAGCTTCAACAGGCCTGATCCTCGGATGCGGGACCTTGGGGGCTGTGGCTCCATTGATCTGGATATGTCAGTATGGAAAAGCGATGGCACAAGCATACCAAGTGGCATGAAGCGTTTTTCATCGGCCAGGAGCCACGCGATTACTGCCCGTTCCGAAGAGCAGGAGTTGAAATGAAAACTAAGTTTCCATGGGAAGCAGGGAGCGGACACCGAAGGGAGTAGCACGAGGAGAGTAGCACGAAGAGACACAGGACAAATAAAGGACAATGGTACAAGAGTCAAGTGACTGAGCGCGACCAGAAATGGCCAAGCAGCGAATGAGTGGGACGGAATCTTCGTGATGATGGGCTTTGGTGTTGAGATCAGTGTGGTCGGTGGTAGATGAAAGAGGGAAAAGGATTGGAAGGAGTCGATCAGATCGAAGCACATCGTTCTAGTTCAAAAAGCAGCCCAGACCTATGGGGATCATTCCTTCTTCGTGCCTGGATTCAACTCCTTGTCTTCCTTCCTGTTGCTGTAATCGAATGCATGAACGAGCAGCTATTATCTTGGCCAATTCCGACCCCTCACCTTCCCTTTGAACACGGTGGTCAGGATGTCATAAGGTACTATTGGTATCTCATGGTGGAAGTTTGAGCAGCTATCTATGGAAGGATCCCCAACTCTCAAGAAAAATACCATACACGTGTAGTTAATTCAAATGCCATATTGTGTACCAGAATGAAAACACTGGAAACCTGGAGGAATACCACGTGAAATGAAAGAGACTTGCCCACGACAGCGTGTCTTAAATAACAATGGAGTCGCACTTGTCATTGTGGCAATTGTTGATCAAAAAGATTCTTGTTGTCCCAGAGCCAAAACAGTCAGCAGTCAGGACCTTGGAAGGGACAGCAGAGGAAATAACATAGGGCAGTCGCTCCCTGCAAGTACGTCAGTGTCTAACTATGTACTTGACGCTGGGTGTGTGCTTGCCGTCAGCAGTCTTTCCTCAGGCAATCACTCAGCCGGTCAGGACATCCAGTGAAGGTTCTTGGAAGCTACAAGGGCTCAACTTCACTGCTCTATGCAGGCAACAAGCCCCCATGATACTTGGGATATCTTCTTTGGTTCCAATTGGTTCTTCCAATTACAGCTGCTGGTCCTCGAAAATCCCCTATACCAAACTACCTAGTTTGAGATCAGGTTTAAATTAAAATTATAATAAACATGGCTTATGTCGGCTGGGTCACGTATTCAAATACAGTGGTCAGGTGTGGTTGAGTTGTCGCATTGTGTAGAAAGGTAACTAGGTTGCAGCCCAGGCTACAGCCTGCAAAAGGCTATCTGTGGGCAGCTGGCGGGGGTCACGTAATCTGCAGCTTGCGCCCTTATCTAATAAGAAGCTAGCCTAGATCCTGCACCTTCGAATCCAAGCCACGCACCTACGGAAACGCCATAGCAGTGCTGTAAAAATAAAGGCGTAAGTTCTTTTATTAATCGGCTATTTAAAAGTGGGCAGGGCCCTTTATTTATAGTTAAAACATTCAGCTAACCGGCAGTCTTATTTTTACTAACAAAATAGCTGTAGAACTAGAGATCTCGTGTTAATTATTAGTTTATCCATTAAAGGGATTGCCTAAGGGACCGTCTTTTTTACAGCCCCCTAAAAGCTAGTTTTTATTTATTTATTTATTTATTATTTATTAAAATAGCTTCTTAAAAAGACATTTATTTTATTATTTAATACTTATATATATATATATATATATATATTTATTATTAAAGAAAACCTTTACATAAGAGTAAAACTTTAATATATTAAAAGAGGTTATTTTTATTTATTTCCTTAAAATAAAAAACTAAAAATTTATTTATCACATAAATTAAACTTACAGCCACGAGCATATTACATAACAGTTTTATTTAAGTTAATAAATTTACTTATTATTTATATATCACGGGGTTTATTATTATTAAATCACACGGTAAAGATATAGTTTTTAAGAATTTTATTAATATTATTTATAGCTAAACTATATACATTAAGAATTAATAAAATATAATGATTTAAGGGGTTTATAAATATATATAAAATATAGCAATAATATATATATTATGCATATATATTAGCTATATAAGTAGCTATATTATTTAAAAAAAGTTTAAGTTATTTAATAACAAACTAAGTTATTTATACAATTTATATATTATTATATTTAAAAGAAAATTGCTAATTATAAGAAAATAAAACATATATTATTATAAGCTTAATTATTTATATAAAAACTTTTCTTTTATAAGGATAATCTTTTATTTATATATATTTATTTTATAATTATTACCTTTAATATTAATATTTTAATTAATTATTTTCTATAAAATAATACCTTTTTCTTAATATTTTAAAATCTTATTAAATTATAAGCTTAATAAGCCAATTTGCTAAATTATCTTTTATATTTATTTTAATTAGTTTTTATTAAATATTCTTTAATAATATAATAATTATAATAATATGTTATATTTATATATTTAATATGCTTATAAAACATTTAATTTTTAATTAATTTTATAACAGCATTATTATCTTTAAATATTTTTAATATAAGAATATTATAACTTAAATTTAAGTTATTATTAAAGTTTATTATTAAATTATATAAATATATTCCTTTTTAATAAATTTTTCTAAAGCTAGGGTTTTTTATTATTAAAAAGCTTAATTAATAAAGTTAAATATATTTTTATCTCTTATAAAGATAGAAAATATATATTTTAAGGTAAACTTTCCATTATTTATATTATTACCTTAGGAAGAGTTATAATGCCTTATTATATATAAGATATTTTCCTTAAAATAAAAGTATTGTTTAAAGATATTTAAAACTTTTAATAAATATCTCTATAGTTTACTTAATTCTTTAAAGTATTTAAGGCTTAAATTTAATATATATTTAGCTAATTTAAAAACTAAATAAGTTATATTTAACCTAACTTTTAAGTTAATATATAATAAAACTTTATTTATTATTAAAAGCTTTTTATTTCTTTTAAAAAGGCTTAAGCTTTATTTTTATATAATGTATATTTTAATATATATAAAATTAATTTTAATTTAATTTTGTAATTATTAATTTTATTTCCTCATTAAATATTAAATTTATTTAATAGTTTATTTATATATTAGTTTTAATTTATAAATATTTCTTTA